AATGGCAATGGCAATGGCAAGAAGACGCCGCCCTCAGCGGCCGTTAACCTTATCGGTACGTTGTAAACCCAAAAACAACGGTCTTTACGGACCATTAAGGTGCAATGATCAAAAACTAACTCAATCGCAGCTGGTGGTGGTGCTGGTATGATGGAAGCTCTCGCCTGTCATCCTCTCGGTAAGCTCCTCCTCGGAATGCGCCAAACCAGGCGCAAACCTAGAAATTAAAACACTAACATGACATGAAAAAGACACAATCAAGGTTCGCATGCAGCTTTCAAGACGCGCTCGCCAACCAGGTGCCCCTAAGCGCGGCTTCATCAAAACCGGCGCCGCTATCGTCGCAAAGGAGACGCCCCTCGGTCTGTACAAGGGTCTCGGAGCCGTTTTCACCGGTATCGTTCCCAAAATGGCTATTCGCTTTACCTCGTTTGAGAAATACAAGCAATTTCTTGCCGACGAGACGGGTGCTGTTTCTGGTAAGAGCGTCTTTGTCGCTGGTCTGGCTGCTGGTGTTACGGAAGCTGTCTGCGTCGTGACGCCCATGGAAGTTATCAAGATTCGTCTTCAAGCACAGCATCACTCTATGGCGGATCCCCTCGATGTTCCCAAGTACCGTAACGCTGCTCACGCGCTTTATACCGTTGTTAAGGAAGAGGGTTTTAGCGCACTGTACCGTGGTGTGAGCTTGACGGCGTTGAGACAAGGTTCTAACCAGGCCGTCAACTTTACTGCTTACAGCTACTTCAAGGATTGGCTCAAGAAGGCCCAGCCTCAGTACGAGAACACAAACTTGCCCAACTACCAGACTACTCTTTGTGGTCTTGTTTCTGGTGCCATGGGCCCTTTGAGTAACGCTCCTATCGATACTATCAAGACACGTCTGCAACGAGGAGGTGCTGAGCCTGGAGTCAGTGCTTGGACCCGTATTACTCGAATTACCACCGAGATGTTCAAGTGAGTTCTGTCATTGACAAGGGAGATTTGGAATATACTGACATTTATTCAGGCAAGAAGGATTTTATGCTTTGTACAAGGGTATTACACCCCGAATTATGCGTGTCGCTCCTGGTCAAGCCGTTACCTTTACAGTTTACGAATTCCTGAAGGATAAGATGGAGAGGAGTAAGCTGTCCCTTGTTGGAGGCAAGTATGAGGAATAGAGAGATTACAAATGACTGGAATCAACATCATCTGAATTAGTCCTGCTGCTGAAGGACAGACGTCTGGCCATACGAGACATACCAAGACCTCCTTCATATCACGCTTCGAGTCACTGGGGGAATGTATTTAAGGAACGGTACATGAAAGGCAACAGAAGAGGACCAAAAGTATAGAGGAAGATATACCATGCATAGGGATGGGGGTGGCTTTAGTTCTTACTGCGCGCATGCATCTTTGGATAAATATCAGCATTTGTAGTTTGGACAATTGACTTTTTTTGTATCATCAACACCTTTCATGAGCACAAGTTTGTAGTTTGATTCACACAAATGCATTCTCGTAACAATTCATACTATCTCATATCTATCGACCAGGTCGCTTAGGACGGCTAAAGCCCTGTCGAGAAGCCGTCTTGGGATGCAAATCGTCAAGAACCGACTGCTCGGTAATCTCACTAGGATCCTCCACCTCAAACTTCTTCTCAAGGGTAAGCCCAGCTTGGCCCTCGGCGGCTTCGAGGACGGAACGCTTCATCAGGGGGTACATCATGCGGAACTTGATGGACTTGTTTCCGGGCGTCGAGGGGCAGGTGTAGAAGAAAAGAACGGGGCTAGACTCGGAACCATCGTGTGTGTGGGTATACCGGTAAAAGGTGAACCGCGGCTCGGTCGAAGAGATGGCCTTTGTCAGTTCTGAAATGCCGCTCGGCGTGGGTGCCTCGGGAACGAGCTCCACTGTCTCAGTCGAGGGGTTGATTTTCTAGTGGTATAAGCGGTTAGTTTCCGGATGCGTTGTTCGTTGGACTTGTCTACTAACCAGCATTGTAACGGGTCGACCGCCATCTTGGCCAACTTCCTTCAGAGCAGCAATAGCATCCTCAGAAATGGGCATGGCAAAGTTCTTGCTCAGATGAATAGCCTTTTGTCCTGTTCCCGAACCAGCCTCCTGCTCAGCACGCTTAACCTCGCCCAATTGCTGCTCCTCTTCGGTGAGAGGGGCAGCCATCTTGTTATGCGCATCATGCTTCTCGAAGCCCTTGGCGCTCAGCTCCTCGGGTGTTGTGACAAAGATAGTCTCCCTAAAATGTTCTGTGCCAAGCTCTCGGACAAAAGTCAAGCGAGTTGAAGCAAACAACATCTTTTGGCGCACCTTTGCCGAGTCGGGGACGTAGGTGATGGCTATGAATCGAGGAGCATCTTCGTGACGACGAAGGATAATGTATAGGGCGGCATCAGTCTTGAGGTGAGGCTCGAGGGCGGAAAGATTGTCGGAAAAGGAGCTTGATTTGGAGGGGATCGTGGTGATAGGGACCATGGACTCCTTCTCGATAGTTGCGAGGAGTCCAAAAGTGCCGGTTGACGACAGCAACGAGTTGAACTCGTTCTGAAGCTCCTGAGAAGCTGCAAGAGTTAGTTCTGGCTCGTATTCAGAGCCTGTATCTTCATACCTGATATTCCTGACTGCATTTTGTCTATAACATTGAAATGTAGGTGTAGGTGAGATGTCGACCGACCTTTGCTCTGTTGTCAAGTACCCCGCCACTTCTCTGGCGTCGCACGCTTGGAGCTACAGTGGGGTTGCCAGCTCATGCCTCAAAAGATTTACGTCAGATCATTGGAGCTCCACTTACCCTATGCTCTTGTGCAAGTGGTTGTTATCAATTGATATCTTCAGAGAGACTGAAGATTCTCTTCATAATTGATCATTACAGTCAAGTATTTGTTTGAATAGAAATACTAGATTTTTGTGTATCGTCTGTATTATTCGAGGACCGTCGTCGGATAAACCTCAGGTCGCACAACTCGACTCAATCTGCTCATTCTCTGCTTTGTCTTTCAAAAAGATTCCTCCACAGTCCACTGAACATAGGCAGCTTCGATATAACTTGATATCATCATGCTACTACACCTCCATCCTTGATGATTGACCACCACTCCATCAACCTCAACCCAGCATCACAGCAATGAGGAGCAGTTCACTCAGCGTGACCATCAATGGGATTTCGAACCGATTTGCCTCTGAGAAACCCACTTCGCTGACGGTAGGGGAAGGGGTAGGCACAGAACCAGTGTCCGTCACTAGAACTTCGCTAGTGGGAGACTCTGTTTGAAACGCGGAAAGAGCTTCAGAACCATCCGAGAGCGAATCTGGGTCTGCTACCGGGGTAGTGGGAGGCTCATCTTCAAGCCAAGTGAGGCTGGATGGAACTTGGACAGTTGAGGTCGAGGTTGATTTCAGGAGTTGGCCAGGAGAAGTAGCAGGGGGGTCGACAGGGACAAAAACTGACGAAGGAAGAGGGCTTGCAATCTCAGTGGGTTGTTGAACAATAGGTGGCTGCGAAGCAGCTACTTGATCCTGTCCAGACGATGAAGAGGTTTGCCATGGGAGTGCAGCCGAAGCAAATGACACCCTCGACGTGATAGTAATGACGACGGTGGATGGTGCAGGCTGATTCTCCGGATTGCCCAGCTCAGGCTGACTTTCGGTGGCCTGAATGACAGCATTTTGGATGACAAACAGGTTCGAGATGTCAGAATCATCCTCAGAGCAGCCTCCTCCACACATGGGAGAGTAGGGATCTTCTGAACAAGGGTTGTTGCAGAAACCCTCATTAATAGCCTTGATGGCATTGGGGTCGTCTCCGCATCGGCAGGCACTTGAAGAGTTAGCTAGCCGTCACGGTGAGGTTCCTGTGCTTGACTTACTTGGGGGATACGGCGGCAAACATGTGGTCGACACAAGCAGCCTGGCACATCTCGGGGGTCAAGACACCATTGGGAAGCGGGACGGGGTTGCTGAAGCCGGCAGCATCGACAGTGGCACATCCCCAGTACTTGAACTTCTCGTACGACTGTTGCGATTTGTAGGAGGCCTGGCAAAGGGCGGCCGTGATGCCAAAGATGAGAATCAAGAGGCGGGTGAACATGATGAAGTGATGATGAATGTGAAATGAGTGTGATGTGAACGAAATGACAGGCAGGCCAGGTTGGCGATGGGGAAAATGTCAAGTTTTGAGATGGAGGAGAAGAAGGAAGGCATGCAGTGGTGGTGAATCTCGTGGTCGGCGGGAAGGCACGTTTCCTGACCACGAGGAAGTTGCTTGCCGCACCTTCCACGAGTTGGCGATGGCACAATACAGCATCAAGGCAACAGAGGTCGCTGGTCAATTAAAAGAAAATCAGTAGTATTGTTTCGTTTGAAGGTGATAATGTTCAATATTATATGGTAAGCAGCTCTGCAATGACTAAACACCATGGATATGTACACCGGATTGGGATCAACGCCCGCATCTATCTGTCGCACAAGACAATTACAAGGCTGTTTTGATTTGTTCGTTCAGAATATAAGATCGTCTGACTCTGAATACTCTTACACCTCGAAGATGAATTGACTCTTTGAAGTGCAGTGGCCGAGTGTGTTACAAAGCTCTGGGCTCCCTTCCACCACTTACACCAAGACGAGGCAAGTGGAAACAGCAAGCCGAAAGCTTGGCCAGCTTAACAATCTACTTGAACCATGTGGCTTACCCATCACGGTTCTCAACTCAGACACGCCTTATCACTAATAAAAAGATGGTAAAAAAAGGCTAACAACTTGATAGGCCTCCCTTCGGTTCCACTACAGGAGGGACCTGTCATGCCCCGTATGTGATTGGTCAATTTCACCAGCTCAATGAGGAATACCGAGCAAAAAGTTAAGAAAATCAGAAAACGATGGTAGTATTGCGAAAGATTTCGGAAGGCAGTCATATCAAATAAGCTTAAATATCTGTGGTTTCCCCTCTCGAATACATTCAGGGTTAACAGTAACACTCACAATATTGTATCGAAGCAAACATGTCGAATACCGATTCTCCCCCGCACACAAAAGAGTACCCTTCTACTCACGACCCCGAGAACAACATACAACAAACAGAACACACCGAAGAGAAGGGAAATTCTTCAGCTGTCAAGGCTTTGGGATGGCTTGATCGTTTACTGGCATTATGGATTCTTCTTGCAATGATTATTGGTATCCTGTTGGGTAACTTTGTCCCTTCTACTGGCGCTGCTTTGGAAAAGGGCAAATTTGTTGGTGTTTCAGTTCCTATAGGTAAGATACCCAATCCAGAGTCGAGGAGCACGAACTAATATTGAAATGTTGCAGCTATTGGTTTACTTGTTATGATGTATCCTATCCTGTGCAAAGTCCGATATGAGAGTCTCCACGAGGTCTTCTCCCAGCGCGACGTCTGGAAACAAATCCTCTTTAGTATCTTTATTAACTGGATCGTTGCACCCTTTGTGATGGTAAGTAGCGACCCGCATGATCCGTGAACATCGCTAACATGCACCAGCTTGGCCTGGCATGGGCCTTCCTCCCAGACAAGCCAGAACTCCGCGTCGGTCTCATCCTCGTCGGCCTTGCACGATGCATCGCCATGGTGTTGATATGGAATGGTCTCGCCGGCGGTGACAATGAATACTGCGCTATCCTCGTGGCTATAAACTCGATCCTCCAGATGGCTCTGTACGCGCCAATGGCGATCTTCTTCATCAGCATTATCAGTGGAGAAGAAGGTCACCTCGAAGTGTCATATTCGACTGTCGCCACAAGCGTAGCAGTCTTTCTCGGCATTCCCCTCGCTGCCGCCATGATTACTCGCTTCTCCCTGCGCAAGCTGGCTGGACCTGAGTGGTATGAGCGAGTCTTTATATGCATTATTTCCCCTTGGTCTCTTATCGGTCTGCTATACACTATCCTCATCCTTTTCGCTTCGCAAGGCCATCAAGTGGTTCACCAGATCGTGTCCGTCGTGCGTGTCGCGGCGCCTTTAATCGTTTACTTTGTGGTCATCTTCTTTGCGACGCTACTCATCTCCCGACGCCTTGGATTTGGATACCCGCTTTCGACAACACAGAGCTTTACAGCCGCGAGCAACAATTTCGAGCTCGCTATTGCAGTAGCCATTACTGCCTTTGGTCCAAGCAGCGATCAAGCGCTCGCGGCGACGGTTGGGCCGTTAATAGAAGTTCCGGTGCTTTTGGGGTTGGTGTATCTGCTTCGTTGGGTCTCTGATCGATGGAACTGGAAGATATAGGCTTGTCGTGGTTTGTAGCAACATACAATAACATCATGTCATCTCATCCATTAGGGTGAGCAAATCCGTATTTCTGACCATGCAGCTTTCATTGTCAGAGCATCCAAGAGCAGCACGTGCATTAGAAACATCCGAATGGCCTTTGATTTGTGCAAGGATTGTAGCAGCTTCCATGCAATGAATCTTGTCAATCGATCTCGGACACTGCATCTCTGGTTCTGGTTGTGGTTGTGGTTGCGGCGGAGGTTGTGGTCTGGGACAGCAGCCTGACTCTTCAGTGCATGTATTCGTAATCGTAACAGGCGTCGGTGGCGAATACATCACGGGCTGAAAATTGATAGGGGGGTTGCTGGGACCACAGCTTTGAGGTTGACACTGAGTCTGGATGAACGGAATAGGTCTTGAGGGAATGGCGACAGGCGATGTGGTAGATGAGGGCGTCGACACAGGCGTAAACGAAGACACACAAGTTTTTACAGTGGTCTTATCCTCATGTCTCACAGCCTCAAGATGAGACTCGACTTCCTCAGGAGCAACACCCTTTGCAGCGAGCAATGCTCTTAGAACCGCGTTTTCACCAGCCACAACCCTGGCTACGCGCTGCATTTCAAGGGTAGCCTGAGCATCGCGACGTTCGTACTCACGTACGCGGCCCTGAAGATCGTCTAGTAGCTCACGTTGACGAGCGCGAGAACGACGTTGGTTCTCACGATTGAGAGCGAGAGACTCTGGGGTTCGCGCCTGAGTTGTGTCAGTATTTGACTGACGTAAAGTGAGATGATATTTTTTTCGTACCTTGCGTGGCATGGTGTAAGTGAATTATGTAGCTAAGATCTTGGCAATTGAGACGGGTTGAGTGAGATGATGGACCAGGGGAATTGATTAGTTTAAAAAGATTCTTGCTTTGAGAAGTCGCAAAGGCAATAGTTTTAGGTCCCCCACCCTTGAAAGAGAGGCTTGCATCTAGAACGAACTGGGTAGAGAGGTATTCGTCAGCTCATTCTGCCACTCTTTCTGTCAGTCTTTTGTGTTTAGATTTCTCAATTAATACATACATAAACAATTCAATATACGCATGTTATAGATACTAAGTTTATTAGATGTTCATGATTTACGAGTTCTGATTATGGGTATCATTCGGCTCAACTAACCGCCATGATCGGATTACAAACCCCTCCACAACTTTTTTTCTCCGGGTGGGTAACTCGACTTCAGTTTTACCCAGTTTAGGTAGTTTAAACCGGACCATCGGCATCCATCATTCCTGTCCATCGTCATCAACTTTTGTTTCAATCAACTCCAACACAGCCAATTGATCCATACCACACCTCCTCCAAGCTATATCTGAGTACTCTATCATGATTTGCAGCACATGTCGCCGCGCAGCAATGCGCTCAGCACGAACCCTCATTCGCGCTGCTCCCACAGCCATCAACATCACCCGTCTACCACAAACACCAACAACACCTCGCCGACTCATCTCTACCTCTATCCCTCGATTCTCCGCTGCCGCTCAGGAAGAACCCGACCTTCCCTCCATGAGCCCCGCCGAAGCTGCCATTGCCGAGATTTTGTCTGAAAAGCTCAACCCTACCGAATTGCTCGTCCAGGACGTCTCGGGTGGTTGCGGGAGCATGTACGCCATCGATATTACATCACCTGCTTTCAAGGGCCAGACAATTCTTAAGCAGCAGCGCATGGTTAACGCTGCTTTGGGTGATCTTGTCAAGAGCTGGCATGGAGTTCAGATCAGGACAAAGGTGGCTTAAGCTGGGGAGAAAATTACCGAGGAAGAACGCCATCCTAGAGAGGAGATTTTAGGGCCGTTACGATTGTACGACTACAGATGGGGAAGAAGCGATAGAGCAGAAGGTCATGCTCAACAATAAAATACCTCTTAATGTACAAGCTGTTGGCTTCTACTAGGGCCTGGAGGAAGAAACACATAGTATACCCTATTGTATAACAGGAGGAAAACGACAAGTTGAATGAAGCAAAGTGGTAGATGCAAAAGACGAAGAAAAAAAATATATCAGCATACAGCTTTGTCCCTGCTTTTATCTTTACCTTGTTGTCGTCTGACATTCAGGACTGCCTTTAATTGTATCGTGACTCATCTCATCAGCCATTTTCTTCAAGCACTCAGCATCAATGACAGATATATTTTGAATGGGTATATTATAACTTTTCATATTCTCATCTATTGCGCCAGCCATCGAGGCAAATCTGGACATCCCAACATTCCTGTCCACCGTTTTATTCCATCTTAAGTCTTCTACAATTTCTATTCTTTTACATTCTATTCAAAGTTAGCATAATATTCTTCAAACTTTCAAAGGACAACATACCGCTCAACGGGAGAGAGGCCAAGCAGGCTCATGCCGTTGTGGAGCACAATTCGGGCGGCATCGTACAGACCCATACGGGCCTTCTGGAGCTCATCCTCACTGCCAACAATTCGAAGGTGGTCGTAGCTGGAGCTAAGGACGTGAGTCATCTTGAACAGGTATGTCAAGATGGTGGTGGGCTCGAGAGTCTTGAGGGTGTTTTGGACGACGTCGGGCCACTGGCTGAGAAGTCGTACAAGATCGGTAGCGTGCTTCTCCTTGAGGAGGCTGAAGTCGGCAGTGGCGAGTTGCTCGTCGCTGAGGTTGACCCTTCGTCGGATAGAGCACAGACGAGCGTGGGCGTACTGGAGGTAAGGACCGGTGTCACCCTCGAAAGAGGTCATGACATCCATGTCGAACTTGTAGTTGTTGATTCTAGCCTTGTTAGTAGAGATCACTCATAGGATTCATGGTTACATACCGCTTTCCAGACATGTCCTGAACCATGACACTGCTGATACCGAGAATGTCGGCAACAGCCTCAGGGTTCTCAACCTGAGCGTACTTGGTCTCATTCTTCTTCATGACCTCGTGCATCTTGTCGGCGACGTCACGGAGGATATCGTCAAGGAACTTGACAGTGCCCTTTCGGGTGCTCATACCGAGAACCATACCGAAGTTGATGTGCTGGCACTTCTTGGCAATGTCCTCATGGCCCATAAGCTCAATAGTCTTGAAGAGCTGCTTCAAGTGAAGATCTTGCTGAGAAGCAACAACGTAGATCATGTTGTCAAACTTGTACTTCTCCTGTCGGTTAAGGAGCTCGCTGATATCTCGGGTGAGGTAAAGAGCAGTGCCGTCCTTCTTTCGGAGAATGACCTTCTCGAGACTCTTACCGGCCTTTCCAGGGACGTGCTTGGAGAAATCGATCAGAGTAGCTCCGTTGGCATCCTCAGTAAGTCCCTTTGTGGCAAGAATCTTGGCGGCCCTCTCCATATCCTCCTCAGGGACCTGTGACTCTCCAGAGTACTCGTCGTACTCAATGTTGAGACGAGCGTACGTCTTCTTATAACGAACAATGCTAAGGTCTCGGAATCGTCGCCACAACTCAACAGCCTCCTTATCACCATCTGTCATTCGTCGGAAGTACTTTCGGGCCTGCTCATCCAGAGACCTGGCCTCAAGCTCAGAGATGTCCTCGCCGGCGTCTTGTTTCTCCTTGATCTTGGACTTTTCGTCTGTCATCTCGTTGTTGATTTTGACGTAGAGCTCGAACAGATGGTTGATAGGGTCGGCCTTGAGAGCTTCTTCATTACCCCACTTCTCCCAAGCCAGAGCCAGCAGACCGTACTGCTTGCCCCAGTCACCAAGGTAGTTCATTCGGGTGACCTCCCAGCCAGCGCTCTCGTACAAAGAAGCGAGGAAACCACCAATGATGGTACTTCGGAGATGACCAGCGTGGAAGGGCTTGGCGATGTTGGGCGAAGAGAACTCGACAATCATTCGCTTCCTACCAGAGTTGGGGTCGCTAGGGTCTCGGAGACCATTGTAGGGGTTCTTTCCGTAGTTGCCGGCTTGCTTTCGGATGGTGGGAATCAGCATGTTGGTGAGCTTGTCGGGCTTGAAGAAGAAGGAAATGAAGGGACCAGAAGTAGTGGGCTTCTCGATGAGAGGAGACTCGGGGAACTATATCGTTTGGTCAGTTTAGTCGACAATGGCAACGGAATGCGACTGACCTTGGAGACCCATTCCTCAGCAAGCTCTTGAGGCTTCTTGCCCTTCACACGGAGAGCAGGCACAGCGAGAATAGCATCACCCTTGTCGAGTGTCTGAGTCCACTGGATGGCGGGGTAGATGATGCTGGGATCAACACCAGTAATGGGCGCCAGGAGGCTTGTGATGTGAGATCGGTAGATGTCGACAGGGTTGGTGTCGGGATGACAGTTGGGGTAAGATTCGACACTGTTAATACCAAGCTGCTGGAGCTGGTCGGCGAGGGCGTTACCGTCGGTCGCCATTGTGCGTATATATCTTGAGGAAGAGTACTTGGAGGCGTGATACAGGGACTGATGAGAAAGAGCGCGGGCTTGTTGTATAGAAGACCGTCGCAAAGGAGAAGAGGCTTTATAAAAAGAACAAGAGGTAGAAGAAGAAAAAAGGGTGGATGGAGTGAAGCGCCGCGCGAGCATCAATGGCGATTCCGAGTGTGACTCAAGTGGGCTCAAGGGTTAACAAAAAGGCTTTTGACTCTTTCTTTCTTGCAGTAGACTGCGGGTCATTCGCTGCAGAGCTTCTAAAATCGCGGGGCACGGCTGCCCTGAAATTCCGCTCCGATTTTACCCCTCCAAAATTTGATGACTGCATTTCAGTGTTACTCATGCTTAAACAGTAAGATCAGATGTCAGATTGAGTCATGTTGTGACTCGACTTCGATCACGGAGCTGTAGATAATATTTGATATCAATTTGGATTTGAAGATTCAACACGACTAAAACGCTATTGTCTAACAATTGACAACCCATACCAGACCAGACCACTGAACTCTTCAGAATAAACCGTACAATTTAATAAGAACCGAACCCAGAAAAAGATTATTTTGACGCGCCGTAGTTGTGGGCCATTCCCTTGAGAATCCCGTTCAACATGCATTAGAAAGGGTATAACAAGGAAACTTTTGCTTAGACATTATGATCACCAGGGGTCATCATGTCGTTGGTACCAAACTTGGCGCCGCTTTGCTTCTTGCGAGCAATCTCCTTGCGCCACTCAAACATGGTGTTGGGCTTGTCCTTGATGGCCTGGCGAAGCTTCTCGTCACTGCGCTTCATCCAAGCGTTGGAAGAGGCGGTGCTGACTGGGTACAGAGGCATGCTGTTGTGACTGAGGAGGAACGTATCCGGCTCGCGCTTATCATGAGACGCGATAACATCCAAGTCAGCAGCAATTTGATCGCAGTAAATCTCGAGAGGAAGATCGTTGACGTCCTGTCCGAAGGGGTTCTCAATCTCTTGGCCGATGAAGAGAAGTCCGAAAATGATGTAAGCTGCAACAACGGAAGCGGGAATAGTAATCCAATTGAGCGGTCCAACAAGCTGGAAGGGGAGGACAAAGACGTAGATAAAGGTAATCTGACTGATGGCAATGGTGTATGCAATGGGAAGGGGAGTGTTGAGAACTCGGTCACATCCTGTCATGCAGTCGTTCATCAATGTGAGATTGTTATAAGCGAGAGTCTGTTGCATAGGGACATCGAGCTGTCCTTGGCCGACCATACGATCGATAGTAACGGCAAGATGGTTGAGGATCTCGAGAGGCAGGTTGCCGAGAGGCTTGTCAGTCTTCTTAAGGGCCTTTCGAGGGTTGCTCTGAGCAAATGACACGCCCAGGTACTCTCCAACAGACTTGAAAATGTTCTTCTTCTTCAATGAGCAAGCGTCGGGATCAGCCGCAGTAGCTTCCTTGGCAAAGGTGTTGAGGTGGCCGATGAGATGTTCCATATCGGGGTAGGCACTGTAGGGCTCAAATCGCAGGGCGTGCTTAAGAGAGACGGCGAATGCAACAATGAGGTTCATCGCGCCAATCTTCTTCAGAATCGACTCGCGGGGGTCTTGGTCTGGCACGTCCTTGCCATGAATCCAGATGACACGGCCCAGAGTCTGGGAAGCCATGGTGAGTGTGCCCCAGTATCGACGACCTTCAGCATAACGCTCGTAAGCAGTCGAGGATCGGAAAGACAGACTAAGACCGACGACGAAACCCAGAATGGTGAGCAGAACAGAGTTGACTTCAATCTTGGGGTAGTGGTAGTGGATGATTGTGATGGCAGTCGACCAAGCAGCGATAAGAACAAGAGGGATGATAAGCTTGGGCATGATGGAGCCGTGCATCTGCATGACAAGAGGCCATTTTGAGTGCTTTTGGATATCACGAGGACCAGTGAAGTAGTCATCGAGATCGAGGGAAGTCTGCTTGCGGAAAAGGGCAGGGTTGACGCCAACAGCGGGAGAAGGGGGAGAGCGAATATTGTCGAGAGGGATTTCGAGACTGTGCATACGCTTCGCACTAGAGCTGTCCATACTTTGAAGGCGCGTAGGATCAAGCTTTTCCTGTGTGGCGGCGGTGGTGTCGATGGTCGGCCTGTTCACAGCCGTAGTGGCAGTATGGCCAGAGGTGGCAGAGTAGCTGTCGCCCATGTCGAATATTCGTTTGATGTCAGTGTAGGTATTTCACAGTGTAGAGAATGCGTTTCCTGCCAGCAGGTCCTAGAGAGAGAGGATGCCTAGAGAATAGGTAAACTAGGTCGTGCGGTGATGAACTGCAGTAGTAAACGAAAGTAGGAAAAGGATAGGATCAAATAGAAGAAGATGTAAGAAACGGTGGAGGTGGTCTGGCGTATTTTAACCAAAGGAAAGAGGAGGCCCAAGGAGCAAACAAGCTACTGACAGGGGTGGCAGAAAGATTGAGACCTGTATTGAAGTAGGATACGGAAAATAAACTGCCCAAAAATCTAATAAAGATCGAACAAAATGACTGAATTATTATGTCTCTCAGACAACAAGTGTCAAGTTTTCTGCAACCCCGACTTACAGGCTTACAGGCATACACACCAGGGAGTAAATGCTAAGTGGAGGTGGTCTCAATGCCGCCGCCACTCAGGAACGCTCCCACACCAATCCTACAAAGGAAAGCCCCTGTAACGTCCGATCCGTTTCGCGTGGCTATTGGCTGCTGCGCACCACACCGGCGGCGCCGCCTCGTTCTGGGGGGACTGAGTTTTGTGGTCTCAGCGGCAGGGCCCGCCTGGGCAAGAGAACTAGGGTCAATTTCAGTGTAAGTGATCCGTCAAAGACTCAACAAAGTTTTCACACTGTGCAGACTGTCAATGGATGCGCTGTACTGTCAGCGCTACCAAGTCGAGGCCTACAACGCACAACTAGAAAACTTGAAACGCGTTCGCCCCTTTCATGCATGTTGGTTTTTTATTTACTCACGGCGGCAAAGACAATGAACCAAGACATGAGTACAATTCGTCATGTAGGCTTCACTTGTTATTGTAAACAAGCGCCACGTCTAGGTCTGAGACAGATGCAAACCCGCCCAGTACTACACAAGTCATGACACTCCGTTGTAACTGGCAATCGAAGAGACGATCGAAGGTTCTAGGGATGGCGAGACACGATCGATATGGATGGTGCAACGTCCACCACGGAAATGCATGCGAGTTTCAGGGGGACGAAACCTAATTGCAGTCGCGAGACTTTATTCGCACATGGTTTCTCATCCGATACTGTCGATGATGACCTTTGGACATTCGAGGAACATGTCCAATGACTCTCGCTTCAACTTCAATTGGCTGTTTGATTAAAAGGAGGTCCGTGACGTGGAGGCGTCAACTAAACCATGAGTGACAAAACCTCCCTTGCGAAACAATGGGTCTTTACTTCCAACAAAAAGAAAAAGAGCAAAAAATAGGATACACAGCCCCCCTGGTTGGACTCAAAGAACATCTGGGTCCAATTACAAGGGATGGGAAAAGGATATCCACGGGGTTTTCCTGTCCTTCATCACCGAATTAGCGAGACCATGGTGGGATTAGGCTCGTGGCTAAGCTTCTACTAGGAGGTCACTGGTGTTCTAATTTTATACGACAGTCATCGCCTCATTGGTTTTTTCGTAGAAAGACTAAACCTACAACTTTTTCTGTTCTGGTCAATATCCTTTGTCTCTCTCATATCATTCTTCACTCCTTGTTCATACATACAGATGACATCCCTTCTTTGTTTGATCTACGCTTCACCACCAGACATCACACACAGTGTTGTACACAGTTCTGATAACCTGGCCTCTCATCCTTGCGGAGCAATTTCTTCCAAAAACCTCTCCAGCGTCTCCACTGCGGGATACGCGTTGCACTAAAGTACCAAGCTTTTCTCTGATCTCGTTATGGTGAGTCCGTCTGTTGATCATTTATTCAAGGCCACGCAAAAGCCAAGATCCTCGTCTCCGACTTGGCCGTCTGGAGTGAGCCATTCGCGTCGATGCACGTAAGATTGTTCGCACGCGCCCTATGCACTCAAAAGACTTGGCAAATTCCCAATTCAAGACAATAATTACCCCCCGTGATTGTGTCTCTTTTGGGTTTAATTTTCGAGTTGGATTGTTTTGCAGCATGCAGTAGACTAGACTAGTAGCCTTGTAGACGCTGTGAGATCCCAATAGAGTTGACCTGAGGTCGATTGTTGACGACCACCACCAATATGAGGCGAGGCCAGCCCATGTTTTGGCCCCCGACTCATTAAGCCAGGATTCTGACATGGACATCGATTCAAGCGGGTTCATGCCTTGTCAACATGCGGTCAGCAAGCGAGCGAGCTGAATTTTAACTGCACAAAAGTCGTCATGATCCATATTAATCACCGCGATTGACTCCATACATCTGGTCTCGACTCAATTCGACCTCTCCTATACTCGAGACCGTTATAGTAAGTCAATTGATGCTCTCTCGACTCACAGTTCGTGTCTTTCTGCTGTTTGAGCTTGAATCTTGTTTCATCGTTAGCCTCAAATCTCCGGCACTAACGTTCCATTCCATTGCAATGGCGCGGAGAATAAACCTACGTCCTCTCGAATGGGACAAGTTTGCAGCAATAAGCACTAACATGGGACTTCAGCTAGTCTCTGATTTGAACGAGATTGGATGGTCAGCACTGTATCCCGCAAATCGGCAGAGTCCCTGTAATACGAGAATGGCTTCCTTTCCGTAGGCAATTTCACTACTGGTCTAGGGGAAGAGGCCATAAGAGCCGCGGGCTATTCAACCAACACGTCGGTTATCCTCGTATTAATATGTCTGTTGTATAAGAAGACTCAAAGTCACATGCTGTGTGTAATCTCGTTTGATTTATTACTGCCGTTATTTTATCTCTGAACTTAGACTCTGATGTGTGTCACTGGACCAACATCCCTTGCCTCGATGGTCCTGGGACTCATATGAGAGATCCAGACAAGGCAGGTGATGATTGATGTACCCGACTTCAAACCAGGGCTGTGTCACCAAATGCCGAGGCTACCTATGAACGGCATGATATCCAGCGTGTTCAGCATTCAAAGAGTTCCCTATCACAAAATGGGCTCCCAGCTCTGAATATCAGCCGACAAACACTGACAGATGAACACTATTCTTTTACAATTTTTGCCGTTTGCAATAGTCGAGTATTGATTGCTTCACAAATGACCAAGTTTTAATGCAACTATCACAAGCCAAAAAGAAGTATGTATAAACGATGAACGTTGCACTTCTGGAGTGCTACTGTTAAGGGCACTTCTCTTTCTATCAAGATCGAAAGTGTCTCACCAGGCAAAAAAGAATGACTTTAGAGGATAGTATCATATGAGGGTGCACTTGATTGAGCTTGCGCCGAACATTTACAGCCCCCTTAGACAGCATCGTGTTACTTGACGATTCGCCTGCTTGAGGTCAAAACAAGAAAAGTCCAAGTGGAGCAAAATATGACAAGTTTCGTCAAATCTGCGACTCCAACGTTGATTCAGAAGATCTTGTTGATCATGGACGATCGCAGGGTTGTCAAAGCCAAGTCTAAGACGAAGCGAGCAAAGGTGACCTCGAAGCTGGAGTGTGCAATTGATTGGCCAGTGACAATACTACCAACGACTTGCTCTCCAGTCATATGCTTGATATCTCGCAAAACATAGTCAATTATAGGGTAATGCTGTGATTGATACGTTGAAACTGTTGAACCTTTTGTGCTTGTCTATGATGATCATTGGAGCTTCTAGCATCGATTGCGCCGTGTAACAATTGAACCAATCGCTTTTTCTCTATATGTAGCCCAATGATCTTTATCTGTACCTCGACTATTTACTCGCATTCCAATCAACATTGATGATGCAAATGACAGGAAACAATGATTGATAAAATGTTCCTGGATCTTCATGTTGAAGTAAGTGGCTCACAAAATTACACTATGACAGGGGATCTTGGATCCATATCCGGTCAAGCTAAGCCACTGCGGCGTTGAAGGGTCTTGCTTAGTCTGGCCAAGGGCGAGCTCCAGCTGTCATTCAAGGGATGATCCAGGACCCCCCTAAGAACGAAACCCGACTGTTACGAGTATCATCAATCCTTGCTTCAACTTCAACATCAGGACATTCTCGACTTTCTTTTGTCCTTTGTCGCTGTCAACCAAATCCATTACCCCCGAATCCCTTGACAGCCTCTATTTTCGACCGCCATCGTTTCGCCATGGCTGGTCATTGGGCCCCTCGACAACGCTCCAATCGAGCACCCATCGTCGCCTTTGTCCTCTTCGTCATCTTTCTCTATTGGTTCCGCGACAGCCTCCTACCGTCAAATACACCGGCGCGCAAGCATAGAAATGATTATCCGACGTTGAACCTCGGCGATGACGATGTTGAGTTGGTGGTGGCTAGCATGAAGCATGAGAATGTTTCTTGGCTCGAAGAATACCTCCCTGAATGGAAGAAGAATATTTACGTGGTCGACGACAACAGGGCCAAGCTGACTGTACCCATGAATAAGGGCCGTGAGGCCATGGTCTTTCTGACGTATGCTCTTCTCGACACCCATTCTAGTCCCATTTGCTAATGCGCTGCAGCTACATCATTGACCGATACGACTCCCTGCCCGGTAACATTGTCTTCCACCACGCCGAGCGCTTCCAATGGCACAACGACAACCCCGACTACGATGCTCTTCCCCTCCTCCAGAACTTCCGCTTCGACAACCTGAAGAAGGTCGGCTACGCCAACTTGCGATGTGTATGGATTCTTGGCTGTCCCGCAGAGATCAGACCCATTAAGGATGAGTCCCCTGGCAAGGAGGGCGAGCCCATACACGCACGTCACGTTTACAAGGCTGCTTTCCAGGAGCTGTTCCCCAGTCTTGAAGTTCCTGAGGAAGTCGGCGTTACCTGCTGCTCGCAGTTTGCCGTTCGTCGCGAAACTATTCATCTTCGTCCCCGCGCCGAGTATGTGCGATTCCGCGAGTGGTTGATTGTATCTGCCTTGGGAGATGCCCTCAGTGGTAGAGTTCTCGAATATTCTTGGCACAGTATGTCCACACCGCCCAATACCTGGAGCTTCGGAATACTAACGTTTTGCAGTCATGTTTGGCAAAGAAGCCGTCCATTGTCCAAGCGCCGCCGAGTGTTACTGCCAGAACTATGGCATGTGCGATCTCAAGTGTGAGGCAGACAAATGTGAAGGTCAATACACACTTCCTCCCTTCTCGACCCTTCCCAAAGGCTGGCCTCAGCTCGGTTGGAAGGGAGAAAACCGGGGCTGGGAGGGCCAGCTTTGAGTAAATTTGCGCCGTTGAAGGTTTTACGACTGAAGGAGTTTCTTCATTATCACGAAACTCTGTGTTGCACGATTGATTTTCTAGACCATTATGGGTTGCGTGTTGAAGAGGGGAGCTGAAGATTAATGTCCCTTGTCTTGTCTCTGGGTTTATGGGGATCACTATGGGATGGGATGGGAAGGGCGTCTGGTTTTGGGTTTGGCAATCTGCTATGTCTGCACTGGGTAGAGGTTTTTGTAACAGTATCAAAAGATAGTTTTAAACGAAAGCCAGTATGATATGAACAAATGAGGCCAAGTAATCACATTCCATTGAAACTATCGTCAAACTTTCCAAGGCCTGACTTTTGGTCCCCCACCGGACCTCTAGCCCCACCCCCACCTCTTCCCATTCAACTTCAGCTTGAAGCTCATCAACTCGTCTCCATCAACATTAACTCTCCAAATCACGACAGATATTCCTTACCCATTCTTCATCACTACTCGATACGCATCAGAGGGAACATTAATTGTAAACATGGATTCAACATCGTCTACCAACTTGCTGGGTAAACTGAAACCACTCGCAAGCTTTCCATCAATAGCTAACCTCATCTCTAGACAAGCACAACAAGCTCATCTTTGAGATCCTCAGAAGCTATCGTGATCTTATGAACTGCGCTACAATCCAAGGAATGGATAGGGACAATCAGAAAGACTTTGAATCCCAAACGACAAAGCTCAACTACAGAGATCCTGAAACAATGGCAGCTGCTGAGATAAGGACACAAAGAAAGTTTGACCAATTGGTAAGTTCACAGCACATCGCGTAGATGACACACCGCGACTTACTCAATCTAGCATGACAACATCAAACAGCTTTTGGCTCTTTCGCGTACCATCAAGGAACTCTGGGTATTTGGACCTCTCGATAGAGCCGACGGTCACCGCCAAGAGAAGGAAGTGCAGATTGACCGCGACGTGCAAGAAGTATCGCGTCTGCTAGCCAATTTCGACACGAACGCCATGCAACAGCTTGCAGAAAAATATGGAGGATCTTATGAGCCTCAGGCTGCTGCGTCAGCGTCATCAGCTACAGCGACGACAACGCAACCGACGGAACCGGCGCCTTCGACTGGAAATTAGAGAGCAGAGGAGGCGACGGAGGAACCAAGGACTCCAGAAAGTACAGCGACGTTGGGTAGAGGGTCACCAGATAGCTTCGTGACAGCGCTCAGTTCACCTACATCTTCGATGCGTGCATCATCACCGAGAGGTTATATGGAGTCGAGGGCTGAGTGGGTTTCGCCGACGCTGAAGCCAAAGCGTAGACGTGACTGATTCTAGGCGGCGTTTTGGGAGTTGGGCTTCGAGATAGGGCTACAATGAGATACCCAGAGAAAAAAATGCTCACTCTTTATGCAATCCAGTTTTTATGACCTGTATCACAGACCTTGGTCTGACTTGATATGCCCGGCAGCCTCGTGTTTCGTCTTCTAATATTGTTGTCGGTGGTTTGTTTGTTTGAGGAGAGGACATGCAGCAATTACGAATCTGGACAAGAAACAGCCTCACGTTCTAGAAGCTTGGGTCAGATAGCGTACGAGCGGTTGGGTCTCAAGCATCGGGTTACTCGGGACGCAGCCCATTTGACACATGGGATCATTGGAATGGCCGTTGAAGACATATGGGGACGGGCCGGAGCGTATCGGGGCCGAGACTCGAGCGGTGACTGCGCTTGTTAGAGGATTATGGTTCTAGATTAACCAACTAACAAATTCATATTGCATAGAAGATGTCGTGGATTTTCCAGCGGATAACCGACAGTGAGGTGTATGGGGACACCTCTAAAATGATATTGTCTCCTGTTGATATGTCCACCTCTTTGGTCCAGAATCTCATCGTCTATCATTAGCTATACGCTAACATCGATGCGATAAGACGAAGCAGGTTTAACATGATTCGAACATAAAAATAAAAGTCAAAAACAGGGACGGATATAACCCTGCCTCCCTGCATATTGTGGCGTTTTTGTGCGTGGTAAGACGGGACGGTTGGGCCAAGCTACGTGTACAAGACCAAGGCTAGAACCAACTTGTGTCATGATACGAGGTTCAGCTCCATACAACACGGGAGTTTGTGCATAAGTCCACTCTAAAATAAAAAAAGACACCAGATAAAAGATTCTACTCTTTTTTTTCTAGATGTCTACGTAGACTAGTAGTTGATAACGGTCTTGTGCTAGGATACATCGTCATTCTCTCCTGTTGATCGTGGGGCAGATTGGGATGTGCGTAGTAGAAGAAAGGAAGCGAGGCTGAGTAGCAGTTTCAAGTTTAGCGGAATTACATGTTATGCGTTATTTCCATCGTTGAGTTTCTTGTGATACTGATTGATAGACTAATAATTGTTCTATCTTGAGTTGTTGACCATGTTCAGTTCTGTGCAGCTGCATGAGACGCGCAATCGCACATGCGGCTCTAGTCTAGCTGAGATGGCTGGTCTGATCTATGTTTAGCACTATTTACCTACGGATACTGACAGAAACAATATCATGATCCTTGCAGTTCCTGTCGATCTCATGTTATCTTCCATCATCCTAGCTTCTTTTGCGCAGCCAACACTTGTTAATGACCAAAACATTTGATCTAGTGATTGATCCAAGACAATTGTTTCAAATATACTCTTGTTTCTTATTCGCTCAGCTGTATTCCATCTCGTGTCTGCTGCTTGCCTTGTCTTGACTCAAGCTAACAACTTGGCAAAGGAGAAAAACCAACCCACTTCCCCATATTTTGATGGATCAGGAGCAGAACACCCCAGCCATGATAGCGTCAACAATGGGTCTTTGCTATGACTATGATCGTATATAGTCCGCCCCGTGCCGGTTTGGCCTGACTAGCTCAAGCCTTTACCCCAGGCTTTCCCATTCATCTCATCTCTTTTAGTTGTATTTCTCGTGTTGTCGTGACTGAATACGAAGAGATAGATTGGTGTTTCTGTTTCAGTGCATTCTCATCATGGTGCGCTTGAGCGTTGTTGCAGCCTTGTTTGCTGCTGTGGCCAACGCCGTTGACTTTGACAAGGTCGCTGTCAACAAGGGATACGGCCGTTTGCCAGGTGCTTATATCTTTGAGTTTGAAGAAGATCATGTGCGTATTTCGATTCATCTCGTATTTACATCACTAATTCTTATTCCAGGACTGCGCCGACTTCTTCGCCAAAGCATCGACAGCCGGAAAGACTCGCATCAAGTACAACTACAAGCTGTTCAAAGGAGCTTCCATCCAACTCAACGACATCGACAATGCCGAGGATATTTCCGCACAGATGGCCTTGATGCCTGGTATAAAGAAGAAATGGCCCGTTCAGGTGTTTAGTCTACCTAAACCAGAGGTCCACTGGACGGGTACACCGGGAATGGAGTATACTGCCGTCAAGAAGAGGGGGTTCGAGGAGAGAGATCTTTCGAATGATACGTATACACCTCATGTCATGACGCAGATTGATAAGCTGAGGGATGAGGGCGTGACGGGGAAGGGGCTCAAGGTTGCCCTTGTTGACAGTGGTGTAAGTCGAGAGGTACCCTCTAAAGTTGACGCAACTAACATGGTATGACCAGATCGATTATAAACACCCAGCTCTGGGAGGCTGCTACGGTCCCAAATGTCTCGTCTCCTTCGGCACTGACCTTGTAGGCGACGATTACGACGGCTTCAACCAGGCCAAACCCGATGATGATCCTATGGACTGCGCAGGCCACGGCACGCATGTTGCTGGTATTCTCGCAGCGCAAAAGAACTCTATGGGTTTCACAGGCGCCGCACCTGGTGTGAAACTCGGATCATACCGTGCCTTCGGCTGCAATGGCGAGGCTGGAAATGATATCCTCATCGCAGCATTTAACCAAGCCTTTGAAGACGGCGCAGACATCATCTCTGCTTCTATTGGTGGCCCATCAGGTTGGTCTGAGGAGCCTTGGGCTGTGGCTGTGTCTCGAATCGTTGAGCAAGGCGTTCCTTGTGTTCTCGCAGCTGGAAACACAGGTTCTGCAGGTTTATTCTACGCCAGCACGGCGGCGAATGGAAAGAAGGTCACTGCAGTCGGATCTTTTGACAATACCAAGTCTCTGTCACTGCTTAACGCCTCGAGTTACTCCATCGATGGCGGCTCTGAGCACGAGTTTGGTCATTTGGCTGGTAAGCCCAGCGCTTGGAAAGACGTTAAGCTTCCTCTGTGGGCACTCAACTATGACACGGGTGTCCACGACGATGGTTGTGACGAATTTCCCAAAAACACACCCGACTTGAGCAAGTATATTGTTCTTCTCCGACGAGGTTCCTGTACATTCAACGCGAAAGCTGCCAATGCGGTAAAAGCAGGCGCAAAGTATGTTTTATTCTACAGTAACAAAGAAGAACTAGCACCTTTTGATGTGTCGTCCGTTAATGGTGTCAAGGCAGCCAGCATTGTCTCACCAGAACAGGGCAAGGAATGGATTGAGGTTCTGAAGAGTAAGAAGAAGATTGTCCTGAACATGTCGGATGGTAGCAACGGCGATGTTATCCTCGAACAAAACCCCAACAATGCCACTGGCGGTGCTGTCAGTGCCTTTTCCTCATGGGGTCCCACCTGGGAGATGGACGTGAAGCCACAGTTTGGTGCTCCTGGTGGTAAGATTTTGTCCACTTATCCGCGTGAGATGGGAAGCTATGCCGTTCTGTCAGGCACATCTATGGCCTCGCCTCTAGTAGCTGGCATTGTGGCCCTTATCGCTGAGGTCAGAGGCACCCGCGACCCAGCACTCATCGAAAACCTCTTATCAGCCAACGCCAACCCGCAGCTGTTTAACGACGGAAAAGCATTTTACGAATTTCTTGCGCCTGTTCCCCAGCAAGGTGCTGGTATTCTTCAGGCTCACGATGCCGCTCATGCCAAGGTTCTCTTGTCTCCTTCAAGCCTCTCGTTCAACGACACCGATAACTTCCCCGACTCGTTGAACTTTACACTTAAGAACACTGGCAAAAAGCAGATCGACTTGCAAATCTCTCACGTCCCTGCCGTCACCATGTTCACGCTCGTCAAAAATACCATTTACCCCGATGACTTTCCCAACGAATTTGCAACAGAGCAGGCTGGTATCAAGTTCAGCGAATCCAAGGTGACGATCGACGCCGGCGAAAGTATTGTCATCGAAGTCCTCGCTACTCCTCCCAAGGGTCTAAACGAGACTCGTCTACCCGTCTGGTCCGGCTACGTAGCTATCAACGGTACCGACGGCACTTCTCTCTCACTGCCGTACCAAGGCCTTAGTGGTTCGCTGCACGGCTCCAAGGTTCTCGGTCCCCAAGACACGTGGATTGCAAACTCAACTGATCCTAACCGCTTCCCCATGCCTGCCAACACAACCTGGACTCTGCCTAAGCCGGGCACAGCCAACAACCAAACCGACACCCTTCCCGGCTTGACGTGGTTCCTCGCTCTCGGTTCAGCCAAGCTACACGCCGAGATCATCCCCGTCACCACCGAAAAGCCATCTGGCGAGACCAAAGCGCGTGTTATCGGTGAACCCGTTGACTTTCCAATGCTCTGGAACGCCATGGGTGCGAACTCCCAAGCCTTCACTGGCGAGCTTGCAGACGGTACATTTGCGCCTGCGGGACAGTATGTTGTTCGATACAAGGCGCTGAGGATCTTTGGAGATGAGAAGAAGAAAGAGGATTGGGACGAGGCGTATTCGCCCGTGTTTGGGATTGAGTATAAGAAGTAGATTTGTGGCTATGCCTTCGCGGGCAGTTATGAAGGATGTATTAATTCATGTACAAAAGTATTTTAGCGATGTTATGGATCTGGTCATGATCAATTTGGAACAAGATATGGGCTTTGGTTAATTATCTGGATAATTAGCATAGATTAGATAGCATAGATGCGCGCTCAGCAGTAGAAACAATTCAGGAATAAGCATCACATATCAGTGCCAGCAATACCATGTTTGTCGTTTGTGACAAGTAAAGAGAGTCATGGGCCACTGTGTCCGGCTTGCCACCTCTCGAGTACTCCAGGGTTAACACCTTGTATAGATGCGCTTGTATCGGCAATAAAGTTCTCTTTCCCCTCGAACGAGCCTACATGAAATCGTCCTCCCAGTTCTCGTCACGGTCCTGGTTACTCGAGCCAGCCATGAGCTCATCAGTAAAGATATCATCATAAGCGTGATCCTTCTGCCACTTCTTCTCCTTCCACTCCTGCGCTTGCTTGGCCTCTTCTTTCTTCTGCAAGGATGAGTCAGTCAACATTGTCTCAAGACTTCTTTTTGTCTCCTCGCAGACTTACCCTTGCTTGAAAGACAGCCTGGTCGCGTTGTCTCAGCTCCTTGAGACGGTCATCACGTTCCTGCTTCAGGTCGGGCTTCTTCTCCACCTTTGTCTTGTTGAGGCGGTTGACGATGGGGTTCTCGCGCTGGGGTACGAGTACGCGCTTAACTTTGCGAGGATCCTTGAAGCCGACTTGGCCGACTTCCATGCTGCCATCCTTCTTGAGGTTGGACCATGGGGTGTAGATGACTGTGACGTTGTCCTTCTTGTTGCCTGGTGGTGATTAGACGGGTGCTTGGATGAGCAGTGGGAAACAGTAGGTACCTTCGATAGAGTTGGCCTTTGTCAATTGGGCCAGATCCATGATCAACTCTTCGGGGAGGTCGTCCCATTTCTGGCCCTCTCTCATACGTAGGTAAATATGTGCGCTGGAGAGTTTATCTGCGTGAAACTAATAAACAGAATCAGTACCACTGTTCTCAAGTGAGAGCATTTTTTATCTCACCCTGTACTTCATTAGCATGTAAACGACATGTTGGTCCACGCCTAGAGTCCCTACCAGATATCCTCTTCCCAGCCAAACTTAATAAGGTCCTCATCTAGCATCCAGTCTCAGCCGGCGGGGAACGCTTGTACTTTTGGGTACAGATCATACTCTCGAACTTGTCCTTGCCGACGTAAACGAAGCCCGACGGTTCGACGACGGAGGAGGTGAAATAGTACACCATCTTGAGGAATTTGGCTTGTCTTCCCTAACCTCGGATTAAAAATGCCGGATACGTAGGCTACGATATGGCCTTTTTTCTCGTTTGGTGAATTGGTTGGTGTTGTGAGGGGATCTTGGAGAAATTTCCGTTTGGTAAGGTACAAATATGTTAACAAAAAGCAGCCATAATCTAATGCTTTTGAGATGGCATGGAAGTATTGTGAGATCCACCAGCGCAAAGCACGATCCAAGTCTTAAACTCACGTGACCTGTCCAACATCATCATAAAGGTCGATTCACGACGAGACAATGTTACTTATTAGCCAGTCAAATAAGTTTACATGATAGACGCCTCTCACAAAAATGTTCATCTGCTAATACCTAGTAGCCGAATACGATTAAGATGGTTCAAATCAGAGCCAAATGATGCAGTGTCTAGCAGGCACTTTATGTCAGACATCAATGCCAGCCGGAAACATTCCGCCTCTCTTTTATCTCATCATGACATCTATTTCAGCTGAATTAAAAACTTGGGGATGGGCAGGCTATTGCCGGTAATTTGAGACCTATAGGAGTCTCTTAATTTACCTGTTTGCGGTTGCATCGGCGTCTAGTAGAAGCAGGCCAACAGTTATATACTTTGAACTTATACGCCTTCATCAAGTCCTCTTTTATTTTATTTTATGGTACAAATTACCTTTATGGTGGCACGTCAGATCGACGTTTAATCCACATTTGATCTGACTATAAAGATCGGAACTAATCCCCGGGTTTAATCGGATTGTATATTTATTCGATCTTGAGTTAAGTTGGAGTGTATCCACCGAGATAAGATCTTGACTCAACGGACCATCAACCATCATTGTGTATGGCTTTACTTGCCAAAAGGTTGACGCATGTCATGGTTACTTCATATTGATGAAATAGTGCCAAGAATACCTCATCTTTTTGGGACGGTTTCTCCCGGTTATTCCCAGCCATTAATACATGACAACATAAACTCTATTTTTAACATTCTCAACATACGATACTGCAGCTTCTTCTTCGGATTCTGGTCCGATTCGTTGCAATGAACCAATCAAAGAGTCTCACAACCTTCGGGCATCGTCCGGATGTTTGCAGCTTCTATTGGTGGCCAGTTCTAACAGCCTTAATAGCCGCGAGGTACACAGCGGCCCCTCCATAATGGCTCGCCTAAGACACCTTTTAAGAAACAGGATTAAAGTCTCCTTAGCTTGTTAACTTCGAAAACACAGCGCGGCAGGCGCCTATTTATCACTATGACGTACCAGACATGTCATATGGGGTGATCTTCCTACAGATCTCGCTCTTTGATAACATGGAAGACCGATTAGCATTAGATTAGGCACTCTATACGATATCCACTACCTATGTAGGTCCGAAATTCGCATACGATGCATAAGCGAGGCCTTGTTTGTCGGCTTCTTCTACGGACGGTTGACAGGGTCTTTTATGTATGATTTTTGAAATCTGACTGCACAAAATGAAACTACGACGAGTGGCAAGTCAATTTTAAAAATTATCAGAGGGTTATATCTGATTTATGAACCATATTATAACACTAATGTAACACACTGCATTGCTTGTCAATAACCTGATTGTGTGTGCACAGCACAACATGATAGCCAACTCATGCCCAGATACTGCACCAACTCTAGAAGGAAAAATAAATAGAATATAATTATGTCGTTAAATCTTCATGCCTTTATGTTTTCCATCATATCCATTGTATGGTGATCTGAAGTTGATGCAAAGCGACTCAGTAGCCTTGACGACGCTGTTGGGCGCTGTGTCCATAATCAAGGAATCTGGACACCAGCGTTTCGAAGGGCTCGAATCACGCTACGTTCAGAAGAACCTAATAGTTGACTGTGAGTTACTGACTCAAGAATTATCAAGTGAATACATACCGGCAGTTCCAGCTGGGACGTCTTCGTTAACAGCAGTGATGCGGTTGGTTTTAATCTGATCTTGAAAAATATACCCGTCCGAATTTTCGTACGCAACCTTGTACACATCGACTCGAATCTTATAGGCGCCTTCGTATAGAAGGCTGAGGTCGGTAAAAGGGAAATAAATCGTAGTTCTCGACGATCCCACAAGCGAAGTGACGTCCATGCCAGTCACCGATGTAGTCCCTGATAGACCGTGCTCCACAATGTCCCCATTTCGTGTAAGAAGGATGACCATGGCAAAGAAGTAAAATCCGGGAGCTGATCCTTTGAAATTGAACTCTGCAACCAGGGGAGGATATAGTATCGTGGATACCTGTGCCCGAGAAGGGGGTTGGACGGCGATAGATAGCGCAGGCATGATTATGCAATTAAGTAGAAATTAGTGGTAGTAGTGAGTTCTTGTTCGTATCAAGACTTTCGTGTACGTGGTACTGATATGCCTAGTCTCAATTTTATCCAAAAAGGTTTCAAGCATAACTGGGAAGCGAAATGATGATGATGATGATATATAAGTTCACATTAAATCTATTCCCTTCGAGATATTCTGACAAAGGCTTCGACGTGGTAGAATATATAAGTCTTCAGGCGGATTGCACAGACCATACAAATTGATTCTTTCGGTGATTGGGTCGGGTCAGAGCAATATGTTGGCGTTTTGGTTTGGGTTCAAGGATGAAGTGGATGGCGTAAGGGATCAAACCCTTCAAGAGGAGGAGTACCTTGCTAGCTCTTCTTGGTCTGCTCTATCACCAACAACTGAGTCGGAAGTGGTCCTGACGGTGAATCTTGGACTGGATTGTTGTGGTTGCTTGCAGCGGAAAGATAAGGAGATGGAGAATTGGTTGGTTGTGGATGATGGGCTGGGTTGTAGTAGAAGCCAACGATGACAAGATGAGGTGGGAGGCCGTGAATGAAATGGAAGGTAGTAGTCTATCATTCAGTAGTTCCAGAATTGGTATTGGGCCTAGAGGCAGTTAGTAGTGGGACGGTGTCTCTCGGTAGTTTCTTGTAAGTACAGTACCGCTTTACTGGCTGTCAAGTTTAAGCCCCAACGCCTGTGGGTGTGGCCGATCACTGTACTACTGTCCTTAACTCACCTTTGCCAAGTTTGTTTCGGCTCAGCTCAATTTATTCCACAATCCCTGTGACTATACTGACAAACAGTCTGGACCCAGTCGTGGAGGTAGCCTCAGTTTAGTTGTCGCCCTACTGAATGGCTTGGGAGGTAGTTTGGATAAAAAGAAACGGTTGACTAGTAAGCTGAGAAAACAAGATCTGCAGCGTTTGAGACAAGGGCGATCGCTATTACCGTTGTCTTTGATTCACGTAAAAAAATAAGGTCAAAAAAAGTAAAAATAAAACTCCAGCCCTGTCTGCCTTGTCCTGCCCGGTTCAGCGGCTGACCGGGTACCTACCTACCACGTCAATTTCCAGGGTTCTTTAGAGGGTTTGCAGCACAGTAAACTCTGCAGCCACGTGCAGATGGCGTCGTTGAAAGGCTGAATCCGAAACAAGTTTAGGTGGTGGTGGTAGCACAGCATTCATTTGGCGCGATAGTCAAGAATGATTCCGATTTGTTGACACAAAGAATATGTGGCTGGTTGACATCATGTACTACCTGGTCCTCATTACCGAGGTGAGCCAAGAGAAAAAAGGAACCATCGGAATCCGATTACCTTTACTGTCTCTGAGTGGTCTATTCGTAATAATTGCAAAAAGAGACAAAAAGAATGAGAATGAGGCTTTCCATCCCACCGGTTGCTCAGTCGGTCGAGCGGTGATAGCCTCACCTAACTAAGCACATAAACGGATATTGACACGGATATGTAAGCATGCAACACATGTATGGTGATATTACATGAGTGCGAGTGAGGCTCAGGGGTTATCGTGCCGACTACCTTGCTAGACTAGCTTCTCGTCGCTTCATTCCAAGTCCAGAACAACAAGTTAAACCACATCCGGGAATAATTTCATCGTGCCCAGACACAGACTCCAAGACAAAACCAGATTCCTGGTCTCGTTAATTAGCGCTCGGCTAATTAGCTCCATGTTTCTGCAGTACATATGTACGTACAGTGGTTCCCCGGGAATTTCTCCTTGGCCTGGCCTTGAGACAGTTGAACGATCTTCGGCAAGGGGATCTTCGGCAAGGGGTATCCCTGTCCTACCCCAGTCCGTCACAGTCATAAGTTGCGATATCACAGGCTCTTGCTTGAGTATCACTGTGGGTTTTGACTTTATTCTTTACCTCCGTTTTTGTGCATGCCCCAATTCCGATTTCCACATTTGTTATGTTCAAATGAGTCAACTATGCTCTCATTATGACTGTAGTTATGGACAAAAGAAGAAGAAAGACCGAAATACCACGGATAAAGTGATATCCGATGTCCAGCCGCAACGAATAGCATCAACATCTGCAAACTGCATTACAGATTGATAATTCAATAGGAAGCTGACCCGCTGAGTATGCCGCATATTCAGTTGGGTTGTGTTGTAAAGAAGCAGTCCTGTCTTGCTTGATAAGGCGCTACAGTTCGGCAACACCAGTCGGTAATAAGGAAACCATCCCAACAAGGAAAATGAGTCATTGCCCAAAACAAAATGGAATGAAATTTTGTGTGTTTGCCAAGTTTGGTCACTTTACCTAAACAGAGATAGGCAGTACCTGAACAATTGGGGGCATAATTCTTGGAGTGTATCAAACCCTGGCTGAAAAAAGTCTGGGGCTGTCAATGACAGCTGCAAGCGATGTAATCCCAGAAAAGACTATGTTCTGCAACTGCAAAGGAAACTGAAAAAGAGGCACAGCAGCTCAACAATATGAATAACCCAAGCTAAGATAAGAATGTCATAAATCAAGTACAACAGATCAAGATGGCCAATAAAAACAACTCAAACAATGTGATATGCATGCAAACACTAACCTTGTCGCTCCGACTCCCCGATCTGTCACTTTTCTCTCACAAGACGACGCTACTGCTAGCTAGAAAGCTAGTGCTATCACAGGCATCATCCGAAACTTTTACGGAAGAAATCCATTGTATAAATTATCAATACATGACAATTTCTTGTCTTTATGTCGGTACTAGACGTAAACGGGCCAAATAGGTAAATAGACCCTGAAAATAAATCCACAATCCTAGTCCGCGCGTTCAACATAAAACTCCACACTCGCTCTATTTCCCGTTTAGACCTTTGGGGCATGGCATGGGTGCAGTAGTCTCGATTGCCTTGACACGGGTACAGCTTCCGTCCCGTCCGTCATTTCGAGAACAGGGCTAACATGCTCATCAAACGTGCGTATTCCCTCGGCTATAAGATACATTTGTGGATAGTAAGGAGGCAGCCAAGGAACAGCTCTTTGATGAATGATGCGGAGTAATGTTGGTTAGTTGTTTACTCCCAACACACTACTCACTGGGCTGCATGTTGTGTTTAAGAAAAACATCAAGGTTGTAATTGATATGCTCTACTCCACAGAATGCACGTTTGCATGTCACCGATGGAGATTATTAGGCGAACTTTCATGCACAGCCGGACAATGTCGATTGTCCGACTCTCAGATTTGCAGTGATGAAGGAAGGGTGGGTGATGGTAACGCATGTACAAGGGGATCCCTTGCAAGGTGTTGTCTCTCATACATGGATGTTCTACATTTACGGAATAATATCAGCCGATTCGATCGGTGATACGGATATACGTTGTCGTTTTCTGTTTGTCAAGTTATGGAAAAACATATCCATGGCCAAGTAGACTTATCCCAGTCTTTGTCTACCACACATGGCAGGTAGCTGAAACTGTCGAGTACCAAAGAGGAAATATAAAACCATCTCGGTCAGTGGTTTGCCAAACTTGCATCTTTCATCACACAAGCTCATTCGTTTTGGGCATTCTTCACCGTGAAAATACCAAGACATGATTTGCAGCAGATCCTTATTTTGGTGTGCAACAAACATCTGATATGTGCCCAAATCAATGCTTGGGCATATATATATGGGTGGCACGTTTTCAGCCCACTGTCGATCTTGAGACGAGAGCATACGCGTGCTTATAGATTCCAGGCTTTATGCGCCGGATCTTCAACACTACTGCGCACACCGTTGGCATGTGCATCGGCGGATTGGAACCGAAAAGGTGTTGTTTATAGGTATCTTAGCCAAGATGCACTTTTGCTTAGTTCTTTGGGCTGTCAATGGCATTTTGCAGGTTGAATGCATTTGGAGGGGAAACGTAAATCACAAAATGATCGACATGTCTTTCCCTATGGGAGCCAGTCCACTCATTTCACCGCCTGAAAATAAAGCACGTTGAAGATCATAGATCAGTGAATGCTTGGATGATCTAATAAGGATACAGTAATATTTGTTGTCGGTAACCGCGGCTCTGGCGCTGTAAAAGTACAGTCGGCACTGGGTTCTAGAGAGGCTGCCTAGTAGCTGAGCTGTTTGATTTGTATGTGCTAGCGAGACCGAGCAGCACGTTTTCCTCGGTGTCACTATATGACTTGTCATTGTGTGGCTCGATATCAAGGGTTAACCTGGTCCATCACCATACTGACTCGCTAGAATCCCGCCGGCTCGTTCGTTCCTAGTCCCGCGTTTCCGCTGCATTTATGTCGCATTTTGTTTTCATTTAAATTTTTGTGCGTAAAACAGGACTGTTACTATTCAACAACCATGGTGAGATTGAGTGATGCAAATGAGAACAAGCGGCTTCGATAGGAATCAGATCTACGGTTATGTTGCTGACTTTGCATAGTTACCTATGAACCATGGAGGTCTTGTGCTGTCGAGGTACTGCATCTAGAAGAACTGCTAGGGCATCATTTTGTTCCAGAGCATCACTTTATTTGAACGCCAAACTCTCGATCAAGTTAGCATGTCTTTAACTATGCTCAACGTCTAACGTCTTCGTCGTTTGGTACTTATCACTTGGCAAAGCAGCTTACCCTGCACTTCTATAAAACACGTGATCATCTACAATGGATGATCCCTTCAGGTCTACCAAAATAGGCAAGTCGGCACCTTTGCGGGAGATCCATAAAAACCCGTTGCAAACATGTCGCATTCAATCTCACTCCTTCAGAATCGCGATCATCATCGATCTTGAAGACGACGGAAACTCCTGTAGCTGCAGCAGAAAACAAGGTCAGGATCGGGGACCAAGCGTTTAAAAGTCGCCCACCCAACTCGATGCGCTTGACTTCTTGGCATTTGTCATAGAGAAACACCATTGACCTGAGGGCAGGAAGAGAGATAGATCGCGTTTTTGTTTTCTCTCCCCCCACGCGATGGCTGCAGAATCAAGCCGATCCCAGAGTCCCGGCTCGCGCAGTAGCGGAAATGCGGCGGAAACAATGCCTTTGCTTGTCGGCGGCCAACTTGCCCCTGATGCCGATACCGAAGCTTCCACCCTCATCGGCACCGCGTCGTCCGGCGCTGCTTCCGTGACTGGGGACTACGGAACCGTTGGGACCTCCGGAGATGGTGCCGCCGAAGGTGTTGCAGCGCCGGCAGACACGAAGCCGTTGTCCAAGCCTTTCCCAACGCTCCAGATCCTGCTGCTATGCTACGCGCGTGTGATGGAGCCTATTGCCTTTTTCTCCATCTTTCCCTTTATCGCACAGATGGTACAGCAAAACGGCAACCTTCCCAAGAGTGATGTAGGTTTCTACAGTGGCCTCATCGAGTCTCTTTTCTCAGCTACGCAGATGGTTGTCCTGATCAGCTGGAGTCGTCTTGCCGATCGGATCGGCCGGAGACCCGTTCTTCTCATCACTATGTTCGGCACCGCTGTTGGTCCTGTGTTGTTCGGCATGTCCAAGACTATCGGGCAGATGATCCTCTTTCGATGCATGGCAGGTGTCTTTTCGGGTTCCGGTCTTGTCATCAGGACCATGATCTCGGAACTGAGCACCCCCGACACACAAGCCAAGGCATTTAGCTGGTTCGCTTTTGGAGGAAACGTGGGAATCTTTCTGGGGCCTCTTATCGGTGGTGCCCTTGCAGACCCTGCTCATCAATTTCCAAAGGTCTTTGGGGGTATCCAGTTCTTTATCGACTATCCCTACGCACTACAAGGCTTTGTTGTTGGTGCGATTAGCTCGACGGGCTGTATTACCAGTTTTTTCCTCCTCAAAGAGACCCTCCACGAGCCTAAACATTCGCCCCATACAGTAATTACTCAGCCACCGTCATCTACATGGCAGCTTATCAAGTCTCCTGCAGTGGCTATTGTCCTTTGGGTCTACGGCCACGCCATGTTTCTCGCGTTTGCTTTCACAGCTATTATTCCCGTCGTTCTCTATACCCCTATTGATCTTGGCGGCACAGGTTTCGACTCGTTCCAGATCTCTATATACATGGCTGTTCAAGGCGCCAGCCAAGCGGTGTGGCTACTGGTGGCCTTCCCTCTTCTTCATCGTCGTTTCGGCACGCGCGGCGTGATGAAGCTCTGCGGATACTCATACCCCTGGTTTTTCGTCGGCTTCATCCTTCTCAACACACTCCTACGCGCGCATACGCATGACGCCACGGTCGCTTTCTGGATTTTGGCTGCGATAGTCAGCGTCGTTGGGCCTGGCGTGTCCATGGCTTTTACAGGTGTGCAATTGGCTCTGAACGATGCAGCGCCTGATCCAAAGGTTGTGGGTACACTGAATGCTCTTGCTTTGAGTTTGGCAAGCGGTATCAGGGCTGTTGTACCTGGTGTAGCGACGGCTATTTACGCTGTAGGTGTTCGCGGCCAGATTCTTGGGGGTCATCTGGCTTGGGTGGTCCTTGTACCTTTTGCCATGGCTTTTGCTGTTGCCTGTAATATGATTCCCGAGGGAAAACGGCCGAGTCAGAATAATGATGAAGAAAATGAAGGCTAGTCGTGAAGGGTGTGCGTATAAATGATCAGTGGTAGAATTGCGATATCAACTTTTGTCTTCCAATTTAGTGGTCCATATAGAGTACAAAAGCATAAGCTTGCATGTCTAGATATTAACAGTCATTGGAATGACCGTCTTTTATTCCCTATTGCTACTTTCTTACTGAGCCAACGATTGTATACGCAACATAGCGGGTTAAGAAAAGTATCGTCTTGCAGTATCTCCGACTCTAACCAAGGATTTAATCTAGACATAATTGATGTGTAGGTTTTTCTTAACTAACATGTCCTACTTTACATCGAAATCACCCTTTCCTGTATCGCAATTTTCTCAATTGATCACAAGACTTTGCAACCCACCAGTTCCGCTTGCTCGGGCATGCTACGCACCAACTGCCCAAGTCAGCTAAGACGGGCGGAGTATCATCAGGCTTCTATAAAAGGACCTATCATGGCTGGATAGATATAGGCAACGGGTAAAGTTCAAGTAGGCTCCTGTAACGGAAGTATCCGAGGCATACTTGGGCGTTGATGAGTGTTAGGCTACGGGCATGGCTATATAGCTCGGGCATGAATGAGTAGCCTGGACACACCACGATATCATGACTAGAACAAATGGTATGTGGGAGTAGTCCGGGAGATGAAATGGCGTATCGCGGCGATTACGATGAAGAGTGCCGTTGCATTGCGCGTCAATGATGGTGATGCGAAATACGTGGGCGCAGCTGTGTTAGTCCGAAGGACCAATGCATATGCCTACGTATGTCTTTCTCCCCTCACTGACGAGTTCATCTGTGTACAAGACTGTAAAGTCAATTCCGTAGTGACCCATGACTGCAATTTATAAGTCATTCTTCAGTTAAACTGACTTGAGAGTATCAAGGTCAATATTGGGTTGAGGTGTAAAGACGATGAGACCTGGCGGAAACTCCACATCGTACCATAGATAAGACATGAAGAGAGAAATAAGTTGGTAACGTCTTGCAGCGTGGATTAGTAGGTAATATCTAATGATTGACAAGGGTTAGGATGATAGGCAACTGAATTCTTCATGAGGGGTATCACGTGATGCGTCTGCAGGTAATATGACAAGGGATCTCAGCCAATAAGATAGTCGTAGATCATTCAGGCAGCAGCATTCTTTCATTGTGAGACCGCGAATAGGCCGCACCTGTCAAGATCCGCTTTATAGTTAGGCAACCGAATTAATTGATTATCTCAACAAAAAATAAGACAATCAATCAATCCAAGTTATTCTAATCATCACCACACTCATTCACTTTATTTGTCAAGCTTAAGAAATATCATGGACACTAATCACTGCTAAGCCTCAACTTAGACCAAGTCCAAGAGCCCCGCATCGAGATCGACAATTGTAGCATCAAGCAAGGCATTCTTATATCATCGGCTTGGCAACAGCTGCATATATCCAAACCAATTTCCATCTCATACCCTGAAAATACTGGCAACATACAATACAGATCAACAAAATGGAGTCTTTTCTACCACTGGGTGGCTTTCAGCTGCCCTTCCAGAAACGCCTCAGCAGACTGTACAACGACACTAAAAAGTCAAGCGACTTTGTCAAAGAACCCATTCAAAATGAAGAGGACCCTCAGATCAAGGCTCTACATCGAAAGCTGCGTGTCCAAAAAGATCGTCTTGTTAGTTGGGGCGTTGAATGGTCTGACCCGAACCAGTCCGAGATTGACGAATCTCTATCCAAAGCTGGTTTGAGCGAAGTCGTCGGAAGCATCATGTCCACCATCAAGGACATCCTAGCAGAGGCGGAACCTCTTTGGTTGAGTTCAAAACGCATGATTCAAGCACCGCAAACTGGATCAAAAGATACAAAGCCGCCGCTGATACAATGGGATAAGAACCATTTCGAGGACCTGGTCAATGACTTGACTTCATCCATTGATACACTATACGACCTTTCACGCACACGAGCAGCCGGAATTCCTAGGAGATCGTCAAAAACACCATTCAAGTCTACGGCCGCAGACGATTATCGACCTTTTGAATCCACCCGCATGCAAACACCCCAGCAAATTGACCCCAAGCAATTGACACATTTGCGCCACAAGCAGGGTGACGAAAGCTCCTCTCGAGAAGTTGTCTTTATGAGCAAGACTGCTTATTCCGAACTCACACATGGTACAACTCGCGAGCCATGGGCGCCTTTACTACTCGAGTATGCTACCTTTGACTCCATCTACGCTAGTACAGGTATCATGCCTCCTATGGCGCGCTTCGAGAAGCTCTCTGCCGGTCTGCAGCAAGACTCTCAGAGGTCTCCTGGTACATGGACTGGACTGCCAAGATTACTCGGGTATTTCGAGGACATGGAGAACTCAAGACTCGGTCTTGTTTACCGGTTTCCTCCATCATTCAACGTCGTTTCGTTCGAGGGTCTTACAAAGAACCCCTCGTATAATCTGCCTACTCTGGGAGATCTCCTTTCAATAACAGGATCGGAGCCTAAATTGGAAGCCAAATTCAGACTGGCACACAATCTCATGAACACCGTTTTCGATCTGCATGCTCGCGGTATTACTCATGGAAACATTGTACCAACCACTGTCTCCTTCTGCGATGCAGCAACATCACAACCCGGTGCGGTCAACGGCGAGGTAGATATTCGACGTCCCCTTCTTTCGTCATTTGACCTCTTCTCCGAAGATGCCCCTTCATCATCACCAATTCTCTTCAAGCATCCGCTAGATCCACGCAATGCCCAATCATCCCCCCTCGCCAACAATCCAGACCAGAGGGTTCTCGACTTGTATTCATTGGCTACGCTGCTTCTTTCGGTCGGTTTATGGAAGAAACTTGAGGATATCGTTCCTGAGAACTCCACCAGCATTTCAGACTCGGCCCTGGAAGAGCTCTCTATACGATGTGGCAGTCTATACACAAAGGCAGTTCAAGCATGTTGGACCGCAGTCGATGACGAGCTTGCGGGACGATCCTCCGGCGAGTCTTTGTTGTCTTCGGTTCAAGTCAGATGCAGTCGCTTCTTGGAGGCATGCTGTATTCTGGACGGCGTCAGTGGCTTGGAGGAGAGGCTCGATAAGGAGCTTAACCCGGGCGAAGCGATTGCATCTACCGCTGAGATCCCTACTACGAAGATGAACAAGGATAAAAAAGATGTAAAGGACTTCAAGCCATCGCTGAAAACTCCAAGCGAGAAACCAACGTTAGTTTCGGCGCCGACCTTGGGGGCGGAGAACCCTGCTTCCAAGGTTGAGAGCGCTGTTGACAACGAGGGTATGCAACAATGCTCATCATCAAATGCTTCGTGCAATATTCTAACTGTGTTATAGATGCTACAGACAAACAATCCGAGACCAGGATACGCCTGTATCCTCATGTGCCCCTCGCACCAGAGGTCGTTGATAGGTGGAATAAGATCGTCATGCCTCAGATCAACCACGCCCTTCGACACTTTTATCGCAAGCACCCAGAATCCGTCGAGATCTCCCTCGAATCGGTCGGGCCGAGTCCTCAAAAGACACAACCCACTGTACTGGTTGTGTGTACCTCTGTTGGCAAGGTTCGCGCCATCCTGAAGAAGAGAATTGGTGATCTCTTTGATGGAAGCACCGGCTTCGGACTTAAAGTCTGCCGAGGTCACGTCTTGAGGTCTCGTCGACAGGCCAACTCTGTCCTTAGATCTATGGCCAGAAGGAGTGCCAAAGGTTTCGGCGAAGCAGATGATGTGGATGCTATAAACCCCGAATACCAGGAACGCCCAAGAAATGGAGCAAGCATCGGGGCATGGATTGGGGATCGCCATCTACCACCTGTGAGCCTTGGAGGTCTCGTCATCGTCGATGATAAGCCCTACGGGATGACAGTCCATCACATGCTCGATGACCCAGACCGCGATTTTGGACCAAGCGACACTTTGAGATGCAGTGCTTTGCCAGATATGGACTGGTATGCGCAATCCGGCGACGACAGTACTGTCGATGACGAGTTTGGCTACGAATTATCCGACACTGAATCAGAGGCCTACTCTGATTCCGATATTACAAGCGATTACGACGATGATGAAGAGGAGGAGGAAGACGAGGACGAGGAGTACAATGAGCCCGGTGACATCCCGGGCATCGAGCCTGGATGTGGTGATGGATACATCGTAACGCAGCCAGCTCTGGATGATGTGGAAGAAGGCTTCTATCCTGACTCAGAGACTCAAGATGAAGACCACATTGACACATACAGTGTTGGCGAGGTATATGCCTCAAGTGGCATTCGTCGAAAGCAAGCCTCTGGTCTCGTGCATGAAGTTGACTGGGCGCTTTTCGAGTTTGCTCACGACAGACTGCCTGATGATAACACTATCCCTCGCATCGACACAAAGAATCCCACATCACTACGGCCTACTGATGTAGTTCCTTTAGAGTCACTGCCGAATATGGAGGTTCAGTGCATGGCTCGCACAAGTGGCTTACAAACCGGCAAGATCCTGCCTGCATTGACCAGTGTCAAGATCTACGGTCGCGTCTCGCCTAGCCACGCTTACCAAGTCACCAGTGGAGAGGAAGCAGAGCAAGAATCCCTCCACAGGGTCCCTCTTGGCATCCCTGGTGACAGTGGTGCCTGGATCGTCAGCCGTGACGACGGCCAGCTATGTGGTCACGTCCTCGCCTGGAGTCAGCGCAAGCGCGTTGCTTACATCTGTCCCATGGACGTACTCCTTCAAGACATTGCAGAAACACTCGAAGCTCACGAAGTCAAGCTTCCAGGAGGCAACATAATAATAACAAGTGTAGTCTCCAAAAAACATGCGGACCTTCTTGAAGATGATCTAGAAGACTTGCTCGAAGAGGAACAGGATCTGCCTCCACAACTGGTAAGCTCTCCAGATCCGGTGAGGGAGACTGCCGGTAGACGAAAATCGCCACAATCGAATTATAGCTCTGGGGCGAGTGAGAGGAACTCTTCGAGTCCTATTCGGCTCGATACATCTAGTGACTTGGGAGGATTATCGAATCGATTTGAAGAGACGTTGAGTATGAGCGGTAGTTTTGGGATAGGCGTTAGTGGGTGACAGCGACAGTAGGATTTACTTTGTTTGGTGGAATCGTCTTAAATACCCTAGCTTTATGAATAGTTTGTTGAATATGAGAACAAGTTTTGTTAAACTCTATGATGACACGATGCGACATAAAGGCTATCGCAGTTTGACGCGACGTGAAACGAGGTAAAGAGTTGTGTCAATATACTTGCTGATGTTCACAATTCACTACACTATACCAGGCATGTCTCCTTCGATGGGCATTCTCAAAGTAATGTCCATCAAGTCTTCAGTCACACTCACAAGGAGAACGAGTTTGAAATGAACTTGAACTAGTAAATTGGATATTGAACAGATCGAAACTATTCCAGTACCATACGCCTCATACACATTCCCCTTGTCTATGATCCTTCATTTCTAACCGTCTTAATGACATGACATGAACCATGAGTAACATAAATCGCCAATAAAAATAACATGTAGGGAATTCATCCCATTTCATAAAACCTCCTCAAATATGTTCATTCTCCTTTACTGCTGGAGGTACTTGAGAATCTGCTCCCGCTCCTCAACGGGCATGACTCTCATAACCTCACGAACACCGGTCCATCCAGCCTTGGCGTGGCCTCGGACAACGTTGGCAACCTCAGCTGCCAACACCTCAGACTTGAGTGCCTCGACCTTCTCGCTGATGGTCTTGCGCTCAGTCTCATACCACTCAGTGACCGCCTGGTCATTCGTATCCCAATCAACAATGGCTGACCAGCTGCGGAGAAGGTGGAGGTACTTTTCGCGAGTCTCCTTGTCCTTGGCAGCAGCCTGGTGCGAAGTGCTGATGATGGTGGAAGTCATGCGGCGCAGGATGTACTCCTCGTTGAGACGGCGGCGAAGACGCCAGTAGAAGAAGCGTCGAGAGCTGCTCCACTCGAGAACATCGCGAATGGCGCCCTTGGCCTTCATACGTCCAGCACGATCGTGAAGATCAGCGAACTGAATAGCGATCTGAGAGTAAACAGGCAGCAACTCCTTCTCGCGGGCAGCCATCTTCTTCTTAATCTCGTCGGTCTGCTCGGTAGACAGGCTAGAGTCATCAAGCTGCTTCTTGAGTCCAGCATAGGTAGGATCCATGCGGATGATGGTCTGGATCTGCTTCTGCTTGCGGTACTTGATACCAATCATACCCTCGGGCTCAAGAACACCACCACGGGCCTCGGTATCGGCGTACATCTCCATGGCAGTGGGGTTGATGGTAGGATCGACAACGACCCAAGATCCACCACGAAGCTCACCGAAGGGAGGGATGTAGATGAAGATGGGCTGCTCGTACTTGACGAGGGCATCGACGATGAAAGAACCGTACTTGAGGACCTCGTTGTACATGTCGCGCTGACCACCAGAGAAACCACGCCAGTTGGCAAGGATCATCAGAGGAAGCTGCTCACCGTTGTTGAAGTCGTTGATAGCCTGGGCAGTCTTGAAGGCTGAGTTGGGGTACCAAACACCACCAGCCTCGTTGCTGACCTGCTCGATAGAGTCAGGGTTGGCAGGGTCGGCAGGAGTGATGTTCTCGACGGATCGGACCTCGACACCGATAACACCCATAGGGATACCGCCGAGACGAGCACGACCAACGACAACAGTCTTGGCCCAACCACCAAGAGCCTCGACGAAAGAGTCCTTGTCAAAGAGACCAGACTCGAAGCCGTTCTCACCTTCACGACCACCGATCAACCATCGGACATCGTAAGGCTGCTTCTGGGGAGGGTAGTAAGTCACATCACGGTTCCAGTCGTCGACGCTGGGGCTGACAGGAACGGGGCTGTTGCGCTTCTCGGGTACAAAAGACATCCACTCGAGAATCTTAGAGACACCAGCAAAGTCATCGTTGGCAGTCATGTGAGAGACACCGTTGCGGTGCATGATCTGAGTGCCACCAAGCTGTAGGTTGGAGGTGTAAACCTCACGACCAAGCAGATTGTTGAGGGCAGCAGCACCAGTCAGGATGATGGGCTGACCCTCAATCTGGACAGCACGCTGGCCAAGACGGACAAGGTAGGCACCAATACCAACGGATCGGCAAGTTACCAGAGTGATGGTAAAGATGTCGTTGTAAGCGCGGCTAGTGGCACCAGCGATGAGACCAGAGCCACGCAGACACTCAACACCAAGACCCTCCTCCTTACCGATAATGGTAACAATCTTGTGTCGCTTCTCGCCATCCTCAGTAACCTCCTCAGTAATGACATCCTTCTCGAAGCGAGTCTTGGCCTCGTCGTCAAGGTAGAGGTACTTGAAGCCAGCGTCCTGCTTCTCAGGGTTGTTCCAGGCAACCTTGTAGTGGCCCATAAGCTCATCGGCAAGGCCGAGACGAGCACCAGAGTTGGCAGACAGGTAGATACGGGGGATACCAAGCTTACGGGCAAGCTCAGTGCATTTGTGGAAGAACTCGTCTTCCTTGGGTCCAAATGAACCAATCTTGTAGGTGATATCGTTGGCGATAACGATAAATCGTCGGCCGTTGGGGTACTCAGGGGTGCGAGCCCTGAAGATCCAACCAACCATACCACAAGTGTTGGTACCAGGCTCACGGTTGACCTCATCCAGGTTATCCTTGTCGTCCAGAACAAGCTCGGTGAAGCTGATGCAATCACCGGTCTTGGGCTGCTGGGAAGCCAAGCTGGGCTGAGCCTTGACGGCCTTGGTCCAAGTGTTCTGGATGGCCTGGCGGAAAAGCTCAGGGAAATCGTAAACGTACTGAGTTCCCATACCGTGAGCGTCGTGACGCTTGGGCTGGAGCCAGTTCTTGATGGCGTAAGGGGTAGAGACGGGCATCAAGTGCATGGGACCCTTCTCGTGAGTGCCTCCAATGCTGTGGAAGACCCACACACCCTTCTCCGACTTGCGCTCAGCGTACATGTCGACATCGACGACGTAACCAGAGGTGTTGGTGATAACAACACGGAGAGGGTAGGGCTCGCCGGTCTGGGGATCAGTGCAGATGATGCGGATCTCGACCTGAGCGATGCGGAGTCGCCAAGCACGGATACCAAATCGGTCAAGGAAGCCTTGGAGACTCTCCTCGACCTCCTTGGGCTGAAGTCCGAACACGGGAGAGAAGTTGATGAAGACGTGGTTCAGATCAGAGTTGTTGTTGCCGATAATCTCGAGAGCGTCAAAGATATCGTTGACAACACGGTCAGCCTCGGAGATGAGGTACTCAGCAGTAGGGATCTCATCTCGGAGACGGCCAGGTCGGATGACAGCACGTGTGAAGTATCGCTTGTCAGTGTCATGCTTCTTGCCAATACCCTCGTAAACGTGGATGCTCTTGTTCTCAGTGAAAACAGGCTTGATGTTGAACTTGCTGAGACGAGCAAGCTCAAGCTGGAAAGCAAGGGCAGGCTCGCTGTGACGGATACTGTCGTCCTCCTTGTACTCGGGTCCACGGAAAGTGTAGTATCCGGGGTAAGAGCCATCGCTGTGACCGCAGATGAATGTCAGACGGCGAACACCACGGGCAAGGAGCTCATCCTTGTACTGCTCGACAATGGGGAGGATATCCTCGAGAGCCTCTCGGTCGTCGCGGCTCTCAACATCACGAATAGCAACGTTGATAACAGCAGAGAGCTCCTCCTCGTTCTGCTTGAGAGGAGCAGGCTTGCGCTTGCCGGTGAGGTCGGGGATCAGGCCAGGAGTGTTCTTCTTCTTCTGCTTCTGCTCATGAGCGAGGGCCTCGAGGGCCTTGCCAATGAGATCCTCGGCCTCATCGATGTACTTGCAAGGAACAATGACACCCTTGCGAGTGGGCTCATCCTCCCACTTGCTGTTAAGGTAGGACATGTCGCTGATGGAGTGGATTCGCTTGAAGTTGAACTCGCCTCCGCTGGGTGTAGCAGGGGTAGAAGGAGCAGCAGACTGAAGAGGAAGACCGAACTCAGACTGGCCAAGCTTTCGGAGCTGGAAGTCCCAAGAGACGAACTGAGGGTTGTCGTTCTCATCCTGGTGGTACTCAATCTGCTTGAGGAGGTACGCACGGTAGGCTCGGCGAACGTAAACCTCAAGAGAGGCCAGAGACACCCAAGGATCATCGTGGGCGAAGAACATGGTCAAGACATCAAAGACAGTGTACTTGGAGTCAACGACCTCCTTGATGATATCAAGGCTAGGCTCACGGTGGTCCCAACCAGTTTCACCATATCGAGACTCAACGACGGAAGAGCGAAGGATGTGCTCCATCTGGGAAGTTCGCTCCTCAAGAGAGGGGAGAGCACACTGGATCATGATCTCACGGGCCTTGAGGGAAACCTTGGAGGTGTGTCGGGACTGAAGCTCGGTAAGAAGACGGAGGGTCTCACGGAGGTTCTTGGCGACGTTTCCAGCCTTGGGCTTGTTGGGTCGGTACTCCTCAAGAATAGCAAGGATGAGAGAGCTCTTAGAGCTGACGCGGCTATGAGACAGAACAGTGTGGACAACCTTCATGATATCATCCTTGTGCTGGTCACGCAGCTTCAGGATAACGGCGTCCTCCTGAGGCTGGTTCATGAAGAGGGCCTCGACCTCGTAGTACTGCTCCAAGATGCTCTTAATGACACTGAGCTCTCGGTTCTTCTGGCCATCAATGTACATATCGATAATCTCGGTCAAGGGAGCGAGGGTAGTCTTGAGAAGACCAGCGTCGTTGGCATCGACGTTATCCTCGATGAACTTGTGGAAAGCCTTGCTGAGGGCCTTGGCAGGGAAGTCGGAGTTGCGAGACTTGCCGCGCTCAATGATCTGGGTGAACTGAGCATCGAGCTTCTGAGGCATACGAGAGTGGAGGGCGGAGAACTGAGCGTTCCACTCGCTGTAGGGAAGCTCGGTGTCGCGGAGGACCTCGATGAGCTCCCTCAGGGTGCTGGCCATGATAACAGAGTTGTCGTAACCCAGAAGAATGTTCTGGAGGGTGTTGTAGAGGAGAGAGAAGCGCTGAGCGGGCTTGGCACCGACAACAACAGGCTCGCCGTAAGGGGGAAGCTTGTCGACGAAAGCCTGAGCCTGCTTGACGCGGCTGGGGTCATCGAGAGCAAGGATACCGAGGATATCACCAGCCTCGAGGGTGGCTCCGGGCTGCTTGATGAGCTGGACAACACCATCCTCCTGGGCAAGGAGAGGCATGTACATCTTCATGACCTCGACCTCGGCAAAGGCCTGACCAGCACGAACATGGGAACCGTTCTCGACAGAATACTTGACAAGCTTACCAGGGCTAGGAGATCGGAGCTGGGTGGGGTCGTTCTCCTGCTCGAGCAAGCAAGTCTTGCTGTCAACGGACAAACGGGTGGCGCCAACCTCTTCCTTCCAGTAGACGCTGTGAGATCGTCCGTCGAGAAGGACAAGGATACCACCATCGCTCAGGGAACGGACACCAACATGGCACTTGGAACCGTTGATGAAAAGGTGGTAGCTGTCAACGCTGGCACGAGTGGCTGTGAACTTGTAACGGAAACCCTCGTAGATGAAGTCGATGGTGAAAACAGTCTTCAGGACGTCCTTGGAGGGCACCTGACCCTTCTCAAGGCCGGCTCGGTACTCAGTCATGCAAGCCTCGCTGGCAATGTGAGCCTTGGTAACAGCACCACAGGTGACAGCAAGCATGGTCTCGGGTCGCTCAGCGGTAAGACGCTTGGAGATAAGCTCATCCAGCCAACCAGTGGAGATGGTGTTGTCCTCGAAGGCCTCGGTCTCGAGAAGCTTGATGAGGTACTCAATGGTGGTTCGGAAATCACCACGAATGCTCAGCTCCTTCAGGGCCATGACCATGTGCTTCCTTGAAGCAGAACGGTTCTCACCATAGGCGAAAATGTGACCGAACTGACTGTCAGAGAAACTGTGGATACCACCCTGAGAACTGACGGAGAAGTAACCCCAGACGTTGGAGCTACTCCTGAAGTTGAGCTCGTGCATCACACCGTTGGAAGGCTTGAAGCCCTCACCAGGGTCCTCGGAGGTGATTCGGCAAGCGGTGGTATGGCCCTTGGGCTGAGGTCGTCGCTGGCTGGAAACAGTGTCCTCATTCTTGAACTCAAAGTCGATGTCGCTTGAGGTCTTGGGGTCGACACCGTACAGGAGTCGAATGTCACGGATTCTGTGGAGAGGGATACCCATGGCAATCTGGAGCTGGGCAGCGGGCAGGTTGACACCACTGACCATCTCAGTAGTAGGATGCTCGACTTGAAGACGGGGGTTAAGTTCTAGGAAGTAGAACTTGTCGTCGGCGTGGGAGTAGAGGTACTCGACGGTACCGGCAGAGACGTAACCGACGAGCTTACCGAGACGAACAGCGGCATCCTCCATGGCCTTGAATGTGTCGGCCTTGGCAATGGTGACAGGAGCCTCCTCGATAATCTTCTGGTGACGTCGCTGAACGGAACAATCACGACCGAACAGGGAGATGTTGTTTCCGTACTGATCAGCAAGAAGCTGGACCTCGAGATGGCGGGCGTTGCCGGCAAGCTTCATGATGAAGATGGGAGAGCCGGGAATCTCGCTGGCGGCGGCCTTGTAGAGAGCCTCGAAGCCCTCCTCTTCGGTAGCCTTTCGGATACCCTTACCACCGCCACCCTCGGAAGCCTTGATCATAACGGGGAAGCCAATCTCCTTGGCCTTCTCAAGACCCTCCTCCCATGATGTGACGCATCCCTTGGCGTAAACATCATCAGCAACGGTAACGATGCCCTTGTCATCAACGGCGACCTCTTCGACGCCTGTTCCTGACCAAGGAATACAGGGCACGGCGGCGTGCTGTGCAACAATTGTGGAGGAAATCTTGTCACCCAATGATCGCATGGCAGATCCAGGGGGTCCGATAAAGACAATTTTGTTGGGGGAGGCGGCCAGCGACTCTGGCAGCTTGGGGTTTTCTGAGGCGTGACCCCATCCAGCCCAGACGGCATGGACGTTCATACGCTCAGCAATGTCGACAATCAGCTCGACATTGGCATAGTTGTGGTTGTTTGTGCCGCCGGGAACCTCGACGTAGTGGTCCGCCATTCGAATGTATTCTGCGTTGGCCTGCAGATCTTCGGGGGTAGCCATCACAGTGAAGTGAATGGCTCGCTCGTCGCCAAACGTCTCGTAAGCCCATTTTCGGACTGATCGAATCTCCTTAACGGCAGCGATACCGTTGTTGGCAATGAGGACCTGTCGAAAGATTGTGTTAGTTGAGCTGCCACCAAAAGATCAGATTGGCGGGGTTGTCGGAAATCTGTTGAATCTTGTTCCAAGGGGAATTTTCTTACGTTGGTGATGACAGTGTGACCATCATTTTGGCCAACAAAGTCCTTGACCTTGCTCGGGGGAGCATTCGCCAATCGGTTGCCGCCGATGAAGTGGTCTGCGATATTGAACTTCTCTGCATACGACTGCTTGCCATTGACATAGGGCACCGACCGCCCATTGGCACCCTCCTGGGCACCAGCTGAGATCTCAGTCATGGCTGCTGTGTTATGTGTAAAGAGAAGAGAAAAAGAGGAGAGGAGAGATTATGGAGGAGATTCGTGAGAGAAAAAAGTCGAAAAATTGAGGAGATTGATCAAGAATCGTCTCTCTCAGATCGTCATGAGCCGGTCAAAGTAAAGTGGCGGGCGGGCGCGCAAGGGGAATCGCGGGCAGGGGTAGCTCCGGCCGAAGAAAAAAACCAAAGACGGGGACTCTAGGTTTGCTGTTGGGGAGGGAAAAAGTAGGTGTCCCTTTTGAGTGGTATAGGCGCTAAAAATACAGAAGGGTAGAAGGTAAAATTAAGATAGGTGGAGGAGAGGATGAAGGAAGACAGGTTCTGGCTGAGGAGGACCAAGAACTTGATTATGTAGAGAGAACAAGAGTTTAGACTTGTTCGTCTTCCTTTTGAATTGCCCGACTGTACGTGAGGATAGAGGAGAGGTAGAAAGAGAAGAGAACTCTTGAAGTTGTAAAGTAGGTGGGAGACGTTGAACACAAGTACAAAAAGAAGCCATTGGAAGCTACTGCCACCAAGTCACTAACTCCCATCTGCACTGTACAAGGATGGAGACCAATTCAATGGATCTACAAATACTTCCCCACTCCATTTTTCCCCTTGCGGGTTGTTGGTTTACTGTTGTTGACTGCTGTTGGCTGGTGGCAAGCCTAGGAAGCTCCTCTCGGCACCTGGCGGGGAAGGGAAACGTGGGAAAACTAGAACTGTTGGGAGACAAGCCCGCCTGGGCATACCCCTGTCATCCAGTGAAATGAGACCAGCAATCACTATTCCCCAATGGAAATATCTTAGTTACGCACTACATACTGTAGATAGTGGAGTTGAGATCCTTTTTTCTTTTGGTCGGCTTTGTAAAGACCCGAAATGTCGTGGAGGGGCAAAACATACTCCAGGGTCTAAGATGAAGAGGCTGAGAGAGGTTGAGGGGCCGGCATTTTTGCTGCGGGTGAAGGTGGGGCCGTAAACAACCACACACAACCATCATGACAGCAGCACAGTACAGTAAAGGTCAACTCGTCTCATTCATTCCCAGTTAAGCCATGGCGCGGCTCCAGGATATTAATTGATGGGGTAAAGATAATAAATGACAATCCAATTAGTAGTGTGCGCATTCGTCCGTTGGTTGAGAAGGCAGTTTCATACGGAGACCGAACAATACGCCGGAAACCGCTTCGGAAGCCGGGTGATATCATGATTCCAGGGTAATATGCTATTATTGGAGAAGGGAACCATCATGACAATTGAGAGTTTGATCCATTTTATGATAGCAATGAAGAGTAAGCCGGTACTCTCCTCGTAAGCTGATAAACACGAAAGGCTATTTGTTTTAAAAGATGGTGATGTAATAACTAAGCATATCAGCTAACAATTCAACGGCTCAATTGGATATACTGAAGTTTTGTGCTCGATAGACTCTTATCATGATGCATGGCCTGATGTGTATCTCCAAGTGGCTTACATGCTCGGAACCCGACCCCCAGCTTATACAACATGTCACCATATCAGTCAAGATACACAACAATTTCCGACTTGGAATCACGGATTGAATGTCAACACCAAACTAGTTCATTCTCGCCTTGATCCCTTGGTATCCCCATATGATCAACCTCTAAAACACACTTAATACCTGGTTGGTAAGAGTAGAGGGGATAGGTCAGACTCATTTCGCGGTAAGTAAAGCTAAGCATTTCTTTAAACATATTCAGTGAATTGCACTGTATCGCTGTCATCGCCAGAGAATGCCAGCAGGGTATACTCATTCAAAGCTCTGGTCTTGTCACCAGAGTGGTGCCTCGCATCACAGCCTTGTAGCCCACTCCCCAAGGCTGAACCATCTCTTTATTCCCATGTCCATACACACCCCTACCCTTTATCACCTATCAATCTCCAAAAAAGGACTCAAAGCCACAGACGCAAGCCGCATGTTGGGAACCAGTCAGGGGTAAGTGGTTCCTCATGACGGCGTTGAGACTGCCAAACTCCAACGCTTCTCGGTGACGTCGTGACACTTCCTGTGATCCGGTACCGTTGACCTAAGCTTTTACCGAGCGGGAGCGAGATCGAGAAAGCTCGGCTCAGGGACAAGAGGTTTTGATATGGAAGGCTTGAAGAACTACCTAGCTGAATTGCACTGTGAGTGATCAATTGCCTGTTCAGTCATTTGGGCAACAATATTTTACTTCTTTTGAAGCCTGATAATTTTAATAAATTATGCAATACTATTGGAATGGATACTTTTCAGTTTGTAGTCCGAGGGTGTTCTTGAGCCTCATCTAAACCAAGACAGCTTCAGCCTAACCTCCACTTCCCTTGCCCAAGCATCCCTGTCTTGGCATCACATCTCATCTCTAGAAGCAAATTTATCTTCCCCAGCATTTCGAGCTTACGTAGATCCAAAGCACCGTACAATAGGTACTCACTGTTGTCTGTCAAATCTCTCATACAAAACAACAAACATTCGTCATTCCATACAAGATAAGATACAGCATCTCAGATTCAACAACACCACCAATAAAAAAGTCCCCCACTTCCCATTAGCGTTCTACCTTAATTATCCCACCCCCTTCAGACAAGAAAAAAAAGGGCCCTCCTCCCCAATTGTTGAGTTCCCCAATCTCCTCCCCCCTCTTCACCCAATTAAACAGCTCCCCTTGTTTTTCGGGGTCCCTTTTTTTCTTTTTCTATTTGATCCTCAATCTCCAGAGCCGCAGCCTCGCAGTCCGCGGATGTTGACCGAATCCCCAACAGTCGCGAAATGTCGGCAATGCAACTGGTTGTGTTAGTATTGAATCCCAGATCTTTGGTACTTGGTGGTTAAGCGGAGCCGAAGCTCGGCGATACGTACTCCGTATACGTCCTTGCTTGAACACATACGCGCATACGCACACACAGCTCGCATTAATGTTGAGTCGGATAAAGCCGTGTAGTTTCTTGCGTAGTTTGATATCTCATGCCATTATATCCTCCAATTGTGTGCACACATCGTTGATCAAGCGATAAAGATCCATGTTTGACCAGTCAAGGTTGCATCCGTTGTTCCTATCGACTTATCTCGGCTCAACACCTTGTATCCTCTCAACCGCATCTCAAACAGTGAGATCAGATCACGATTCGATCTGAAAATCGTAAAGTAAATTCCACACAAGCAACCCTAAATCTCTTGTATGAAAAACATGTCTAAATAAGTTGCACTTCACATCGCATATGGCTGGTGAAATCGTCATGAATTTGATCAGTATGTATTAGGCGTACCCAGTCTAGGCTTCATCTACCCCAGATCTCGAGCCAAGTGAAGATACTACTGTACAGTAAACTAAGTATGTATGTGTATCGCACGCCTCCACAATCTGTATCTACACCTCTCTCTATCCGACTTCAATGAACAAAGGAAATAATATTTCAAGATATAATAATAATAGTCCAGGCCATCCTAGACCTAGCCCGCGGGCCGTTGCTTCAGCCTTGTCAGACATCGTACGACTCCCCACTGATGTCCGCTCATCCCCCCCGCGAGTGCGAGCAACCTTACTTCAGTAAGAAAAGAGCAGCCTCGCATATCGATTTCTTCCCCAGTATTACCCGCTCCTTTTTGGCAAGCCGTTTTTAGAAAAATAGAGGCCATCCAAGCAAATCTGCCCGGTCGATGACTCGCTTTCGGAGCAGTACACCCCCGTCTCTCCAAGGCCCAGCCCGTGTGTGATGTGATTCGGATATACACCTTGGCCAGGCCCCTTCTCATCCCATCCATTCTAGTAACACAAAGAAAAATAAAAAAATGATAAATGCCATCCGTTTCTTCATAACTTCCGTAAACCCCGGTGCCGAAATCCCATGTACCCAAAGAAGCAGAAGTATTAGCAACAAAAGTCTGCCAGAGAGCAAGAATCGGAATTCCGTAACCATCGTCAACACCGTCTTCGCCGTCTTGAAGCGCCAGCCGTAAAAGTATGCCGTACCGTCCAACCCATATGCTTTGCAGAAACGGATATCAAATGTGAGGGGTGAAATGCGACCAATTTATGTGAACCGCTCGAACCGCTGTAAAAGTAAAAGTAAAATAAAACAAAAGCGACCTGATAGACTTGCAGAGCTATGTATGTGTCAACTGCTTAGTATGTCTCTCCCAGATCGCTCAGTTGTTTTCTCGGAGGTCCAGAGACACTGGACCTCATTGTGCTGGCGCTGATCCGCCGGCTGCCGCTTCGTCGACGGGACGCTGGCATGGGAATGCCACTTATCTCACCGCCTTGGCTTGAGTATGTGCCTCGGCGGCTTGGTGTTCGGAATTCACCCTCATCCTCTTCCTCTAGGTCAAGCTGGCTAATGCTGGTTGAATGGCCATGAAATCCCATGGAGGAACGAGATCGGCCCATAGGTGTTCGTACGCCTGTAAGTGATGCCCGTGAAACTGGTCGTGGAATTCCCTCGCCAGCGGCCCGTGAGGGTGGTCGAGCGTACGAAGTGACACTAGCACGAGAGCTTGGCCTGCTAATCTCATCGTGGCCTCCACGGTTCGGCAATGTTCCAAACGATAGGCGACTGACTCCGGACGTGCTAAGCCGGGGAACATGGCTACCCCTCGGCGTTGATGTTGGGATATTGGCGGGTGTAGGATCATCGCCTGTTACCGAAGACGCAGCAGAACCACTAGTGCGCTTGCGAGATCGAATCGTAATCGATGCAGGCATGTTGGTGGCGCTGTATACGTTGGTCCTGGGTGAAGCTCGAGGCGGCGTGCGACTCGGCCCAGGAAGCTTAGATCGTGCAGAGTGCACGCGAGCTTCGAGTCGCTGCATCTGTGCTGTGAGGGTTCGGATGTGGGTAAGCGAGTTTGAGGTGGGAAGCTTGTTCGAAGCAGAGCGAGGTCCAACGGCTCGCTGGGCAGGAGTGCGCATTGTGGTGGTGCCACCAGTCGAGATACGGCTGCCAGGCGCACGGGTTGTCGCAGTAGGAGGCTTGGAAAAGGGCCTGGGAGTGGTGCTGACATCGGTCGAAGGCAGACGCGAGCGACTAACAGTCCTGCGGTGGGCCGAAGGTCTTGAGGCTGCCACCTTGGGAAGAGGCGCAGAAACATCAGACATGGGAGGCGAAGGCGGATCGGGGAGTTCGGAAAGAGTATCACCGTCCTCAGTTAGTGACTTGGAATCCGTAGGTGTTGTGATGAGGGGAGAGCTGGCGGTAGAACCGGGAGAGGCGGGATGGCCGTCGAAAGTTGGTGAGGCAAGAACAGAGAGGTCGGTCGAGATGGTGGACAAATGTCTGGACTCCTGCTTCTTGATCTTGTCCTGGAGAACCTCGGCTTCGATCTTGAGGTCGCCGAGCTCCTCACGCAGACGCTGCGACTCGATACGTAGATGTTCACGTTCCTGCTCACCCATCTTAATCTCCTCTTCCATCAGCACCGCCCTCTCAATCGCTTGGTTGTACTTGGATTCCATGTCCTCCAAGGATGACGTGGTGTTGCGCGCCTGTCGCTCAAAGTCATCGTTGGCAACCTCGATATCCCTCAGCTTCAATTGCAAAGTTCGGTTTGTATCTCGAAGAGTTGTGATTTCCTTCTCGAGCGCATTCTGGGATGCGCTAGCCTCGGTCTTGGATTCCCTGTATTTCCTCTGTACAACGCAAACAAAGCGGTAGAGTCAGCCAAAATGTCCAGAGCTGCCGTCTCTGAGGATGTGGGGAATAATGGGTCGACATGACATACCTTCCACTCTTCCACTTCAAATCCCAAAGCTTCAGCTTTTTCTTGGTGATAACGCTCCTGCTTCTCTGCTCGCTCGATATCCTTCTCCAACTCTTGCTCTAGCTCTCTGCTGGAATCTCTGAATTCGGCGAGTTCGGACTCTAGTTGTTCATATTGCGCCTTGTACCATCCAAGGGTATCCTCAACGGTGGCCCCGGCGCCTGGCGGAGACGACGGAGGCTCAGAAGCCATCGTGGGTGGTAGAAATGGGGTATAGTGTTGTGGTGGTCGTTTATGTTGTCTATCGCATTGACACAGCCGAAAAGGAGGTAATGATCGTTATCAAGTAAATGTCGGGGACGGGATGAAAGGTGGCGCAGGCGATAATACGGAATACAAGAAAGATAAAGTCGTCGGTGAATTCGTTGAGTGATTTGATGTTGTCACTGCGCAACTGTCGCCATAGTCAGTCGCCCTGTTCCTGGGCGAAGTGGCGGGCAGATGTCGCTCACCGATTCCAAGAGGACCCAGCGTTGATCAGAAGGGAACAGACTGGGAGAGACGTTGGATGTGAATGAAGCCGAGTCGCAACCGCACTTGCTAAAAGTCTCAGCTAGATTGCGTCGAGTCGCTAGAATTCTGCTGCTTGTTAGTTAGTAGTCGCGGCCGCTGAAGAGCGGAAGTTCCATGGATAGGAAACGTCGCGCGGCGGGATATCAAAGGTTGTTGAATGTTGAATGTTTAGCCTGTGACCCTCGCTGTCTGTTGATGCGACACTTCACAGAACCAACCAGCCCCCCCATTCTCCTTACGCCAGCATCATGCACTATTCCTATATAGGAATGGTATATGGCAACCATGGGCAACAAGAGCATTTTCGTTCCTTTGAGGACCCCACTATTGGACAGCAATCAAGTGTCACATATCCATACACGTGACTCTCCTTATGACTCTTTGTGCCTGACTTGATAATCCTTCACCTTCATGTATGCGTTGGCATCGACCCAGATGTTCTAGACTAGTAGGTCCATGTCTTGCAGTACATCTATATTTCTCACTTATTTTTTACTTTCTTATGTGCATCACTCTGGGGGTCACGCATTGTCCTCCTGTGACGCTTACAGGGATCTGCCACTTGCTATGTCTAAGACCCGAGTTTCATAAAAGGGCTATAAAAAGATGCTAGCATTTATCAATATGATGCACACATATTCACCGCTTTGCCCTAAGTTGAGATGACAGGCCAGGATCAGGGTAATACAAAAAGAAAGAGGCATTTTTTAAATACACAACAGCACACAAAATGTCATCTGAACGAATCAATACTTTGATGTGTTTTGTCTCAAGTCATGATACCCACTCTCGTGCAGGGCAACATGTTTGTGGCTTCATTCCAAATGCACAGTGACATATGTTGTGCCTTCTTGTACGCTCTAATAATGTTGGTGAATTAAACAACAAACGCTGAAACGTCAAAATATCTCTAAGATGTCTATCGTCCCGCCCAGTCTTCATATTCTTCATAGTCTTGCCCCTCCCGCTCTCCATGCACCTCTAACCCTTCCCGCTCCTGCAGCAGCGGCACCAAAATTATGCAGCCTTTCCCCAATGAGGTAGGCCTCATCGCGGATGCGAGCGGTCCAACCGTTAAACACCTTGACCAACCCAATTGTATTCTTGATCAGTAGCGCAAATAGCGCCACGGCTGGGTAAGAGTGTCGATATATAATTGCAAGTCGTGCAGCCTCCGCCAGTTCATTCTCTCCAGGCTGAGTGCCCTGAATCAAATTATATTTGATGAAAGTGCCAGCAATTGCTGGAGGTCCAAAGATGGCTGCACCAGCAATCGCCAGGCCAGGGAGGATGAAAGCTCGTGTCAAAACACCAGTATCGGGTCGCATCCAGCCGCCTCGCGTTATGGTCCTAACAGCTAGAGCAAGGCGGCTATCCGGGAACATGGCTGTAACCATTCGAGCTGCGAGCTTCAAGTAGAGCAAGCCAAGTGTCCAGGCTTGGATGACGCGAACTGTATGACGGCTTGCTTCAGGGCCTCCTGCTCTTGATGCCTGAACGGACTCTGCTGTAGGGGGGTGCATGTAGGTGTGCAAAGGTAGTACAAGATATAGCTCCATAAGTCCCGAGACCAGCAGCGGGAAAACAATGTATAGGAAAAAGTAGGCGTATACCAGTTTAACTCCTTGCAACAAAACCGCAGCGGTCCGGCGCTCAAGTCTACCAGCAGTGAGGGACGCACGGACAGCTGAGAAGCCGTCTTGGATCTTTGTCCACACACTGCGAAGGTGAAAGACCAGATAAGCTGCAGTGCCCAGTAAATAAACACCAATACTAAATGCGTAGATGTCGTTCGTTCGGATGTGCTGCGGGATCAACATCTTGAACATTCGTCGGCCAAACACTAACGGAATGATGGTGAAGCCGACGCCTGTAACTGCCGCAAAGATCCAAATAAAAAAGATGAAAAGGAATATTCTCGCCCGGAAGTGTGGTGGTACATATACCATCTGGTACTGGTTGCTGGCGTAAAGATCGGCATCGTCTTGCCCGTCACTCCTTTGGCCATTTTCGTCGACTTCAAGGAAAACCTTTCTACCCTTGGGGATTTTCACACGATCCGAGGCAGGCGCCCGAACGAAATGCCCACTTTCGACGAGTTGGTTCGCCTCTTTCAGGTGGTTCTTGTGGCGAGTAAGCGAGCGGATTTCACTGTTGTTGAGAGGTGTCCTTGGCTTGGCATCGCCGCCATCGAAAAAGTCGGTCCATGTCTTGGGAACAACATTGTATCTGTTATTCAACTCCAGGAACAAGGTCTGGTACCAGGGGAGTTCTTGGTGTCCGGCGGGATTTCCAAGCTGCAGGCTTCCTTCTTCATCAATCTTCCTCTCACCAAAGAGGAAATAAGTGAGTCGCAAGCCTCTGGCGCAGGTTCTGAACCACCATGTGTACATGGCGTGGAGTCCGTCTCCTGGTTTGAAGAAGTTGACAGCAAGCGGCATGAGGAAGTTGTAGAACAAGAGGTCCACTGGAAATTCGAGCACTGGTTCGTTAGACGAGTAGTGGACTGGAAGAACTCCAGGGACTGCCCATGAGAGACCCCACACAACACCTCCCAGGCAAACGATGACTAGTGCACCGTATACAAAGGCCGAGAAGAGAATTTTCCTTAGTTGAGTGGTGAGGTTTCTCTCAAGAACATCGCGCACGGGGTGGAACTCGGGATCATCTGGATCGCGAATGAAATCTGTAGCATGTTAGTTGAAGTCTTCGTAAATGGCGCTGAAGGACTCACAGAGAACACCCTGACGCATTATCTTACGACACATCGATACAAAGAGTGCGAAATGGAACATGTATCCAGTACCAACGAACCAGTGGACAAATACCGAAGTAAGGGGATAGTTGTAGGTGAAAAGGAGTCGAGACTTAAAGGTCGTGTTCTCAAACAGGGGAAGCAGAGCGCCGTCCAGGAGAAGTCCACAGTAAAGGGGAAACACAAGCATCTCAATACTAATAATCATGATGACTTTCATAATGCCGCTTGCTTGATGCAGAGTATCAATGATACCAGCTTCCCAGGCTTGCAGGATGTGTCCTCGAGAGAATGGGCTTCCACGTCTGAGATAAAGTGCACCCAAGAAAAAGATTGTTGCGTAGCCTGATGAAATAGCCCAGAATCGGTCCAGTCCGGACCAGTGGGCCAGCTCGGGGTTGACGATGAGAGGTCCTTCAGACTCGCCAAGATTGATAACCCATGAGTTTGGGTTCAATAGCGCAGACGAAAGAGCAACCATCTGGGCCCAGGCAGTATTGGCTACCAAGGTGATGGTTTCCATGGACAAGTCGCTGTTCAGGAAGTGACCGCCAAGGATAAAGCCCAAGGCTTTGCTCACAATTGTAAAGAGTGTGCCAATGTTGCTTTTGACCGAAAGGAGTGCACTGTGGCTGATGGCGGAAAAGTTTTGCATCTCTGCAGCAGACATGGGAAATTCCATAAAAGTGTAGTCCAGAACTCGTGAACCAGCACTGGTCCAGAGGGCCCATGAGGCCTTCCTCGCCAACAGGACTTTGGCGCCAATAAAACCTCCAATGATACCGGTAAACATGTCGACAAGGTTAATGACAACCCATAGACCGAATCCAACTGCCATAACAGCTGCGTCTTGCAAGAGCTTTGAGAACTCGAATACCAAGCGGAGGAGGCGCATGGGGTTGGCAAGAATCCAGACACTGACACGTCCGAAATTGTAGGGGACAAAAATGCAAGCAAAGATTGCCACAGAGACGAGAACCGCACAGAAGATGGAATTCTGGAAGAGTCCGGCGACAGGACCGCGCATACCAATGAGCTCCATAACGCCTTCGAAATCTTCGAGGTCTTCCATGGCTTCTTGGTCAATTCCCGCACCGGGGGCATCACCCATATCCTCAGGCTCTTCGGGATTCTCGGCTACACCAAGCTCAGGAGGTGGGACCTCTGGATGAAGATCTTCAAGCTCGGTTTCCCAGCCATCAGTATCATCAAGTTGGGCGGCGACGTCGGTAGCCGCAGCCCCAACTGTCGTTGCACGTTGTATATCTTGTTGAACATCATCCAGATCACCCCACATGAAATCTGTCACTCGGTTGACCAAGCCAGGAGGTCGGTCATCTTCGACTGCTGGGACAGTGTTGACTTGTTGAGGTCTTTGAAGTTCCGATCGAAGCGGTTCTGACGGTTCAGTTTCGGGGACATCTCTCTCATCAAGGGAGGCATCAGGCCAGCTAGAAGGACCAGCTTCAACCCCTACATCATGAATCAATTTCTCGCTCTGTTCAGGTGCGAAAATTGATGCATGACGGTGCTCATCAGATGGCGGCTCATCTTGAACTATAGGGGGCAATCCAGCAAACGACCAGCTATTGTTGGCTAATGGGTTTACAGAATCCTGTAGTTGAGGGCCATCCGAGACAGCTCGAGGTCGGGAAAGACTTGTCAACGATCCAATAGGGGCCGAATCAAATTCTGAGTCAGGAAGAAATGGCGCCTGTTCTCTTTCCTTGCCTTTGGAGGAGGAATGTTCGGCATGTGCATCCATTGGTGTGTGAGATTCATCGGAGCCAGGTGTGAAGGCATTTCGGGAGGAGCTGGCAGCAGTTGAACCAAAGCTCCCTGCACGCCCTCGAATGGATTCTGTACCATGGACATTGATACCAGGAGTATCATCTCCTTCTCGAAGAGCCCGGCGAGTGACATCAACCCAGTATGACAATTTCCTTTCAAGCCCTTCTTCGTGGATGATCTCTAGAATCCTTTCATGGTCACCGTTGGCTTGGCGATAGATACGTAGATAATCGTAGACACTAGCACGTTCCTCGGCGGGGCTGATATCTGTGGGAAGATGGGCTCCAGCAGTATCTGCTTCGGCATATCCGGTTGCAAGACCCTCAGGAGGTACAAGCTCAGAGTTTGTTCGCCTGCGTCGTCGTGTTTCGGCCTGAACCTCGACAGCAAAGTCGACATCGTTGGCGGTCGCAATGGGTTCTCCAGTATCGAGGGTTTCATCATCCGATTCGTCCGGGCCAGGTAGATCTTCCACATCCTCAGGTCGAACTAGCATTGGTTCTTGTTGCGCCAAAGGGTTTTCGGGAGCTACGAATGCTGCACGCATGTTCATCTCCGGTTGTTGCTGGACCACATAATCCCGTACCAGTATGACCAAAATAAAGCATACTATGACTAGAATAGTGATTATCTGGCCTTCAAGAATCGAAATTACTGCTCGATTGATTGTGGGATTGCGAGTAAGATTGTTCAAGAAGGATACTTCTCCAAGCAATGTTGGCGGTATAGACGCAGATCCAGAAGTAGTCGTGTTGGCGGATTCAAGAGATGCATCCGGTCGGTCGGGCTTGCTAGACAAACCCCAGCTTCCCAGGAAAACTCGGACAAGGAAATCGCTGATATTCTGATCTGACAGGCCATCGAATAACGCCTTGGCAGCCGCCGAGGTCGTCGTGGGCGCAAATAAGGGGCTCGAAGGGCATGTATCGGCATCCAGAGCTGAGGCCATTTGAACTTCAGTGCTTGATAAGGTTGCATTGGCGTGAGACGCCGCAGAGTTGCCGAACCCTTCATCGCTGATCCAGAACATGAAGGACCATACGGTTCTCATAAAATACGGCAACCAGCACAGCCAAACACTAATGGCCAAAGCTCCACGAAGCCATACGAGAACATTCTGCAACAGATATCTTGCCATGTGTCCAATAAAGATGTGCACGGGCAGAGATTGGGGCATGTCGGGTGCGTATAGCTTGGTGAAACGGAAGGATGTCTTGCAAAGCTCACAATACTTTTTTTGTGAATGAGAGAGCCATTCCATCAAACAATCTTGATGGACATATTTGATACTACCGCTGCACTTGCACGGGTAGAACAATGGTTCCTCTGGTGTTCCTTCACCTCGACATATTCGACAAATACCAGGGGCGCCATCGGATGGCTGTGGAAAGTCGTCGGATCGAGTCGAATTACGGGTATGGCTCTTAGCCTTTGGGATCGAAGTTGGGTCTTCCATGATGACAGTAACAACTCGGCGAAAGCGAATCGGGAGAAATCGATCGCGCCCACAAGGGGCTTATTGTTGGAGGGTTGCCGACAGGAGCATGCGCCAGCTACCAGGATAGTATCCGAGGGGTCTGAAGGGAAAGACAAACTCCAGAACGGGAAGAGGTACCGGTGAGGAAGTACAAGTATGAACTGTGTTGAGCTGGAGGCTTCAACCTTCTTAGAGACCTAAGGTGTAGTACAAGTCCAATTCTCCTGTACCTCAGGCGTCGGATATTGCAAAGTGTCGCAAGAGTTATTCGTAATAAAGAGAGTTGATCAAAGTGTTGAGAGACGTGGTTGTTAATAATTGCCCGTGCTGTAGGAGGAGCCACTAGCCGCCACCCCACACAGTTGAGTTGAATGAACCCAACCTGAAAGTGTCTGGCCTTATTGCCTGCGGGTCGGGGCAGTAATATTCCGGCGATTAAGACCTCACGTGCTAGCAATCCGGATTGATGTCATGATGAAGATCCAAGGTGTACAATTTTCTTTGAGAAAGCAATTTCTTTTCTATTTTGATAAAATTGGAGATTGTTGTAGAGTTACTCAACAGTTTCTACAGTGGTCATGTCTTTGGTATGATGTTGTTTTAAGGTCCGATGGAAACGTGGTTGAAATTAGCTACAGGGCCTAATCTCGTCATTTGGTTACGTAGTCTGCAATGAAGTGTCATCAACGATTCTCCAAAATGCTGTAAAATAATTGACTATCAACAGAATTATGCAGATATCAACCAATTTTGAATTAATATTAACACTTCACTTCATTTGGTACCAGACAGCGGAATAAATGATATTGTTTAGGGTAACTGGCTGTCACTTTTTGGGAGCATCGCTATCACATGGGAATGGTTATCGGCTATACCTTTCATCCATGCTTCATTCAGGCCAGTTCAGTATGTCACTGCAGCAGACACGAGCGTCCAAAAGCTGTCAAAAACCTTCCATTCAAGCCTCTCATAAGCTTAGTCGACGCTATTTCTTGTTCTTGGCAAAGCTAGTCAACGATAAAGAACCATTGTTGACTCCTGTTATAAGCCTCCCTGACGTATTATGTTTGACTTTGACCCGAATGGGCCAATCATGACGAATTCTCTTGTCTGCGACATCAAAGAGGGCCCGGGGTAAAGCAAGCTTGGACTGTTCCTAATGACGTCGCAACCATGCAACTGTTTCGAAGCTGCAGTAAAGGATGCAAATCGCTGAGCGTAGCTTATCTGTTGCCGGCTGAACTTGGTGGAGTAATAGGGACATGGCGTACTGGATGACACCACTTCACAGAAGTGATGTACGAGCTAACACTAACAGTGCCTACTAACCTAGGATTGATTCCAGATCAAGGCAAGGCAACTGTAAACGACGTCAATCAGTGAATTGAATCCCTTTCTTCTCCTCTATTTTGATTTTCTTCTTGAACATCATTAAAAGCCAAGAGCTTTATATTGATTTCTTCGGTCGCTTTATTCGCCGTCTCGCTTCTGTCTCGAGCGTGTCGCAGAAAAGCTCCCTTCCCTTTCGCTTGCTTAATACTCGACACTTTAGTACAGCACGACCCCTGCTGCACCTTCGGTAGCGCACCACAGGTAAGCCAAGCCAGCATTGAATCCAAAGCTTCCAAAACTTTCGTAGGCCGAAATTTCTCTATAACCCCGAACTGACCTGATTCTCTCCTCAAGGCCATTTGTTCATTTCAGAGGACACTTTTGTTCTACGGCGCAACTTCTCGCGTACATTGTCGCCGAGATTATTGCTACCGTTCGCTTGCCCACTCGGCTATCGTTCAACGTCTTTCATCAACCATCCTCCGCAGTGCGCGTCCAGCTAGCTCGTTATCATGGCCGAGTCCGGCGGCTCGATCATGAATGGCAACGGCCACATGAACGGCAAGTCGAATGGAAAGCCTATTGCTGGCCGCAGAAGACCAATCAAGCAGAGAAGAAGTATTTTGGCATGGACTTTCAACGTCGTAGCTAGGTATGTTTTCTACGCGTCAATGCGCTTTATCTTATTGCTATCTGGCTGCTTTTTCACGATCCTTGCAGTCAGTGCATCGTCGTCCACCTAAGCTGACCACATTACCTTAGACTCGCGACATGGGCTGCCATCCTCACTGTCCTTTTCCGATGCCCCTCATCACTTGAGGAGTGTAACGAGACCTCTCCCTCTATCTGCAAACCTTACTTCCAGATCAAGAACACCGTGCAACCCCAAGTTCAACCGTACTACGACAATTACGCAGCACCCTACGTCGAGCTCGCTCGTCCCTACTACGACACTGTTGATAGCAAGGTTTGGCAGCCCACCCGTGCGTATGCTGTTCAGTATGGAGCTCCTTGGGTCGAGAAGGCGCGGGCGCACACTCTGGCTCAATGGGAGAAGAACGGACAACCTCAGCTCGTCAAATACCAGGCTCTTGCACGTACACATTACGACCAGTCTGTTGGACCCCATGTGAACAAAGCTGGCGAGAAGCTTGGTCCATACTATGACATCGCCCGTACCAATGGATTGCAAGTCTACTACGAATATCTGCAGCCAGGCTATGCCTACGTTCACCCGTACGCTGTTCGCGGTTACGATGCAGCCTCCGACTTTACCAAGACCACTGCGCTTCCTACTGCTTACTGGACTTACAACAAGACTTACTCTTTCCTCGACAGCAATGTCTGGCCCCACATTCGATCTGTCTATGCTCAGAGCGTTGAGCCGCAACTTGTTCGCATTGGTGAGCGCTTGGGACGTTACAAGAACAAGTCCAAGTCTACCCAGGAGAACTATGCTGCAAGGTATGATATCCTACCTTCTGATTGTTAACTTTTTCTAACTCATCCAGCTACGTGACAGGAACAACCGCTTCTTCTTTCCAGAAGCCTACTCAGAGCACCGCATCTGTTGCTTCCGTCGAGCCTGTTAAATCCTCATCTCAAGCTCCGGTTGCCACAGAGAGCCCCGAACCTGTGGTCGAGCCTCCTTCCCAGGAGTACATTAACCCCGTACAGGCCCCTCCTGCTACTGAGAATGAGAGCGCGAATCGACGCAAGGCCCGGGAGATGGTGGCTCAGGACCTGGAAACTTGGCAAACAAAGTTTGCCACACAGGCCGATGAAGGTGCTACCGATTTGGAAGAGCGCGTTGGTGAAATCGCCAAGCGTGTGATTCAGGAAAAGGTCACCACTCGTGGCAAGCAGCTTTTCAACGACCTTGAAGCTACAATTGATAAGGAACTCAAGAGTCTGCGAAGCAAGATCTCAACTCTCGCCGGATCAAAGGGAGAAGGTGCAGATGAAGAGATCGTTTCCGCTGTGCGAGCTTCTGGTAAGACCATCAAGCAGAAGGCACAAGCTATTCGACAGTGGCGCCAAACATATGACAAGGAGCTCCAGGAAACTGTTGTCACTGTTGCCGATGTCCACTTCCAAGTGCTGGATGAGACTAGAAACCTCGCCCTGCAGCAGATCGGTATGAGGTGGGCATGGACTGACGGAATCACTTACAAGGACTGGGCTAAGTACCATGAGCTCAAGGCTACTCTCAACGAGTGGACCGAGCAGCTCAAGCAATTGGTTGTTACCCACCCTGGCCTTCTCGAGGCTCAGGATGCCGCTGCACGAGTTGAAGACGAAGGCATGGAAATCGCCTCTGCCGCTGCCAAGGAATTGGCTCGGCTTAAGGAAGTCGCTCGTTGGAAGGTCACTGCTGGAGACGCATCAGACAACTTTGATAGCGACGCCATGAAGCTTGCTGCTGAGCAAGCTATTGCAGCAAAGGAAGCTGACGAAAAGACCCCTGCCCAGGAAGATAACGCTGCCTCTAGCGTCTTGGACGCCGTGGAAGAAGCTACCGCCGAGGCTGAAGAGGTCGTCGAGGAAAGCTGGGAGAGCTTTTGGGGCTCATTGAATGCTGAGCCCGTCAAGGAGGATGCCACCCAAGTTGCCGAAGCTGCTAGCTCGAGCGCCTCGTCCATCGTTGACGAACCTAACGTGATCGAGAAGGCTACCGAGGCCGCATCAAACAGTGCCGAATCTATCGCTAGCGGCGCCTCCAGTGTTGTTTCTGAGGGCGGGAAGAGCGCCAGCAGTGTCGCCCAAAAAGCCTCGGAGACCATTGAGTCGCTGTCTTCAACAGCATCCGAATCCGCCACCGCCGTCAGCGAAGAAGCTTCAAGTGAACTCTCGGAAGTGATTGATTCAGCCACCAATGTCGCAGAGTCAGATGACAGCAGTATGTCGAACCCCCTTGCCTCGCAAGCAACTGAAGCGCTTATCGGTGACCCCTTTTCGATAGTCAGCAATGGTAGTGAAGAGCCCCTTGCGGCCGATGGCAAGGAGCCACTCGTCGAGATTGAGGAGGACCCTGTGATGCATCGAGACGAAACCCCTCTGTCTGACCAGTATGAGCATGTCAAGCCTGCTTTCCTCGGCGCTGCCGCTCAAGAGGTTCCTCACCGACAGATTGTCCTCGACGACTACGTCGATACAGATGCGATTGCCAGCGCTACCGACGCTGCTCAGTCTGTGTACTCAAACGCTGTGTCTCGTGCGTCTGAACAATACTCGAGCGCCCTCTCTGTCGTCTCTGCTCAAATTTATGGAACCCCCAAGCCAGTTCATGAGCAGCTCCTCTCTTCTGTCTCGGACTCTTATGACAAGGCAGTCTCTGCTGCTGGCGATCAATTCGACAAGGCCAAGTCTGCCGCTACAACCGCTGCTTCGCAATTGCCTGCCACCACTACTGTTCCCACCTGGCTCGACTGGGAGCGCATTGAGTCTATTGCATCCCAGAGACTGAACGAAGGACGTCTTTGGGCTGAGGTTCAGTACCAGAGTGCTCTCATCGCTGCAGGACTTGCTACACCCACTCCTTCTTCAGCTCCTGATAAGTACCTCCAGCAGGCTAAACTCAACTATTTCGCTGGCCTTGGTATGGCCCAGGACCGATACTCTAGCTTCCTGGCCGGTGCATCCTCTGCTCTCTCTTCTTTGACTGCCACCCCTACTCCCACCGACCTTGCTGGATCTGCCTCTTCCGCTGCTTCTGTGGCTCGTGAGTCGGCTGCTTCAGCTGCTCAAGCTGCTGCCGATGCGGCTGGATCTGCCTATTCGGCTGCTGATGACACTGTCAAGTCTGTAGTCAAGGCTGTGGATGATACCGTTTCTTCTGTCGTCGATGCTGCCAATGAGCAAATCTCCAGCGCTGGTCTGGCTATTGGTGACTCTTGGAACAGTGTTATTGAGCAAATCAGTGGCCAGGTCTATGGCGAGCCAACACAAATTGCCTGGTACGAGCACGTCTGGGGTGATGCTGGTTCCTACGCTTCCAAGGCTACCGACGCTGCTTCTGATAAGGCTTCTCTTGCCTCTGAAGCAGCTGCGGCATCAGCCATCACCGCCTCCGCCGAGGCCATGAAGCAGTACGAGGCAGTAAGCGGTCTTGTCTCTGAGCTCATCAGTGGCAAGGAGCCTTCTTTCACTGACAGCGTTCTGTCTCGATTCCAAGCAGCTTACGCTACCGCCGCTGCCAATGCCGAAAGCCTCAGGAGCCAAGCCAACGAAGCTGCCTCATCTGTTGGCGACCGGGTTGGCAGCGCAGCTAGCGGTGCTACCGAAGCCGTCAAGGAGAACTTCCAGCGAGGCAAGGATGAACTGTAAGGAGCGAGTCGACTGGGAGGAATACTCTTTCGGGCGATACCCTATATGAAATGACGATCGTTTAATGCCATGGATGACGCGGAGGAAGCTTACAAGAATGAATCGAAGAGAAGTGTGAAAAAGGTGCAGGACACGAACAAGGACGTTGGTGTGTTTGATTGGGGATTGGATCTTATTTGTTATTGACGATGACCGGCTGTTATGTATTTTTATGATTGCTAGCCCTAATTGCACTCCATTCAAAGCGATAAGGCATTCAAAAGTTGTGTGTCTTTAGTTCCGAGTCATGGATGTATTATTTGTGAGCACTCCGGAAACACTCAGTGTGATGAACGGTATGAATCCGTAGTATCGACCCTAAGTACGACTTATAACCCAAGAGTATCAATTCACCACCCAAAGCAAGTAAATCCCTCCAACACCTGCCAATATACCCCGACCCAAAACCTAAACCCAATATCATTATCGTTATAACCCAGCGCCTATAGTGCCCATGTTCCCATTCCAATATCCATTTCGCTAGTCACCCCAAGTCGTTCTTTTAAAACCATTCGTCGAAGCGCCACTCCAAATCCATATCCTGTCCAAAATCGTACTGCTCAAGAGGCGCTTGCACAGCTCTCACTTGCTCCCATTCAATGTTATCCTCCACTGAAGGAAAAGAGAGTTCTCCACCCGTCTGAGCAACGATCTCATTAAAGTAAGCGAGTTGTTCGTCGGATAAGAGCTCTGCTTCAAAACTGGCTTCGATTTGCCGGCGATCATCCTCGTTTAGGAGAAGAATGTCGTCTGAGAGAGTAAAGTCGTCCCCATGCAGGTAGGATACATCCTCGTCGAGGATCGCACTGCTCGTTATAGCAGGTATTTCCTCTTGGAAATAGAACTCCTGGATCATACGGTCCACTTCTTCGTTGTCTAACCATTCAAGTTGAGATGTAGGAGAGGAAAACATGAGTTCGACGTAAGAGGGTTGATCACCATTGGTAGAGCTCGCAGGGAGAGTAGCGCTCTCGGTCGAATAACCCCTTTCATGGGATGTAGAGAAAGATTGTTGAGGTGTAGTAGAAGGCTCATGAGGCATGGGGCAAGGCTCAATATTGTCGTTAGGCCATAGTTTGTCTTCAATCAAATGCTGGGGAGTATCGTTGGAAATCCAGCAGTCCCTGTTACAGCGTTGCGCAAGGGGGCATCGTTCGACGGACCAGACATATTTGTCTTGGACGATAGGATGACCGCAAGTAGAATAAACGTACCGCACCGGTTTGCACATGTTGGATTGAATAGCACTGGTAAAAGAAGATGTCGTCAACGTCTGTAGTTTTAGAGAATTGAAAAGCCAAAGCTCGCCAACCCCAAGAAATATACCGAAAGTAAAGAGTAGATTTTGGTGAATCCCTGATGTTTCTTTTTTGAGAATATCCTCTGAGAAAGAATCGTTGCAGTTTGTTCAATGCATCATTGCACTCAAAGGCACTGAACAGTGTTTGCAGTCAACACAGCATCACACTCAGGGTCAAAGAGAAAATGAACGATCGAGGGCGGGAAAGCAAACGGCTAGAGGTGTTGAAGAGAAAGATTTCGGGGAGATGCACTAAGATTTACAAACGGGGGTAAATTCGTGAACAATGAGTTGGTATGGCCTTGACAATAGGTAGGCCTACTTGTGTAGTTGCCTAGCAAAAAGGAGGAAATTATGGGCAACCTGATGAATTGGCGGTTCTATTCATTAACATTCATTGAACAATGTATGAGATTCTAATAACTACAGCGATGCGGTATCTTGTGAGGCAATGAGGTCCATCTCACCATACAGCGTCAAACTCGACGATCAGTGTTATTTTACAAGAACCACCAATACAGGCACTGTAACAAAGATTCGCATAACGAATAACAGTTGTAGACAATGCTTTGACAAGCAGATGTGTGGTGCAACGGATTCAGGTTAACAGGAGGTATCTTTCTCTACTCAAATTTCACATGATAAGACAGCAAGTGATAGTTTAGATCAATTTATTTTTGCTTTATTTCAATCGAAAAAACTTCGATATATCAACTCATCCAACCAATTCATTTTATCGCTTTTAAATGTTTGTTGGGTCACTCCTAAGCGCCGGTAAGCCATCCCATATCAATAACCTAAGACCGCTGGTCCTTGTCTTGGCAAGGACTTGTCTGTTCCCTTCTAACACCCTTGAATGCAATAAATTCGTAAAAGGCGACTTTTAGTCGCGATTAAAGTACTCCCGCTGCCGTTTTAAATGTTGAAGGTCAAAGGCCGGTAGAAGAAAATAAAAATAAGTAATGACACATGTTCCTCAACCAATGCTGTTTGGTATGGAGGCATGGCAGATATTTTTGAAAAGCAGTTCGTCATCGTCATGGATTAAGTATCCGTCTGTGTTCATGAAGGTGTGCCGCGTTCTTCAACACGCTCGCCCTCAAAGCTGTAAATGCGGACCTCGCCATCTTCACTGCCACTCGCCATGCGGCTGTCGCTGAGACCAACACAGGTGACAGGACCGGCGTGGCCAGTGAAGCTGCGTTCACATTTTCCAGAGCGAGGCTCCCAAATCTTGGTCATGGAGTCATTAGCACCAGTAACAACACGAAGTGTGTCACCAACGAGACCCCAAATGCCTTCGACATGACCAAACATACTGCGGATGCACTTGCCACTGACAGTGTCCCACAGGCGAACAGTGTTATCAAGTCCACCAGTGAGCATATAGCGTGGGGGAAGGGGTCGGTCGGGATTGGATGTGAACCCCGAACCATATGACGCCCGAGCATCCGCAATCTGTTCCGAAGGCTCTGCAGGAGGAGTATTGCTTCGGCCACTAGATACTGAAACGGCATCGGTGTTGTCCAAGCTGGGCACCTCATCAGGCTCAAAATCCGCAGGCATCAAGAGAACTTGCTGGACTTGGCCAACGTGACCAAGGAATGTCTTGATGCATTGCCTAGACTCAAGGTCCCAGAGTTTGACCGAGAGATCATCAGATGCCGAAAAGACAACACGAGAAGGCGAGTCCATGCGTACATGGTTGACCCAGTCAGTATGGCCACGGAGAGTAAATGTTTCTTTGGTCTTGAAGCTAGAAACCTTGATCGTCTTGTCGATGGAGCCAGATGCCACGGTACAACCATCATAGTGGACTGTCAACACACCCTCACCATGACACTGAAGCGTATTCAAGCACTCTCCAGTCTGCCAATTCCACACTTTGATGGTCTTGTCGAAGCTACCGCTAATCAACTTGGAATCATCAAATTGGAGAGTGCGAACTGCCGACGTGTGGCCTCGTAGCGTGCGTATGACTTCTCCTGTCTCAATATTCCAGATCTTGATGGTCGTATCGTAAGAGCCTGTCGCAAGGATGTTATCGTCGAACTGAAGGCATGTCACGCCATTTTCGTGACCCTTGAAGGTCTTGATAGAGCAACGGCCTGTCTTCCAGTTGTACCCCACCTTGAAGCGATCGCGGTATACATCTTTCCATGGTCGAAACTTGCGCTCTGCTTCAAGCTGTTGTCGCGATTTGGAAGGATTGGCCCGAGAGCGCTTAACAGATCGATCGCAATCTTCGTGTTCGTCGTCGGTGGCCTGACGTTTTCGTGAGTCGCTAGGTTGTGTCTCAGCCTCGTTGTCGATCTCAACCACGTCGGCGGCATTCGGTTGTCGGTGGTTTTGTTGATGGCGGCTCCACGCCTGAAGTTTTTTCCTTTCGAGCAAGGGCAGACCCCAACCGCACTTTGTGCATTTGCGGTCAATATGTTGTTCACACATACGATGCCAGACTACATCATCGTCGGCAAGGCTTCGCCATCGACGGCTGACCTGGGCGGCTTTGCAGAGGGAGACTGTATCGAGGTAGGATAAGATCTTGTAGGAGAGTTCGGTAGGAAGTGCAGCAAGGAAATCAATCTTGAGCTGCTCCTGGACTTCGCGTGATACTGTAGAGAGCTGTGGAAAGCAGCATTGTGTAATAATTCCCTGTAGCATCAAGTCACGGTGTTTTGACGGAGCAGCCGAGAATAGAGACCAAACGTGGGTGATGGCCTCCTGATCGGCGGAAGATAGACTGTTCAGTTCCTAGCGGTGAGTTAGCAACTGTCACTGCGATCGGCAAGACACCAGCTGAGCTTGTTGAGCCGGAGACACTCACACTTTGGATGAAGCCCATCTTGGACTCATCAGCTGCGCGCCGGCATTTTGAATCGGGTCTGTGACGGTAACAGAACTTGCTGTTGGGATCCTTCTTTCGTACTATGGTTGTATCATTGGTGGAAGGAGGAGATAGAGGCATCGATGCTTTGCCAAAGGGTGCATAGAGACCAGGAATGTGTTCCTTGAGGAACGGACTGACAGTCTTGCCAACTAGTTCGGAAGGCATCTTGACGAGTCGTGGGTTGATTTCTTGGTCGGATCTTTGTCGGTCGCAGTTATTCTTGGAAGGTTGTTGCTGTGAGCTGTCCTCAAGCTGTTCGGTGTCGGTATCGGTGTCAGTGACTTTCAAAGAGTCACCGTTGGTGGTAGAGGGGAGAGATGACGAGGTTGTATCGGGTGCCACCGAAGAAACAGTAGCATATTTTTGTAAGAGGTTTGTTGTTGACTCGGAGATAGTATGAGATGTAGACGATCCAGTAGAAATATGATTCAAAGATAAAGTTGAGGTTTCGGGGGCTGCAACAGAGTCGGAGTGGCCCCGAACAGTGTTGACGAGCGCAGGGCTGTCCATGGCGCAGAGGTATGTGTATGTACTGCACGGTTATCAAAGACCCAGGGGTGGGAAATTGAAAGTTGCGCGATGATATGGTTCAATATCGCAACGCCCTGACTGAAGAGTAACCGGATAGTCGGGGTTGTGATTGAATCTGGGGAGGCTTGGAGGGATCTATTCTGAGGCAAAGTGACTGGTGGATGGCGTGCTGAGTCTTAAAGCGCTATGTCCAAGGTCCACTTGAAACAATGCAACAGGTGGTTCTTGGCTTTTTTGGACGCTAATTGGATTGCGGAAGGAGGTGAAATTGGCGGTGATTTGTTCTTTTGTCTCCGAAGGTGGCCTTACATATACTTTGTTGTAGCGAATGAATATTAAAACCACAGTCTGACCGATAGGTGGTGTCAAGTGTCAAGGTGTAAGTGGGAGAGGATGTGACGTTTGGAGGCAAAGCAACAACCTTTGTGAGAGAGAGAGAAAAGAGTAGGTTCGGGTCGTCGGGGAGGGACCCTCTTTTCCGAATGGAAAGTGACAAATTTCCCCTTTGGTACTCCTACGTACTGATACCTGGTATTTGATGGAAATGGCGGGGGAATGAGCAAGGGGTCTTGTTCTCGCTATAGAGTGTATCGATTCAACAGGCGCAGTATCTTTTACCTACTTACTGTGCTAGAACTTGACAGAACCCAACATATCACGATGGCTTTACTTCCTATCTTCTATATCTAATCGATTACCTGTCTTCGTCTTCTACCTACCTATATCAACATAGTACAGTACAGCACAGTACCTGCTGAGATATGCGCCAACTTTCAGTGTAACCCCACCAGTCATCAGCTTCCATGCTCGCACTGATTTGAGCCCTGAGGCGTCTTTCATCCAATCATTTCACAAGAAGCTCTTTCGAATTTTGAGACTTGGATGGCGTTATCAGCGACCGATCGGGCGGATAGTCTGGGGACTGCTCGCTGTAAACGGCGGATCTCCCGTACAGAATACGGCAGTCGGTCTTAGTAAGTCTAGAGGCTCTGCTTATTTGAGATGCGAAATGGTGGCATTTGCCACTTGAAGTTTTTATCAGATTAACTAATGAGGTTTCAAAATCGACAACAAATTATTCTAGGGACTTCTGAAAGACATACGAAAACTCCCTAGTGACTTGACGCTATCCGCGCTTGGGCTCTAAAGGTCCTGCACGAGAACGGGTCACTGACGGGGCATGATCTGAACCCTTTTCTCTGAATCTCAAGACCCTCAATTGACGATAGCAAGGAGATGTTTACTTAATACCCAGTCAAATTATCATTTATCGTGAATCCAATCCACTTTATGTTTACTTGCAGTATCGCTTATAGTGTAGCAGTACTAAAGGTTGTCGGCAGATGGAAAAGAATATGGGTCTTTGACTGCCGCAATATCCTCGTCTTTATTACATAAAATGCCCTCATCGTCGTAAATTTCCACTTAGTGTCTCCTCTTTTTACGTCTTGTTTTCTCTCCGGCAACCTGTCAGAGTAGATTTTCGCATTATGTGGTTCTGGACCGAATTATGCGCCACAGACAGCCATAACACCGGATATCTCGAGACTGGATTTGGAGTTTTAACACCATCTATCTAGCTTTGGAGTCATGTAAAATTTGCCCCTTGATATGATGTGATTTTCATGGTCGTAACTCAAGAATTAAGCTTTGTCATCAAGGGTTTTCGCCATTCCGACGTCCGAATCGACTCATTGGCTTATCAACCCTGAGAAACACTTACAAATAATCCTCACCTGGGGGAGCGTATCTCGGCATGTTGGGACTTTGGCTTTGCCTTGAACTGGCATGACCAAGTAAAGCAACCAATATGCTATCAGTCCGACATTGTAAACTTTTCTTCCTAATCACATCATCGTAGATGAGTTGTGACGCTGAACTATAAGGTGAGCCCGTGCCAACTCTTTGCTATGGGAACCCTGCTGGACACTGATTCCGTAAGCGTTCAGTGTCTCATATTTCAGTATCTCCTCGACTTTTTACTGAACCTTACAGGATCAAACTCAGCAACGACACGTGTGCGACAGCGCATCATAACCAATGGCCATCGTATCATAGTATAGCAATCTTCGACTTCGGAGACTTTTGTAGTTGTCCTGAACAGGTAGGAGAGTATTTCTAGGCCTCAAGACCACCGAAAGTTCCCTTGTAGCCCCTGGCTGGCATGTACTCAGTGTCTTGCGACATTTTGTGTCGGTGTGGTGAAATCGAAGCAAAGCAAATATCTTGTCCTGTCAAGGTCTGTGATTCGACTGTTGAGACGCGGAACATATGCAACGGGCGTCTCCATGCAACTAGAAGGTTTTGACAGCAAGTTAATCACTTGTTGATCAGAATTTTCATGCCTAACTAGTTGATGCTTCAATTCCATGCGCGTGGTGTTTTGGTTGAGCTTGGATAGGGTGTGGTGTTAAAGTTGATGAGATGCTGAATTGCAAGATGAACAGGTAGACAGGGTGAGTGAGTACCATTTGGATCAACAGCCATTCAAGGAGTAGGAATATGACAAGTCAGGGATGATACAGTCAGATTAGCGAACGATGGCAACTGCAGCCCGTTTGAAGGTGTCTTTCAAGATATCTGACATGCATATCAACTCACCCTACAACGAGACGTGAGAGAATCAAGCGATTTTATACTAAACTTGGAGCTTGTTGCTCCATCAACAAGTTCGGTGAGATGGCCGAGTTGGTTATGGCGCCAGGTTAAGGTTAACCTTAACACCAATTTCCTGGTGGAGCAATCCTCCTGGGTTCGAGTCCCAGTCTCATCAGATTCTTTCGCTATCTTTTTGCTTTTTGTCCTTTTTCTTTTCCTTCGTCCCTTGTATGTTACTCACGCTGCACATCTCATATCAATGAGACGATTAAATGCATAGCCACTCGGCGTTAACCACGAGGTCTTGGCTATGGCTTTGAGCAAGGCTAAAATTGCAGTGAACGAAAATCGGAATGTAACTTCGGCTGTCTGCAAGGCCCAAGGAGGCTTAAAATTGCAGCAAAAGAACAGCGACAAGTAGGTATCGCAGTTGGCTAAATCCGAAGCAACCTTGCCTTCCACAAGTTTCTATCAAGACTTCAATCATGGCTTCTTTCAGCTTAGTCGCTAAGCCTGACAGTGTTCTGATGGATTCAGGCCTTTGCTTGGTTAGTGCTCAAGTGAATCTGAATACACTGGCCCCGGTGCAATATGCGCACCATCTCCTCGTCTGTATCAGTCTTTACGCCCTTATCACGACTTCATTCATGATTGAATTGTGTCGAGACAATATGTCTTGGTCTGTAATTTGCTTCTGCCAGCCCCTGCCTTATCTTTCACCAACAATGACTTCAGCGCATGGAAGCACTGACCTCAATATCAACACTAGTAGCACCTCAGCATCATAGATCGTTGATACGACTCACAAATCGCCCTGCCGTTGTCTCATTAACAACATCCAAGATCGAACTCCACCAGACAATAGATCATGAAACCACCACTTAACGCGTCGGATTTGTCTGAAACGCGAATCTTTCGCGGTTGGAATATTGCCACTTGCATCACATCCTCCCAGCCACGCGGTGACTGATCTGGATAGAATGTGATTAAGCTCTCGGATCGGAGATTGTCCCTGGTTGATGGGACAGATCAGGGGCACTAGAGATCGGGTTCGGAAGTGCTTGCAGCTGGACTAGGAGTGCTCTGTGCTGTTTGTTCCTGGGAAGATGATTCATTGAATCGGCCATCGTTTGATGTCGTCATGGATAGATCGAGCTGCGATAGGAGAAATGACGGAACTGTCGTGGTTAGTGAGAACGATATGACAATTGAAGGGTAGAGCTGAGATGTATAAGATGGGAGCTCTTCTCGAGTGAAAAGGGAACAATCTCATCACAGCACTCATCAACACTCGTCAACACTCATCTACCACTTACAACAACTACCTTCCCAACCCATCAAACAACAATCATCATGTCTGACCTTGAGAGCGCTCCCTCTGCCTCTTACGAGGACAACTCCTACGTCTCTCGCCCTGGTGAGAAGGACCAACCCATCGCTGTCCAAGCCGACTCCGATCGAGTTGAGGATCCCATTGACGCCGAGCAGGCTGACACTGATGCTCAGCTTGGTAAGTCAAACACTTTCCATGTTTGATCGAACTATGCTAACATGATGATAGAGCGCGACGAGAAAGATGCCATTGACCAGAGCAACATCATCGAGGAGCGTACCCGAGGTGCTGCCCAGCCTCGAGGCACATACCAGGAGCCTGGCGATGAGGAGGGTCTTCCTTCCGACGATGGAACAAGCTCTGTCTAAACAAATGATTCAAGCGTTGAAACGATAATTGAGCGAGTCTATATGTATAATAGATGTTTTGGAATGAAATAAATATTTGGTAATATATACGATCTAGGAATAGTGACAGTTTATATGTAAACGTTTACAACGATGAACTGTGCAAACTCTTTTAATAATCCCCTACCTTGACTTACCACAACCTTGATGCTGTTTCTGGTGTTGCTAACGTGTTGTGTTTGTCATGTCTCGCCCTTGTCCATCAGTCTGCCTATCTGTTCGTTGGTCTGGTTATCATTGTTACTGTGATCTCGGGAAATTACGAAAAGCTGTCGGTCATATAATCCAAAGATCGACAAAATTTCCATACTGATAATAATCTGTGATGACTATTTGCAGTTCATGGTATGATATAACTATCAAGTCTTTAATGATGTGGTGTAGAGTATGTTGTTGTTCAACGGGTGTTCGTTTGTGAAGTCTAACACTCAACTTTAACAAGAGCATATTTGACCTTTCGTCTTGCAGTCTTGACGGAGAACTCACTTCTAAGAGAAAGAAAAGAAAAATCGCAAATAAGATGACAACACAACAGAGTAAATGGAATACAGCCCTTGTTGACGATGGTGTAAATCGAACAACACTTACATGATGATAGATCCAGGGTAGCTCCAAAACGAATGACGAGATCCCCCGCCGGGACCGCAACGGGAAGCCCCACTCACCCGCATCGAAAATCTCCTCCACCAAAAAAGTGTCAAACGCGACAGCTACACTTTTCCTTTCCCATCTTCTAACACATACTTGTCGCAACCGATGCAAGCATGGCGGCAGATAACGAAGGTCCTGCCGCGAGTGGCGCCAATGACGCTCGCCCGTCAGGCGACTCCAATGCCGCTCAAAACAATGAGAATGGCAACCGTCGCAACCCGCGTCATGACCACAGAAAGCCTGGCAAGGGACGTTCAGAGAAAGGACGAGGAGAGTGGGGGTAAGTTTTCTTCTCAATTAATGGACTGAGTACAGTTGCCAACGGCGCTAACTAGATACTAGTCGTGAGAAAGGCGACAAGCGCAAGAAGAACGACGAGTTCAAGGAGTTCAAGCGTCGCAAACTGAACAAGCAGGGCGAATCTGCGGATGGCGAATCGAGCAACAACCCCTTCTCCAAGGATGAAATTGCTGCCGAGGAACGACGACCCAAGCGAAAGGTTGCTGTCATGATTGGTTACGCAGGCACTGGTTACAAGGGAATGCAGGTCAATGGCAACGAAAAGACCATTGAAGCCGACTTGTTCAAGGCTTTTGTCGCTGCAGGCGCCATCTCCAAGGCCAACGCCGACGACCCCAAGAAGTCGAGTCTTGTTCGATGCGCTCGAACGGATAAGGGTGTGCACGCAGCTGGAAACGTCATCAGCTTGAAGCTCATTATCGAGGATGAGGACATTGTCGACAAGATCAACGCCGAACTCCCAGACCAGATTCGAATCTGGGGTATCCAGCGAACCAACAACGCCTTCAGCTGTTACCAGACTTGCGACTCCAGATGGTACGAGTATCTCATGCCTAGCTACTGTCTTCTTCCTCCTCACCCCGAGACCTTCTTGGGCCGTAAGTTGGTCGAGTTGGCCAAGGAGCACGGTGTTGAGGATGAGCTTACTGCCAGAATGGCAGATGTCAAGGACTTCTGGACCGAGGTGGAGGAGAAGGAGATCAAGCCTATCCTCGCTCGATTGGATCCCGAGACCAGAGCTGCTGTTTTGGAAAAGGTTCATGTCACCGATGATGAAGAGATTGCTGCACAAAAGGCGGCCGCAAGAGGAACGGATAATGCCGCGCCGACCGAGGAGCAGCCCGCTACTGAAGCTCCTGCTGAAGAGGCTATCGAGAAGACTGCTGAGTCCGAGGCCCAAAGCACCGTTGTTCTGGAGAGCCACAAGCCCAAGAACCGCGAGCTTGGCCCCATTGACTTTGCTCTTCGGGACATCAAGGCTGCTTACATGGCCGCGAAGCGACGATACCGGGTCAGCACTGAGCGTCTGAACCGCCTTCAGGAGGCCCTCGACATGTACAACGGCACAAGAAACTTCCACAACTACACTGTCCAAAAGTCATTCTTCGACGCCTCGGCAAAGCGACACATCAAGTCGTTCATTGTTAACCCCAAGCCCATCATCATCAATGATACGGAATGGCTGTCCCTCAAGGTTCACGGACAGAGTTTCATGATGCACCAGATCCGCAAAATGGTCGGTCTGGCCAGTCTAATCGTTCGCTGCGGTACCCCTATGGAGCGTATAAAGGAGAGCTATCAGAACCAGAAGATGGCTATCCCCAAGGCCCCTGGTCTCGGGCTTTTGCTCGAGCGACCTGTTTTCCACAACTACAACCGAAAGGCTACCGAGTCACTTGGAAAGGACGGAATTGACTTTGACAAGTATGATGACAAGATCCAGGCTTTCAAGGACAAGCAGATCTACACCCGAATCTTTAGTGTGGAGGAGAAGGACAACTCGTAAGTATTGACGTATGCAGCTGTCGGACAAGGCGCTAACAGGACATTACAGGTTCCACATGTTCTTTAACCAGATCGACCAGTTCAAGACAAATCACTTCTTGTGGCTCACGGCTGGCGGCATGAAGGCTGCCGAGATCAACAGAGACACTACAGGCGAAAAGGTGCAGCGGGATGTCGATAAGGAGCTCGGCGACGAGGATGAGGAGGACCCCGAGGGCGGTGAGGGTTAAATGTGTAACACTAGAAACCGGACAAAGTCATGTTTATGGCGATCTGTTATGAAGAAGCATTGTTTTATCCTGATTTGTTGTCGGACGTTTCGGAAAGGATGTCACATTGAAGTTGTCTTGGGTATGGTTGAGCTGCATCAGTTGCACGACATTCATGTCTTAGATCCGAGTTTGAGTTGCTTTGAAATCATGTCTTGGAAAGAACCTGTACTACGAGTTACCTCATAACCTTGAATCGTATCAAGCCATGAAATGAAATATGCCGTGTAAGTGATGTGATTTCCATTTCGAGGAGACCCCACTAGCGATCTAACAAGGAGTTCCATCAAAACTCAAACCTCAGGCATCTAGATTCGAGATTAGCGATAAGCGCACGGACCACGCACAAATCGCACAGGGCTTGAAAACCCCAATTTAGCGACCCTCTGGCTTGCTTGACCATCTCAAAATTTACAACGGCCCTCGCAACACCACTCAACTCCGTCGTCGTCAATCCACGTAGTCGAACCAGCCGTCAAAATGAGCGCCCAGGCCCTTAACAAGATCGCTCCCAACAGCCCCTCGAGGCAGAACCCCTCCGAGCTCGAGTCGAGCATCGCCCAGGCTCTCTTCGACCTCGAGTCCAACACCTCCGATCTCAAGGTCGCTCTCCGACCTCTCCAGATCGTCTCTGCTCGTGAGGTGAGAATACCGTGAACAAAACAAAAAAACCTAGGTGCTCGTTTCTTCGAGAAATCCTGTTCCCACACAAGAAAATTGTCCTTTTGCAATGGCATGACCCTAGCGTCCACTCCTCTTTTCCCGCCTCACGACCCGCGGCACACACTGCTTTTTTCCTCGTCGAGAAGATTTTCAAAGATGTAATAATCTTTGGAGACTCAGAGACTGGAAATGGAAGAAGCTTGAGTGCACATATTCCCATGTCGTCGGGGCGGGGAGGCAGTGCCCAGCCGGAGTATCATTGACTTCTGTGGAACAGGACGGGAAGCGGTCCAAGGTTTCGTCCTGGAGCTCGCATGCTGACTTGGGATCTTAATTAGATCGAGGTTGGCCACGGCAAGAAGGCTATTGTCATCTTTGTCCCCGTCCCTTCCCTGCAGGGCTTCCACCGCGTCCAGCAGCGGTAAGATATCCTTTCCCTAGACTCTAAATCATCAACTAATAATGTCTAGTCTCACCCGTGAGCTCGAGAAGAAGTTCTCTGACCGCCACGTCCTGATCCTCGCTTCTCGCCGCATCTTGCCCCGCCCCAAGCGATCTGCCCGCTCTCGCAACAACCAGAAGCAGAAGCGACCCCGTTCGCGAACTCTCACCGCCGTCCACGACGCCATCCTCGAGGATCTCACCTACCCCGTCGAGATCGTCGGCAAGCGCGTCCGCACCAAGGAGGACGGTTCCAAGCTCCTCAAGGTCATCCTTGACGAGAAGGAGCGTGGTGGTGTTGACTACCGCCTCGACACCTACTCTGAGGTCTACCGTCGCTTGACAGGCCGCAACGTCAACTTCGAGTTCCCTCAGAGCGGTCCCGCTGACTACTAAGTCGGTGCGTCTACTTCAGAGATGAATTAGTAGTACGAGGCAAAAACAAAATACCAAACGTCTTTACACATCAATTCAAGGGCTGGGAGTGCTATTCTTTAAACATGGTTGGTTTGGTCATCAAAAGGGGCTCGGCGTCTTTAAAGAAAGTAGCTTGATAAATGGTACAAGCTGCGTATGATTTGACAAGACAACCTAAACACTTCTGTCCATGACTTTTCTCAATATCTGGGTATCTAGATTTACGTGTCTCATGTGCATGTCTATGTATGCGTCTATGTAAAGTCTTAATCGTTACCGATACGGCCAACTCCCAACACACACCAATAAGCCAGTTCTCGCTTTTCTTGGCCTTCCTTTTCCTTTGCTGATGTTGTACCCACATCTTGCTGGGAATCTGCCTCCCACTCCATTCTAACAAACATGGGTATCTCGAGAATGTCCTCGTCCTCCTTGATGGGGCTCTTGTTTTTGACCTTGTCGTCGTCAAGTCGTAGCGAAGAAGGCACCACTTCCAAAATGATACTGACCCAGTTACGCCCTCGCTCCCAGATTTTGCCGGCTTCAGGCTGACCGCTGCTCTCCTCACCCTTGCGCTTCTTGTCCCTGTCGTCGTCTTTCAGAGCGTCGTCCCACATATCCGTGTTTGCGTCGATCTCGAACTGCGGACACAAAATGGTGACTTTGCTCGAGAATCTGCCAGGGGTGCTGTTTGGTGTGGCAAGTGTAACCTTGATGCCGTCGAACAGGGGGTTCTTGAAGGTTATGATGTAGTGGTGAGGAGTAAGAGGTTTGAGAGGAAGCTCATGTTGGATCTGAGGACGCTGCGTGGTGGGAACAGGACTAGCAGTGGGATTGAGGGGTCTGATGGTGATGGTAGGTATGTACGACTTTGCGACGAGTTTGATCTTGAATCGTGTGGATGTGACCTTGTTCTCGGGCTTGGAGATGATGTGTCTGCATATAGAACAACGCTTGGAGCGCTTCGTTCGGAGGAGGTACGGAATGGGACGTAGACCATCCTGGAATCTCTGAACATCTGCTTGTAAAAGGTTTTGCTCAATGGTAGCAGTTGAATCCAACCCTTCTTGGTGCAGTTTTTTGATCTGAGCGGAATCATCCAGGTCGGCCAGCTTTAGACCTTCTTCTGTCGAAAGAGCCTCACGCATCACGTCTGAAGGACCGTTGCGCTTGCGAGAGTGTCCGTGACCAGTGTACATTGCCATGATCCTCGTCAGCGCAGCAGGTGAGCCATAGCCCAGGCTATCGTTAAGCGAAGAAGCACCAGAGGCGTTGGTGTCGGCCAGCTGCGACTGGTAGAATGATTTGAGATTGGCGTATTGAAGCTCGGCATCAACGTCGTTGTCGGCTGGTGGAGGCTCATCTGGGTTATCCTTGCGACGCTCTTTGAACTCTCTGGCCGTAAGTCTAGGCTGACCGCCGTTGCTGACCTTGGAGAGTTGTGTGAATATACCGCTCGGTCGGTCAAAGTCGATGCCTATCTCGGTCGAAGTCCAGTTGCAGTATTGACAGTAAAGAGCGAATCTACTGTTCTGGTGGGCTGAAGGGTCGGCTCCTGGTGGTGGAGGTTCGGTCGGGGCCAAGGCCATGACCTGGGTAGGTCCAATGCATACGGGACATTGGTAACAGCTTCGAGTGCATCTATTCGCGGGTATTCTGTCAGGCTTTTCTTTTCTTTCGTTTCTTGTTTGGTTGGTGTTTACCTGTTACCCTCGCTTCGCAAGTTACTGCTGGGAACCTCAAAGAGACAATTGGGGCAGTAGTATGTGACGACTTCTTCGTTGACGCATCTCGGACATCGGATCTGCTGGCAGTCTTCGCAGTAGAGAAGGTATTCGAGAGGATAGAGGCTGTAGTTTGAGCGAGGATCGGTGGGGTCAAAGGTATGTTCGGCGGAGGCTGAAGTTGGTGTTTGAGGGGTTTGTTGGTCGGCAGGAGAGTTATCGGAACATGGACATTGTATGTATGTGTATGGTATCACGGGCGCCATTGCGATTGCAGTGGTTGGTGACGTGATGTTGTGGTGTTGACTTTTGGAGGGGAGCTTTGTTGAAAGTGAAACTAGGGTCTTGGGTTCTGTGAGCTTAGCTACACCACTGTACCCAAGGCCCAGCATGACTCGGTGAGAAGCCAATCATGTTGACAATATTCAACAACAGACTATAAAATATGTAATAAAGGCTTAGATGACCTACGATGAGCTCTATGGTGTTTTTAGATGATAGTAAATCTAGTCTGGCATGAAATATCGCTGTATTTTCTACTCTATAAAATGCATGTTGAATAGGTGTCTGAGATATTGCAGCAGTATCTCTAGCCATACTCTGTTCTGCTTTTATACAGCACACTATTGACAAAACAGGTATATAGACAACCTGGCAGTTGAGTTCATATTGGGCTTGTCTTTGCATAAAGGTCTTTCTTCAACTGAAGTCCAAACCACAGCGCCACTGCTCTCATACCGCTCCTCTCAGGCCGTACTTTGGTGTAAGACACAACTAATACGCCACACTCATATTAAGGCCGTCTACGCATAAATGTTCTTTCCTTTGTGTCAACTGAAGTCCAAACCAGAGTGAAAACACCATCTCTCAAGCCTCTCTTCAGCTTACAGCTATCCCTACCTTTAACACTCTGTATTAATCGATCTAGACCTGAGCGCTGACCATGTGCGACCCTTATTTTTAGTATTTTCCGTCCGGGCCATGCCATCTTTTCAAGACCCTTATTGTTTCAACTTGATCTTTAAAAATTCATGCAAAAAGATGTCAGATTTTAAGTCGTCTCTCGTCTGGCCCCCTCTTCATTCAGCTTCAATTAAAGGGAGGGAACCGTTTAAACTTAATATGCGAGGAACTTGTCCTCCTTCAACGCTTGGTTCAACGGTATTATTTTAGTGGCCGTCTCAAGTTCAGCTCTTGACAGTTTTTGCCGACTAGGTTAACCTTGCCAACAAAGTTTTCTTTCTCTCGCCTTACCTCAAGACAATGATCAACGATGATCCCTACAAGGCTGGTCTGTGTAAGAAACTTGTCTCTTTTTTTTTCTTTTTTTCTCTTCTCGCTTCTCGCTTCTCGTTTGTGCCCGAGACCGATTTTGTCCGAGCTCGGGATCCGTATTCAAGGCTTTTTTGTATGTATTGTCTCGGCTTTGATGTCTTGTACACGACATTGTGCGGGGCAGTTTGAGTTTATGATGAAAGAACACCTCATGCTTGAATCACCACTTGTTGGTTGAGTGTTGAGTAAATGCTTACTTGATACTCTGTACTGCCTTAGCTTATTATCGAATGGTCTTAGCTTGGCTGCATCTCATCATGCCCCTGGGACGGAGAGCGGCTGCCCCTTGGTCAAAGCAATAAACTAGGCTTGGCTGAAGTCCCCAGAAGGGTTTAATTATTGCGTTACTGTAAACGCCTCTTGGGACTCGGTGCGGCTGACCTCACAACTCAATTCTTCAGTGGCCGCTGAGAACTTGATAGCCTACAAACTCCAAGAGACAGAGGGATATTCAATACAATCCATGTCCATGTCTCTGGGGGAAAAGAAGAAAGGAAAGAGATCAAGTGGATCATAAATATTCAGACTCCATTCTTTTCCTCTAACCGAAGTCAAGTTCGAGTCCAATCCAACAAAGACAAGACCCGTGGAGAAAGGATTGGTGTAGAAGATTGGTTTTATTAATTCCCGAAAACCTGGTGCGTCACAGATTAATTCAGGATACCCAATTTCCAAATTCTCGGTTATGAAATTAAAGCCACTTTCTCTTCTCTTTGATTCTCTCCCGATGGACGATCCGATCATCCCATTAGTTCAACCCGGAAAGACCGGTTCCGTTGGATTGATAATGATGATCAAGATTTATGTTGTGATGCCCTTTCTGTGTGACTTTGCCCTTCATGATTGTTGACGCAGAGAAACACGCCATTGAGTTTTACTAGGTAGCTTGGTGGTGGGTGGTAAACTATGTAATGGGCTAGGTAACTGTAGTGGTGTTGAAGATGCTCCGATCTATCGGATCCAAGAGTCTGATAAAGATTCACTTCAACTTGGCACTTCCATTGGATCGAGGGCTGACGAATGGTGGATGTACATATCATTAGAGACTTGGCCTCAACGATACCTTGTAATCGGACAACTCACTCCTTCATCCTTGAGGGGACCATGGCAAGCCACAACAAGACTCTTGTTCCTTCAACTTCTGTAACATCGTATGGAGATACTCCAGAAACACCCAGATGCAGTGTCTTCTGTTGTCAAATCCGAAAAAGACAGCTCATCTTACTGATCAGAGCCTTTTGGTCTAGCTTAGCTTGGCCTCTGGTTGACAGGGATCGTCATGACTTTGAATTGAATGGACGACACCAGCGCTACACTAAACGCAATGGCTTGATAGTTAGTGTCTCACAAGTTCTTCTCTGGGACTTTAGTCTCCCACTCAAATTCCGACTGACCGGGGGCCCTTGTCTTGTCCTCCCGGACATTGAACCAAGGTCCAGGGTCCGCCTTGACGAGCTCGAGTTGGCCGTAGAACAGACGAAATATTAACATCTCTCCCCCCCCCTTGACCTAACGAAAGAGGAGGGGAGAGATCTGATCTGATTCTGTTATTGAATGTCTTGATTCTTACGTAGGACCCGTCATGGAACCCTGTGCCTGACGTCTTCTTCTTTCAACATGGCCCTATCACTTGGTGTTCAATGACGAGAAAGCTAAACTCTGCTATTCATTCGACGGAAACTCACTTTTTGTGTCGCAGCTTTAGTTGACTCAAAAGACGAGACAGCCGACATATGAGAGACATTTCTTGAAGCTGAAAACAAAGAAACGAGACGAAAGAAGCGACAAACACAAAAGGGCTTGCTGCAATATCCCAACGACACGGCTCGCTGCATTGATTGTTCAGCCGCTTTCAGTTAAATCGACTTTTATTATATGGGCGGTGTTTGACGACAAGGCTTGCCAATATATTACAAATACATACATATATACACTTATACAACACCTCTTCACCATGCCTGCGACCATGTTGAATTCTAGACAGAGTTCTCTTCGGTTCAGTGCCATGGTGAATGGGAGAATGGATGACCGTCCGACAATTATGCGGTGGGATGGTGCTGCAAGAGCCTGTACCAACTGGGACAATATTCGTCGTGTGAGTTACAAAGAGTTTATCTTTCTGCAGCATCTAACTGACACTCAATAGGACCCTGAATTATGGTTTCGAAATGGAAATTGTATGGTTCACTTACACGCAAAAGGACATTCTAGACGAGGCCCATCCTTCAAAGTCCCCTTCTCAGCCCTCCTCGACGCCCAATGTTATCCTCTCATCGAAAGATTTCTTTCATGGGAAACCGACCAGAAGAAACCCAGCTTTCGCGAACTCTTCAGATGGAGTAGAGAAAACCCCACGCGCAGGATCGATTTGTACATCCCACCGCCACCTTCTACCGACAAAACGCAGGCGCTCGATTATCATCTGGCCACTCGCAACTTCTTCGCCTGGATTTTTCGCAGGTCAATGGTCGGAACGAGTTTAGGCAGCGCAGCGGTTGGTCTTTTACACAGCATGCACGAGTTTCGCTGCGGCGTGGAGGACAACGTTACGGATATGATGGATTATTTTGATGAGGAGGGTTATCTTGATATGGCTAACCAGCCTAATCACGCGCTGGCGATGTTGCAGCTGGCAGAGTTTTTTCAGATGCGGGAGCTTTACATTCGGGCTTTTTCTCATTGCGTAGGCATGAGCGAATACTTGTTTGAGAATCCCGGTTTCATGGTATGTCTCTCTTTTTCTTCCTTTTTCGTCATAAGAGAAACGTAATGCTGGGGAATAAGCCACTGACGTTAGTACCTTGTAGGAACTCAGTCCTGCAACACGCAAACTTATTCGAAAAAGACATCTCGAACTAGATCATCGCATGACGCGATCGTCGACGATGTTGAGGACGTTTCTCGACGAAGAACTCTCAGAGGCGCACTTGAGCGTCGCAGCTGGTGCAAGAGCCCATCTCGAGCGGTTCCGAAGCTTCTTGTTATCTTTCTACACAGCCAAGCTTGGATATTATCCACCTGCTGGTACAGATCCTGATAATAATCTGTTCGACCCGGCTATTCTGCGAATTATGCGCGAGGACTTTGAGGCGCTGTATGATCTCCTGGTTGATGACCGGTGCACTAAATCTTATGCCTTGCCTCCCACGGCTCACGGAGGAATTTGCACTATTCAGCTGGTTCAGTCTTTTGACTTGCAGCACGATTACCAGACTCTTACGCATCCTCTGCCGCGACTGCCAGATACAAACTCTCATAACTCCCGACGCAAGGCGTGGCTATATGGACGTGTTTCCCTCAGGTCCGATCGCAAGGTGACGGCGCACGCAGCACTGGTTAACGCCTCGAACTTGACAAAGCCTGGTGTATCACAGAATGACCTTGTTAGAGCGTATAAGCGCTTCGAGGAGGACTCTATCATGTCTCCCAACAAGGCTGATAAGTTGGACAAGGTGTCGCTGGTGGATGCTCGCAAGGTCAGATGGGTTCTCATCTACGCGACATATCAGGTTCTTCGCCACGCAACTGACTTGGCACCCGAGTTGGGTGAAGACGAGATCCACGAGGCTTACTACAGCTTGTCTGCGTTGACAGAAGGTCTTCCGCCGTGGGACACGCCTCGTGATATTGGGCATATGCTGAAGCGACAGACGCAGTATGTCACTGGCCCTATGGACTGGACTGTGTATGCAGACCGAGATGATATCCACGGACGAGATGATGGGAAGATTGAGATTAAGCCCGACATTGACTACTTTGCTCTCACCCAGCGAGATCGTCCCCAGACACAAAGCGGGTACCGAGAGCGTAGAGCGTCAATGCCATCACGCCCATCACGCTCAAACTCCTTCTCCCAGGCTCTCAGCCGCTCTTCAACCTTTCGACGTTCTATCGCCATGTTCAAGTCGCCTAGCAGCACACCACCGCAGTCCATCGCGCCGTCTCGTCCGACGTACCACGAGATTGTCGTCCATGGGTATGGCAACGGAACTAACCACGTCAGTCTGGGAACAGAATCCGGAACCGACGGAAGCAATGAGTTGAATATGGATGATATCGGAACAGCTGTGTCATCGCCCTCACCCTCGCCTTCTTCCTCGCCTGAGAGTCTTGAAACTAGCGACGACGCTCTTGATTCTCCCCTCGACACACTAGACTCTCCTCTGGTGGAACATTACATCGAGCCCGAGATCCCCAAGGACGTTAGAGCTTGTCGCGAGCGACGTCGTGACGTTATTTCCATGATCGGCCGCTCCATGTCAGGTCGGGTTCCCAAGCGAGGCGGACGACCCATCAGCGCTATGTTCTCCGACAGCTACAGCTCTATAGAGAAGGACACAACGACGACGAATCGACGCCACAGCATGTTTCCTCAACCACTGCGACTGAAGACGCAAGTGGACGAACCCTTCATCCTTAACGACGATGCGGATTGGGCGGCGATGCAGACGTTTATGGATAGCCCTGGACAGATGTCCGAGACGGATGATGATACCATGCCTGCGTGGGAGCAGTATGCTGATTTGGGAGGATTGACGGATATGAGGTGAAAAAAGAGTGGTGGTGAAAACATTCTACGCTTACGCGTGTCTTCTTTTTTATGTTTTGCTTTCTTGTTATTAGCGAATACCCCTTTTTATATTTCTGTATGAGATGATAGGACACATGCTGGACGTCTAGATGAGCTTATTAGTTACTATGCTTGGTGGGACATATCGGTGGCTATGATTGAGGGTCAGATAGCGAATTATACAATCCAACTGCTAAGCAACTGGACTTTATATTGCTTTTCGCTGTTCATCACTTCTGTGGTGTAAAAGAACTTATATGATCAATTGATGTATCAAGGTCTTACGTCATCAGGCCATCCCTCATTACCATTATTCATACAATAGTCCCTTCAGCCCTGAACGTCTATTCAGTCCTTTGCTTCACTGGTTGGCCAGAAGCAAGTGTCAGTCCGTCGAGAATATTCTTTCCGAAAGCATAAACCATGTAAGTTGGGAAAATAAGCCACATGCCACTGGTAAAAGGTCAGTCAGTTGAATCTGGAGACGGTAAAGGGTGCACTTACTTGGGAATGACCCAGAGAGTGAGAATATCGACAGGAGTGTTGTGAGAGATGTTGCTGAACTCGCTAAAATACTCGTTGGCCCCTAAATATTTGTTAGTATTGTTGAGGGTAGGTGAACGAGTTGACTTACAGTATAGAACAGTCTTGCTCAGAGTCATGACAGCTGCGCTGAATCCAATCAGGACTGCCAAAGCACCACTCCTTCCACTAACAGTCCTCCTCTTCTTTTCCTTCTTGTTGGTCACTTTATCAGCCCGTCTCCAAATCATCCACAAGTACATAAAGTACAAGATCATCTCGACAATATTCATAGCCGACTGCGCACCCGTAAACCCATTCTTGGCATCGAAAGCCTTGGAACCATAAATATAATCAACCTGTCCGTAGAGAGCGTATGGCATGTACAAAGGCCACTGAAGATGACCTCCAGGCATGGTATGCGGCCGACCAAGGACATAACCGCTATCCCAAGCCACGAGCGGTAGAGACAACGCGAGCCAGAAGATGGTGGCTGAAGAGGGAGAGTGACTCCATTTTTTAGGTTCTTGGACGGATAGACGACGTTTCTTGGCCGAGGCCGTTGTACCGTTGGAGGAAGAGTTTTTGGCGGCGCTTCTCTTGCGTGTTGTTGGCGTTGATGGGATGGTAGGTAGCTCGGTATTGAATTCTGGTGCGAATTCAGGTCCGACGCTTGCGCCGCGGGAGCTTGCTCTAGTAGTGACCACCATTTTGTAGTTTGAATCTGTCAATCAAGTGTTTGTGGGAAAAGAGAATAAAAAAAAGTGGTTTTTTTTTCTTCATGATTTTTCTGAAAAACAAACAACACACAACACAACACGTTGAAAGTAAACAACTGTCCCACAAGCCCCTCTCCCCATTAAAGTCGGATCACTAAACTTCCGAACAACCCCTCCAATTGCTTCTTTTGGAGGGGGGAAGGTTTTAGTGGTTTCTCGGCATTTGGAAAGGATGTCACACTCTTGAACTTGATTGGTCTTTTTCTTTTTTGACGTGGTTAATACGATTATACGTGGTCATGTCTTATTATGGCATCTTGGGGAACGAGAACACCTTTATACTACAAAGAGTATAACTGTCTAACTTCCAAATGTATCTCCTCCACTCGAGAGAAAGTCATTCTCTTCTGATCTCATTTTTCGTCCGAGGACCTTGTTTCTGTGCGGATACCTTCCAAATCTCTCAATAATCACCCGATGTCTCTCCTCAAACTCTACACTCGTTTGTCCCACGTTCTTTGCTTTGTTTGGATCTGCTTGTACGACCTCTCTCGCCTTTCTCTCATACTCATCCGTACCTCCCGTTCCTTCCGTCAAACTCAGAATATCTTCGTTCATGCGGTTAAACGCCGACACAGCTTCATCATGCACTGATAAATCCTCAGAGTGCATCAAAGGCATGTAGAACCAATTGCGATGCGAAAACACCCAGCGGATCTCTGGTGCGTTGTCCGGAATACCCTGGGCGATTGCCTCGAGGGAGATTTGGACAGCGAGAGGGTCAAAGTAAGTAAAGCATACGGAAGCTTTGTCGCCGCGATAGGAGTTGCGAGGGATTTGATCGAGTAGAATGATCAGACTTAACCAATCTAGAGAACTGCGAGGTTTGACGATGGATAGAAGATGTTTTCCAGACGTCACACCCGTGTTGCGAATGGCCTCTAGTATAGGGCTAAATTCAGCGCTAGAGACCTGTTAGACGACTCGATTGATTGGATGGTGAGTGACTTACACGCAGATATCGTCGAATTGCTTGTCTGAAACGAACCATCTCTTTTGGTACTCTGATCCAGCGATGATGCGATCAGTATCCTGCGGCAAATGCTCGAACCAGAAGTTGCGTAGTCTGTCCAGCTTGTCATACGTAAGATGTTCTTTAAGACTGTCCATACTCTTTCCCCGAGAACCCATGTTGGGAATAAGCTTTTCTTGTAGTTTGAAACTCGATGACCTAGATGCTGAGGCCATGTTTTGGTAGAGTCTTGCTGGTACTGTAGTAAATCGGCCAAGCTGGGAAAGAGTGCCACGGTGATCTGATAACCATTCAGCACTCCAGTAACAAATAAATACAAAGAACGACCAACATGCTACACGACGAGCTGTGACGGTCCAGCTTGAGGAGGCTCGGGTTGGCGCTTTTATAGAAGCCTGCACTCGAGGAATATTCATGGCGAAACTTTTAGAACGAGTGCACTGAATTCGCAACAAATAATGCCGGGCAGTCTGAGTAATTTCGATATGATAAAACAACAACTAGATTGAAGTACCTAGCCAAGGGGGGAAAAGTAGGAAGAAATGTTGCGATCGAATGATCCAACTCGGTACTCCGTAGATCCGCGTCACGGAACCCGGGGGTCCACTCTCGGACATCCAGGATCTCCGACCACGGGTATGGATTACCAATCTTCAGTCTTCGTTCCTTCAACACCCCCGATTAGTATAGCCATTCGCTCATAGCAGACATATTTGTAAGAAAAGAGTCAATTGCAGAATATTAAGTACTGATCTATCTAGCCGGACCAGGGGAATTCAGGATCTTGAAAGAAAGACGTATTATCTAGTCAAAAAGGTAACACCAGGCTTGCCATAACAACACGCTTGCATCATTCAACCCAGACATCTATGCCATCATCATAGCAGCAACCAGAGCAAACAGACCAGCTCCTCCAGCAACAACCTTGGTGTTGGCACCATTGACAACAGGGGTGACATCGGTAGGAGTAGAAGCAGACTCGCCAGCGTCAGATGTAGCGGTGGCGGTGGCGGTGGCAGTTGCGAGAGCGTCAACATCGATAGCTTGGAGAGTTCGGAGGAGTTCAGGGGTGGTGTAGGTGCCAGTCTCGCCGACGTAGGTGATGACGGAGAAGGGAAGCTTGGAGACGGGTGTGGCAGAGGGGAAGGCCAGACGGTCGGTGGCTTCGGCGGCGGGCTTGATATCAGCGCGGTCAAAGGGGGCATCGGCAGGGTTGAGGACACTGCTATATGTTAGTGTAGTTCACAAGTAAGTTGTGAATGAGTGACTTACGTGTCGATGATATGAGCAACACCATTGAAGAGAAGGACATTGGTAAACAGAATCTTGGCACCGTTAACCCAAGCACTTCCATCTTCAGCAACAGTAAAAGTCAAGTCAGCGCCCTGGAAAGAAGGAACGCTGACATTGGCAAGGTCTGTGGAGAAGAGGACATCGTCAACAAAGTGGTACTTAAGAACCTGCTGCAGAGTCTCGAGGTCAGCTCCCGCAAGGACTGAGCCGATGTTCTCAAAGGCAGGATCGTTGGGGACAAAGACGGTAAAGTCGGAGATGTTGAGGAGACCGGACTCGTCAGAACCAATGTTGCCAAGGTTGTAGGGCAGATCAGCCGCGTTGGCGGCGGCGTTGAAGTTGAGAAGGTTGTCGCGGCGGGTGAAGAGTTGCAGAGGGGCGCCAAAGCTGTGGACAGTGTCTACTTTGTGGACAATAACCGAGTCACCAACTTTGATGTCCTGACAATTGTTAGTACAGGTGTGTATATTGGCGATTTGGGGTATGACTTACTGCTTCGGTCACGTAGGACAGAGTCTCCTCGCCAGAGATGACGACAACATCATCACCATCCTTGACAATACCATTGTACTGACCACCCGTAAAGTTACCAAAAGGCTGGCGATAATTGACAAAGCTGCTGTCGAGAAGAGACTGCACGAAGACAGGAATGTCGGAAGCAACGCTGGCAGGGTAGTAACCCTTGAAGACGTGGTTGGAGAGGAGAGCACCAATAGCGATGGTGTCGTTCTTCTGCGAGATGGCCTCTCCCTCGGGGATGTCACGGGGGACAGAATCGAAAGCCTTGTTGGTGGGAGCAAAGATAGTGATGTTTGTTGCAGACACAAGAGTCTCGGCGATGTCAGGCACAAGAGCGAGAAGTTCGGCCAGAGTCGAGAGGTCTGGCTGAGAAGCGATGATGCTGGCCAGGTCGTTCTGTGCGACAACGGCTGTTGCAAGGGCTGCGAGGCTGAAGAATTTCATTGTGAATGAGATTTCGCTGGATGGTGTTTATAAAGCGAGCTGTAGATGGCTGTGAAGCTGGAGATGACTATGAAGCTGATGAGTTGAAGAGACACTTGTAGAGTTTCTCTTCAAGCTTTATACACAACATTGTCGCATCTTGAAGCCTGGCATGATACCCTTTCCAAATTCCAATCCCAAATTCCAATATCCCCTGGATCAAAGCATCATCGACTTGAGGTCTGTAAGCAAAATACTCTCATCTTGCTTGTCTGATACAGGGTGTTTGATGTTGAACCTGAAATCATTAAACGGCCAAAATTCACCGTCCCCACAAAGACCCTGAAGGGAAGAAAAGAAAGACAAAAGACAAGCTTAATTCCGTAGCCTTGTGGTTGATTCGCCGGCACTGCCTCAATGCTAATGCCGGTACTGCAACGGTATCGAGAGTCGTGTACGTCATTGGGCTTTTGGCAGACGGGGAATTTATGCGGCGCAGCAAGTTGCAATATCATTGGACGGCTCGCCATTCAAACTGCTTCCAGAACAACTGGTAATGATATTAATTATTAAAAAAGTGATAATATGTGATATAATGGCATGTTTAGAAATGTCCATTGGGGCTGAGCACGCCAATATCATGCTCGGCTGTTCCCTTTTCCAGATTGGACTCATACTGCTCGATGATGCTCTCGTAGTCGTCCAACCATACGCTCAACCATTCCACAGACCCAATGATCCTCGTGTTCCAGTTGCCCATGTCCGGATCGAGACGAAGTAGCCTTTCCTTGACAGAGATGAGCTTCTTCATGGCTTCTCTGACGTGTATCCTTTCGCGGGTTAGTACCTGGCTATACGTGTTCCCTGGCGCAGACACTGCCACAAACAACTTGACCAGAATCGAAAGCGTATAGCTCACCGCAGGTCCGAAGCAGAGCGATGGTAGGCTGAGCATCAGACTGGGCTCCATTATGAGTACCGCATCGATGGTGAAGTGGCACGCTTCCAACAGGGTTATGAGTGCCCTTGCTTTGTTTGGTGTCACTTGGGCTGGACAGGCAAAGTTGTTGACGCCGATGCGTTCAGCGACATATGGAGATCCAAAGAGGATCTTGTTGGTGGCCGTGTGAAGAACTGGCTCGTTGACGTAGACCGCAGCCAGCCTTTGCCAAAAGAAAAGTTGAACATCGTGGGCAAGTGGTCTGCTATTCAGGGCATCGAGGTCGTTGTACATCTGGGCTTTCGTGGCCGTGGCAACGTCAGAGTCGATATCGTAAAAGGCATGGACGTTGCATAGTTCTAGTCCGGAAGCGATTCGAGCGTGAAGTCTTGCTGTGTGAAGCATTTCCAAGAACAAAGGCTCCGAGCCGTCAGCCTCTAGGGCGTGGAGGGCTTCGTAGTGCGACCTTCCCCAGTCAAACACATGTGTTCTTCTGAGACCGAAAGCAGCCATGGTTGAAGTCATCCAGGAAGCTAACCAAGTCTTTTGCATTTCAAGAGTCGGGGGTCCCTGTATGCGGAAGAACCATGCCGGCGCGGAAGTCTGCAGTTCTGAACCTCCCAGTCCAAGTTCAACGCAGAGGTCGTGGGCTATGAAAGCCAATTGTATAGGGTTTGCGTGGTTCATGCTGAGAGAGGGCCGTATCCAGAGGCTCATGACTAGGGCAGCTTGGATGAGGTCGACTGATGGGCTTTTGAGACCGACTGCCGCCTTGCCGAGGATTTCGAGTGTTTTTGTTCGTAGATCTTCTTGGGTCTGAGGATCGATTTCTGCTTCCGAGGGAGCGACGGCGAACAAGGCCATGAGTTTGATGGGTGTTTCAGACCTCATAGAATCTAGTCGTGACGGTGCTGAACTGTTGTCCACGGGGGGAATAAGATACCAGAATTGTGCAGCAGTGGTTGAACAAGCCTTCAGGCCCTTGATCTGGGACTCGTAATCTAGATGGGCATCCAGATATCCAAGATCAGACGGTAGAGTGTTTGTCGTAGACCAGTTCCCCTCTGTCGAAAAGACCGAAGTGGCCCTTGTAGAAGCAGCATAACTCGACATGGCCTGCGTTGAAGCCCCATCCAATCTCTCCTGCAAAGACTTGATTTGATCTTCCAGCTCTGCGATTCTATCTCTCTGCCATTTCCTAGCGGCAGGAACGCAGGTGATGTTGAAGCGAGTACATCGTTCGCAGGTTGATGATTCGGAGGGAAACTCGCATTTGACTTTGAGAGCCTGACAGGCTTCGCAGGCGCGAGATCTTTTCGTCATGGTGGCATAATTTTTGAATAGACTCTAGAAAGAGTGCGATGAAGGATTAAGAAGTAGAATTTTTAAGTGGTGAGAGCGAGAGTGGCTTAGCACTTTGAAGGTTGTATTTGTGATGTATTGGAAGGAAGGAGGGTTGTAATCAGATTCCTGCGGGGTGGTCGTCATGATTAATGTTAGCGTTTTGACGTGTAAGTATTTGATTAAAAAAGGATTCTCTACAATTCAATTAGCAAAATATGAATTGTCATTGGTCATATAAGAAGTGAAAGATGTATTGGAAGTATTTTGCATCTTGATCGAAGCGATGGTAAGAAAGTCACACTGTACTGACAGCAGATCAGACCCTTCTTCATGTTTGTACGAATTCCAGCTTCCATCGATTGTCGATCATCTTTGTCTTCATTAATGATCTAGACCTTGACCATGTAATCAATCAATCCTTCAAAGCTACGGTCATAGCCGAATTTGCTCATTAGTTGTTCTTTCTGTAACGACCCGTCTCATCCTTCTGAAGCTATAGCGGATCCGCAGCAAGGACAGGGCTTGTATAAGAGGCTTGTAAGCCCGATAGACGCTAACCTTGCAGCGCCAATCGCGTTTCACAGGTACTGATGGTCAGGACTTGACAAAAGGTTCCATTTGGCCGGAGATAATTATAGATGTTAACTAATTAATCGGATGAGACCATATCAGTTGTGACAGCTGGTGTGTTTAATCAATTTGCTTCTTGGAGAAATAATTGTGTTGCCTTTGATGACTCGAGAGAGTTGAGATAGACTTGCTTCCCTGCCTGGTCTTGTTTGACAAGAGCCTTATCCGACATTAAACAATCCTCCAACTTTTCATCTCTACATCTCCCTTTACCCGAACGTCATTCATCTTTAGTTTCCGTATTTCCTTTTATTTTCGTACTTTTATACAAAGCTGTATTATGCGGCCTCTGAACATGGGGTCCACCATGACTCGCCCCTAGTGAGTAGTCAGTGACACTCGCTGCTCCGTGTCGACATATTGGAAACAGACTACAGTCTTCTGGAACATTGTAAGCGTCCAGTACAAGGCTGTCATGCTATTAAGATGAAGCTGACATCACTGCAGATATTCTGTATCTGTCCCCGAACCAACCACGGACATCGCCTTGTGAACCAGGATCCCTCGTTCATGGCAAAATGGATGCTCTAATCCATGCTTTCTCCCTTCAATATGATCAACAGCCTTCCATAAGATCTGATCAGATCACTTAGCGTCGATGCGTTTATTCCTAAGTTAATATGTATGCAACAAATCCTCTTCCCTTTCTAGACATTCCTTCTTCTGTCATTTACTTACTTCTCTTCCCTATTGACTAGGATCTCTTTTTACATCTTCGGATCACACTCTTTTATTTCCTTGTCATTTTTATCTGCTGGTGCAGACTCTCAACAAACATGTCCGACTTATGGAAAGGTCCAGGGTTCACAGAAGTGAACGCTGGCTCAGATGATATGAACATCGCCAGTATCGCCTGGGGCATATCGCTCGGTGTCGGCATCTTTACTTCTACAAAAGCCATTCGACAAACGATAGACTCGTGGAGTAGAGGTCGAAAGATGAACCACTACATTATTCTAGTGTGGCTAGAGTGGACGAGCAGTTGTATCATGAGTGCTGTCACCTGGTGTTATTTACGAAATTACATACCTGGCGGGTTTCCAGTGTTTTTCGCTTTGAGTATGTCTATCTTGTCACTCAGTCACGACAGTAGCTAACAGTATTGTAGTCTTTCTTTGGTGTATACAGATCCAAGCCCTTATACAAATCATCATCAACAGAATCACGATACTCATGGTTAATCGGCAAAAAGCAAAATGGCTCAAGATCTGGTCGTTTCTGATCATCTTGTGTATTAACGTCAGTGTCTTTATGATTTGGATCCCCGCGAGATTGCAGATCAATGATACGTGGGCAGACATCAACAAAGTCTGGGATAGGATCGAAAAAGTCATCTTTCTGCTCGTCGACGCTGGACTCAATCTCTACTTTATCCATCTTGTGCGGTCGAGGCTCATTGCGAATGGTCTCACCAAGTATACCCGTCTGTTTCGGTACAACTTGTGCATGATTGCTATTTCCATGACGATGGATGTAAGTCTACCATCACCCAACACACGGAAACAGTATAATAACTCTGGACTAGATCCTACTTATTGCCATGATGTCTCTTCCCAACGACATCGTGTAAGTCATCTCACCCTCTCCCCGCTTTCTCACTAACAACTCCTAGCTATGTCCAATTCCACCCTCTCGCCTATCTCGTCAAACTCCACATCGAAATGAACATGGCCGATCTCATCATCAAAGTCGTAAAAGCCAGCAACGGCAATGGCTACGACTACTCAGGCTCCAAGTCAGGCAGCACCCAACCGAAACAAAAGAGCGGCAACAAGCTCGGAAAAGGCCACATCCCTTCAGCCATGTTCGTCGGAGGAAACTTGACCCTTTGCCAAGCTGGCGACGACGATATCGAGATGAACAGGATGGAAGGCGGTATCCAGAAGACGACGAGAACAGAAGTTGAGGTGGTGGTCAAGAATAGACCATCTGACAGCGATGATCGGGATGTGCCCAGCGATGGAGAGTCGATGAGGCCGCTGAGGAATGGTAATACGTATACGGTATGAAGCTTCCGAGTGTCAATAATCGGGTTGGAGGTCTAACTGTTCCAATAGGTTCCGGAACCAAAGAGACGACGGAGCTCTCAAATTGCCATTCTCACAGCACCATAGACTGGATTTTCCTTTTTAGCATAAACTATAGATGATACCCATTTCTTTCATTAGATCTCATAGAATAGACTAATCTACCGCATTGTAATGTTGATTACCATACTATATAGTCCATGTACTTTGCAAACCATTCCAAAAACTGATCCGGCTCCCTCTGAAAGTAAGTATACCCATCCCATCGCTTCTCTGTCCCCTCAATCCACTTCAACTTCTTCTCGTCGATGGGGATATTGTCATAAATAGACTGTACATCCGCGGGCGTCGTGCAAGGGTCGTCGCGTACCTGGTATAAAAAGGTTGGCACGTTGGTGTGTTTCGCATCCATTGGAGGATTGAGTTGGTTGATGTGAAAACTCGTCTTCATAAAGAACATCCGATCAGCCTCCTCCATGAAAGACTCTGGCGCACCCATCGTCTTGATGAGCTTCCCGATGGAAGACCCTGCGGATATCGGCTGTGGCGCAACCATGCATCGCACACCCTTGAAGGCTTCGGGGTGATGTCTCATGGCTGAAAAGGTCGCGTTTGCGCCTGCGCAGCGACTAAAGAGCCCAATAGTCATATGTTTTGTATCCTCACGTCCTCGCACGTACTTGAGTGAGCCCAGAACATCGCGCCACTCAAAGAAGCCAAACAGTCCCTGGTTCCCCTGCCCGCTCAAACCATGGTTCCTCAAATCATATGCCAGGACATTGTACCCCGAGTCGTGAAGAATTTTGTAGTCTGGAATGAAGTTGACCTCAAAGTCGTTTCCAGGCATGAGGTTGTTCCAGGGTTCCAGGTGTGAAGGTATTCCTGCGCGATTGAACCAGTGTGGGTGGTTGGCGATGATGATCTTGTCTGATCCTTTGCAAGGGATGAACCAGCCTTCCAGAGGGACGCCATCGTCGGAAGGAAAGTAGATGTCTTCAAAGTCGAGGCCTGCTTCGTTGGGGAAGTGCATTATCGGTGCGAGGGGCCATCCTCGGAAATCGTCTATGACGGTTTGGAGGATGGACTTGAGTTCGTCTGTTGCCATCTTTGTTTCTGTGAGATTGATTGGTATAGATTCGAGAGTCAAATTGAAGAAGATACAAGGCCTTCTTATATTATACCTAGCGTATCGTCAGAATTGACAGTTGATGGTATTCGACTTTGACTCAGGCTTATCGTTGAAGGAATCTCCACTCGAATCCTTCGTTCCTATTTAGTGCCTCTATTCGGCTTTATAGAAAGTCGCGATTTTATCCCGATTAATGTTTGGACTTGTCGCGACAACTTGTTATCCCCGCTAACTCCAACAGTGTGCATATTGCAGGGGTTCAAGCTGTAAGCATCATAGATTCCATTCTGGTAGTCACGTTAAATGGTACAATTGTGTTGAAGGCAACGTTCAATTGATGCATGGATCTTATTGATCCAACCCTGATATTCTTCATGCTTGATACACTGGTACTTCAGGAGGGTATCCTGTGAGCTTCGAGCCAGGGCCGGGTCTGAACTTTGGCTCCTTGTACCATTCCTGCGCAGTCTCAGCAAGTTCCTTGACCTTGGAGAACTCGAATTGAGGGTTATCCAGAAGATTGTAAATCCCTTGCGCGTAGTCCTCCGAGATGTTGTATACCTGCGCCAGATACTTGCTCTAATAGAAATGTCAGCTCTGCATATACTCAGTCAAATATGGGATTGCCTACCTGGATCTCGGGATACTTGACACGTCTGAGACCCTTGGCCGTGTTGTAGCAAGTGTTCTTCTTCTCTTGATCACTCATGACTCTCGTCCAAAGGTCCTTGGCCTGGTCGTAGTCGTTCTTTTTACCCTCATGCCAATAGTGGCTCGCCCGACTTACAACATTATCATTGACCTGATAAGGAGCTTCGGCAGTATCAGGTCTAAACTTGTGAGCAAAGCTGTTTGGAGCATATTGCTTATTGCCCGCGTGGTTGGCGTCTACGCGCATAGGACCGTCAAAGTTGAGCGAGGCGTAGGACTTGGCCATAAAAGGACAGTTCACAGGTATTTGATGAAGGTTGACGCCGATACGATGGTATTGAGCATCGCGGTAAAAGAACATGCGGAACTGAAGAAGAGGGTCGGGCGAGTCTTCAATACCGGGGACCATGCTTCCGGGCGAGAAAGCAGCCTGCTCCACGTCTCTGTGGAAGTTCTCAGGGTTCTTGTTGAGCACGAGTCTTCCAAATTCCTTCATGGGGAATTGTGATCTGGGCCAGACCTTGGTGACATCGAAAGGATCGAAGCCGAGCTTATCAGGGTTTGCCTGTCTGGGGTCCATGACTTGAACATGTGCTGTCCACTCAATCTCCTCGCCCTTTTCAATGGCCTCCCAGAGATCCCTCTTGGAGTAATCCGGGTCTTCACCACACATTTGCATAGCCTCACTGTCGGTAAACTGCTTCTGACCATGCTTTGCGATGAAGTGGTACTTGATGTAAACGAACTCTCCATCAGAGTTGACCCATTTGAACGTGTGGCAGCCGTAGCCATGGTTGAAACGCCATCCTTGGGGAGTTCCGTGGTCGCTGAAAAACATGAGTCCGGCATGATTGGCCTCGGGGGTGTTGGCGAGAAGGTCAAAGAGGGCGTCATGATCTAGAAGGAAGTTGCTCGGGTTGCGGTACTGAGAGCGGATGACATCTGGTCCTTGAATAGGATCACGGCAAAAGAAGACGGGCTTAGAAGGTCAGGTCGGAATCATGAAGGGCAAAAACAAAGCTTACAAAGTTGAGGCCGACAAGGTCATAATTCCCTTCCATAGTGTAGAATTTGATGGCAAAGCCTCGAGGGTTTCGAGCCTCGTCTGGGAACTCTCTTCCAAGAGTGACGGTAGAGAATCTGACAAAGACAGGTGTCTTTTCCCCGACAGAAGAAAGGAAGTTGGCTTTCTAATATCAGTTAGCATGTCTTGATGTGCAAAGTTTATCCGTCTTACAGTGAGTTCGGTGACATCTTGGGTGCATTCAAAGTAACCAAAAGCGCCAGAGCCGCAAGGATGAACCATACCTGACATGTGTTAGCTGTTGGTAGTCAAATACGAGAACCGGTATACATACGTTCTAGGTTCTTGGATCTGTTGAAATGCTGCTGCTTCCTATCTCAAGGTCAGATTTGAAATTGTAGATGAGAGGGGACTTACTGCAACAAGAATGTATCGCTGATGAGAGGCAAACCCCCAACAGTCTTGCTATGAGCTCTGGACGAAGGTAAGTATACGTCAAGGCATACGAATATCAAATACATACGGGTCAGGGAAAGGAATGCCTTCGTTGTTGGTAAAGTAAGGGCCATCATCTTCCCTCTTCCCTCCGCCCTGTGCACCCGAGACCTTGGCGATGACATCGGCTGGCCCCTCATTGGCACCTTGGAAATGGCTCAAGCGAGGAGCCCGACGTTCTCCCTGTGCTTCGGCACCAATAGCAGCGCCAATGGCTTGTAGAGGATGCTGACGAGGGTCAAGTTGGTTGGAGTTGTTCATGGTGGAGATGGTTGGCATGTGGCCTATTTGAAGATTAGAATAAAGGATTGAGAGACCGCGTAGCAAGAGGGGGGCGAGGGGACAAACGCTGTCTTATAGACCCTCAAGGTGCCTTGATACTTCCATCTTTCCATTCCAATATCAACGATGCACCTAAGCCGGAGGAAGCTCCGGATCATTGACACGTCGTTTCGGGGTACATGGCTTGGATGCATTGATTGTAGCCAAACAGATTGAATAGATCATGGTGCTAAGCAATTTATAAATGATAAATCTCTGGGATCCAATAGAATTGACCGGATTGAAAACGGCTGAGGAAAATTGACCTAGAAATGACTTGATATGTTGGAAGACTGTCGTCATGGGAGAGTAATAGATATTTTTCACCGCTTCGGTAACGTAACTTCGAGCAAATCTATGATCATTTTGAGGAATAATACTTGGTAGTTGTATGCATGAGAAGGAATCGGGAATTTCCATTTGGGATTGTTGCCTGGTTCTTGAGAAGGTCGATGAAAGGTTGGTGGCTCTTGCCTGGTGTTGATATCGGCTGACTAACAGACACAGACGACTGCACAAGGGATTCTGATTGGGTATTTCTTCACTCTTCTCGCAACCTGAGATTACTCATCTTGTGATTCTCAAGACGAGACAAAGAAAGTGCGGCAGTGTTTGTCCCTTGATGTTAGTTCGGCCAATATTTTTCAACAACACCATGGCAAGGGTATAATCCAGACAAATGATGCGAGTCCCTGTCAAAGAAGAAGAAAATATTCTTGTCGGGATACTTCTGTATGACATGCTTCTATTTCCTCTGAGACAGTCTCAGCAAGAGTTGCTACTAAGTCCTGATGAATCATGCACTTCGTTCCCCTGTGAAACAGATTTTTTACCCTGTACTTTCATTTAAAGTTACAGGATATCTTCAACAAAGCCAAATAGCTAAATAGATATACAATAGCAAGCAGAGGAGCCAACGTTATATCAATCCCTCGCCACACCGTTCAACCAGTCCCCTCAACCCAAGTAGCAGTTTACGCCCAGGGGCAGGAAAGCAACGGCATGATCATAAATCTTGTTCCTGGTCAATATCTCTAATAGCTTTCACTAGTCAAGATCAATCAGACCTAGAGCTTGCCGCCCTAAAACTTTATTCGGTTGGTCTCTGAAGCTCGACAGGCACTGGAATTTAGACATCAGTCTTGGCAAGGACAATTTCCTAATGCGTCCATGTTGACGACGGTCCTCTGCGTTAGTCATTTGTTGAAATTCTATGTCGACACCACGTTACATTTGTCAAGTTAATGCGCAGTGTAGAAGCTAGGATTAAGAGCCGAGCTGCACTTCAGCAACACATTCAGGGAATAAGGAGTAACGTAGACTGGAGAAGTTGTATTTAGAACAAAGTGAGACAATGAGGAAATAAGTTGGTGCTGAGGATTGATGGAAATTTCTCTGAAGCTATTTTTGAGTGTCAGTCTACGTTTTGATCTTAACGAGAGTGAGTATTTGAACGAGGAGTTTTCTGATATTAAGGGAACTGGTGTCAAAGGCCTCCTCCAAGAAGCATTAGATAATAAGTAGAATGCCTTACTTAATTTACCTATTTTATTTAACGACCGCCATTGACCTTTACAGCATCATGTCCCTGACTAATAATAGGAAACAGCCCACAGGATCAAAGAGTGCCAAGTCAGTACTGCTTCGGATGACATCAACTACATCAACCACACTACTTGGCATAAACCATCTCGTACAACAACAAGGAAATCCCGTGTTCTGACGTCCAAGCAATCAAGCTCCAACCCAAGCTCCCGATCTGATCTAACTTGGTTACCCCAGCACTACCGAAAACAGATACCGTCACCTACACAAGTTCAGGTAATTGGCCCTGAATATCAATGGCCATTAAACAGAGGCGCCTGGAGACGGAACAAAGAACAAAAGCGCCGGACGCATAAAAGAAAACGTGGAAGAGATTGTGTCACACAGACAACCATCTCAGCAACAGATCGGATTGTGCAAAAATAGATAGAACAAGACAAAAATTGCTGGTTAGACAAATAATCACCGGTATGGGAAAAGGGAGTGGATGCTTCCGGGAGGAGTGGATGCAATCGTGGCTGGAATGTCTTGCATGTCTTTAACCAAAAGCAAAAGCCGACATCACCAACGCCGCACGCGGCAACTCGCGCGCGAAAAAAAAGAAGAGAACCATGGAAATGGGAGATGCTAGCTTAGAGTTGAGATCTAGAAAAACAAAACACACGATCGGGACAAGACATATAAACCCCCAAGTCTTGGTATGTGTCTCAATTCTTTCTCATCACCATCAATCACTCACTCACTCACTCGTATAACTACAACACTACAGCCTCACTCGACATTCGCTAAGAAGAATTAACAACACTTTCGTTCCGACTCAACCAAAATGTACAACAAGGTTCTTCTCATCGCCCTCTCCGCCTCTGGCGCTCTCGCCTCGGTTCAATACTCGCCCAGCTTCCCTCTCCTCTCGGTCCGCCAAGTCGTCGAAGTCCCCTGCTCGGAGCAGAATCTCAAGGACTGCGGTAGCGGCTGTATCCAGCAAGACTGGACATGCTGTCCTAGCAAACAGGGCGGTTGTCCTCCTACGGCGTACTGCGAAGTCGGCACCAATGCGCAGTACGGCTGCTGTCCCAACGGAAGCGTTTGCAATGGCGAGGGAGGCGGTAGCACTCGCGCTTCGACCGATACTCTGACTCTGGCTGGTGGCGATACTGCTACTGTCGTTCAAGGCGGTGGTAACACGGCTGCGACGGAGCCTCCTGTCCTTGAGGGATCCTCGACTGCCGTCATTGTTCCTCCTCCTGTCGACACTCCCATCGCCAGCTCTCCTGTTCCTCCTGTTCTCCCGGTTCCCAGCGGTAATCCCGTTCCTCTACCCGTCCCACAGACTCCCGGTGTTCCTGTCGTCCCGGTTCCTACACCCAGCTCAGTCGTCGTCAATGCTGGAACATCCAACAGATACAGCATGTTTGGTGGTATTGTGGCTGGTGTCGCCGCTCTCGTTCTCTAAATGGCATTCAGTTTCATTTGTTTATTGGTATAGATTGTTGGATTAGATGGTTAGCATTAGGGGAAACTATGGAAGGCAATTGAGCGTCGGTAAATGCCAGGCGGCATGTAATCATTTATTGATCGAGTAATGGGATAAGCACTCATTCAAGGACTTCAATTCACTTCATGCTTTGCCATTGTGATTCGTGTGAAAATGTGGTATCAATTGGTTCTATATATTAAACTTTAAAGCCAAAGCAGTCTTTGCCAAGGCGTCGCTTTTGTCATAATTCCATCGCTTACTCAATCTTGACACAGACCTTGCCCTGGTGCTGACCAGACCACTGGTACTCATAAGCCTCACGGAGCTGCTCGAGGCTGAAGACCTTGGGGTCGACAACGGGACGGAGCTTCTCAAGGTTGGCCTCGACAGCGCGGCACATGTCCTCCATCTGAGCTCGGCTTCCGACGAGGAGACCTCGGGTGGTGCAGAGGTTGGAAAGGCAGTCGAGGAAACCAGGGTCGTTCTGGCCGGTACCACCAACGAATCCGATGATGGAGATGACACCGTCAATCTTGACAGCGTTGAGGGACTGCTTCATGGAAGAAGGACCGGCAACCTCGATGATGTGGTCGACACCAGCACCACCGGTGATCTCCTTGGCCTTGGCTCCCCACTCAGGAGTCTCCTTGTAGTTGATGATGTGGTCGGCACCGAGCTTCTCGAGGAGCTTGGCCTTCTCGCTGGAGCTGGTGGTAGCGATGACCTTTGCGCCGGCAGCCTTGGCGAACTGGACAGCGAAGATGGAGACACCACCGGTTCCTTGGGTGAGAACCCACTGGCCGGGGAGGAGCTTCTTGCCCTCAAGACCGTAGAGACCGTTCCAGGCGGTCAGACCGGCACAGGTGAGAGTGGCGGCCTCGTGGAACTCGAGACCCTTGGGCATGGGGACGAGACCGTGCTCGTCAAAGGCACCGACGGAGCGGAAGGTACCGTCAATGACACCACCGAGACCGGTCTGGACGCTGAGGTTGTCGAGAGAGCCTCCGATGTGGCCCTGGTTGAAGAGGGTGACGACCTTGTCGCCGGGCTGGAAACGAGTGACGTTCTTGCCGACAGCGAGGACGGTACCGGCACCATCAGAGCCGGGGACGACGCCGTCCTTGGCGGGGAAGGGGTAGCGTCCGATAGGGAGGATCAGATCACGGTAGTTGAGGGAAGCACCCTGGACTAATGGATGTTAGTGATTTGTATACACTTGAGTGTTGATGAAGACTTACGCTTGACAAGGACCTGGCCATCACCGAGTTCAGGAGCAGGAGCCTCTTCGAACTTCATGCCACTGAAGTCCTTGGCATCCCGGGAGGGGATGATCCATTGCTTAACGGTTTGGGGAATAGACTGAGACATTGTATGTGAAGTTTGTTGGTGTTTGTAGTTATTGAGAGTGAAGATTGTTGATGATGAGGAAAGTGTTGTTGGTGACGGTTCGATGTGGTCTTTATATATCTCGACAATCTATACCGACAATCCAAAAAAGAGAAAACTCTTTAGATAATAGCAAAGACTCAAAAGATGGAGATTTGTAAGGAAATAATTGATGTCCGTGCAAGAAGCCGATTTGTAAGAATCGTGGTTCGATATAGATGCGAATTAGAGTGTTGAAACTGACGTAACCAACCCGTATCTAGTGGCAAGCAGTGGATACTTGACGCTTTACTGTTTCAATGCGACAATCTTCAACTGCCGATAGAATTCTTTTTTTTTTAAGTGGACTGGGTTATGGAGACCAATTGCGGGCTTTGGACTAAGAATCCCGATGAAGCCATTCAGAAAAAACTTGATCCACATCGAATCCATGCGGATCCGAGATTGTCAATGCCTGTCTTTTTCCAGAGAAGAACCGCCGGGTTTCTTACATACCTTAGACAAGAGTCCGATTGAACAATGGATGTGTCTTGTCAGTGAGATTTATGCCACGTTGGTTTAATGACTCGTGTGCATTGCATTGCAGCAACTATCTGCATGACATAACATGAATATGGCATTAGTGTTGAACATTATGATACAACAAGTAGCTTCCATAGGTACCTCGTTACTGACGTTTAAGAACATGAGGTTATGATTGTATCTCGACCAAAGTAAACAACTCTAGGGTATCAATCGGTGATACAATAATGGGGCTTATTGTTCTGCCCCGCCAACTGTCATCTGTCATCAACATATTGACAAACTCCCCAGGTCCTTAGTCCTTCAAAACAATCACATAATACATCCGATCCATCCCTCAATGGCTCACACTCCATCTCAATTAACCGTCAATCTGGGTCTCCAGCTCCCATACTCCCCCAGTGGAACCCCCCGCCCACCATCAGTTACAGGCATAGTTGTCTTTTCAGGCGGTAGCGCCGCCAACAATCTCGTCGATGTCTTCGAGAGCGTTCGAGAAGCGAATCAGTGCACCCTCAGTTACGTGATCCCCATCTCTGATAACGGAGGTAGCAGTAGTGAGATCATTCGCGTCTTTGGTGGACCAGGTTAGTATTGCTACCACGTGGCAGGGTCCTCCCTCCCTAGTCCTAGTCCTAGTAGTAACAGCAAATAAGGTATCGGAGATGTTAGATCTCGTCTCGTTCGCCTGATCCCAGACGACAACGGAAACCCCGAGACCGTTGCTATCAAGCATTTCTTCAATCACCGCCTTCCCAAGAACTACGCCATTGCTAGATCGGAATGGTTTGAGATTCTAGAAGCTACTCATCCACTGTGGGACGACATCTCATCGCCCAAGCGGGAACTCATCCGATCTTACCTCAACAGCTTCAACCTCGAAGTTGTGAAGCGCATGAAACCGAGCAGTCGCTTTGACTATTCTGGCGCCAGTATTGGAAACCTTTTTCTTACCGGTGCTCGTCTATTTACCGGTAGCTTTGAAGCTGCCATTTATCTCTTGAGTTCTATCTGCTCTGTGCCGGATAGAATAGCTGTCCTTCCGGCTCTCAACACTAACTTTGCGAGCCACATTGCTGCCAGCCTTGAGGATGGTACCATAATTACTGGTCAAAATGACATTTCTCATCCAAGTGCTCCCACGGCTGCCGTACCGGGGACATCAGCTGGCGTGCATAGTCCGTCTGTGTCGCGACAAGGACCATGGCATCACGATCATCACCACGTAGAGGATGCAAACTTACCCGGTACATTACCTGCGCTGCGACGACCAGCGATTGCATTCTCAAAGGAACAAGAGGAAGACCTACCGGCCCGAATCTCGCGACTATGGTACATTAATCCATACGGTGAAGAGATCAAGATGCCCGCCAACCCAAGAGTCTTGGACGCCCTCGGATCCGTGCACAGCGTAGTATACAGCATCGGATCTTTATTCACGTCGCTCATCCCCAGTCTTGTTCTGCGCGGTGTAGGAGACGCCATCACGAGTCCGCACGTGCGCAACAAGATTCTCATTCTCAACGGCACCACCGACCGAGAGACAGGTCCTTCTACGGCGCCGTTTACAGGATTGGACTTTGTCGGGGCAATTGCAAATGCTCTCGCCGACTCACGCGGTCTACCGAAGCCTTCAGTGGAAGATTATAACCAGTACGTGTCGCATGTGATTTACATCGAAGGTCCGACGTCGCCCAAGGTGGACAAGCAGCAATTTGGACAGCTGGGCATCGACGCGACACGGTTGTACGGACCCAAGGATGAGAAGGGACGTGGTGGAAGGTATGATGCCAAGGCTTTAACACAAGCTCTTGAGACTATCATCGGGAGAAAGGATGCTCGGTCGGATAGAAGTCGACGTAATACTCTTGTGGGCTGACCTTACCTGGATGGTGATTTAGGATGGGAGACATAGAAAAGAATATGTATTAGATGTTATAATATCGATGTGGTATGCATTCAAACTCCAGGTCTGACCTAATATGCTATCCATTGCCATCAGTAACCAAGGTACCTCGAGGTATCATCATCTCCCAAAATGCGCCGTCCGTCCATCCGTATCGCTCATAACCAGCTTCCCATTTCCATTTCCATTTGCCAAAGTGTTGGGTTCTCATCAATCGGCATACGCGGGATTAAACAGCAAATACGCCATGACGACAGGCCAAGCCGTAGATAATAACAGGGCTCCGATTACAGAACCTCCCGTCGTCCGAACGCGGTCGTAAGGGCCTTTCCAGCGGTCGACGAGGGCGCATGTAGCAAAGATCATGGCGCAAGCGTAGAGAGAGGCACCCCAGAAGACGGCGAGGTGAAGGTCTGAGTTTTTGTCTTCGGGGCTGAGGACGACGCCCGAAAGGTCTGGAACGAATGTGGAGGAAAGATTGCCGCCCATTTTGTAGTAGGTATGTAGATTTGGTGGGGGTTATGTGGTGTTGTTTTTGACAGTGTAACCAGAGTAAAATTAAAGAGAGGTTCGTTCTGGTATTACAAAGAAATATAAATTGGGGAAAAGGTTCACTCGCCAGCGAGGAGATGTATAAAAGAATGAGAATGAGAAAGAGAGAGAGAGACTGAGCTGAGTGAGTGCCTTCTAAAAAGAGCGAATCATTCCAACAAAAGAGCACAAGATGGGGATGTCTTGATGCATGGGATGAAGCAGGGGTTAGTAAAGTGACCAATTAGACTTGTCAACAAGACACTCTTTGAGGTCGGGGCCAAGACGACCCGGTCGCGGATGCGTCTCGTTGGTTGAAACAAGTGCAACTATAGATACAAGGGACCAATTGAGGTATTCTTTAAGCGCGCGGCATGTATCCAACAGTCACAGCACATACGACTATCTATAGTGAGCTGACAGATGTGATATTGAGCTGATTGCATGGCATATGTTTTTTTCTATCTCTTTTACTCTTTATTCTCTTCATCTTTAATGACAACTCTATTCTCTTCATCCCCTGGCACCATCTCAGATCTGTTTCATACCTCGGTCGATGGCCCGATGTAACTATGGTAAAACCCTCAGACCCAAACATCCAAACAACAGGGTGATGCAGATTTCTCGATTGAACCCCTGTAGAGTCTTACCATTTTATGTATAGCATTGATTACTATTTCTTGGCTTGACCATTTCTTCCCATCCGAAACTTGCCACCTTCTCCTTATGGTTCTTCCCTCTCTGTCGGGTTCATCTCAAGCCGGCCCATATTTTTCAGTTCAAGTTACAGGATAACACCTGAGCTTTCTGGGGAATTGGAGACAAAAAGCAGTCATGGAGGCATGAAGAACAAAAACAGTACGTCAGTTTATGAGACTTGGGCGGTCATTTCTGTTACCCACTCTCATCTCTGGGGTTCCAGTACTACGCTATTGAGTCATAACATCACTGATAAGGCTGATTTAACATTTCTCGCATCAGCCACTTTATAGTCCCAGGTTTTGTGCAACTCACGTGCTACTAACTTTTTAATCAACACGCACTTATATCACAATTATCTGGAACCTTTTGTCTGAAAGTGCCCATCACAAGTCCCACTGTCACGTCACAAATCTGAAGATGTTAGATTTCTATTCTCACGAGGAAAAGAAAAGTTGGCCTTCAAGCTTCAGGGTAGAGCAATGTAAACCGGCCTGCAAATATCATCTGTAATGCTTTTATTAATGGTCAAAGTTTCTAATATCCCAAGGATATCCTCGAGGCTGTTTATTGCGGGAATCACTAGTTTAAACCATCCGTGCCATCAAAGAGTGTATCGTCAAAAAATCCATCATTAAAGACTCCATTATCAAAGACTCCGTCAGGTATGTTCTGGGCGTTTCCAACTTCAAAAGAGGGGGCGTACATGGGTTGGCCTTGCTGAAAAAGCGCACGCTGGCGTTGCTGGATAGGCAGCGGTCGACTTTGCTGAAGATGCATCTGTTGGCTCTGCTGAAAATGCGTCGGTTGGCTGTGCTGAAAAGTCGTGGGCTGGCTGTGCTGAAAAGACGTGAGTTGACTTTGGCGATAATACATGGGCTGACTTTGTTGGATAGGCATGGGTTGACTTTGGTGATAATACATGGGTTGGCTTTGTTGGATAGGCATGGGTTGACTCTGTTGAAAAGACGTAGGCTGACTTTGCGGTTGTGTGTTGGGCAAGAACCCATTCTGCCACGTCCTCGCCCTTTTACTCGCATCCCTAGCCGCCTCCAACCTCTCTGCCCCCTCCCGCTTCCTCTTGTCCCTTCTCGCCTGCCCTTCCGCAACGAACCGCTGGCCCTGGATCCTTGCGACGTTTTGATGATCTTCTCTTAGTTGGCCAAAGGTCTTCGGCTTCGCCTTCCGAATTCTGATGCCGTTGACGGTATCCTGAAGCTCGAACTGTGGCTCTATCTCGTCTTTGAGCTTTTTGTGATTTCTATCCTTTTCTGGCTTTTGGATGCGGGCGTACACGGCCTTGACTATTTCAATTTGTAGTTTGAAGGCGTCTCGTACTTCCTGATTGGGTGCCCAATTCTCAACACCAAAGTCCATCTCGGGCGACTTGCCGTCGGCTAGATCCCTTACCACACTTTCTTGAACAGAACGGAAGGATTCCAACATCTTGTCGGTGGTTCCCTCTGATAAGATAGGTGATTGTGGTTCGGGTGAACCAGAGGCGGACTCATCTGTGGTGGGCTCTCGAGAGGGAGGGGAGGGAGATGGTGGTGAGGGAGATGGTGGTGGTGACCCGAAGAGAGACTCATCTGTAGAGGGTTCTCGATCTGGTGTGGAAGACATGTTGTTTGGATTTGATGTTGATGTTAAGGAGGACTACACAAATGTCTGTTTCGTACTTATATGATTCCAAGACCTAGATAATGCTTCGTTCTACATTTTGTAGTTGAAAAGGAAAAACATTTCTGCAGAGACAACAGATGAGCCCCGGGAACCAAAAGCTCGGGGGAAGCACTTTCCCTCCCCATCCTGCTGCGGTGCATATTTTGAAGCTTATCGACGAGTACTTGGAAGGTTCTACGCGTACAGGCCAAATGATATTGAACCCTGTGCTCCATCCTAACAAAGAAATAGGTCAATAATCACACTTGTCCAGGGAGAGGAGGCGAAATTAGCCAGTCACTCAGCACCCCAGTAGAGTTCTGTGTGATTGATTTTTACACTCAGGTGAGTGATAGATAACCCAAGCGTGATTCGGTGGCTGACATATGGAAATATTAAATCAGCCTTATCAATGAGGATATGGTCCAATGGTGCAGCTCATCAATCACATTATTCCTATCCTGATTAAAAAGTATCAAAAACTCAGCCTTAAACTCAAACTTTCCCAACATTTATTCTTCCCCCCCACATTCTCAAAATCGCACCCTGGAACCTTGATAAAATATTCAATGTGACCTCAATTTCAAACCCTCCACTGAAACTATACACTAATGTCGCTGATGTCGCGGAGTACTATCTCTAAATGCATTGTTCATCTGCATGTACCGCAATTCCCTGGACCTTGATCTGCTAGAACTCCCTAGCAGTTCACTTATACGAATGGGTTTCGGACAATAGACCACATAGGGCCTGCTTCCACTACTACTGAAGCCCCAAGGACTTCCAGTAGAACGGGATGGTGGGAGAGCTGGTGTAGAGTAATCACTTCGGGATGAGGGGGTTGTGGGTATGTGATTGAGACAGTAGTCTTGATATCCGTCAGCCTTGGGCTGGCCGCACTCGGGCTTTAAGCATGCATCCTTCCGACAGAAACCATGTTTAATCTTGGCTGGATTCAAACAATCGTTATTGAGGCAGCGGTGATCAGAACAGAAAGGGGATATCGAACCATGGGTTCGGGCTTCTCGATCACATCCTGTTAGTTCGCAAATGTGTCGAGGGCACCTCCTAAAGTTGAAGCCCTTGGAGTCGACGAAAGAACTCCTACATTCGATGACAGAACACCTGTCTAAGATGAAAGTTAGCTTCTGAAGTGGATAAGAGAGGAATACGTACGTCTGTGACAGAACCGGGTGCCAGGGGCACGATCAAGGTCTCTGGGTCGATTGCAGCTTGGAATAGAGCACTCATGCTCGGCACAAAACGACGATCCAGTCTGGACGATACCATGGCATCGTGCCATCTTGCATTGACAATGGTAGGCGCAAAACGTCTTCGGATCGTTGGTGGAATCCAAGTCCACATGCCTAGTACATCCCGACGACGCACACGACTGATGGTGACGGCATTTTCCTTTGCTCCGACCCGAGGCCAACGTCTTCTGAGTGCAGTGAGGATGCTGACAAGAATGTTTGTCGCAGTAGTGTTTCGAACTTCGATCCGAAGAGCAGTCCGAAGCCTCGCATTTGTTCTCCTTGGCGTGATCTTCACAGTACTTGGTGTTTGAGTCGCGGCGATGTTTGTAGCAGCCATCTGCTTTGCAACGATCTGAACTACGTTAGTACTAAGCTTGGAAATATCAGAGTACATGGCACTTACGCTCTGAGCAAAGCCACAACGTAGTGTTTCCCTTTGAGAAACGGAAGGATTTGTCTTCGTCTGATATTCTTTTGCCGCATCCGGGGCTGCCACAAATTGCGTCTGGATATGTCAGTCTTTTGCTTCAATAAGATAACTTATAACTCACGATATTCACAGAACCTCTCCCCGTCTTCTGAAGGCGTGCGGCATTTGTAAGAAGCATGGCAGCTGTCTAGTGACTTGTTAGGAACTCTTATTGGTTATCCAACGCTATACCTACGTTTCGAGCAGTAAAAGGAACTCTTGTCACTGCTTTGATAGTACGCTACCTCTTTATCGCAATGCCTCCTTCGACACTTGCGAACCGATCGATAACTACTCCCACTGCTGGAATGAAAAGGCATATTGAAGGTGAGAGTACAGCGTGTGGTTGATAGGAGATACTGTGGTATCAGGATCGAATGAAAATGCCAGAAGAAATTCAGGAGCTGATAGATCGCTTTACAGGGTTTGCGTTTTTGAAGTAGATGAAGTAAAGGATGATAGAATATGAGCATCCAATGTTCGATGAAACAACTTGGACTGAAAGGTAGTTCGACAGCAGGATGCTCGAGGTTTATATATTGCCAGCAGAGGTTCTGGTACAGAATGACAGTCGCTCGAACGGATTGAGTCGTAGCCGCAGTTCGCTTGCAACTTTATATAGTTTGTCTTGTGTTGCCCGGTTTAAGCTTTCGTTACACCCTGGGTGTTGTCTTCACGCGTTTTAGCAAAACGTGGGCTCGTTACACCTCGGAAGCTGATGCGGCTTGCCATGCGATGGAGACTGGATGCCTATTGAGTGACGTGCTTTGCTGATGGCTGCCGTTCCGAAGTGTATAGTTAGAACGGGTGCTCATAACTTGACTTCCTAGACAAGCATAAAGGTCAGTAAAGATGTTGTCAATAATCACAATAGGGTTGAAAAAAATCAAACACTTGACGGCATGTATTCCACTTGGAAATACAATGGAGAATACTTTCAAACATATTAAGGGCCTGTTTCTCCATCTTCTCCTTCCATTCATCGTGGGACTACACCTTTCTCAGCAAGCCATTTACGGTATGCCGAAAGGGACCACAATCGCCGCATGACCATAACTCTCAAACTATGACAACATATCAGTCCAGTGTTCCTCTCGAGTTGTCTCGGGCAATCAGGCTACCTCTCAAATAGTTGCTGCCTTGCGAAAAGCGAACCGGTGTTTCAAGGAAACAATGACGTTGAAGTCTGAATATTTGATGAGCCTCGATTGTGGCTGCACTTCCCGCAGTTGTACGTTGTACGTTGTAACCGATTCCGTTTGTTGAACACTATTTTCAACCCAAATACTTGGCACAACTCAAAGATTTGTCATCGTGAGATTGTGAGGCTCTTATCCCTTGAAATCTCACGGTAAACCGGGCGATGCTGTGGACTGTTTGCGGTGCGCAGGAACCGTGGAAGAAGATAGCGGTGATTGGTGTCTATCGGAGGAACGGAGAAATCGTCAAATGACCAACAAACGACTGCAGGCCTGTGATTGTGTAAGTGAGGTTCTAGTTCAAAGAACTGACTCAACTCCTTTTGTGTTGCAGCTTCGCCAAGGGGCAGCCAAGTAGCGAGCCGACCGAAGATTTCTCGCCCATGGTAAATGAGTTCAGGTTTTCTGTTTAGTCCTACTTCTCGTTACTGATCCAATCGTATATGTCGCTGTCTGGGCCATGACTGGTGATAGATCAGGCAGCTTCCTCAAGGTCAGCTAGAGGCCACCAGAGGGAATTAGGGATAGATACAGCCAAATTGCTGGTGGAACTGTTGAATCGGACTCGCAACGCGAGTTGGACGCTTTTGAAAGATGTAAATTTCATAATTGCAGTAATAAAAATCAAGTTATTTCTCGTAGAAATCAAGTCGAGGAAATAGGATCGTGATATAAACAAAACAAGTGTATTTGGTAAAGGAAATGATGCAAGTTCTAATTGATTCACCCGCCTAAAACACGTAGGCTAGCTCACTACGGTTCTTTCCTTCCATTCCCCAGGCTGCGAGTTCCACCTTCCATCCAAATTGTCAACTGCTCCGTCCTTCTTTCCCGACCGCATTTTCAATCCCAAGCTCAATAAAATTGACAGCCAACCCGAAATCATATTCTCCCAGATTCTGGATCGTTCCAAGATTCTGATGCAAAGTTGCGCGAGTTCAACTCTGGTATCGACTTTGCCTCAGGTCGGGATCTTCGCTGTCAAAGGTAACCAAACACCCCACGCCCAATCTCTGCAGGAAGGGTAGCATGGGACGGTGTCATACAGTACAATTACATGACTTTTCGCCTGTAATTACTCTTATTAACAAATGGGTGTGACCATGTCAAAGGCAGACTTACTTGCCGTGTTGCCGGCAGAAATTACAATGTGCTAACATTGACGCAGCTGGAGTCGGTAAGGCATCTGGTCTGACAGTCGAAACAGTCTCACCGATCGTGTTAAAGCATCTCATAGTTATTGCAGACAAGATGTTTCATCACCGCACCAGTGTCGATGCTGCGTCAAAGGACAAAGATGAGGATCGAAGGCTCCCCTATATGGGAGGACCGGACACGCAAACTATCAGCAGACAGACTGGTGAGTCATGGTTCGCCCGCATCCAACAGAGGTACAAGAGAAGGCTGCTGGAATAACAGGTAACAGAAGTGCTGATCTGCTGCAGACAATCCACAACTTGGTTCACCAAGATGCCCTCGCCTGTCAGCCCTGCTTCCAAGGCTTATCAGTCATACGCAAACTCAGCATCAAACACGATAAAGATGGTGCTCACCTTGACAAGTAAGACAGTGAACCACTGATTCTTGCAAAATTCGGGTCCTCCGCGATCTGTCTCTGTCTCTCGAAGACCATCGATATTTTAGAACGAGGACCCGAGTGCATTTAAATATGACCTTGATCATTACACAATGTACTCCCTTCTACCTTCGCAACATTTACCAACTTGGGATCACTATCATCTGCTTGTCGAGGGCTTGAGCTTGCCTGACGTGATATACGATGAAAACTAAGGAATTTCTAGCCAGTCAGTATCCTTGGTAAGCGACTGTGCACCCAGCTGATCTCAATGATAGGTATATCTCGAATATCATCTTTTTGATTGCTACTCAAAACTAGTTATCGGTCCGATTGGAATCACTCAGGCGGCAAGCGGCATATTTGCCTCTTATTTCTGGGCGAAAAGCTTAGAAACGAACATACAACGTAGCACCAAGACGTTAATGTACCCTTTCGGTAGGACTTGCTCTTTTTCCTACTCTTCCATCCATATGGATAATGCACTGACGTTTATTTCATCGGCAGTTATTTTGTACCATCAAAGGACAACTTACATCATGGACTTCACACTGAGTGTCGGCAGATCTATCACGACACCAATTAATCTAAGGGCATTTTTGAAAAGGGATTGAAGAGAGCATCTGGGTACATGTCAGTTGACAACTAACCTGAAATTGCTTTGATATCACTGCTGTGTGATTGGGATTCTGTGTTGATACGGGTGATGCTCATCATTGGGGCCACTTCGTCTTTTGATTGAACGTTACCAACGTACATGCACAGGCTTGTGATCATGTTTCTTGACCGGTAAATTGTGATTTGCCTAATTTCAACTCGATTCCCTCAAGCATCTATCCTGACAAACTTTACGTGAAAACTTGGCTAATTTGCTAAACATCTTTACAAACTCAAGACACAGACAAGAATCGATATCAAGGCAATATCTACACAGGTGCGTCATCTCCGAAATTTGATCATGATTCTTCAAGACGCATGTCTCAGGAGTGTGAAACACAAACCATGTGACCGCCCACTGACGTTTTGTCTCAAAAAAAGACTCAATGCTCGTTCCGTACTATCTACCCCCTGCCTACCGTGGCGGTGTTAGACGCCTTGCTGAGAATGTTCTTTTTATGGGATTGCCAAGATTCAAGGCAGAAGAGCAAAAGTGCAAGCGTTGCAAGAAGAAGCTACCATCTTCGAATCGGCTAGTTGTTGCATTTGAAGACAGAAACAGCGGCTTGTGCATGACTGTCCGGCCTATAACACCAAAGCCAGCAAAGGACAAGAGAAAGATTGACGATTAGTGTGGATTTGCGGCATGATCTACAGAAATCAAAGGTTTGTTGCATCTGTCTCTATTTGGCTATACTTGCGAGCCAACTTCTAACGTCGAATTAGTAATGACACGTTGTCATTCGTGTACATGGCATTAGTGCTGTTGGACCGGGGTTCCATTTACGAGAAGCCGGTACTTGGTCCTGTATGTAAAGGATGCAGAGAATGCTGAAGTATCATCGGTCTCCCCGAAACTCGTGATACTCTCGTATGCTGCCACATATATCATATCATGCCTACGAACCTCAGTTTCCTGTGCCCTATGAGTGAAGACGGAGCTAGATGTGCTTTCCAACAACAGCCAGGTCAAGTTCTGTCTCCAGTTATTTGTGCTACTTCAGATTCATCATTACATCCTTTTGAGTAATAGTGATGCAGCAGGTATCATTTCTAGCTTTCGTTTGACGTGTACTAATGTCTGACTCATCCTAGGTTTCCGAACGAAATACCGACACTTGAAACCGACCTTCGCCTCCTTTCCCCTTTTACATTCGTATCTCTCTCGACAACTATACCCAAAGCCATATCTGCCCACCGATGCCACTCTCCTTGATTGTAGAATCAGCAACATTACACCTCGAGAGTATTTCAAACATCGGGTCTCAAGTTGGCCCAAACTTTACTGTACTCGATACGCTTCCGAAGATAACGAGATTTTGTTGAAAGGTAAACCCTAGTCATCATTGATATCTCGTTAATAGTTTGTGAACTTCGTGAACCTCTGTATTGTCCCAAACTCACAGTGTTGGGCGGGAGCTTGTCTCTCAATGTCAATAACAGACCCACCGCTTCCCTTGACTGCATGATGATGTCCGCAATCTTTCCTTGTTTACGGAGTGAAGATTAAAATGCCTCTTCGGGACGCTGTTCGGGGGTTATGCCGGGAGACAGAGGCCATGCATCCGGCGCCCCATCCCTATCGCTCGGTAGCCAGTCACACTTAGATATTGGCAACTCAGGGGGGCGTCAATAGGCCTTTTATATAGGCATGAATAGTTTCCAGTCATTCTTTCATGTGCGGATAAAAGGGGGGAGGGCGGAGAGTGCGTCAAGCGCCGGCGGTAGTAGCAAGTATTTTAAGGTCATACCATACAAATTACATACATCATCTTATTTCATACGAGGAACAAGCTAACAGGGATGTTATCATATGTATGAACGAAAAATTTATTTTCACGCTTTGTCAAAATAATTATGCTGGCCATTGACGTGACTGGCACAAAGTTATTCTACCGTTTACATATCCGTAGACAACCTTTCAGCTTCAAGAAACATATCCCATCAATCCATTTTCCACTACAGTTCAGCGCTGAGAGGCAGATTGCGAGAGCTGCTACCAACCCAGATCTTCTTGGCGTGATCGGTGATCACCCAGTTCTGGGCATTGACGTCCCAGTTGCTCAGATCACGACGAGTAAGCTGAGCGGTGAATGTGGCACTCTCACCAGGAGCGATGTTCTCGAGACGCTCGAAACCACGGAGGACACGGATGGGTTCGTTCTCACCACCAAGGCTGACGTACAGCTGGGGAACCTCGTCAGAAGTGGCATCGCCAGTGTTGGTGATGGTCGCGGTGACAGTGTAAAGGACATCCCAAAGTTGAGGGTTGCCGCCAGGAGCACCACCAGAAGCGAGACGGGGCTGAGATGAGCCGTTGAGAGCGTTGGGAGGGAGGAACTCGTCGGCGGTGTCACCAAAGTTACCCTCAATGTCGTTGGAAGCCTCTTGGGCGGAGGAAGAGGTGTTGAGGAAGGGGTAGATGAACTTGTAAATGTATCGGACGCCAGCAGGGAACTTGTAATCGTCCAAGTTCTTGCTAAAGTTGCCGTAGCTGGGGGCAGGAATGGTGTTTCCGACAGGGGCGCTGTAAGAGGCGTTGCTGACAGACTCGACCTTGAGGTCAGAGTACTTAAAGGTGGTCCAGGACAGACCGAAGCCAAACTCGTAGAGAGGGGCAGCAGAGTCGTTGGTAGCTCGCTTTCCGTTGGTGCTAGGGGATTGTTTGTCAAAGTGACGGTAGTCGATGAAGTTACCCTCAGTGAAGTCCTCTTGGGGAGCACCCTCGCCGTTGTTGGCCTTGTAGAGAACCTCAGTGCCGTAGCTCTTGGCAGTGCGGCCCCAGGTAAAGACGGAACGTCCAGGGCTAGTCTTGCCGTAGAGGATGTCAGCGATGGCGTTACCAGTCTCTTGTCCAGGAACACCGGCCCAAACAATAGCGGTGATGTTGGGGTTGTTGTGCCATTCGGTCAGCAGAACGGGGCCGACGGTGTGGAGGACGACAATGGTGTTAGGGCAGATGGCGGAGACGTTCTTGATGAGCTCATCACCTTGGTTCCACAGAGTGAGGTTCTTGCGGTCACCGTAGTTGCCATCAACTTCGATGTAACCCTCGCCAGCATTGGCATTGGCAAAGACGATAGCGGTGACGTTGGGCTGGCTGATGAGAGCCTGTGTCTGGGGCCACTGGTTGTTGTTGAGGATGCTCTCGTATCGACTGCCGTCCTGAATAGCCTGGAGCGAAATACCTTGATCGGGGGTGACGAGGTAGGGGAATTGAGAGGTTCCAGAACCCCATGACATGGCAAGAGTGCCGTTGTTGCATCCACGATCGCCGCAACCGTTGGGACCGGCAGGATTGGGGCCAGCGTCCTCACCAATGACAGCAAGGAATTTGGGCTTCTTGAGAGGAAGCGAGCCAGAGTTCTTGAGGATGACGGTTCCCTTTGCGGCAGACTCACGAATATGGCGCTTGTGGTCGTGCTGAACATCAACAGCAAAGTTGACCTTTTCTCGGTTCTCTTGGGCGTAGGTCTGGGCAAAGCCGTACTCGTCACGAGTCCAAGAGGAAAATTTGATGCCGGGTTCCTCCTCAACAGATCGACCAACCTTGAAGAAAGCGGCCATAATTCGAGTAGCCATGTCGTCGATTCTCCAAGCGGGAACGGTACCGTTGACAACAGCGAGGGTCAGGTTTCCACCCCAGAAGCTGAAGCCGGTGTTGAACTCTGTGTCACCGGGCATGGTCATATCAAGACCGGCAACGGCAGAGGCGGCACCAGTGTGCTGAGCTTGCCAATCACTCATGACGAAACCCTGGAAACCCATCTCGTCCTTGAGGATTCCGTTGAGGAGCTTGGAGTTTTGGCAAGCGTACGAGTTGTTGACCTGGTTGTAAGAGCACATAATAGAGCCAACACCAGCGCGGACGGCGTCGGCAAAGGGCCAGTTGTAGAGTTCGTGCATAGTCTTGTCGTCAATGTTGGAAGACAGAGACTCGGAAATGTTGAACTCGCGAGACTTGACGTCGCCTCGTTGACGGAAGTGTTCTAAGGAGTGTTAGTTTGTTCTTGTAGATGTTTGAAGTAACTTTAGCATACCTTGCTCGTTGGCGACGTAATGCTTAGCACAAGCAATGACACCAGAGTCTTGGATTCCCTTGACAGTCTCGGCCATAGCATGACCAGCGGCATAGGGGTCGACGGTGAAGCCTTCCCAGTTTCGCCCACCGGCAGCGTGACGGCCAAGAGGGCCCGTAGCAGGGCCAAGAGCAATGTCGATGCCCTTCTCCTTAAATTCGGTACCCAGCAATCGTCCTCTCTCATACCAGAGAGCCTTACTCCAAGAAGCGCCCGCGGTGACACCAGTGGGGAAAGCGCTGTTGTAGTCGGAGAAGCGGATTCCGAGAGGACCATCCTGAAGACAGAGACCTCGCATACCAAGACGAGGAATAGATCCCACGTTTCCTACACAGCGTTCGCCTTGCCATCTGACGACAGAGTTAGCTGGGGATCAGAGTGTGTCTTGTCGCTCATTACTTACCCAACACCAGTGGTCAAGTTGACCTTTTCCAAAAGAGTCAGCTGGGACACAAAGTCCTTTGCCTTGGCGTAGGCTTCCTCCCAACCAGGAGCTTCAGGGTCCATCCATGGTGAAGGATAGTGAGGAGGAGAATAAGCGAGTGTGTCTCGCGCAACGAGCTTTTGAGTGTCAGTATGAAGATCAAGAACCATTATTCCAGCAACCATCGCAGCTGGCGACGCAAGGAATGAGAGGCGCATCTCTGCAAGCAGATCAAGCGCCTCGGGGGGTGATCTCAAGATCGGAACGGGATGCGAGAAGAATGTCAAGGCTACAAAGCCAGTCAAAAGCGTAGAGAAGAACAAGAAAAGGGAAGAAGTAGAGGATGATGGCGATATAAGCGAGGACGGCAAGTTCAATGATCAGAAGCAGAGACATGATTGAGACTGGTTTCTTTGTGAAGATGCCGCGTTTGCAATGCAAATATCGTGAGAAAAGAAAAATGGCTGTGGCCTGGCGAAAGTTGAGATGAAATGAACGGAGTAGCTTACATTGACTCCTGCCAAAGTATCAGGGACTTGGGCAGCAGCTGCAGTATCACTGCCAGCAGCCAAATAAACGGCTGCGGCAAGCCAATTGGCCTTCATCTTGTCGGTTTCTTGCTGTAGATATAACTAAAGCGACTGTAAGAATATTTGTGAGTAATTTGGGTCTAACAGAATAATGAATGCTTCTCTATTTAAGGAGAGCAAGCGAGGGAGGGAAATAGTGACTGACAGGAGTTTACAGGGCTAGTCCAATATAATGGAGGCTAGTTATAGACCCTGGAGGTTGTAATGTTAAAGACGACGACACAAGATGTAGGTCAACATGAGAAAAAGAAGAAGAGGAATAGACGAATTTATATAAAACAGACAAAGCTTGTCCCATACAGAGTCAAAATGTAAGTAATAAACGCACGACAGATGCTGTGGTCATTTTACAAAGTTCAGCGCGCATCCATGCCATGAATGCATGCTACCTTGAGTTTAAACCATGCAGAGACCACTCCACTGTAAACTCTTTGCAAATCCCTTCCTTTCAGAGTTTAATCACGCGAGACCGGTTCTATCCTCCTAGCTACCCGTGCAAAAAAAAGAGAAAGAATACCAAAAAATGGGGAGTTTATGGACATCGTCATCAAAGTTGTCTCTCAGTCTTTACCCCACAAATCAGCAAAAACACGCCGCTGGAGGGTTGATCATGGTTGGGATTGGACAATTGCTTATTGAACAGGGTCTTGGGTCTATGGGTTTATGCTAGGTCGTGGGGTAAAAGGGCCGATGTTGAAAGAGGAGAAATCCTTCTTTCTATCGGACTGATCAGAAGACTTGAGCCTTGCCTTGCATCGAAAAGACGCGGTAGTATTCTTGCAGGGCCATCATTGACGTCACATCGTCTTGTCTTTTTTTCATCTCCCTTCTGGTTGATGCTCTTTTGTTTACCCGTCTCACAATTAAGAACAGGGATTTATACATCAACAGGTTGAGTTTATGGTCGGACACTTTGTGAATCATGGTAACTCAAGTCTGACAAGGTTACACTACAGTTTTCCAGCTCATCACTTCGAGGTCAGAGTCGGGTCGGTCAAACGAGAACCATGGATCGGCATAGCTAAATTTCCCAAAAAGGTCATACAATCTTTTATGCTTTTACCCTTTTGCTTCACTTTGTCTCTCCGTTATTTAGGTCAAAGTTTAAGTCTGATTCCACAGCATATGCCTCGGTAGTACAAAATTACGTCTCCTCTTTTATCTTGACCGGTTCGATTCGACTGTCTATAAGCTGTTATGCCCCTCCCCATTCCCCACGATGAGGGTCGGGTCTTACTATTCTTCCCCGCAAAATGGGACCAAGAGATCCCTGTTAGTCTCTTAGTCCAAGAGCGATCGTTTGTGTCCGACGAACGCCCGTGGAATTGCGGCCCGTTGATCCTGTGATGCGTTTCTTGGATCATCTAGTCCATATTGGTGATATTACTTCTGTTCTACCGTAGTTGATCCATGAGATGTTGTTCGGCTACGACATAAATACGGATTGCTCGGTTGTGCCTTGGTTTACATGTAACGGTCTAGAAGTGGCGCAGTTGAAAGTTGGGGATCATGGACATGACATGCGAGGCAATTGGCCTTGGATAGACACGAATCTTGGGTTGTATGCATACTGCACACGTTTAAAAACGACAAACATTATTAGTTAGATGACGCAGTAGCTCAATTCCTATACAGGAAGGTGTGTAAGCTCTCATCGTGCAAACTTTTCCTTCGAGGAACCTCACGATATCCCAGCCATTTGATCAATGACCCCATTATACTACATTACATTCCTCGGACCGGTAAACCGACAAACGGCCCCGAGATCATTAAGGACCTTTGTCTCCTAGGCCTCTCTCCAGTTTTTGTCTCCATATACATTAATTAGTAAAGGCCGGGAACGATTCGAGACCGAACAATCTTGCGATACTCCTCCCAGTCCTTGCCGTACTTGCGGTGGCACTTTTCGTCATCGCGGCGCTCGCGGTGAACAAGAAGAATGCCAAAGTAAAGGATGTAAAAGTAGGTGATCAACATGCCCCATCCCTTGGCCTCACCCTGAACGACCTCACGACCGTCGCGCATCACAAACGCACCCTCGACGTTGGCTCCGGCGCTCATGATCTGGTAGCCAGCGAGACCCGTGGGAAGGCAGTAAGGCCACGACTGAATCCAATCGCCAAGGTAATTGATGTGTCGGGACATACCCCACCAGCCAGTTGTAAGCAGCTTGCTACCCGTCTTGGTCTGGATGTACTTGAGGTGTGAAACCTTGGGGTCGTTGGGGTTGGTGCGGAAGCGGTTCTTCTCGTTGTTGGCCGAGCGAAAGATGTAAAAGCCAAGACCGATAAGGCCGAGCATCGCGGCGAGACCCAGAGGACCGAGCGAGACGGGGTGAACGGAGAGGTAACGGGTCTGAAGCGAGTATACATAAGGCACCCAGACAATGTCGCCGAAAGCAAGCATCATGCCGAAGCCGTCGGTGGTAATGTCCATTGTTGTCAAAATAGCGGGCTCGTTCCACCAAGAGTCAAAGACATACAAAGCTTGGACAGCGGTGATGAGGATAGAGCTATCGGTCACAAAACCGTAGTTGCGGTACTGTTGAGCGCACCAGGAGCAGTTCATAATGATCCAGCCCATCATGCCAGGTCGGAGCTCAAGGAATTCCTTAATGTCGACCTCACCGATGAGAGGAATCTCAATACGGGGGTTCAGTTCGCGACCAATGAACCAATCGTACAAGATGTTACCCGAGTGGCCTCCGGCAGCGAGCTCGCGGTTCTCCTTGTTGCCATGCTTAACACTGAAGCTTCGGACGTAGACGAATGTCGCAACGAGATACGAGTAGATAATGTTGGCGGAAAGGATCTGAATAAAGTTCTCCGACATAAAGGTCCAAACAGGGAACTCGGCGCCCTGAGCAAAGGTTCCGGCGGCAAGGACAGCGAGAGTGAAAGTGCTAGAGTACAAGGCTAACAGGGGTTAGTTATATAGATTTGAGCTTTGAAGAAGTTGACGAACTGTTGAATCGGTAGTTGAGTCTTCCACCGGAGCGCAACTCGGTACCCTCAACCTCGATCGCGGGCAAGACGCGGTAGAGGATCAAAGACAAAACATTGTATCCGATGACGGCGAGTGTTCCGTTCCAGCTAACAAGACCAGCGACTCCATTGTGAGGCCAGCCAACCTCTTGCTTCAGCGCATCGAGCGAAAGAGTCTTGGGGTGTAGAAGAGAAGGCGCAGGACAACCAGAGATATCGTTGCAGACAAAGTTGAAGACGTATACGAGAACGGGGAGGAAGAATGAGATGGCAAAAGCTCCAGGACTATAATTGTGTTAGTAACACACTTGACTTAAAAGAGATAGAGTAGAATTGACTTACGGGCCAAAGAATTCGTAGCCGTGCTGCTCTTGCGCAGGAGGCTGTTTAGGCTTGACGGCCATTGTTGAGGTTGTTATTGGGAATTGAGGAACAACCGTAGAAAATTAACTTAAAAACAGTTAAACGGTTGAAAACCAAGACTGTTGGGAAGACAATGTCAAGTCTTTAAGTTTTAATAACGTAAAGAAACAAAACAAGCCATCAGGGAGAGAGTCGTTGACGAAATTACACGACTTTTAGTTTGATCTAATCTAAGCGTCCCCTATACGCCCTGCGTATTGGCGTATAGCGTAGAGAGCTAGGGACCAGGTACCGGAATTTTCGTTTTTTTCCCTCCTCTGTGAAACCCTTGTCGTATTCGGCATTGTCTCTTCGTCATCGGAGTTGCAGCAAATCAGAGCTTGTGTGGGACTTAGTTTCAGTGTAACCAACGGGAACTCTATAGCCGACTCTCCGACGATGAATGATGTTGTCATCGGACAAATAAAGACCCGTTGGTTTTGACAAAGAGTTCTAATATTGGACCAGGAACCAATCATAAGCTCGGAAGAAAGCCCCTTGAGGTATCCGTAAAGTGACATGGAGGACAGTTTGAGGTTTTGGATACAGGGTCACAACGCGTAATCAGGGAGGAAGCACTTCTTTTATTATCATCTTGACCTTCATCTTTTGTATTGTTCGTTTTATTCTGACTCGCCTGTCTCTTTTGGCGACATTCATTCATAGACAAGTCTTGTCACAACCCTTTTTACTCTCAACCCCTTCGTCTAATAGCCGACAGTAGATCTGTCTGTCTGTTTGGAAGGAACGACATCCATTCCAATTCCGACTCATTCCCTTCAGTTTCATTCTCTTAAACAACTTGTCTCCCTACGATAGCACGACAGGATCGATTCACGATGCGGTTCCAAACATTACCATTCGTTTTATCTTTTGCCGCTGCCGTCAGCGCAGACATGGCAGAGGTACCCTCGACGACAGTACCAGTCCCAGCATGTACCGCAACATCTCATACCGGCATGGGAGGTTTCTACGATCTACGACCGGATATGGCCGTCGTTCCCGATAAGAACACCAACAAGTGGGCTGTGACAAAGGACTACACCTCAAAGGGATACGATTACGGCAAGAACTTTACACTGAACCTCTGCGGCGCCGTCGTCGAGCCCGTCACCAATGTTTATGGTGTTGAACCTCCTTTGTGGCAGAACGTCAGCGCATATTATCAGGTGGGAGGCGAGGTCTTCTCGATAGGGTTGGTTTGAACAATATTCTCCCCCAGGTGTCTTTCTTGCGCCAATTGGAGAATGCGCCGGCTAACAGGAAATAAAAACAGTTTCGAGTCAATGGACTTGCAGAGTCGAGGTCGTAAGCTGGTCCTTCAGTACACGGGAGGATCACCCTGCGGCGCCGACGCCAACAAGACCGAACCCGTCTACAAGCGATCCGCCCAGCGCGACTCTCCCCTCGAAGACGAGAACGACGATGCGACCGCTTACACGCCCGTGCCCGAGCCCGAGGAGCCAGTGGAGGAAGAGCCCAAGCCTAAAGACACCCGAAGACGCAAGTCGACCACCATCTCTTTTCACTGCGACAGAGACCCTGGGCAGACATCGGCCAGTTTCTCCTTTGTTGGCACGGACCCTGACGAGTGCGCCTACTTCTTTGAAGTTCGATCTTCTCACGCTTGCGCCCATGCTGAGCCGCACAAGCCCGGTAGCGTCGGGCCTGGCAGCATCTTTGGTCTCATCGTTGTCATTGCCGTACTCGTCTACTTCCTTGGCGGCATCTTCTATAACCGCACCGTCACCCATGCGCGTGGTTGGCGCCAGCTTCCCAACTACAGTCTCTGGGCAGGCATCTGGAGTTTCATCTGCGTGCGTCAATCCTTTTCTGGTTCCTCTTCTAAACCCGAGCGATACTCCCCCTGAGTTGTTTTTTAATATCATTTTTACCTCTTATCCTCCCCCTTTCTTTTTTTGAACTGTCTGTAAAACTGGGAAATACAACGGCGAGAAAAAAAAACATGGGGCTGACGGATGGGATTTTGCCTTTTTTCTTTATAGGAACTTTGTTCTTGCTGCTTCACGGCCTGCCTGCGACGTATGGCTGTTCGACGTGGCTATCAACAAGTGCACTCAAGTCCTAGCCGGAGAGAGCAGGACCGAGATGCCGAGAACCGGCTGATCGACCAACTAGATGAGGAGTGGGAAGATTAGGTTATAGACGGATAGAAAGTGGTGGTGCTTTACTGTTTAATGGGAGGTCTGGGTTTGCGTATCGTATATAGAATGAACATGGAAGGGGTTTACGGCTTGCACGACAATGGTCATACATTGAACTGAGTTTTGAGAGATGGTCTTGTCTCGTAGAATACATGTCAAAATTGATGCCATTGATGCCATGGTCTTTGTTCCCTCAACAGCCCTTGTCAGTTTAACCGGCCGCTTGTGTGTTGAGTTGTAAGCTTGTAAGCTGGACTTGTAATTCCGCTACCCTGTACCATCAACTTTGACACACAATTCTCGACCGAGTCATCCCACTGGTACTTCCGAGAGATCCTAAGATAATAAAACCAAGTACCTTGAGATAGCCTTTCAAAAAGACTCCACTTGTAGCAAGGGAAAATAACATCTTGCAAACGAGACCTGAGACTTGCAGGAGGCCATAGAACCATGTGTGCATATTCGCATCGTGGTTCCTCAGACTGCCACTTCCTGTCATATCTCACTCAGCCACATGAGAATTAAAAAATCAAGATAGACTGATAAATGTCAAAGTCCAGTGTGAGCGGCACGGCCCATTCCATTGAGAGTTTCTTTAGCCTCCTTTTTTCTTCCACTTCTCCAATCATTCAACTAGATTCTTCCAGAAAAAGCAAAAGCGAGTACAAAACATGATCCAGAAATGACAATACCCACATGCTCTAGAACTGACGGCAGCCACAAAAACGACGCAGGCGATGCGATTGGGGGGAGGTTTGCAGGTATCTCGTGGGTTTGCGCACTCACAAACACGCGGCTGCTGACGAACTGCAGTAGCATGGAAACGAGGAGAAGAATTACTCGCAATCAGGGATCAACAACGTGCCACATGTCAGATTGACAGAACCATAAGGAGGCTGGTTTTCTTCTTCTTGGGATAGCCGCTGCACGAGGGAAACACGACAACGTCAACGGTGGATGCAGTCTTGGTAGAAAAGAGAAAGGTTATCTTCTCAAAATTGCCCCCACATAACGAAAGGTCACTCATGTCCGGCTGAGTATCATAGGTACACTTATGTTTGATCAGCGTCCAAGAGATCAACGGACGGGGAAACTGTCCTGGTCAGATCAACACTGCAGGGCACTCAAAGTAGAATTAAATGTTATTGCTCCGACGCATACGACTTCGATGCCCAGATGTGACCGATCCTCGGAGAACAGATACAAAGCAAGATCCCAGATCCAATCGACCATCTAACCATGGACCCGGTGCGATCCAGATATGCAAGCAAAGCAAACTGAGATGGGAAGGGTGCACTTCATTTCTCATTTGGATGACCTGCGCACAAAGCAAAAGACCCTTGCAAGTCCTTGTTGTCTCAACAGGCGGAGGGCCTCCTTCTTTTTTTCGTCCCCCCAAAAAGCGTTTAGTCGTTTATTCCCGTGCAACAGCTGTCCTTGTTTCGGCCCCTGGGATGATTTCTCGCGGTATGGTACTCGGGAATCTGTCTGAGATTGCTTGTTTGCCTGCAATTCCAATCCAAGTCTTCGGTATACGGAAATAAGACTCTGATAACTGAGATGCAGCAGGTGGTACATTTGATGCATAGAGGACGTAATATGTGTAATTGCAGCACTGCTGGGCCAAGTGATTTGTGTCTTGCGCATTCGATCTGTATGTCAATGCCAAGTTGACAAGTCATGTGTTCCATCTCGGTATCTCGGGGATTGTCCCGTTTCGTGGAGCTGAAGGGCCTCAAAAACAGGCCCTCTGCAAAAAAGAAAAGAGCAAGGGAAAAGATGATGACAGAAACTCCTTACATCTTGGCGACGTTAGCCACTTGTAAAAGTCTTCTCGAAAATCAGATAAGGCTTGGCCCTTCGTCTTATTAACATGGTACTTGATACTTATTCCTTTCCTTTTTGTGTATGAGCTGTGCCCAATCTGTGAACAGCGGCGCTCCGACAAAAGACTTCCAAGGCTGGTGCAAGCCTGGCTTGTTGAGCCGCCGGAGGGGAACGGGCCCTGTTTTTCCGTGAAGCCATCGTGTAAGGTGATGCATCATAGGGTATCATCTAGGGAACGGTGATAGCCAATTCATGTCGACAAACATGGAAATACAGTTCTTGGGTTCTCGGGAGCTTGTGTGTATTCGTCTTTCTTACATCGTCGTAATGAGCGTGGTGCTTCGAGTTCCTGAAAAAGGAAACCCAGATCTTCAACAAACAGTATCTGTAACCAGTAGTTGCCGTCCACTCCAATCTCATCGCCGTTGAGCCTTTCCGGATCTGTCGCTGCTTGCTGTCTTCGCTCCCGTGCTTCAGACCAATGCTGAGAGAGGCCGCATCATTGTATTTCCTGAAGAGTCCAAGTGCCTAGTTAGTCAATGAACTGAAATACTGTAAAGAAAGGTAACCGGCAGGTAGGATATCGCTGATTAGCCAGTGTGTGTCCTGTCTCAGTGTGTGGCTGAGAGCACAAAAGCTAAGGAAGTGAAACAGATACCAACACTCCCTCCGCCCCCCTTCAGCCTCACCCTTCCTGTACACCTGTACAGTCCCTGAAGTACCTTGTCCAAGCTCCCTCCATCCTGGTAGACGACCGTTGAAGCAAGTAGCCGCGTCTGACATGGATGGGATAGACCACCCACAACTGCCCAAAACGACATCCTGGACGGTAATGGGGAGGCAGCTTGGATACCCACGAAGCGGGCTTAATATGCAAATGCCGTGAAACCTTTCAAATCCGGTCACTTGGTATGCAGTCTTCTCTCAGGATAGGAAAGCGGCCTTGGACGATCCGGCGCTATGTTTCTTTTGATTTTTGGAGGAAGTGAAACATTGTAAACACCCCAAGTTTCTGCTGAGAGAGGAGAGATGAGGCAATATTCGGAGGAGGCGATTCAACGGGACGGAAACGGGTTTGTAATGTGATTTTGATGGTATTTGCCTGAGTTTGCTTGCTTGAGGGTCCTTTTTACGGGAAACAGGGATCTCCAGTCGGCGTTTCTGTAAAGTAAAGATTAGCGACAGTATAACGCTACAAGGAGAAAGGTGTCATAGAAGACACTTTGAAAGCTTGTACCTGATTCCAACGGTCTGGACAGTTGAGTTACATGATATGCTTGAGGTCGGCCTTGTAGCAGTGACCGTGAGGCTTTGTATCTCGACAGTGAAATCGATTGGGTTGAGATTTGAGGAGTGTAGTGGGGGTTGTTATGCAGCTAGACGAAGAACGAAATAGGGAGTACAAGGCAAATTCGCCACCCTTTCGTAAAGTGTGTACATGGCTGCTTGATGTCGTCTGATACCTGTTGCTTGGTGTTTTGATTAGTGATTTGTACTGATGTTTGGGAGGACTTGCTTTTAGTTTGCGCTTTTCTTTGTGCGCTCACTTTTCTTAGCAGAGTGAACTGACCAAGATTTGTATCTTTTCTCGTCCAGGGGTATTCTTTTGCTGTCTGAGCTTGGTAATGTATTCCGACAAGGTGCTTTTGGTGTTTTGGTGTCTTGCGGAAATCAAAGTCGAGGCCATCCTTAGGTAATCAGAGATGGTCTCCTGACCGTGCCTTCCCGACCGTAAGATGGCCTCAACACCAAGTCTTTCCTCGACCTTCCTACCTAAAAATCCAGTGGTTTCATTCTAATAGAATGATTAACTGCAAGTAATAGTAGGTTGCCAGTTCTCTCTCAAATAAAATCTTCAACCATAAATCATTCTTCAACTCAAGATAACGACGTGACAGTAAATCTTCAAGTCTCAACTAATTTCAGTCGATCGTAAATTATCAAGACTGAATAAATTCAAATAGATCGTAAAGCATTATCAACTTCATAGCGCCTGTCCAAACTCGCCTTCCTCCATTTCATTCTTCTTCTCTTCTTCGTATGATTAATATTCACCATCGTACTAACCTTCCTCACTATAGAGGCCTACCCCAGTATTACATCCCATCAAAGGTCCGTCCATTATTTCCACGTTCAACAACAGTGAATCGTTCAGATCCAACAAATTCAAACCGATTGTGAATTATCGTCAAACTCACAATGTCTACATAAACTCGTCTTTCCTCTATTCCAATCTTCTTCCTTTCTTCTTCCTCTCATCAACATCAACCACAATGATGATCCTCCTCGCTGTAGAGGCCCACCCCATATCATTAAATCCCACCAAACGTACGTCTACTACTTTTACGTCACCCCTCAAACATCAGAGGGGTGTATGGCACCCCTCTGCCTATCGTTTCTCATACCCCCCACCCTGTCCCTGTGCCTGTCTTAGCCCCGATCTTCAGCTGCAGCTAGCAGCCCATCCCTGGCTGCAACAGTATGCATGGCACCGGCACCTACAATATACACATGCAAATACACAAGTTTATATCCATGATTATACCCTTGCCCATGTCTACATGTCCCGGTGCTTTTGTGAAAGTCATACTGCTTGAGTTACCCGTCATTACTGCAAGTTCGCAGACCCTCGTTATTGCCATTTTGAGCACTGGAATAGCCTGTTCTAGACACTTAAAAAATAGGGGCTTGTGTAATCCGTACTGAGATGCAGTTCTTCATATCAAAGCTGCATTGTGCGTTGGACCAAGTGTTCCAGGGTCTGCTCTAATCTTCTATATCAGCTGGCACCAGCCCCCTCTTTGAAAACGCTCCAAGTCATTCCTCAGTATTCAAGTCTCTACTAGCACTGCCCACTTCTATTAGATCCCTGTCACTTATGCACTCTCTCTGCATATTGTTCTTAGTCTTCTGACCTTATCATTGGTTCTTTTTGTCAAGTTGACAATTGCCTAGGGCCTCTTGCAGCAAGGAGTTATTGGTCTGTATCCACAACAGTTTATCGGTTGGACCAGATTAAACGAGCTTTGACGATATGGTTTCTATTCAACAGTGTTGGTGTTCTTCAATAATGCAGCTGCCGGATATAAGTCAACACAGCTACTCTCCTGGGCCTGGATATATTTCGCCCACCAGTTCAACCTTTTTCTTCCCTGACTCTTCTCCCACACAAGACTTCCATTCAGCCTTTTCATCTTTGTCTCCATCACAGCAGCGTTCAGATTTCCCATCTTCGCCACAACAGCTTTCAAGCTTTGCTTCATATACAACAAGCTTTAATCCATCACCAGTCCCCTATACATCATCAGCAGCTTCATCTCGCAGCTCTCCAGGTATACTATTACTCTCTTCTTAACCTGCATTTGCCTCTCCTTAGCACTACTTGCTCAGAGCTGACTTGGACAAGTCACTACAATCAAACAAGAGCCCTCAGAGTTCAACATGGCTCCTTACAACTTTGTCTCTCCTGCCGATTCTCTGACCCCCTTTGTCGGCGACTATCAGGCCGCTCACACTGGCTACGCTGTTTCCCAGTACAACCCTGTGTACTTTGCCGGCATGGATCCTATGCATGCTTCTGGTGGTTTTGCTGGCTACCCTGTCGCCCACCCCTACGCCCACGCCAATGTAAGTGTCTATTTTTCAACTATGTTCTACTTCTCTTTGTCAAATTTACTACATTTTGCGACGTTGAGATTTAGTACAGTTACTAAATGTTATATAGGTGGAGTCCCCTGAGCCTGTAGAGATTTCTGTTGAGGGTGGCATTGTTGCCATGATGTCTCAGATGTCCACTGGGCGTCGTGCGATTGCTGAGCGAATCACTCAAGAGAACCCTGACATCGACTCAAAGGATTTCCACGATTGCATCCTCATCCCTTCGAAGACCGACCGAGAGGAGCGAAGAGAGTACATTTTGCTTCTTCGTGAGTATGATGTTTCCTACGACAACATTGTCATCCTTGGTGATTTGGAAATCACTGCATCGACGGTGCGAGGCATTCATAGGAATGCAACTCGTCCCGCTGCCGAGCGTCCACGTGACACAAGCGACCAATGGACTCTTGAGCATGTAAGTTATTCTTCATGAAACTCATTCTATTACACTTTACTGATTATTTCATTTACCAGATTGCCGCCATGCGTCTCAGCGTCAGCATTATTCAGCACAGAGAGGGTCTAGATCCTTTGACTGTGGATGGAATGAATGCCGTACCCTGGGCCAAGGTGGCCAAGATGATGGAGAACTCGCTTCCAGCGGGCTCTTTCAAGTTTTCTCCCATGGCTGTCTCCCGCTACTACAAGGCATTGATGAACGAGGAACAATAGGTGTTTGGATTTACTGGTATTTTTTGTAATGACATTTGAAATGGAAACGGATGAGGGATAAAGGCAAGCTATAGCTAGATAGCCAAAGGAATCAATCACTTGCACAAACTGTTTTCCACTTTGAATGTGACATGACTATGTCTAGCTAAAAAGATTCCTGAGTGCGCAAGATAGAGCATTTCGCTATGTGACGTAAACGTATTCAAAGATGTTCTCCTGTTGTAACGCAGACTTACTACTGCTAGGACTACATATTTGGCTAGACACCTGTCCCTGATCGTACCCTTCTTCTACATTCTCTTTCATCTTGTCTTCTTAGATATATTGTCTTTATTTCCTTAGTTCATTTTTTTCATATGTTTATTGTCTTTAGTTAATACCGGAAACTCCGTAGGCAAGACAAATGTAGAGCTATTATTCTTGATAGTCTACAGTTAATGTGATTTCCTGTTATATAATAAGGAAGAATGGAATCTACTTAAAGACACTAGGCACTCCAATGTTTCCAAGTATATTGCGCAGCGTGTCAGGATCCTTTTTCAAGGCCTCCCATTCCAACTCATTCTTGACCAAGGCCGTACCAGCAAGCAGTGTACCGTTGAAAGCCACCGTACCCAAGATATCGCCATCCTGACTTTGTAGCTTGACTCCCTCGGCTAGACGAGGACATATCACAAGTGTTGACTTGGTCATTGCCATGTTGTAACTGATCAGCGTAGGTCCCTCGGTGGGCGCTTCACCTTCGTGGGTGGTGTCTTTGGTATAAGAGGCAACGGCTTTGCAAGCTTTGCGGTAGAGTCGGAGGTAGATAGCGTGGAGTTCGGTGCCAGACATGTTGAGATTGATGTCTTCGGCAAAAGTAGTAAAAGGTGCAACTTTGACCTTGAGCTGGTCGGCTAGAACAGTCCAGGGGGTGTCGATCTCGAAGCCATCCTTCATCCTTGCAATTGGGAGTAGCTGGATGTGTCGATGAGGTTGGCTGGCGCCAGAGTGATCACCGCAGTTGAAGAATGCGTAAAGACCATCTCCGCCGCCCAATGCTCCGTCCCGGTGTCCTTGCTCGGCTTCAGTTCTTCTAGCAGCTTCGTATGCCTCGATGCAAGCCAGTGTAGCTTCTAGATCAGACTCTTCAAGAACGTGAGTCTGGGGCTTGAAGTCTTTGGTGGCAAGGATGAAGTGCTCGGGTACAATAGCGAACTTGTTCAAGACACAGTAGTGAGAGGGGCCAAGATCTGAGACTTTGAGGGCAGGTAGGGGGCTCTCGAAAGGATCAAATGGCTTTTGAGGCTTGGAGATGTCTTTCGGCGGAGGCTTGGGTTTGTTGGCCAGGGATGGGGAGAAGCGTAGTTGAAACTGGGAGGTGTTAGTGACGTTTCTGTGTGTATATGTATGATGGATAAGGTTAGAGATGTTCTCACTGGGATAGAGTCGACATTGAGAACGGCAACTTGGGTGGGGAAGTAGTGCAAATCTCCCTCTGATCTGGCCTTTGTAAAAGTAGTCTTGACGAGTTCAGGAAGGTTTGAAGGGGCTTTTATGCGAGGCATTGTCAATGAGATGAATGTATTACTTGTTGGTAAAATAATGGGAATTTCATCTGAACAAGAATACGTTGGAGTATCAAAACTTGGAAGTGCCTGGTCAGACGTCGTCAAGCTGTAGTGGATCAGATCTTCGGAGCTGCTCTCTGGTTGGTTGTAGATCCTTGTCTTGTGTGTGGCCCCCAAGTTTAGCCAAGCTCTCCCCCCTTCCCTCCCTCTCCTTCTGTGGCTTTCTCCTCCTGCGTTCTCCCACAACATCCTTTGTCTGAAAAAAAAAAAATACTTTTCCAAACACACCCAAACTTGCCACAAAAAATCACAAACGAAACAGAAACTCATTTGATTTTATTTCCTCGTCAAGACTTTTCTTGAAATCGAAAAATGCCGCCGCAAACGCGGAGTGACACCGGCTCCCTGATGGTACGGTTCACTTGGGGAAATACTTCATCCTGCGTCGCTGACTTTTTTATTTCAGATGAAACATCCTCCAGTATTATCTCTATCAAATCCTGAGTATCACTATAGACTTCTTTCTATATATACCGAAGTCGGCGGTGAAATGCCTACCAGCCTTGACCCTCCGGGCCACGCCCCAAATCATTTCAACACCAGCGATCCTAGCGATCCCTGAAGCACAAAACTCTCTATATATTTTCAGATGGGCCTCCTGGCTATAAATAGTAAGTCAGAAGTCGTACGTTCAAGTTGTCTTGTCTTACCCCCTCATCAGCCCGCTCAAGCCACCACCTCGGGGCCGTCCACGCCCGCCAGAGGAGATGACCTCAACAAAGGTCAAATTTCAGCGGCCCTCCCATCCTCTTGCCTTTGCCATATCGGCATGTCAGAGGCGTCTGGTTAACGCAAAATCGGCTGCCGAACCGCCTTCCAAAGGCTGGCATTCGCCACCCTCCCGGGAAACCACCCCACGCGCTTCCACAGCTGCTGAACCATTACAGCATATCTGAGAAGCGAGGCAACTTGGTCTCGAGTTTGTAATTCCAATACCTTGTGCTTCGGCCATCGTTTTGGACAAACTCAAGATCAAGTCGTCTCACTTTTCAGGTGTGCTGTAATGGTTTGGTGGTTGGACTATCACAGGTAAAAGCCGGGAGACAATCATTGGTGTTTCTAGAAACTCCCAGTCGTTGACTTATCACGCTATATTTGAGAAGCGAGGCAAATTGGTCTCGGGTCTGTTGCCCCATCACCTTTCGAGGTGGTGGGCTCAGGCTCAAGTTCAATTTGTCTTGCTTTTCAGTTGTAGAGTGATGGTCGATCGATGCGGAGTGGAAAGGCCCAAGACGAGGCTGAAGGACTATCCTTACCGTTCCTAGAAACGGCCAGCCGTTGGGACATCATCGCATATTTGAGAAGCGAGGCAGATTGGTACCGGGCTTGCTATCCCATTACCCTTCGGGGTGGTGGGCTCAAAATCAAAATCAAGCTGTCTCGCTTCTCAAATATGCGGTGATGTCTCAACGGTTGTGGAAGTGTGTATGGGTGGTTCTATCAATGGATGGCTGGTCACTCAACTGGCCGCAGCCGATTCAAAAATCTCGTCAGCGAACTTGGCGGCCAGCTGAATGCTGGGGAGGTTGCCGGGACTTATTCCCCAACCACGCCAACCGGCAACCTCCCCGACGATTAGCTACATGCGCCATCTTCCGGAACCGTTCCAACTGTAATAGAAACACGGTACTCCGGTACATCGCTAAAGCCATCATCAATTACCACGTTGCTAGTGGTAGTAAACCCCTCGAGAACCTATTTTCCAGGATGATTGCTGAGTGCGGCGCTGATATTAACCTCGATGTTAATACCTTCCCAACCCCTTACAACAGACCCTACATCCACTCTATCAAATGGATGGCCAATCACGCCATTGGCTAAAGCCGCTTCAAACATATCATCACACCCTCAAATGAAATCACCGCCATACTCCCAACGAACTATGTCATCTTGAACAACAGGTCAGTCGATATCAAAGTAAGTTCTGCTTATACAAACCCTATTGCTCCTATCAAGTTTGGCCTGCTGGAACTAAAATTTAACTAACATCGCTTCGCCTCGAGTAGGTTGATTTGAATCAGCAATGTAACTGGCACTGATGGACGATACGAATATGGAACACGATCTTGGTCATACCACTGGTGGCAAGTCTGTTCCCAAAGCTACCAGAAGCATGGGATCAATATGGAAATAGTTTGGGAGAATACGGAGGAATAGTACATTGTCATAGGAAACAATTCAAGATACAGTTTCTCAAACCCAAGATTCTATCATTGTTGCAAAGCCTCAACTTGAACCACTTACTGCCCACATAACTATCAACTGATAATTACGCGCCAAGTAAATAGCTAATACCGAAAAGACAATGAATACCTTATATGAGTAATTTGGTTGAGTGGTATACAGCTCCTATCAATGAAGAGGCTAACACGTATATCATCACAGAAACTGGCGCCCTCCACAAATACAACAAGACACTCATACACTTTCGTTCTCCGCCCAATCACCCTTATTCTATAACATCAGAGTTCTGGTTTAGCTAACTGAAGTGATCTATGCTCAACAACCTCTAAATTCATCACGAATTGTATCACATACCGCGAGAATCGAAGACCAGAGCGATACATGCACAGCCAAGTGGAAAAGAGGGGAAGAAGCAGTATTTGCCGTCTGGTGGTCGCTACCAAGCTGTCAACCAGCAAAGATTTGCCAGTGTTCACGACATTCGCTTCCTCGGGACAACACAACCTTTAAGGGCTGTTATCGAGAAGTACCGAGTGTACAAGAATCAAGAATCATATCAAGGATTTCTCGGTGCTTAGAAACATCTCGGCAGAAAGACATATAGGTAGGCCCCGGAGCATCACAAAATGGCTAGTAGAAGCATAAGAGACGAAACTAGTAGGTCATTTTATGTTACTTAGACTATAATTCTTAGTCTACTTATCTTATAGTCTAAAGATTAAAGGTTGAGACAAAATCCAGTTGGGCACAAATCATCAAATGAGGTCTAGATACCGTTACATAGAGCCTGCGCACCATCTATCAAGTCCTCCTTGCCAGATAACCCAGCGAGAGTCCGTGAGATGAAACCATATGTGAATACCGCCGAAAGCCATCCCATCACCCCCTAAGAGTCCATACCAGAAGAATTCCGATCATAATTCTACTGTTCTTCGCCCTCTGGGTCTTCCCTGTTATCCGCCGGCCGCAGCATCACAGGCTGAGTATTTCCATCTTTATCATAAGCAGCTCGACCGATCTCCTTGAATCCCAGCTTCTCGTAAAGCGGTATACCTGACTCGCTTGACACAAGCACTGCTGGAGCACCTTCTTCTTCAGAACGATCGATACCCCATTGTGCGAGACGTCTTCCAATACCGGTCCGTTGACACTTTGGGGATACCCCTAACCACGAAAGACCCCAACGCTCGGCAGGGTAGAGTTTCTCTGCCTCTTTTGCGCTAGCGATTAGGTAGCTCATAGCATCTGTCGCAACAAGGCTGGGATCGGGACCGCCGGTAATAGAACCGTAGAAATTCTCCATTGTCATCTTAAGTCTCATGAGTTCTGTTTCAAATTCCATCAGCACTTTTCTTAGCCATTCCTCACGGTCCACTCACTCTTGTCCCAGGTATCTCCTTGCCAGCTTTGAGCGAGATAGCTCGTCCCATAACGAGCCCAAACGGCAAAAGCAACAAACTCGCCATCACTTTCCCTCTTGGCCGCTAGTATGACCGACCCCTTCTTCCCATACTCTTCGCGGAAGTTTGTTGACCAAGCTTCTCGGAAGCATTCAGGCTGCTCCAAGCGCTTTGGGAGGATAAGGGCGTAGAGGGGGTCGTCTGCAAAGGCTTCGCAAGCCAGGTCGACGAGTCTATAGGCCTCCTCGAGGGAACGAATTCGAATAATCTTCAGGGGCGTCTTTGACAAGTTCATTTTGTGTTGTTGATGCGGAAGATGCTAGAGTTGAATATTTCCACGCATCGGCAGATACAGATACCGAATTTTTGGTCAACTTTGTTCACGAGATCTTGGAGTCTTTCAAAAACGTGACTGCTGTGCAAATCCGACTGAGGTTTACCACGTCTGTTAATTTCCAAAATCTAATACGAAGAAAGGACGGCATGCATATATAGGCATGGGAGATGGGATAGGCTTTTAAATAATCGTCGTTTTATGAAGGTAGTCGTCATGTTTCTGCCGGGATGTCACGCTTATCCAAAAATGGGTCTTCCGTGGCCTCTTTGACTGGCTGTATCGTATTGACACGCAGCAGGGGTTAGCCTCAGGGTCCGGGTACAGTAGAAAAATTGGTCTCTGTGAGCAAGCGACAAAACAGTAGGTCATCTTATAACTACTTAGACCAGATTCCTTAGGGTGCTTAGGGACTTGGGGCCATGAGACTTGGGCAGTAGGTAGTGATTTCTTATTTCTATACCAACTGTCAGGTTGTGAGGCCACTAATAAAACAAACCACTATTTAAGATAGTTGATTGAAGCCCAAAGTATCATTGATTCTAGGGGCAAAAGTTGGATTGACTTGGGAGACTTGGTTGGCCAACAAGAACACGATTCCGCGGTAATCACCGAGCAGTCGAGAGACAACGGAGGCAACGTGGCCGCTATCCAAGTTGTTTAAATCAAGAGAAAAGATTGCTCCCCATCTCTCCGACAGATGAAGGGCCAGTCTTAGAATAGCTTCGGCTTCGTTGCCGTTGCCCAATTCGTCGATGCTCATGATAACACGGCACATTCCCAGCTTTTCGGCAACTGTGTCTTTGTCAGCGTAACAGGAAAAGGCGATAGAGATAGATTTGGATAGTTACCAGTTTTTACTAGATAATTCGTCGTGACTTCAGGTCTACCAGTTCCACCTGCGACTTCAGCCTCAGGTTCGCCTGTCAGAAGTATAGTTAACCCCCGCAAAGCAAAGGTCTCTAAACCAACAAGATGTTGGAAGTATTGTTCGTGGCGATCATTGTGGAAGGTAATATAGTCGAAGAATAAATAGCCTCAGAATTGTAGTCTAAGTGGCATAAGTTGGGCCTGCTAATTTCGTCTCTTATGCTTCTGGCGACCAACTTTTATGGTACCTGAGTCTACCTAACTCAAGTGTGGATTAATGACATAGACTCGCCAGAGAGTGCTTGGAGCATCAGAAAAGTCGATTGCTTGAGGACTGAGATATTTATTTAACGACTACTAACTAACTAGTGAATCAGTTTATGCCACTTATCAAGCTTCTTGGGCGAGTTAATTTCGTAGCTCCTTGTATCAGTCACACAACCAATGAGCGTGGGGAACAACACCACGGTGTTACTTGCATCTTCTCGACGATAAGAACTTCCGAACACGCACGTGGATTGCAATCGACTCTAACATTCGATGCTTACAATTCCTATCTTTCCAGCTGGTCGCTCACAACGTCACATCTCCACCTCTTTCGTCAGCGCAGATGCCAGGGCCCAGTTGCACAGGGTGCCACGGATGGGGAACACCAACGGCGATGCAATAGACTGCATGGAACGTGTGCAAGCTTGGTTAGTTTGTTGGCTGTTGATAACGGTTTCTCTATGGAAACTTGCATACTAATGACGAGCGCGGGGTTTAGATGGCAACGGCTCATGTTTAAAAGCAGACGAGACGGATACGCAAATGGTTCCAACCTTCTTTGTCAACGGTTTCACCAAACTCAACATGAAGACTGCTGCGCTCCTTTGTACCGGTGGCCTTTTGGCTGCGGCTGTCATGGCCGAGTTTGATGGCAATTTGAACTATGCTAGTCCGTCTCGTCGTCATGATCGACTTGGCATGAACGTTCCTCTAATCAAGCGCCGTTCCTTGAAACGCGGCAACACACCCTACAACGTCTCCGAACTCAACTTCACTCACGGTGTCGCTTCCGGAGATCCCTGGCCTGAAAGTGTTATCCTATGGACTCGTATCGCCCCTTCTCTTAATTCCAGCTTTAGCACCAAAGCCGTCGACGGTACTGCTGGACTATACAACCACGAGATTGAAAAGTACATCAAGGCCGATCCCCATCCTATCTGCGTGGAATGGAACGTCTTTGACTCTAAGCCCTCTGGAGATCAAGTAAAGTCGGTAGCTAATGGTCGAGCCTACACTACATCTGATATCGATTATACTATCAAGGTGAGGACCAAAGTATGGCTCTATTGAGCAAGGCTAACTCCCCCAGGTTGAAGCTGATGGCTTAGAGCCTCTTACCACTTATTACTATCAGTTTTCCGTCTGCAACTCTGACAATAAAAGCCCTGTCGGTCGTACAAAGACTGCTCCTACTGCGGATGACAACGTTTCCGATTTAAGCTTTGCGGTTTTCTCTTGCAGTAACTATCGTGAGTATTACCCGTCGTCTCGCAAGTTTGAAATTCGCTGACCAGCGCAGCCAATGGTTACTTCAACGCTTATGGAAACGCTGCTAGAAAGGATGAGCACGACTATGTCATTCATTTGGGAGATTATATCTACGAGTATGGGGCAGATGGCGAAAGAGCCAGCAATCCTACCAACGAGATCTTTACACTTCACGACTACCGGACTCGCCATGGACAGGTATGCTCTTCGGGCAATCACGATGTCAAGTCAGACTCTCACATATACTGTAGTACCGCACCGACCCAGATCTCCAGCTTCTGTCCAAAGATTTTGCTTGGATCCCAACTTGGGACGACCACGGTATGTTGAGCACTCTGCTAAGGGGAAGCAAACTAACCAAGATGAAGAATTTGCAAACAACGGTTACAGGGATGGTTTCTCTGGCCTCAACAATACAGAGGACTCTTTTCTGAAAATTGGAAAGAAAATCAGCGTCGATACCCGGAAGGTGAACGCTGTACGAGCTTACTTTGAGTGGATGCCTATTCGGTATGCTACCCTCTGCTCGTTGTGCTCGAGTGTCACTAATGTTTGTTACAGCCAAACCGATTTGGACGATGGTCTCCGAGTATGGAGATCCTTCAAAATGGGCAAGCTCCTCGACCTTATCATTCTCGACACACGAAACTATGACCGGAGTATCACCTCACTCGACTGGAACGATAAATATATCGACATGATTAGAGATGATCCCAGTCGAACTCTCATGGGAAGTCGTCAAGAGAATTGGTTTTACAGATCTTTGAGCGAGTCCAAGGAGCGAGGTGCCGCGTGGCGAATCATTGGCAACCAAATCATCTTTTCGCGTATCACTGAGAATTATGGTTCTGGTGAAATTCTTTCTGGTGACAATTGGAGTGTGAGTCAAACTACAATGCAGGTCTTGTTCCCTGTCTTTAACTCTTGTAGGGCTATGTCGCAAACCGAAACCGAACCCTCGAGCATTTGTACAACAACGACATCAGCAACAACGTGTTCCTCGCTGGTGACAGTCACCAGAACTGGGTACGTCTGACAATACGCTGTTTGGCTTTGACTAACATACTGCAGGTCTCTGACCTTGTCTCGCTGGGAACAAAGGAATACGACAACAAGACCGGCGCTGGAAGCATTGGAGTTGAGTTTGCTGGAACTGCCGTCAGTTCTAGTGGTATCGACGGTCCAATCGAGCCCGCCGCTGGTAAAGCCGCTCGATCCCGAATTGTTAAGAACCCCGAGCTACAATGGCAGGAGGGTTACTACCGCGGTTACTTTATTCTGGATGTCAACTCTAAGCAGGTGTCATCTCGATTCTATGGTGAGTTTTCAACTTGAATATCTCGAACTAGCACTAATCTCTTCAGGTTCTCCTTCTGTCGCTTCTCGCAACTCGTGGGACATCCCCTTGGCCAACTTTACTGTCGTCTCTGGTGAGAACCATTTGAAGCGACCTGTTGCTGGCGGCCGTGCTGAGTCTGGTGCCCTTCGTTATGGAGAAATCACTCACACCAACTTTACCCTCAACACCGAAACTGGAGAGTGGAAGATGATTAGCTTTGAGAATATGTATGTTGAGCATAAATAATAAAGTAGTCTTAGTGAATTATTAAAGATTGGGAACCCGTTTTGGAAAGAGTCTTTAGAAATCGTGCTCTGAAAACACGCCTGATATTAATATGGCCAATTTAGTTGGGCCTAATGAACCAATTTCTGTTTTAAATGTGTGTATAACGAAGAAGGGGATGAGAAACATTTTGGGGTAGTGAGGATATAAACCAGATAGTCATGATGTTAACCAACGTTCCCAACCAATATTCAACCCTCGTACTCCTCGGGCTCACCCTCCTCGTACTCCTCAGCCTCGTCGTCAATGTCGGCGTCTTGGTATTGCTGGTACTCGGAAACCAAGTCGTGCAAGTTGGACTGGGCTTCGGTGAATTCCATCTCGTCCATACCCTCGCTTGTGTACCAATGCAAGAAAGCCTTGCGTCGGAACATGGCTGAGAACTGGTCGTCGACACGCTTGAAGATCTCCTGGACGGCGGTAGAGTTGCCGACGAAAGTGGCGGACATGTCGAGGCCGCGGGGAGGCACGGAACAGACGGAAGTTTGGACGTTGTTGGGGATCCAGTCGACAAAGTACTCGGAGTTCTTGGTCTGAACCTTGAGCATCTGGTCCTCGATCTCCTTTGTTGAGAGACGACCACGGCTGGGAATTTTGTTAGTAACTCTTTTTGAAATTTCGACAGTTTTAAAACTCACAAGATGGCGGAACAAGCGAGGTATCGTCCATTGCGGAAATCAGCAGCGGCCATGATGTTCTTGTTGTCGAAAATCTGCTGAGCGAGACCGGGCACAGTAACGTGCGAAAAGGTCTTCATGTTGCGACCAGTCAGAGGGGCAAATCCGACCATGAAGAAGTGAAGTCGGGGGAAAGGAATCATGTTAACAGCGAGCTTTCGCAGATCCGAGTTGAGCTGTCCAGGGAATCGGAAACATGTCGTCACACCGGCCATGACGGTGGAAATCAGGTAGTTGAGATCGGCGTACGAAGGGTCGGCGATCTTGAGGGTCCTCTCGTAGATATCGTACAGAGCCTCGTTGTCGATACAGAAAGTCTCGTCAGAGTTCTCGACGAGCTGGTTAAGAGACAAAGTGGCGTTGTAAGGTTCGACAACGGTATCGGAAACCTTGGGCGAGGGCATGACGGAAAAGGTGGCCATCATGCGATCAGGGAACTCCTCACGGATCTTGGACAGAAGAAGGGTACCCATACCGGAACCGGTACCACCACCCAGAGAGTGCGTCAGCTGGAAGCCCTGAAGGTGGTCACAGTTCTCGACCTCGCGACGGACAACGTCGATGGCCTCCTCAACGAGCTCGGCACCCTCGGTGTAATGACCCTTGGCCCAGTTGTTTCCGGCACTGGCCTCACCGGCGACGTAGTTGTCGGGGCGGAAAAGCTGGCCAAGAGGACCGGCGCGGATGGCATCCTGGGGGCCGGACTCAAGATCGACCAGAACAGCACGGGGGACGTACTTGTCGTTGCCACCCTGAGAGAGTTAGAATTCACATTGAAATTTGCATCGCGAGTTAGCGATCGCAATTAGGACTCACCTCAGCAAAGTAGACGTTGATACGCTCACGCTGCTGGTCATTGGTACCGTGGTATCTAAAGTGAGGTCAGAAAAAAGGTGAGGCATAAAGTCGGTGACGTTGTTGACTCACGCGCCGCTGCCATCAATGCCGTGCTCCTTGGAGACGGTAGACCTGGAAATATGGTTAGCTCAAGGTTTTCAAGGTTCAATTGAGCTTAAAAAGCTTATAAAAAATACTTACCAGAAGCTGGAACCGACTTGGTTGCCCTGCAAAAAATCATCAACTCAATACATATCCCTCAAAGCAATTTTTTTGGTGGTGGGTTCGCCCTTACACATTGGCCGACCTGAACGTGGACCTGGAGAGAAAAAGTCAGTTTGGATGATGACAAAGAGAGTCAAAGGTGAATAAATCTTACAATCTCACGCATCTTGACTGTTATATGATTAAAGGGATTTTGGTTGTGTGTGTCGTGTCGCGTGTGTGTGGTAACTCCAAACAGTCAGTTCAGTGAGATGAGGCAGAAGAAAAGACAAGTCTCCTTTAAAACACACGTAAAATGGTGCCTAAAAGTAAAATGAAGGAGAATTCCGGTGCCTGGGGAAGGAGAAAGGAGGGGGGGAAAGACAAAGGGGGGGGTTAGGAACGGGAAGGAAAGAAAAGAGGCGGTAGAGGTACTAGTGGCATGATTATGTACATATAATTGGATGGAAAGAGGTCACTTATTTGGTGTCGGATAATTGAATATTTGGTATTGCAATTTCGTTTTTTTTTCTCTTGTCTGCTTCAGTTGCTATGGGCTTCTGGGTCTTACAGTAGAGCAGGGGATGATGGTAGTGTAATGTACAGTAGGAAAAGAAGAGCTCGTGTTTAATTGTCTGCCAATCGATTATGTGGATATGTGTCCATGTTTTGATGGGGGTAGCTAACTAAGGTGAGCTAAGCTACCCAAGCTCTGGAGCTATGGCTACCAGTTGTTTGTCTTTAGGCTACGAAATAACTGAAACTGTGGTGTCCATTCAATTGTGACTGTCAGTAGATATGTAACGTAGTTACCTTGAATATCTCTTGTTTTCGTCGTTGCCTTGTTGCTATGGTCTTGTTGTTTGTTTTCTCCTCAAATTGTTTATCTCGCTTCTCCTTTTTGTGGCAAATTAGATCAATTGTGTGACTTGGACTTTTTGACCCATGCTCTGTCCCTCCCCCCTCTAGGTCACCTAGTCCCCCAATTGGTTGGGGCTCATGGGAAGTGGCTCCATCGACAGCGCTAAAGATAGGGAAACGAGAACCTTGTCAACAACTGTCTTGCCTGACTCTCAACTACAGACCGATTTAAAGACAAGCATCGCAAGTAAATAGGCACAATAATTATATATTCTGCTGATTATCTACTGGAAATCTGTGTTATGGCCAGAAATCAGACCGCAGGCAAATTGAGAGGTTAGCTAGTCTTCTCACCAAAAAGCAAACCCCAAAAGTTTCCCCTCATGGTTATCTCACCGCTTTATCAGAAATGTCTTGGGCAAGCGCCATGATCAACAAATGTTATCACACCGAATACGGATACATAAACTCATCCTTGACGATATCCTAGGCTGAACTCATTCTAGAGATAAGTCATTTTTTACCAGCTGTTGAGTTTGGCTCATGAACGACTGAGCTCTACAGTGATACCAACGCTAATCAACAGTATTAATATGTGAAACAAATATTGTAACATCAAAACACTTCTGATAACGGCTACAATACTGGAACAATGCCGACTGGTCGACCCTTTAAAGTCAAATGATTGTGACAGCTGAAACCTGCGTGCGGCTGTATTTTAGCTTGGTCCCAACCACCTCAACACCATCAATATCACATCACCAAATCTTTAGTCAGCACAACATTTTTTACTACAAAAGGCTTGGGACTTGGTTTTTTCATGACACAAGGTAACTGTGATCTCTTCGTGCGACAAAGTGACTATAGTATACTCGAATATATACTTCAATTTGGTCTGGCGATTTTTAGCCCCAACTACCCTAGACCGATGTGATGACACGAACCTCAACAAGGTACGGACAAGCTATCAACTGTTGAGTCCAAGACCGAAGCGACTATTGAGAGAGTCGAATCAAAAGTTACAATTGTATTCCAGAGGATGGCAATCTTTGATATAATTGTCGGTGTTCCAAAAGGCTGCTGCGATAAACCACTCTACCACCAGAACTTCCACGCATTTCAACCAGCGGAATGTCCAAGACTGACAAGCTGGATTTGATATGACACATAGAAGGGCGTCTACAGATCCTAACGAAGACCTGGGTTGCATCATCTTCAGCTAGACACTTAAAGAATATAGTATTTACATTATCTTGGCCTCACCGCGCCACCGGAGAGTGACCCCAGGGCCTGAACGACTTGTCATCATGTAATGTTTCCTTCTATTGGATTATAAGATTCATATCAACTTGATTAAACTTGTACACTCAATCACCATACTCTCTTCGTCTGCCAAACCATCTCAAATGAAGCCAACCATGCTTAGTTCTCTCCTTCACCCGCAAGGGCTGTCATATTCACGTCTCCAACCTTGATAAACTCCTTCTCCTTTGGCAATAAATCCAGGAACTCATCAGAAACATGCAGATGATCCTTGACAACCTGTCTCGGCGTCAGAGCCAACCACTGCGCAACAGAGATGTCTGAGAACTTGGGCGCCTGGAGAACCTCGAGGAAAATCAAATCCGTGTCGCCGGTGTTCTCAACATAGTGACTGTTGGCAGCTGGGATGTATCCCACTCCTCCGGCTGTGAAATCAAAGGTACGAGCCGACTCGGGTGCTTTAAATACCGTCACACGACCGCTTCCCTGGAGAAAGTAGCTCCATTCATCAGAGGTTGTGTGCCAGTGGATTTCGCGGACTGCTCCGGGTTGTACGACCACGAGAGCGGCTGAGAAGCCCTCGGCGATGGGGAATGTTGTAGGGTCGATAATCTTGACTGAACCTCCGGGGACGGTGTGTGGCTTTTGTTGAGACCAATGGTACGTGTATGACTCGTTGCCTTCCAGTTTGCCAGCTGAGCCTGTCACAGTCTGCTCCTTAATATCCTTGGGCGCAGGAGTTCCGTTGAAGATCTTTAATGTGCATTAGCATGGGATCAGATAGTTCGGGGTAGATTGCTTACATAAAGCTGGTCCTTTGGAATATTCTTAAAGGCAGAGGTGTCGGTCTTGAAGTTCTTGGCCAGAACAGAAACAGGGTTTCGTAGGAATGTCTCAGACACCAGGAATGTTTCATCCTCGGAGAATTGGCCATCGTTGAATACGAGTAGAAACTCGACTCCTTCGTCAAAGGCCTGGAGACTGTGAGGAACACCAGGAGGGAAGAACCAGACATCGCCTGCGCAAAGGTCATCGACAAAGCTCTTGCCTTCTTCGTTCATGGCAGCAATACGGAGGCAGCCTTTGGTGACAAGAGACCACTCAGCCGAAGTATGCCAATGCAGTTCGCGGTAGGCATTGGGAGCAAGACGCATGTCAACTCCGGCCATGGCGGTTGCAGCGGGAAGCACATCCTGGTTCTGCTGTCTCGCCCATCCAGCGCCAGGCTCGCTACCAAGACGATTGTGAGAAAGGCCAAGTGGCCACATAGCATTCGGGACATCTCCAGAATCTGTGCCTGGAGGAGCATACAGATCAGGGTTGAGCTTCTCGTACTCATATGTTCGAGGGCCAGGATCAGTGGCACCTAGTCCGCCACGGATTGGCTGAGGAACATCAACACCGTCAAAGTCAAGATACAGTCCAAGCTTAGCATCTGCTTCTTGTCCGTTAACGAGCTTTGGATCCTTGACCACGGCCGAATCAGACTTGTCGGGGTCAGGTAGAGGAGCGTTGCCGCCTAATAGACTCGAGTCACCATACAGAGAACCGCTTGTTGAGGTAACAGTCGGAGTCGGGGGATCAACTCCTCCTACTGGACCTTTGTTCTCTCCATAGTCTCCCATTCTGTTGGTATGAAGTTAGATCGTAGAATAACATTGTCAAGTTCCGGGCGGACTTACTGGGGAGCAGGACGAGCCAGACTTTGAGAGATGGAGGTAGAAGCCAGCAAGGCTTTGAACAAAGCGTTTCGAAGTGTCATGGTGAGGGAAGGCTGGTTCTCTGATCACTGAGATTGATGATATGAGCTTGATGCTTGGAAAGAAATGACAAACGTACTGAACTGCTACTTATAGTCATTTCTGAGGAGCCATCCCTTTGCCATGGTATGTTCCCAATGGCGTTGTAGGATTGGTTATGATGGGTTGTTGCCGAGTTCAGGACCGAAAAACGATGGCGCACGGATTATCGAGACGATCATCGTAGTGATTGCCTGAATCCGAGCTCGCCGAAGTCGTGATGTCAGCACAAAGGGCTGGCCTTGGCCTGGTCGTTACTAGCACCTTGAACAAAAGTTCCGCTCATTCTGTGTAGTATCACAAAGTCAGTAGATTTAATCAAGCGGACAAAGCCGCGTATGCCTAATCTCGGACATACGAAAAAATCAAGTTGTCGTTGTTTGGTAGATCCAAGTTTTGTTGTTGCTGACTGTGGATGGTTGCAATTGTACCAATAGCATTTACTCCAGGCCACGCTTAGGCCCCGTAAGGACGGCCCGAGAGATCGCTTGGCGGCTTGGTTTCCAGGAGCCGACGGGACTTCGGCACTTGAGATTACTCAGCCTTCTATACTGGATAGGTAACCTGGCTGCTTATTTCAACGGACATTCGTCGGTATGATGAGAAGCATGGATTTAAGCTTGGTGTGCGGGCAATCTATAAGCATGCTTTGTTAGGCGATGTTTCACAACGACAGAAATGTAACTTGGTCCCTGTGATATCGGATAAGACGGGTAGTTCACTGATATATCTCGGAATTCGGCGAATGTGCATACATGCACAGTCATGCATACATATATCACTTGCAGGAGAGGCTTCAAATATATTAGAAAGTCTTTGACTGCATATACTTGGGTAACACCAAGTATCGGGACGTGCAACCTGAGCTGTAACAAGACTTTGGTTCCTCTTGTATACCCCATCTATCCAGCCATGAGAGGAGATGCCATCTTGACGAAAACCATTTGTTGTGAGATGACCATATTGTTGTCATAGACTGTTGAGCTTTTGACCTACATAGATGGACCAACTATGTAGTTCAGAGGCAGGTATATCGAGAAGTATTAAATTTTCATAGGGTCTAGCACACTATATACATATAGACGTGCGTCTGTATATATGTTCTTGGTAATAGTTGGAAATCTCGAGCAGGCTAAAAAGGGTTGGGCTTCGATTTTGAGTAAGAAAAAAAAAGACAATGAAGTTGTATGTATTTATATGTGAAGAAGAGACGATGCTTCAGATAAAGGATCACTGTCTCCTTGGGACACTACTAAGTGGATGATATATAAACGTCTCATAAGCTTCTCTATTTAAATGTCTCATGACTGGATATTTCACTCAAGATATTGACATAAGTAATCTTACCACACATAACACAAACAGCGGTCAAGACTACTCCGCGGATAACAAATGACCGGCTTTCACTCACGGCAATAAAGATAACAGAACCCAGTCGTTCAAACGAGAACTTGGGCATGTATCTTGGCACTTTGACAAACCAGTCATGGTACGGCATCAAGATCTCGTAGTTGAACCAGGGTTTAGAGCGGGGTGAAAGATATCACCAAGAAACTGCTAGCTAATAACTCTAAAGATTGCCTTGATCTATATCCCAGCTAGGAAGGTAGCTTTGAGGTTTTGGGCGGGGGATTGACAATGTGGAGTCTCGGACAACAATTCTAGGTCCTAGATTGAGCTCGCAAGATAATCACTCATATCTCGACTTTGCCGATCTTATCAGTATCACGAATCTTGGACAATGGAATATGTATAAAATAGGTCGATCCGCTCGTAGATGACCTGTGAGTTGTCATCCGGACCAGTGTCGGGACCAAACCATTGACTTGAGATTGTGCTGTACTAGAAACAGCCTCAATTTGGTCATCATGGTCTACATCCCTCAGGCAAAAGGCCTTGCTGCCTTTGTCTATGGTCTAGCATTGCTCGGAACCCCAGTATCAGCATCCCAAACTTCCCTCACACCTCGGCAAAAGAAGAACGCTGCAAGTCCATACGCAGACACAGTCTCCAAATATGTTGACTCTCTGGACAAAGAGCTCTGGTCAATCAACAAGAACATCCACGATAACCCTGAACTCGGGTACAAAGAGTTCAAAGCCCATAAGCTTCTCACAACATATATGAAGAAGCAGAAGGGATGGAAAGTCACAGACACCGTCGGTGGAATCGATACTGCTTTTATGGCCGTCTTTGAAGGCTCGGGCGATGGCCCCGTCGTGAGCTTCAACGCCGAGTATGATGCTCTTGAGGGCCTTGGTCATGCATGCGGTCATAACTTGATCGCGACGGCTTCGCTTGGTGGAGCTTTAGCTGCGGCTGAGATAATGCGAGAAGAGAAGCTTGGCGGAAAGGTTATTCTCTTTGGGACACCAGCTGAGGAGTCCCTCGGTGGAAAAGTCAAGATGCTTGAGGCTGGTGTCTTTAAAGACGCCAAGATTGACATCTCTCTGATATCCCACCCCAGCAATGGCCCTGATACTCCGTACATGCTCGCTCAGTCGACAGATCGCTTCGACGTTGAGTACACAGGTCGCGAAGCCCATGCTGCAGCCGGACCTTGGGAGGGTATCAACGCTCAAGACGCTCTTCTCCTTGCCAACAGCGCTTTGTCATACATGCGCCAGCAAATGCGAACGTCGGATCGTGTCCATGGCATAATCCACTCAGCCGGAAGCCGTATTAACGTCATCCCAGCCGAAGCCTCGGGAAGTTATCAGCTGCGATCCGCCAACGAAGAGCAATTGGAGGAGCTCTCTGACCGCGTGTACAACTGCTTCAAAGCCGGAGCCATTGGAACAGGAGCAAAGATGAACTTTACCATGCGCCCGTACGGCTATGCCACCATGAACAGCAACGACGGTCTTGCTGCTACTTATACGCGATGGTTCGAGGAACTTGGTGGTGATCTCCCCGACGCTGACGTCGACAAGCTGAGGGAGCCTGGCGGTTCGACGGACCAGGGAAACATCAGCCAAGACTTCCCGACAATCTCTCCCATGTTCCAGATCACCTTTGAGAATGGAACTGTGCCCAAGAACGGCCCTCACACTGCACCGTTTGAAGTTGCTGCTGGAAGCAAAGCTGCTTTCGAGAAGGCTCTCATGGTGGCTAAGAGTCTTGCGGGTGTTGCTGTTGATGTCTTGACCGTGGATGGTCTCTTGGATGAGATCAAGGATGAGTTCAAGAAGACCAAGTCGCCTGCCAGACGAAGGCGATGAAGGGCTAATGCATGTTGCCACGAAGAGCACGAGTTATGAATCAACAACGAATACTAGCGGCCTGTTGGGAGAGCAAGATGTTGCATTTGGCCTCTCGAGTTAGCTAGTCACACTCCTACAGAAATAAATTCCCTATGTCTATTGAGCAATTAAACATTGTTAAGAATTATATAATTGACTCTATCTTACATCTATGACCCTACCCCATCACTCATCACTACATAACTCATGGGTGCCGTATCAATTATATGCCAGGAAGACCAACAATCTGTCTCACACTAGGCACGAACCGAGGGACCATATACACAATGTAAAAGGCTGTACCGGCGGTCAAGAGTCCAGTAAACTGTTCAGCATTAGCATTGATCAAAGAAACGACAAGGTTCGACTCACCTTCTCAAACCAGGTATGAAAGTAGATAGCTGTCATGAGGAGCATCCAAGAGCTAAGTCCCATGACTCCAACGGCAAACTTGCCACCAAGTCCAAGTGCAGGCTGTGCCGCGCCTTCACCTGTAGCATGATCAGCCTCGACATTGACGCTCTTGAGTGCTCCATCAGACATGACGACACATCGCTCCTCGTTTCGTTTTCCAGACCACCTCAAGACAGCCCAGCCGACTTCCTGCATGAGGAATGCGGTGCCGAGAGTGAGGAGGAAGACATGACCCGATATGTCATGACCGCCCTTCCACTTTCCACCGGCAGCCTTGCATGCCACAGCTGTGACCTTGTCCGCGACACTGTCGACGCCAAACTCGACCTCCCTTCTAGCGAGCTCGCAGCGACCACCTGTCCATCGGAAACCTCGATCGATCAAAGCAGGACCAAAACACCACTGCGTAACAAGAAACCACATGCACGTAACAGCAAACCATCGGAAGATAGCCCGGGCACGTCGTTCCAGATTTGCAGTACTGGGATGGCTGAACACAAAGGCAAAGAAGGCAGCGGTAATCCAGGCCCAACCTCTCTTGACGAACAAGACGTTGAACAGATTGGACTTGCGCGCAAAGTAGCTTGGCGAAAAGCTTGGGTCTTGCAGATGCGATTGCGTGACGTGATCGTAGGGAGCAGCGCGTGTCTGGGGTGAGATGATGGAGAATATAGTGCCAAAGATAAGCATCGCTGGGAAGACGACAAGCCCGGCCCTTTCAAGGGGTGTCGGGAGGAAGGGCGAGGTGCGTGGCGTCGTAGTTCGTGTGGTAGAGTCCATGGTTGCAATGTTCTCTTCAGGGGCTGCCTTTGCAGCGCGACGAGTGGTGACCATTATAAAATTAGGCGCAAGCGAAGCGAATTATAGCGATGAGTATTTCTAGAGCATTGGAAGAGCTTAATGAGTGGTGAAGAGGGAGGGAAAAGAGAGATAGGTGGCGCTGGAATGGCCTTGGTGTTTTTCGACGATGCTATGGACACGCAATGACGTCTACGTATTGTACTGGACAGACGCTAATAGTGGGCTGCCGCCAAGGAACAGAAGCCCTGAGCTAAGAGATCGACAGTGGATTCGATTCGCTCGGTGACGGGGAAAAGAGGTTCCGTTTTAGCGCAGAGAACTATTGCGTAGCGCGGGGTGAAATGACATTCAACTTCGTCCTGTCACCATTCTGAACAAGTGCATGCGACGGCACATCATGGCGATTGTTTTGAGCCTTTTGAACATAATCAAGTGATTGTGGAATTCCCCCAAAAAAATTGCGTGTCTCCGTGGCTCAAATCGCCTGTTACCTAGCCAGTGCCCGACGCCGATATCCCCGACGAACCCACGAGACTTTATTGTTCACGCCGACTTCGACCGCACACGTCCCACGCATCAACCTTTTCCCACACGTCACGTTCCTCGATACCTTCTTATACCGGAATAGCATTCTATACCTTCAACAACCACTTCAGCTCGGGGTGGTCTAGCGGTAGAAAATTCCTCAACCAAAAAACCAAAAGCTAAAACGGAAAGAAAAAAAAAGCCCACCCACACACAGAAAGAGCAGGATAACAGCAATAAGGGCAATCGAACAGTAGATCCCAGAAGAAAAAAAACCATACCCACATTCAGAAAAAAAGAAAGAAAAAAAAAGAAAGAGCGGAAAACAAATAAGAAAGAAATGGAGGAGAAACAAACAGCAAACACCACTAGATCATCCTGGGCTCCCTTTTTTCTCTCTTTTGTACTGGTATCTATGTCTGGCACTCTTCTCAGTGGATGCCTCTCATTTCTTTGGGATCAATTCCATTGATGACCTCTCTTTTCTTTTGGGTCAATCCTATTAATGACCTCTTTTCTCTTCTGGAACACATCTTAGTGGATGATGCCCTTTTTCTTTCTGGGATGTGTGCATCTCAGTGGATGCTCAGTCTTCTTTCCTAGGATACATCTTGGTGGATTTGAACAGATGTGAGTCATGTGGTGGTGGCCTTGGAACCTTGGCTGTACCTTTAAGTATTGGAATAACTTAGTATATCCTCAACAATCACACCAGCAAGGGTGGTCTAGCGGTCAACTCTCAGAGTAAATGACACACGGCTCCCATTCAACCCCTACAGGAAGAGCAGAATAACTGCGATGAAAGAGCAGGACAACAGCAAGAAAGAGCAGGACAACAGCAGGAAAGAAGGAGATTCAGAAAAAACAACCGCTGGACACCCTTCCCACTTTTCTTTTTACGTTACATACTGCAGGTTTTTTTTTTGCTCTTTCGGAATTCTGGCCATCCTCGGTGGATTCGAACCGTGGCAATCGCATGACAACATCACCAGAACCTTATGCCTTGGACTGTACCCTTATTTATCGAAATAAGTGTCCATATATTCAACAACAGCGAAGGGTGGTCTAACGGTACACGAATAACTCCCAACACAAACCAGAAAGAGCAGGTCAACAGCGAGAGAAGAGAAGAGCAGAATAACAGCAACAAAAGAGCAGACCAACAGCAGGAAAAGATGGATAAGAAGAAGAAAGCTGCAGGATCATCCTTCACTATTTTTATGTATTTTTTATCTTCTTGTTACCTTGCCTTCTGGCCATTCATGGCGGATCGAACCGACTGCTCTTCGTTTTTGTAATTTCCAGGTTCAAGTCCATCCATGGCAATCTTTTTGCCCTGCGACTGTACAGCCACACCAGCGTCTGGCACCACAACAGTCTCCCTACTGCCGCCACGCTTCAGAGGACTTGGGTCATCCTGCGAGATGTACGACAATCCCAAAGGACGTCCGTGATGCCAGAATCTCTTGTCAATCAGATGTCACAGGGGCTGTTGGATGTCTTGTGCGATGGTGCAGAACGTGCTTCGGGGTGAGACTGCACTGCTACCCTTTATATGTCAAAATAACTTTGTGTATTATCGGCGAGGAGTGGTGCAGTGGGGAATACCACATCTGCTACAAAAAGCGAAAAAACCTACAAACTTAAAGTCCGGCCATATAAATACTCTCACCCCCACTGCACCCTCCTTGCTTTTTGTTTGTTCGAGTCCTGGCCTGGCTTAATCTTTTTGCCATTTTAGACACGCCGCCTCTCCGACAATGGCATTCTCAATCCCATGGACGCAGCTTGTATTCTACACAACGGGGTATCTCAACACTTGACGCAACATGGTGTCTTGATGGCTCATGGGTTCTTGTCTGCCATTTTGGAGACGTCTGCTTTTTGTTGATGGCATTCGCACCATGAAATGAAACCACGTACATTCATCGCATACGATTCGATGGCTTTCCGATCATGTTGACCCCCTTTCAGGGGCTTCGGCGCAAGACACATCGTCGGCATCGCGATTGCCGCTGACAGTGAACTCCCATACTCATACGGGAACAATGTCACAGGCGCAGTGTTGGTCTTGCGATGGGGTATTGCAGTGGTTGACCCAAAATTGTGTCTTGGTGACTCATGGGCTGATGCCACGGGTTGTTGAGACGCGCCACATTTCACGCATTGAGTCACTCTTTCACCCTTCAACAAGACCATGGCCTACCTACGCTTCATATACTGACTTATCTAGATTCCGTCCAGCCCAAGGTTTATATACCAACTTATCTCTATACCCTTTGACGAGGAGTGGTCTAGTGGTATCCGCTCCTAGAACCTACAAATCTCTTAAAAAACCGAACCTAAAAACCTCCCTCACCCACTGGACCACTCCTTGTTTTTGCCATTTCTTCCAAATTCGAGTCCAAGCCGACGAGAGCCATCCATACGTTCTGCCTTTTCTATTTTTTAGTCCGACAAACTTCATCTGGTTGCTATGTGATGATTGCTTCGATATGGAACTGATTCGAACCTCAATTCTGGACTCTTGGTAGATTGTCTCGTGGTGTAAGTCATCGGTACGCCATAAACAAGGCATTGCGGGCACGTTCCTAGCGGAAGGGGTTGCTATTTGTTCGTGGTCGTATTTAAACTTACGTATTGTATTCTATTCAGTGTTGCTGCCTGTGTTTTTTCTTGCGTTGTCGGGTAATGAACCTGTCGGTTGATGTCGCTGGGTGCTTAGTGACTCCCGAAAGTACAGTATCCCAAGGTATCGACCCACGCGCCGATATTGTATCACACTGATAAAAGAGGCTACTATCAGTGGGACCTCAATGTTGACCTAATTTGCGTGAATATCACTTCTCTGCTCTCTGTGTCTTTGGCTGCCAGTGTGTTCAGGCAACACTCTGGGCTGTACCCACCTCAGGCTTGTTTAACTTCATACACAGAACTCTGCCACCCTCTGCCCATACCTACTTATAGCAAAATAACAGGCTCTTCTATCAGCGAAGTAGCTACTGATAACAAAACGAAACAATTGTAGTGTCTCAGTTGCGCCTTAAAGGCGCCTTCGCTTTTTGTGTCTTACGTCTTGTGAGTTCGAATCCCATGTTTTCCACTTGGCGCTCTTTTTTTGTATTGTTTTTGTAAATGAAAATGTTCATCATGACTTGTTTCTTATGCCTTCTTTGTGTTTTACATCGCAGCAGAGCGGTTCCTTTGTTACCCCAACCCCTGTTCCTGGTTTTCCCTTTACCACCCAGCTTACGTTAGACCATGTCTGGCTCGCCGCACCAACCTCCAGGCACCAACCATTATATACCCATACAAAACACTAGCAATCAGCGAAGTAGCTACATTCATAACTGTCACCTTTCGATAGTCTGGTGGTATAAAGTCCTTAGTATACCATGTTGGTAAACAACCTTTCTTCGCTTTTTGGTCTTGCGTTCGAATGTTGATGAGATGGCTACCGATGTTGTCTTCCAGGGGAGTAGAGCAGCATTGACTGTTTTTGCAGTTGTATCGTCTTCTTTTTTGTTGGTTCATGCCTCTTTCTTTGTCATTTAACCGATAGTCCAGTTTGTTAGGGACATGATAAACGCGGTGTTGAGTGTCGTACCAGACATGACAGCCTCGGAATGATCACTTGTTGGATCACTACTGTAACATCAGCCATCAATCACATTACGATCGTCAACAGCCCACTGCATTTATGTACCATGTGAATGCAACGGAATAACTTGTATGCATGCCATTTTGTCTCATTTGTCCCGTGTGTTGTCGCAATGTGCTGGATGATATCGGTGGTGCTTCTACGACTTCATCCGGTATCGGTCTCTCCGACTCTCATTTCGAGTCGCCTCCAAACCTACCCAACAACCGTCGATCCCTTCCTCTAGCAATCAGACTTTTTCCTTCTTGGATTCTAGAAGTACATGAACGAAAACACAGATCTTCTACGACCAGTAAGTTAATGGCACGGCACAACAAAATACCTCTGTGGCTACTTAGTTCTGGCACAAGTTGATTAGGGCCCTGAAAGCAAATTGGTTTGACCCCTGCAAGTTAGAGTCAGCCGGTAAATGGAGCCCAGTAAAATCCGGGGTATGTTTGGGGGGAGTTTGATTGGGGTATTGTTGATTGAAGGACCCTGGACTTTGTGGATGTGTTGTAACGCTGTTGATGGTGAAACTGTGTTACACAGACTCTTGGAACTGAAAGAGGGCGAACCTGAAGGAAAGAAATAATAACTGTCATGGGATCGGAGAATACAGCGGTGTATTGACTCGCAAAGTCCAGGGTACGTATACACAAGTGTCTTTCATGACTTTTGAGAGATTTCATCTAGACCCGGAAATAAAGAAGCCGATTATGATCTAGCCAAACCATTGCCATAGAGTTCTCCTCCCCCAGTTTCTTTTGGATGGGGCGGATAGACACAGCGTTGTTGGTTCAAGAGACCATTCTTTCACCGCTTCAGTGTAACAAACAAATTGTCAATTTAGTGACGTTGGTATTGGGAACTTGTCTCTTTACTCATTCTAATAAACGCCGGACCGAGAGAAGAGAAGACAAGTCTATCGCGGCCTCCGAGAAAACTGGGACTAGGTCCACCTCCGCCTTGGATCCAAGAAACTGGCCTCTTCCCGCATTCCATTGCTTCTTCTGGAGGCAACGCTAGTTTCTTTTTGTGCTGAAGATGGCGCAAGAGAACGCCTGGAGCATGACCCAACGAGATGGAGCTGAGCTGCCTGACATCACTGTCAAGAGTCCACCTGTAACGCCTCTAGCCTGAGATTTGTACCAGTGCCTGTTAAGGGATACTTGGGCATGTACATGCATCCTCATTCTTCCATTCCCCTGATCATCCCCTTCTTCTGACTCGCCATGGAAAACTAGAAAATTCAATTACGACGAATCAAAAGAGTTGTTGTTGTGTTGAGTTTTAAAGATAAAAAATTACCTACTAATTTCTACCCGCCTCACCTTTATCCTCCCCCTTGTTCCATGTTCCTTGTCTTGTTGATTATCTGAACCGGGATTGCTAATCGCTGCAACGTTTTTTCTTGACCCTTCAAGAAAGTCTCTCCCTCACATACATTCTCATTCCTTTTCTTTTCTCCCTACTGTTCTTTCTTCTTCTTATTTCAAGATTAAAACAGAAACAGCGGGTTCAAAAAACTGGTTATCACGACCACTACCCGTTGCAACCCAACCTAACCGAACTACCGGACCCAAAAGCAAGGCTACGGATTAGAGAACCGCGACCGCCTTTGCGACCGTCAACAGTAAACAAACCTCGACTTTTATCTATAACTTGGACGGGCACAATTCAGCTCGCAAATACCATTGATCGACTGGTTCGAGTCGATATCCGACACTCCTTTTCTATCGCCGTTATTCGTCTATACCAAACACACGATCCTTAAATACTTAGAATAATCGATCTAAAACTACAAACATGTCCAAGCGCACCTTTTCCGTCAACGACTGGGCTCAGGAAGCGAAGATGGAATCTCCATCCGAGTCGTCTACCTTAGCCGAAGGCTCAACAGCCAAGTCACACACTGCCAGCGAAGCAGGCACCATCCACACACAGCCCCAGCGGAATCGCAGCATGAGCCTTTCTATGCCATGGCGACGACCCAAGTCATTTGCTTTCGGACACGATCATTCTCATTCTCATACTCATTCACAAAATTTATCTCGACATTTTACCGATCTCGCTATCGACGACCCCGAAGACGACATGCACGATTCAAATCAACATCACCACCACACCCCTGGTAAACAGATCAAGGGCATGTTCCGACGTGCCTCGCTCTCCATCAACCGCATGGTCCACCGTCGATCTTCTATTGTCGAGGACACAGAAGAGACCGTCGACTCCAGCCGACCTACCACCTCTTACACCGGTGCGCATTCGACTTGGAATCGACTTCGACAAGCTACCATGCGACGCTCACGATCCATTTACGGCTTCGACTTGCACCGTGAGACCTACCACGAGAACCCTTCTCAACTGCCTATTCCTGGCTTTGGTGGCGAGCCGCCCGTCATTCCCACCAACTCTGGAGCTGCTGCCAAGGCATCGGCTGCTATGCAGAACGAGTACCGCCAAGGTCTTGCCAACATGTGGTTGAACCCCAGAACCAACGACGAAAGCAACGATCGTGAGAGCGGTATCGGAATTACCGTGACTCTTCCCGGTGTCGAGTCCGAAGAAAACGAGACGGAGCAGAACACTGCTATTAGCACAATCGACTTCATCTCCAGACTCCCTGCTGAGCTCGCCATTCATGTTCTCGCGAATCTTGATGCTGCTGCCCTTACCAAGGCTGCTGTGGTGTGCAAGAGCTGGAACAAGATTGTGAGTAACCAACACATTTGGCGCGAGTCTTGCCTTCGAGAAACAACCACCACCTATGCGACTAGTGAGCCTGTCGTGCCCGGAAGTGGCCTCGGAGTACCTGCTGTTTCGCCTGTCAACGACTGGAGAGAAATATACCGTGTTAAGCAGGAGCTGAACCAGCGATGGAAGACTGGCCAAGCCAGACCTGTCTATCTGAATGGGCACAAAGATAGTATCTATTGCCTTCAGTTTGACGAGTAAGTTAAAATCCCCATCTTCATTTTGGCTTATACTGACTTTGACAGGCATAAAATCATCACTGGTTCCCGCGACAAGACTATCCGTATTTGGGACATGCACACCCTTCAGTGCAGTCTTGTCATTGGACCTCACGAGGTCATCAATGAGTCCGATGTTCTCTACGACGAGGAGGACCAGCCTACTCATTTTGCTTCTGGTTCGTCTGAGAATGACAAGACAAACTTTTCTGTACCTGCCATCAGGTCTTTCCCGACTTATCACATGGCGTCTATTCTGTGCCTTCAGTACGACGACGAAATTCTCGTTACTGGATCTTCTGACTCTACCTGCATTGTTTATGACGTGCGTGCTGGGTATGAACCCATCCGCCGGCTTCGACATCACACAGCGGCCGTTCTCGATCTCGCTTTCGACGACAAGCATATCGTGACCTGCAGCAAGGACTTTACCATTTGCGTCTGGGACCGCAACACGGGTGACTTGATCAAGCAGCTTCGAGGTCACAACGGCCCCGTCAATGCAGTACAGATGCGAGGCAACACCATCGTGTCCTGCTCGGGAGATTTCCGCGTCAAGTTGTGGAACATTGAGACGGGCAAGAACATTCGCGAATTTACTGGGCACACCAAGGGCCTGGCCTGTTCTCAATTCTCCGAGGATGGCCGGTACATTGCATCTGCCGGTAACGACAAGGTGATCCGTATTTGGGATGCCAACACCGGCGAGTGTCTCCGAGAGATGCGTGCCCACGAGAACCTAGTTCGCAGCCTTCACATTGACAGTGTGAGTGGTCGACTGGTCAGTGGAAGCTACGACACCGACATCAAGGTGTGGGATATGGAGACTGGACATCAGCTGCTCGATTTCCCCAAATGGCACGCAAGTTGGGTTCTGAGCGCAAAGAGTGATTACCGACGTATTGTCAGCACCGGGCAAGACCCCAAGATCTTGATTATGGATTTCGGTGCTGATGTCGAAGGGATCCAGAACATTGAAAGTGTCAAACCAGTTGAGCTGAACGGAGGATTCATCTGAGCCCAGCAGCCTCAGAGTAGAATATAAGGGACGAAATGGGTTTGTCAGCTTATGCTGCTTGTGCCAGACTTTGGCTGTTTATTTTTATACCCTACGATTTAGGAGGCCAACTTTTCTACCTACCCAAGCAATGAGGTATACAGGGTATCGATAATAATGGGCCAGACGAACTCGAACTGGCTGTAACGACTTATGATTGGGAGGGCCTACTTGATTAGACTGTTTTTTTTCATGGCAGCTTATAGCATTGGTGGCATGTTGGAGACATGGTGCATGTGTGCCCTCACGGAGCACATTTGAGATTCGGCGATTGATTACCCCAAAGGGATGATCGCCAACAGCGTTGATTAGCGATTTGATCACATTTGAATGAGTCTGGAGTTTTAATGATTAATAAATTGAACTTTTTGTGTGTATATCATATCTGATCTTTCACCATATCGTTTCACAAGATTGAGGTTTAAAGTGGTTGCAGGCATGGGGTCGTGAAACCGAAGGAGATGACGGGAATGCGCATCAACATCGAAATGCGGGATGTGGGATGCGGAGTGAAACATGAAGCGTGTGATGAGGAGTAGATGTCGATCATGTGAGGGAAAAAGCTAAAAAAGATTCGGAAACAGAAGGTGCAGTGCAGGATCGCATAAATGACCACCCTGAATTAATATGTTTACCTGATCCAGATGTTTCTTCCAGAGCATATTCACCTGATCTGCTACGTAGGTATCTGTCTCGGAGTATATTCTCAACTTGACTTGATACCGCCATGTATACTATTACTATGCCCACATGTCGACCTTTCAATGCAACTATAGCTAGGTTTGTCGGCACCAAAATGATGTATGGTGCATATTGTCGGGCGGCAAAGGCATGATTATTTCACATTTCAATGGAATGCCGTTTGGTGGTGCGGCGGGAAGTGGAGATGGTGTTTTGAAACAGGGGGCCTTACGTGGAAATTGTTGGCTGACATGATCTCTTTCATCCGATGGAAAGAAAATCAAGAAAAATATGCCTATAGCATGAATCAATTATAGATTAGAATATTTTGTTCTTCTTTGGACCAAAACCTGCTGTCCATCCCTGGCATCAGCTCTGAATGGCTTCGATAACCGCCACTACGGAGCTCTCATCAACAAGAAACTGTAGCTTTGAAGATCATCCCTACTGCGAATCTTTAATTAGCTAAGCGCTTATCTAACGATAGTCGCGCGCGGTTGGGCGGGCTGAGACACAACAGTGGGATTCTATGCGGTGGCGGAAAGGAACAAGGTCGCTAATGTAAATTAATGGACGGGGCGCAATGCTTTGGTGAGAATGGAATGCAGTTTCGCTTTGACAGAATAAGGGTTCTGGAGGAATGTAATGGTGGAGATTAAGCATAAGCTCTGGTCAAAAGTGTTGGATGGATGCCACATGGGTAGTGCTGATCCCCGATGCAAGGCACCCGACAGCTTCTCTATCTGGTATACCCAACTGATGCCGAGTCTTGTGAACGAGCCTCATGATGGTTCTACGGAGCTTTTGTTATCTGCCGCTTTTAGAATTAACCATGAGAAGCCACCCGCTAGATTAGCCCAGGGACTAGTGGATAGTCACTAAAAGACACAACGCTAGACTCGCTTCAGAGGTTCTATCGTACTTGCCATTTTAGGCGTCATCCATAGGCTGAGGGTTACATTGGGAAGACACATCAATGCTTGGCCTGTCTCTCTCCTTTCTCTCTTCTCTCGGTTCACCAGTGCTCGTCTCTTCACCATCACCATTCATTCTACTACCCACTATCGCAACAGGCATAAACATCACCGTTTATTCTTGTATAGCTCCGAATATTTGTTTCATCCTTCTATCCTCGAATCATAGCAGCAAATCCTCCCATCCGATCGCTTGGACCACTACCGACCGTGTTTGAAACAGTACCTGATGCCCCATAGCCAATAGCCATCTCTTCAGACCCCTTGAAGGACGACACCATGAACAACTCCACCGAAATGGCTGGCTCGCGGACGCAGAGACGGCGGATGCCATCCGTTGAGGGCTACTACGATGAGATCCCTGCCCATGGAAGAGGCCAAACTAAAAGCAACGACAAGGTGAGCCCAGTCAAGCACGACTACGACTATTCCTTAGTTCAAGTGACATATAAGGTCTACTTGTCTCTCATTTCCTTTGCTCTGCACATCAAACCACCATACCACCCTCCATCACGACACTCTCTATAGTGTGAACACGCGCCTCGCGTGTCTCTCCCTGTCTCACTCTTTTCCTTCACTTGCATGTCTGGAACAGCATCATTACTTTGATCACCACCCTCTCTCATTTTTTCGTCTTTGCAATTTACACCAATTTAAAGAGTGCCTCTCCCTTTGAGTATCTTGCCTTTTTTTCGCCATACATTGGTTCAGGGTTAAAACTTTTTTATTTTACCTGTTTCGTGGTAAGTTTCATCAGTGACAAGCCCCCTATGCAACCAGAACAGGGGTATCGAAACTTTTTGCAAGCCCTTTCATCCCGAGTACCGCTTTGAGCAAGTGCAAAAGGCCAGTGGCCGAGGGATTCAAGAAGAAGCCCCCGCCCACCTTTCAAAGTTGGCCATTCGACTTACACTGTCAACGGCCGTCAGACAGCTGGCAGCCCAGCTTCACTTCACCCACCGCGCAACGCCCACTTTCATTCACATCATCGTTGCTATTGTTCTTTGTTTACTGTTTTTATTCATTCATTTTTTCATCATCAACCTCTTTCATCTATTGTGCGATTCATTGTTCCAACCAACATTGATCCCGTACACCAACTGTTGATAGCTTCACTCGAAGCTTGATATAGCTTTCTCAAACCTTTCACTGCACATCGCAAATTTACTTTTCACAAACTTTCACTCTAAACAAAAGGCTGACCAGTCACCCTCCACAGCATTCTGCTGGAACATCAACACCACTCATTCTAGAGCGAAACCACTACTCGACACCCCAAAGGCAACGCAGCTGGTTCTTCATCGTCATCATGGGGCTCTCGACTATTGTCACCGCCTCTCTCTTGGCCTTGCGCCTCTTCACTCTCCCAGCTACTGCTGCTCCTCAAGCCGCAGTTCCTGTTCCCGCGGCTCCTGAGTACAGTGCTCCTGTCACTCCCGCTGCCGCTGGCTCCTGGTGGCTCTCTTCTATCGAGCGTCAAGGTGCCGTCGCCTACGGCAATTCCGCTAATTACAAGATTTTCCGCAATGTAAAGGACTACGGCGCCAAGGGTGATGGAAGCGCCGACGACACCGAAGCCATTAACGCTGCCTTCTCTGACGGCAGCCGCTGCGGTAAGGGCTGTGACTCTACCACAGTCACTCCCGCTCTTGTCTACTTCCCTCCTGGTACCTACGTTGTTTCCAAGCCCATTCTCCCCTACTACTACACCCATATGGTTGGTGATGTGAACGATCTCCCCGTCCTCAAGCCTGCTGCCAACTTTGAGGGTATGGCTGTCATCGACGTTGATCCCTACAACAACGACGGCTCCAACTGGCACACCAACCAGAACAACTTTTTCCGCCAGGTTCGCAACTTCAAGATCGACCTTACTGGCATGCCCAAGAGCTCCGGCACTGGTATCCACTGGCAGGTTGCCCAAGCCACCTCTCTTCAGAACATCGTCTTCCAGATGATTGAGGACCCTAGCGAGGACAACAAGCAGCAAGGAATCTTTATAGATAACGGTTCTGGCGGCTTCATGACTGACCTCACCTTTATCGGTGGCAGATATGGTGGTTTCTTCGGCAGCCAACAGTTCACCAGCCGCAACATGACTTTCCGCAACTGCCAGACTGCTGTTTACATGAACTGGAACTGGCTGTGGACCCTCAACGGCCTCGACATCTCTGGCTCCAAGGTCGCTATTGACATGACCGCTGGCGAGAGCATTCAGAACGTTGGGTCAATCCTCCTGACCGACAGCAAGATCGCTGACACCGAGGTTGGTGTTCTTTCCAACTACGACCCTGCCCAGCCTGGCACCAACGGTACCCTCATCATTGACAACGTCGACATGTCTTCCGTTCCTATCGCTGTCAAGAACGGTGGCACCAGTGCTACCATTCTCGCTGGCAACACCAAGATTGCCTCTTGGGTCCAAGGTCGTGCCTACACCGGCGGTAACGGCGAGGCTGTCCAGGCCACCCAGACTCCTATTGAAAAGCCCAAGGCTATCCTCGACAGCAACGGCAACGTCGTCACCAAGAGCAAGCCTCAGTACAACAACGTCCCAGCCGCCAGCTTTGTTTCCGTCAAGTCCAAGGGTGCCAAGGGTGATGGCAAGACCGACGATACCGCTGCTATCCAGGCTGTCTTTGATGGTGTTCAAGAAGGCCAGATTGTCTACTTTGACCACGGCGCCTACGTCATGACCGACACCGTCAAGGTCCCCAAGAACATCAAGATTGTCGGCGAGATCTGGCCCCTCATCATGGCCGGCGGTGACAAGAACTTCAAGGACCAAGCCAACCCCAAGCCTGTCTGGCAAGTCGGTGAGTCTGGTGATGTCGGCAACGTCGAGATCCAGGACCTCATGTTTGAGACTCTCGGACCCCAACCCGGTGCCATCCTAATGGAGTTCAACGTTGCTGGTGAGACTCCTGGCTCTGCCGGTCTCTTTGATGTCCACTTCCGCCTCGGTGGCTCTGCTGGTACTCAGCTCCAGTCTGACACCTGCAAGAAGACTCCCAACGTCAAGACCGAGCCCAAGCCCGAATGCATGGGTGCTTTCATGCTCTTCCACATGACCAAGGAGTCCAGCTGCTACCTCGAGAACACCTGGTTCTGGGTTGCCGACCACGAGCTCGACCGTTCTGACCACTCTCAGATCAACCTCTACAACGGCCGCGGTGTCCTGATTGAGAGCACCAAGGGCGCCTGGCTGTGGGGTACCGCTTCCGAGCACAGTGTCCTCTACAACTACCACCTGCAGGATGCTGCCAACGTCTACATGTCGCTCATCCAGACCGAGACTGCCTACATGCAGGGCAACCCCGATGCGACCGTTCCCTTCACTGTCAACGACAAGTACCACGACCCCGACTTCAAGGCCACTTGCACTGGCGACTCCAAGCGATGCGCCCGCACCTGGGGTGTTCGCGCTGTCGGCTCCAAGGATATCTTCATCTTTGGCGGTGGTCTTTACAGCTTCTTTGACAACTACGATCAGGTCTGTGTCGGCGAGAACAACTGCCAAGACAACATGATCAGCATCGAGAGCTCCAAGGTGCACCTTTACGGTATCAGCACCAAGGCCAGCGTCAGCATGGTCAACGTCGAAGGCAAGCCTGTTGCCCTAGACAAGGACAACCGCAACAACTTTTGCGCCGCCATTGCCCGCTTCTCTTCGTAGGACGATGATGAAGCGCCGCCTTATGCGTAAATCATGCGAAATACCCGAGCGACATGCTCACCAATCACAGACCTGTTTTTGAGTCTGTTTCTTTTCGTCTTGGTCTAGGGTTTTGTTCCTGGAATGGAACCGGAGTTTCGGATAGTCCAATAAGGCAATCGTTTTGGATTGCACTTTGCTTTTATGAGGTAGTTGAATGAAACAAATTGCTACTAAGTGTTTGAATGACGTGATGCGATTGTGCCGATGCTTTAGTGAAGTCTTGAGAGTAACATGTCCTGGTACCGTATAAGTTGCCCTATTGTGTGAGAATAAGGTTACTTATGAGCCCTACCTTGTGATAATGCTGCACGCCGAAATAGTCATTATACTTTGAACCATCAAGTTACTATGTCGCGATCCACGTGCGTTGTCTTTGACTGCAACTCCGGTGTCCTTCAAATGCACCAGCGTCGGCAACACAGCGCTAGCGCATTGACAAATAGACAATTTAGAAGACGAGTAGGTGCATATTGCTGGTGATATAATGGGTGACGAAAGGAGTATGAGTAAAAAAAAGACAAAGAAAGGCAGTAATCGAACCGACAATCCAGCAAAACGAAGAAGTCCTGCCATAGTTGGCAGGATGGCGGAGCAGTAAGCGAACTTACCACTCTGCCAAATGGCTTTAATATACATAGCTACTTCGTTGATAGCTGTTCAATTAGATCGTCCTATATAGAATGATGTCGGATCCAGTGATCGGCGTGGAGATAGCGTCAGTGTTGCCTGGTGGTGGATCTGGGTCGAAGACATGGGTTTGGTGCCTGGGCTGTACAACACCTGTGTTACATATGAGCAACGATGAAAGAGACAGAGGCGAGGTGACTACAATGGCAGTCTTTGCAGCTTTCAGAGTTCGTAAATATCTGATTTAGAAGAGGAATGCAATAAAAAAAGCAACAGAGGTATCAGAACGATATGCTCTATCATGTATATCTACATTCGAACGTGGCTACTTGCAAAAAGCGAAGGCTCCCTAGAGAGCAAGTAATTGTCCATAGACGATTTGTTCATAGTGTGTTTAGCTACTTCGCTGGAAATGACTCTAGCAATTTGGTTTATAAAGGGTGTTGGGCTGACGGACAGATGCTGGCTGTTGGTGAACGGCGTGGGGAGAGACCCTTGCAAACAGCTGCAACAGACAAGTCCATTACATTTATTTAATACAGAAAACATAATACTTACGCACAGTTTCTACAGTAGAATAAATAGGACAAAGTCACTGTTAGCCTTTAGAAGACGAAAATTATTAAGTAAAAAAAAAAGAACAGAGAAAATAGCAACTTGGTAGGTTTTCGAACTTGCGACGTCCAAAAAGCGAAGGCGCTTATCCTAGGATAAGCAAGTGTGTAAGCTCTTGGGCAATATGATGGTTTTTAGCTACTTCGCTGATTACTGTCTATTTAGTTCTGGTATATGAAGGAATGATTGCTCTGTCTCTTTGTTCGGACGGTTGCACAAGATATGAACAGAGGAGTGAGCCAGGGTTGGTTTAGCTTGGCTTGGTGGTGTAAGTACAGGGTGGGGTACGGTCAGCGTTGAGTCACCTCGCCGAGATACATGTTGGTGGAATGGGCAGACAAGTGAGAGACAAGGATAGTTCTGTTGAGAGGCACTGTGATGCTGAAATTTAGGTAAGGTCTTGGATAAAAGCCATGTATAATATTGTCCAGTGTCTTGTCTCTTGTGTATTGATCTCTGTATAAGCAAGCCTTCAACGTGACCATGATAACAAGTCGTGGCTCAACACCATCCATATATCCTGATAACAGATGTTCTTCAGAGGTCGTAACATCGGTCGGGGTTGATCATCAATCGGTACATAAGATGTAGATAGGGTCCATCACTCCGTCTGTGATTCAGCTTCTTAGACACTAAGCAATAATAAAAGCATGCGTGGGTGATGAAACAGTCCTCAGGGTATCAGAAAGATTGGCCGCTAGAAGCATAAGGGACGAAATCAGTAGGGTACCCTAAGACTTGGGAGGCCAACTTTTTGTTACCCAGTAGTCTTGTCGGACTCAGCCCTGTTGTACTTGATCAAGGAAATCCTCTACCCACTCGTCGGGTCCGTCACGGGCAAGGAAATTCTTTGTTGTCTCCATGGCTCTTTCGAGTCTCGAATCGCCAATCTCCTCGAGGGTATCCCGTACCTTCTTCGCCTCATCGAGCAACTCCTGCTTGGTGTCGATCAACTCCCTACTCATCTTAGAGAATGTCTACCTAACCTGGTCCAATGACTCTGTGAGAGAAGCAATCTTGCCTTGCGCCTTGGACAGTTCGTTTCATGCCTGGGTCAGGCTTTCATGGTGAATGCGCTCGTTCTCTCTCAATTGGTTTATAGCCGTCTTCTTTTCCGCTCGGATACTTTCGATTTGGCGCTCAAGAAGTTGATTTTTCACATGCAACCGGTCGTTGGCGGCGCTGTGAATAGCGCCCCATGACTCGAGAGCTTCTACTCTTCTCAGTAGCTCGGCGTCGGGAGACCAGTCCTGGGCGTAGCGCGAGACGGAATCTTCGAGGGCTCTTTCGAGACGGTCAAGGCGATCGTCCTTGAAATTTTGCTCTTTTTCACCCGGCAAAGATTGACTCAACCCTGCGGCTGAAGCAACTTCCTGGTGGTTTGCTGCAACTAGTGCATTTTGTTGTCTCTTTGCGGGCCGATCAGGATCGACTGCTAGAAGATGCTTCTGTCGTGGACTCATTTTGTTCGTTGTTTGTGATGAGTTTTCGTGAGTCTCTGTCTACAGGTCGGGTGGTGGTTGTGGGAGAGATGGTAGCCAACAAACAGCATAAACTTTGCGCCTTTCTAGCAGCTGTCAAATAACAAACATCCCCAGGTAATCAGACGAATTGGATGGCCGATATCAACGAGAGATCTAGCAGGTTTCATTGGGCTTGTGTTGTGTGAGAATAAGGTTGCTCTATGAGCCTTAACTTTTGTGACATAACTGCACACCTTTCGAAGTCATCATGGAGGACAAACCCGTCAAACCCATCAAATCAAACAAATTGGCTCAGTATGTGCTAACAGGCACCTACACAAATAAGGCGGTCTTGTCCAATTATAGGACAACGGGGCGGACAATTCGTAGATAACTTCCCAGATAGAAAGGCCTGTTTTGGCTATAGAGGAAGTAAGTTCCTTTCAAAGGCTTGATCTTCCTTCTTTCCTTAATCATGTAGCAAGTAGCTTTTTCACGTATTCTGAACACTTCTATATTTCGCCGCCCTGAGAACTGATGATTACGTCTCCTGATAGCTTGAAGAGGGCCTCTAAATTATTCCCATCATCCTCCTCAGTCTACTCACTGACTTTGCATCTGATCATCCGCGACAAATATCTATATACGAAGTGGTATTCTACGATATCAGAGATCGCTACAAGATTCCTTATATGCGCAACTATAGTGTCGTTTACAATCTGTTGGCCTGCCTGCCCAGACGTCACTCAAGCGCGTGCACACAAAGAACCACTACGTTTGGCGTGTATCAAGGCATATATCAAAGGTGCCGTGACGGAAAAGCTTTCACACAGCTCAGCAAGATTTACGATCCGGAAAATAGACTTCTCTGCCAGAATCTTCAGCATTTTCAGCCACCACAGCGGAAATCGATCGTGGTGAATGCAGGTAGACCCTTGGGAAGAAAGGCCGCATGGATACAGCAGTTAGGCTGTAGTGAAGATGAGGGAAGTCGTGAATACGTCGAAGAATAGGATCCGACATGGTTGATAGGAAGCTGGGACCTTGTAGAAGGGAGATTAGGGAGGATAAAGTTTGAACAATCCTCGTACGAAGTCAACCTTTGGATCATAAAATACACGAGTAAAGTTTCGTTGCTATGTTAGGGACTGGGCTCTACTGGGGTAAAAACAAGTAGCCTAAGAACTATTCTAAGGAACATAGAGTGACCTACTAATTTTGTCTCTTATGCTTCTATCAGTCAATTTTTTTTGATACCCTGAGGGCAGTTTCTATTTGTTAGGTACTTATTCTTTTTGGGAAACTCAGTTATCATGAGAACTCTATTGCACAGCTGGATAGAAGCTTCTCCATCACTTGTAGCCCACATGCCCATCATAGAGTTCAGTAGTTGCTATATTAACTACAAGATGACTTTGTTGATTCAGTTTATTGAGTGTTTGTTTGCGAATACTAACCTTGTAATAGAAAGTCTCGAGTATAATGATAAGGCTGGGGCTTTGGTTGAAAGCTAAAAAGAGAATGAAAAAGATGTATAAATAACTGATGATCCCGCTGTTTCTGGATACTAACTCCATCACCTTTCATGCTACTTTCTTTCCATCAACCATCAACGGACAGCACCGGAACCCACCGATCTACACATCGATCAACATGTCAAAGTCTACAAAGTCTACGGATGTCAATCCGTCTGGATTCCCAAGGCCTATCGCAGAGACATCATGCCCAGGATCTTGGCCCGCCATGACAAAATCTCCAGGATCTGTCGAAAAGACATGTCACCCACTACTTGGGACCAACATGCAGAGGGCCCTCGATGCCTTAAAAGATGAAGCGAAGCTTACAAACCCTTCGCCAAGCAACTCAAAAACTGGCTGCCAAGTGTATTTCAAGAAAGGTGAGGCATACATCACACCGGCCCCTGACCTGTGGCTCCCAAGTAGAGGAGGCATGCATATCAATCAAGATACCGTTTTAATCCGCCCGAATGTTCCTCCAAGCTCCCAGATGGATCCCTGGGTTCACAAGTCTGAAAAGTTGACCGATTTGCGAGAACGACTCAATGCTCAAGCCAAACGTTTGGTCAAAGCCGATACCGAGATCGGACGTCAATTATCAGAGCTAATCAAGGCTCGTGACGAAGTCTCCGCCAGAGATAAGACGATCAACGTCCTCGAAAAAGCGGCCAAGGTTCTCAGCGCTGAGCTCAAGGAAGCCAAGGATGACGCAAAAGCCAAAAAGGCGTCAGTCATGACAGCCAAGGCCGAGGCTCGAAAGTACCAAAGCAAGACGGTGGATTTGCAGAGCAAGCTTGCCATTGCGGAAAAGAATGAGGAATTCCTCAAAGGAAGACTAATGCAATCCGAGAAGGACGGAAAGACCAGAGAAGCCAGAATGGAGGAGCTAATTCTTGAAAATCAAGACATGGCCCTTGAATTGGACATACAAAAGGAGGATCACCAGGAGGCCTGTGAGAATGCTAAGCTGGCCTTTGAAGACGAGCTCCTCACGTACGGAGAAGTGATCCAGGATGTCATAATTGAGAGGGAAGAATTCCAACGCAAGCTCAAAGTAGCAGAGGATGCAATCGAGCCACTCAAGTGTGATTTGGCGACATGCCGGGTTGATCTCAATCAAGCCCAATGGGCGTTGGAGTCCCTCAAGTATGGCCCAACAGGAGAGCAAGCAGAGGTTCAGTGCATCACAGGCCAAACTGACCTAACGGAAGAGGGAGAACCTCAAACCGACGATGAGGAGGATCACGACGAGGGACTTGCCGAAACGGAAGAGGGAGAGGACAGTGAATGGGTTATGCCTTAAAGAATACTTGGGACTATGAGTATGATCACAGGAAGATAGGATTGGATTTCAGGTTTATTCACCAAATTGCATTCAGTTTAACTCGTAATCGACTAACTCGAAAGTAAGCCTTCTAGAGTTCGACATGACTAGGCCTTCGCCCTGACCGTCTGATATTTTGATATGACACCTTCTAAGAGAAGATAGAACGCAAAGGCTGCAAAGCACTCTGTCCCCCTCTACCCCCTTTGTTAGAGACCCACCACTTTTCAGCAGGACTTTGGGGTTTCCTCGTTCTCGGAGTGTGTCCGATACTCCGTCGTGGCATCTCGTAAATGACCAGGCTAGAAATCCCGTTGGATATCGTCAGAAGGACGGGAGAAGCCCATCTCGACCAGGCGTTGAGGAAACGGAATTTCGCGGTCTCTCCAATGAAATCGTCACACAGCGACAGCATCCTCATACCACTTGCACTTCGGCAAAATAGACCGGTCACGGCCACTTCGGTCAAATCGCGACTGTAGTTTATAGTTGTGTCTGCCATCGACGCCACGAGAAACATTTGATGCGTGATCGAGGGTCCATGGATACATGGAAGGAGCCTCCTTGCCCTCGGACTCCTTGTCATGCAGCCAGGCAAGCAGCATCTGGTGCCAGAGCTCCGAAGTTCGCAAAGGAGGAAGACCTGCACGCTCATTGATAAGCAGATTTAGCTTTTCATCCATGCTCAGACCTGTGAACTTGGTGCATTCGTCAATGTCATGGCTTGTTGTGTCGCATAAGACACAGCCTGCGATACTGCCGTTTAACAGACAGTGCTCCATGGTATGACTCTTGCTCTTGCACATGCCACAAGACTTTCCCTTACAAGTCATACATTCCTCGACTTCGGCCTTTCGCTTTTTTCCAGGTGCCGGAGTCACCTTTTCGTCGGTAGAACCGCTGTTTTCAGTTTTGATCGTCGCAGTAGGACCGCCGCCAGCCTCGATCATAGTGGTATTACAGCCTTCGAGAGCGGCCTTGTTGTTCTCCAGTGCGGCTTTGACGTTCTTGAGATGCATTTTAAGAAGACGTCTGATCTCTTCGTCGTTGTTGGTACCGCCGTCCTCGCCGTTTGAGACCATCTTGTGTGCGTGCCGGTGTTCGGAGTTGGGCGTTCGCTGGGAGGATGCGTCATGAGGTGTGTTTGTTGTTGAATTTCCGAAGTTGTGCGTGGAAAGATCCTGAATGAAATACTAGATCATCTCTAGTGACAATATCCTAAGAGAGCCCTAATATTTTTGTCTAATCTTTTTCTTGTTTGTTCTTTTGCGACTCGCCTGCTGAGGTTTGGTCGCACAATTCGCTTGACAGCTGGCTGCCGGCCGTCTGCACTGGCAGCCTAAAGGCAGAGGCAGCCACTTGGGATCAACTTCATGAACGTCATTAAATCAACTAATTTGTACTCTGGGTTCATATTTAACAGTCTGTAAATGTTTCCAATTTCACAATTAAAAATCTATACATGTATGGTAAGTATATCGCCTGGTTGATGGCGTTTCCACCTCAGCAGGTGAATTGTGAATCACGGACTCATATGAGATAGGTAGATAATCGAACATATAATATTACGCCTCACTTCACCCTGCTTCTTCTTCTCTTCTCTTCTTTGCAGCTCCATCTTGACCTTTGTCTTCCTTTACAACGTCTACTCTACACACGATGGCTCCCGCGACGTTTACTCAAGACCCTACCAAGGTCAGCCCTCATGATGAAGCCGCTCGTCGTGATTATCTTGTTGCCTATATCAAAACTATAGGGCTATTCGATAAGGAACATCTCGAACGAAGGTACAGCAAGGCGGTGGTTGCGTTAAGCAACGATCTTCATTCCAGGGGCGCGCGTCAAGTCGGCCATTTATTCTTTGAGTACATGGTCGATCACATTATCTGGGATGATATGTGTTAGTAACTACTTATAATATATGCCGAGACTCTACTGACAGCAATAAAAGTTAAATGCGCGACGAAAACCGGCCATGTTGTCCCCAGGTTTCCGTGGGACAATATGCCCAAAACCAACGACCACAGCCAGGGTATTTCCACTACCTACAAGAAATGGCGCCTGAAAAATGGCCACGATGTGCCTCCAGATGTTCCAGTGTCTCTCCCTACAAGGCCGACACCGCATCAAGTTCCTCGGAGTGCACCCAGCTCCCAGGAAGGCACAGTTCCGCTGCCTCCCATTGCCTTCGAAGCCAGGGCTCCCCAAGTGCCGGAAACCTTCCGCTTCACGACTCCGTTCAAGAGGGGAAACGCAGCCACCAACATGCAAGCCGACAGGGGGAAGAAGCGTAAGGGGCCTATGGACGATGACACTCTCGCTACATCCAAGAGAACCCGTTTCTCAACCCACCCCGACGTTGGGGTGCACAACGACAAGGGCATGGAGCCAGCCCCTATCGCTTCGCTGGCTTCACGACAAACCATGCGGAAGAACATCAATGGCGACACCCCTTTCAGCTATCCAATCGTTGGGCCTTTCGAGATCGATCTCCCACCGTGGCTTGACTTCGATACGCTGATCTGGGGTAAGGATGGTAAACTCTACGACGAATTGATCTCGTCGCTACACGATTTTCTCACTGTAGGCTGGACTACCGCTGGAGGGAAGCCTTCTCGTTTGGTCATTGGTTTCAATCCCTCCCATGAAGATACTTCCAAGCGTCATAGGCTCTGGTACGACTTGACAACACTGTGGGAAGACGTTCTTACTTGGTTCACCCAGGCCAGACGTAGCAGCTGGGTCGCCCTGTTGCACAGCTTGAGAGGACAAAATTGGAGGAGAACATTCCAAGCCTGTAATAAGGCCCAAGGCAGACTTAAGGGAGTTCAGTGGGAGAGCGGACGTGGACCCGTACCAGAAGAACAGGTGGCACTGGAGCGTCACAGCATGGAGGAATGATGAGGCAGGTCTGAAGGACAGTAATACTTGGGGTAAATTAGCAGTAATTAATAAGCCTTGGGGGTTAACTTAGCCAACAACGATATTGAGGACCTATGTTCTGTGGTGTTCCTTAGGAGGCATTGGTTCCCGAAGTCTATGCCATCCCAGAGGAGCAACCTCTTGCAACTCTAGGTACAAGTCCGAAGGCATGGGTACACTGAGAGAGCAGCGCCCTAAAGCATTTCCATGCCACACTTGTAGCCAACCTCTAGGTTACGTTCTAATCGCTACAAGGGAGGAGAGTACTAACTATATAGTGGGAGCCATTCAGTGGCAGCACTTTGTTACGTCTCTCTTAGAAAAGATGAGCGAAGACGTCAGTCTCTAGGTCGCATGTCGCTCACTTTGACCAAAGTTGTATTATGGTTTACGGTGATGAGCATGACCGCTTGCGAGCTCGAGAGCAACATGGTCGTTCCTCAGCGCGAGGTCAGCAATTCTGGTGGTTCTACAATCACGCCCAACTCGGCCCCAGTGCCACCACAGACTCTTGGCCAAACTGGTTACGGCAGAGATACCAGTATTTGGGCCCCTGGTCTTGATGCCAACCAGCCCAATAACAACGCTACCACTGGCAGTTACTTCGGTCATGGTGTTAACAGTGGCGGCAGCAACTCTGTCTCAGGCATGGGCAACTTTGTTTTGGGTCAACATGTTGACCACAGTTCTCGACGTCTTGCTGCGGCCAAAAGGCTGCAGAGGACTGTCAAATTCACTACCGAAGAGGTGGCCCAAATGAGTGGCGAAACGCCTAAGCAGACCGACGTCGTTGGCTCAAATCCGTGAACCACGGCAGGCCGTCGTCGAGGACTTTACCAAAGAAATTTTTGACCATGTAAAAAAGCTCAATATACTCATTACTGCGCGTATAAGGCTCTCTCTTGATGGTGCTAACCTGGCTTGTAAACCTGGTCAGTTGGATATGTTTCGGCATCATAGCTACCCTAAGTCACTAAATGTAAAGTCTGCCATTGTCACTTCATGAATAACCTCTCCTTATGACATTAAAATACAGTGTGGATTTCGGTATAGATTCTCGAGTTAGATGAGACAACGAGGTTGTTCAATCGGTAGTTCAACTTTGTCTCAAACCATGTTGTAGGGCTGTCGTGGAGAAGACAGTGGATCAAGTTTTTCCCGCTTCAAGGATCCATACTTACTTCTTACTGAAGATCAACAAAACACCACGTTGCGACATCGTCACTTTCACTTGCCTACGCATACTAAACTCACCTCTCACAATCAAGTGAATCAGGTCTTCAATCACAATGGACGCAGCAGCCCCAAAGAAATCAGCCCAAGTGGCTTTCCGCATTCACCCTCTTTACCGCATCTTCTTTCTCGTCCTTGAGCCCGTCTCTGCTCTCGTCGGCGCATTCTTTACTCACTTCCGCCAAGGAACATACCTAACTCTTCTCAACGCGGCTTCTGCGCCTACCGCAGCTCAAGCGGTACCAAAGGCTACATCGGTCGCCATGTCGCAGCTCGCCAACATGTATTTTTTCTTCGCGCTCAATGAAGCGCTCGTGCTGCGATCCACGCCGGACCTGAGAGTTTGGAAGGTTGTCCTGTTTGTGCTTCTCGTGGCGGACTTGGGGCACTTGTTTTCCATGAGTGAACTGGGCACAGGGATTTACTGGGATGTTAAATCGTGGAATGCGAGCGATTGGGGAAATGTCCCTTGGGTTTATGCTGGTATGACTTTGAGGATTTGCTTCTTGATGGGTTTTGGTCTGGGAGAGTCGAGGGTTCTGAAGAGGAGGATTTAGAGAGGTTGTCGTCGGTGTTGAGGATAGCGAAGTTCGGTGTTTGATAGCGAGGTTTTCGGGTTGGATAACCGAATTTTGTCACAAAAGTTGGAGATTATAAGAAAAAGGATTTGGGATGTTATTTGACTAGACCTTATGGCGAGTCTAGAACGCATGATGCTTGCTATAAAGAGATGCCCCCATTACGACACATTCCTCTTTGAGTCAAGATATATCCTAAATAAGCATATTTTAATGCATCGTGGTAGTTCTCATGATCAATTCCTCTGCAATCCCCCACGATTTCTAGGTCCACCAACTTCTGACCATGATGGACCACAATTATCCTTTATCCAATCAAGTCATGGCATCGGCTGTCGGATATCGCCTGTCGCTTATAGTTAGAATGGAGCTTCAACTGCAAGTCGCCATGTCACCCGAAACCCCCAAACAAACCCCCAAAAGTGGTCGCGCTCGAATTGGATCCAACCATGGTTATTCTTGTTCATGATGGAGTGAAGAAGGAGGGGTTAACCAGGTTCTTGACTTCCCTTGCCCCTCATTGCTACGCCATGAGGGGTGAGCTTCATTGAGTGGGGGTTTCTTCAAAGGGAAACCGCGAGGTTTATAAAGCATCATGATGCCGCAGTTGCCTCATTGACTCTTCTCTCGTCTGTTTCCCTCTTCTTCCCTCTCCATATACCCTCATTCTACTCAAACACATCATGTCTGTCCCCGACAAGTTCCAGGGCTTCCAGTCCCCCAGCGCCGAGCACTGGACCGACTTCCAGAAGAACTCATTCGAGCCTCGTCCCTTTGGTGAATACGATGTCGACATCAAGGTCGAGTGCTGTGGTGTCTGCGCCAGTGATCGCCACACCATCAGCGGAGATTGGGGTGCTTGCCCCTACCCTCTTGCTGTCGGCCACGAGGTCGTCGGCAAGGTTCTTCGTGTAGGCGACAAGGTCACTCTCGCCAAGGTTGGAGACCGTGTTGGTGCTGGTGCCCAGGTTTGGTCTTGCTTGGACTGCCGTCAGTGCAAGAATGACAACGAGACCTACTGCAAACACCAGATCGACGCCTATGGCGCTGATTACCTTGACACTGGTTTCAAGACCCAGGGTGGTTACTCTTCTCACAGCCGAGTGCACGAGTACTGGTGAGTACTCTCAATTCTCTCGAAAGACCCATGACTGACATGTTTCCCAGGGTCTACCCCATCCCCGAGGCTCTGTCAAGCACCCAAGCGGCCCCCATGCTCTGCGCCGGTATCACCGTATACAGCCCACTGAAGCGTCTCGGCGCCGGTCCCGGAAAGAAGGTCGGTATCGTCGGTATCGGTGGTCTCGGCCACTATGGTGTTATCTTCGCCAAGGCTCTGGGTGCTGAAGTCTGGGCCATCTCCCGTACACGAGCCAAGGAGGAGGATGCTCGCAAGATGGGCGCCGACGGCTTCCTTGCTACCGGCGAGAAGAACTGGACCGAGGGCCACAAGATGACCTTTGACATCATCATCAACACCGCTACCTCATTCGAGGGCTTCGCTCTCAGCGAGTACCTCAGCCTCCTCGACATCCACGGCCACTGGAACTCGGTCGGTCTGCCTGGCGGTGACGGAATCCAGATCCGAAACCAGGACTTTATCACCAACGGTTGCTACATCGGCACATCTCACTTGGGTAGCCGACGTGAGATGCTCGAGATGCTTCAGCTCGCTGCTGACAAGGGTCTCAAGTCGTGGATCGAGGAGATCCCCATCTCCACCGAGGGTCTTCAGCAGGCCATGAAGGCTTTGGAGAAGAGCTCCGTTCGATACCGATCTTGCATGACAAACTACGATGAGGCTTTCGGTGCTTGAGCGGATGATATTTATAAAAAGAGAAGGATTTGTGTTGAGAGCGAGTTTATGAGTTTATGAGAGATAATAGTGGAGGTGAAAGACACCTTGATAAAACACCTTGATGGGTTAAAATGACGAATATCTACCAATTCAATCTACAGGGCAGTCTCTCAATGAATTGACCAATTAAATTTGAAGTATAGAATGCGTAACGTTGAGTCTTTCGGCTCTCTCGTTGTGACACTTGGATTTTGCTTACAAAACGAATTTTCTTTTGTAAGCCAGCCATACATCATTTCAGCTTCAAGATGGATGGAGTATTGTAAAGTTTAGCGTTGATCCATTTTGAGGCCTGCAAGCTAAGCATCTGTCGCTCGTGGGGTTGATGTCTTTGGAGATGGAGACAAAACCGAATTCTATAGGCTGTGCAGTAAGACATCCTCCAATGCTGATTGTAAGCCAACAAGTAACATGCCATCATCCATGTTTGTTCTCAAGAACATCGCAACGTTCTTCTTCAAGCCATAAACTGTCAAAGAATAAGCAGACTCATCGTCTTTCATCCCTGTCCAAGCTAGTCCAAATAAACAACCCCAGGAATCCCTAACCCACCTCCACGTTTTCCAGACCATTCCTAATTCTGTCTCGCCGAAACGATGTAAAAACGCCCTCCGGCTTTCTCCAACGGAGAACGGCGGAGCATTGTCAGTGACTCAACCGGGTTCATGTAGCTGGACGAGTTGGTGTAAGCGACATATTACCTGTAGCAGTTGATGCTGTACGTTTTTAGCAGTCATTTTGATCTTCGCCGTGGATAGGAGAAAAATGTGATTAGCAATTCGTCATGGTCGGTCAAGGTAAGAGTCACTGTTGTGGGCTCGAAGATTGTTTAAGATGAAGCTCGTCGCCCTTTGTTTCGAGGTGAGATTTGGTGATACCCTCAGTTACACATTCTACAAAGACAGCCTTACAATAAATCAATTGAACATAACTTATATCTTATTTGCCTATTTTGTTTATACTCGCTATTGCTGACACCAATTGTTTGCTCATCATCATGTAAGTTACCTTCATCAAAGCCAGAGCTTCAAGACTAACAACAAACCAGGGGACAATCACCAGCACCACCCTCTCAACTCTCGCCAAGATCACAAAGCTCAAGCCCTATGAGCTCATCATCAACCATGCGTCTCCCACTACGCTTCAGCCGCGCCTTTAGCAAGGCCGAGATCACCTCGGTCGGTATCTCGCCTTCTACCTCTGTAGCATTCGCCATTTACGGCGCAGCACAAACTCTCCAATCCTGGATCGACGTCTTTGACCTCAAGAACGGAAACGTTTACTCTAAGACAAGTGGATCGAGAGCTGTCTTTGCGCCAAAGGGCTCTCGCTTGGCAACTGTTCGAGACTGGACTGTTCAGCTTACAGGCGGCGTTGACTTTCACCACTCTACTACCGTCTTTCTACGGGATTATGTGAGTGGTAAGACTGCCTGCGAACTCAAGGAGGCAAAGGGTGAGCCTATTGCTTGGAGCCGCGATGGAAGACTTGTTGCAGTGGGAGAAGCAAAGGATCGCGTTGGGGTCTACGATGTCAAGAATGGAGTTCGGGCGGGAATGGTTCTGAGCCACATCGACACGATCACTCACGCCGCCTTCCTCCCCGACTCCAGTCTTGTGACTATCTCGCGCGATGGAACGTTGAGAATCACCAATACGACGACCTACAAGACGATTCGCCGTCTTGAGATGGACGGCTCTAACAACCCCAGAGCTCTAGCCGTCAGTCCCGATGGACGACGCATCGTTTCAGTATGGGGAACAAACGTACACATCTGGATCCCTGCGGCAAACGACTTGACATCTTACAATCTCAACGCTGTACGAAGCTACGAAGGATGGCCGCTGGCTATCTCACCCGACTGCAGATACATGCTCTGCAGAACTGAGGACGGATTCGACGTTATGGATGTTGCGACGGGCTCGGTCGCGTACGAGGAGACTACGAAGGCGATGATAATGTCTGGGGCTTTTGCAGAGGACGGTAGGACTTTGGTACTTGGAAAGATGGATGGGGTTGTAGAGGTTCGAGATGTTTTGGACGCGAGGTTTTGAAAAGTTGTGATACCCGATGGATATACAGATTGTAAATTCTTATGATAGATGGGATTCGGATGGTAATAGGCTTTTTGCGATTTACAAAGGCGTTAGGGATATTTCTTCGTTGAGTCAGGTATTCAACACCATTAATACATCAAGAGCATATGCCAGGCTCTCAACAACAGTTGTTATCATTCTTCATGCCCATCCATGTCCCTTTTTAACGTGACACTCATCCCTCTTGAACAGCAGCAATGGCCTTCGAAACAATACGCCGATCATCTTCCCACGACACGGTAGACTCAACATCGTCAAAGCTCACCCAAACAGGGTCAAAATCCTCACCCTCCTGCTGCGTGCCCTGTTCCGGCGCAATCGTAGAATCCGCTATGGCGACGTACCAAAACATGATCTTTAGGACGCCATCTCTCGCCATACGTTGCGAAACGGCGATAGGTTCAGTAATTAGACTCGGGCGATCTCTTCCTTGGGGTGTGGTAGCAACGGAATTGATACGAACGGGGAGGAGTTGGGCTTTGATTCCGGTTTCTTCAAAAGTCTCTCGGAGGGCTGTTTCCTCTAGGCTTTCGCCTATGTCTTTGTGACCTTTGGGAAGCAGGTATTCTCCCGTCTTTCTGTAATAGATAAGGAGAAGTTTGGATCTTGGCACGTCTATTGTTACGGTACCGCAGCTGATGCCAAACTGGTCCGAAAAGAAGAGGCTTCTGTCTGAAGGCATGTTTTGATGTCTAAGAGATGGGTTAGCGTTCGGATAGCTGTCATGATGCATTCACTTACCCAAGCGCAAAGAGAGACAGTTGTTTGTGAGGAGAAATTAATGTTTGTTTGGGCTTTGGGTTTTCTTTCATTATGACTCAGCAAAGTTGAACTTTGCGGTTCCGATTTTGCATATCAGCCTCTAGAACCAACTGTTGCTCACATAGGTGTTACACAAACGACCAAAAACAAGTCCTACATCAAGTCCTCAGTATGCTATCTAGTAGGTAACAGAAAAATTGGCCTCCCAAGTCTTAGGGTACAAAAACAAGTAGTCTAAGGAGCATAAAATGACCTACTAATTTCGTCTCTTATGCTTCCAGTGGTTAATATTTCTGATATTCTGAGGGCTATACCTTGGCTGAGCGATGAAGGATTGATAATGGCTAAGTGAATCCCTGTTCTTCTGTAAGCTGATCCTACAATCCTTGGCGTACAAGTACAGGGTGTTATTAGCCGGTTATATATATATATATATATTACACACATGTCCTGATTCCCATTCATTCCCGGGTATTCATGAAAACGTAAGCATATACATGCAATTGTCAAAATGGCACCCTCAACACCGAGTACCTACAAAGCCACAACCCAAAGCATTGAAGCTGAGAAGCGATGGACACAACGACTAAACCTCTTCTTAAGCCCCTTCTGGGTAATCACAGTCGCATTCGCTATGTTGAGCGGAATAATGCACCAATGGAACGACATTGATTACTTCCTCTTCTCAATAGCAGTCGCCACACCACCCATACTATTCCCAGCGCTCTTATCTAAAAAGATCGGTCGTCCATGGTATCGCAGATACTGGTTCAAGCTGAACGTCTGGGTAGCGACAATCGTCTGCTTGGGAACCTACTTTACATCGCACTACTTCTTTGATCTCATGGGAATGAGATACAAGTTCCCTTGCAAGTGGAACTTTAGCTCTGATGTTGTTGGAAGAACCGGGGGTCAAGTTCCCGTGTTTCTGTATCCTCTTACGCACGCGTACTTTATGACCTACTATACAGTCCTTATGGTCGTAGAGAAGGAAGTTGCTCAGAGGTTACGACCTAGACGTTTTGGGAGGGCTGTTGTGATAGTGGCTCTTTCGTATGGCATTGCCCTTGGAGAAACGTTCTTCATGGCGAGTCCCCTGCTTTCAGAGTGGTTCTACTATGAGAAGAGAGATCGCATGATGACAGTTGGATCTGTGGGATATATGGCATTCTTCATTACAGGGCTACCTATGGTTCAGCGTATCGATGGGAAAGGTGAAGATTGGCCTTTGAGTCGAGTTGTCATTGAGGCTCTTGGGACTTTCATGTCAATTCTGGTATTATTTGAGGTCTGGGCAAAGGTGGTTGGTCCTTTGTGAGTCCTCATCCTCGGTAAGCCATATACGGTCAGGCAGGCATTATGGCGATGCGGGGTTGTATGAGAACAGTCAGAATTGGAGCTTCGGTTCGGTTTGTCAAGTCTTTATATGGTCTAGACCGTGCATAGCGACAGTGGCTTATGTTGAACCCGAATATGATGACTGGTTGTTTGAACAAGTCGAGACTCAAGTAAAGCCATTGAGTGATATAAATTAACTTTTCGAGATAGTAACAGCGATCTCATTCTATGATATATAAACCAACTTGTCAGAAGTCTGGAGTTTAAGCTACCGAACCGAACCCCCGGATCGGGAATGTGGAGGGAATCTAGGAATCCGATCCGACATCTGGGGTAGTTTAGATAGATTGGGGAAAGCTATGGATCCAAGATACCGATGTGGGGAAGGCCTCGAATTATATAGATCAAGAGCTTCTTGTCAAATCTCATACTTATTGTTTCTTTCGAGTTGTCTCACAGCCCTGCTCGGAAGGTATCTCTATTCATCATGACAGACACAAAAGATTATCCCAACCTCGAGGCTGTCATTTCAACAGACCACATTGAAAAGACCCAACCAGACAATCACAATGGACACGGCCACATCGAAGGAAACGCCCTGCTCGTTGATGGAAAGGGCGAAATTCGAAAGATTCCGGTTCCGTCCTCTGATCCCAATGATCCTCTCAACTTTCGCCCTTGGGAAAAGTATGGCATTGTCTTTTGCTGCTGTTGGTTTTCCATCATGGGTCTTTCTGTCGCCAGTGGACTGGGTGCTATTCTGAATGTCTTTTTTGAGGCCTATATCCCACAAGGCTACAACTCGGATCAAATCGTGCTTCTTATTACATTACCGACTTTATTCATTGGTCTTGGTAAGTCGTTATGCACTACCTTGAACGAACCACTTGGCTTACCCAGTATTCTAGGAAACTACATCATTCTTCCTTTATCTCTCGCCTTTGGACGCCGTCCCGTCTTTCTCATCTCAACAGTTGTTCTCTTCGCAGCCAGCATCGCAGCGGCTACACAAAACAGTTACAATGGCCATCTCGCAGCTCGCATTATCCAAGGCATCGCAACAGGCGCATCCGAATCTCTCCTACCCCTCATGCTCACTGAAGTCACCTTCCTCCACGAGCGAGCTTTCATTTTTGGTCTATACTGGATGCTTCAAAACGCTTTCTCCTCGACCCTCAACCTGGCGTCTTCCTACATCAACGCCGATCTCGGCTGGCGCTGGTATTACTGGGTTTTCACCATTACTGTGGGCGTTGGGTTGGTCATCGCTGTCTTGCTGGGTTTCGAGACTCAGTTTACCCGTCCGGCTGCTTCGCTCGATGGTCAGCTTGTCGTCACGGATGAGTTTGGTGTTACCAGGGTCATTCCTGATTCAGAAGCGCAGGCTTATCTGGAGGACATGTCGAGATCTGGATTGACGCCTCCTAACGCCGGTAATCCAGCTGATAATGTTGATCGCAAGACATACATGCAGCGTCTTCGACCATGGTCCAAGCCAGCGTCTCAGCCTGTGCGAGTCATTCTTCTGAGCTGGAAGTACATGCTTGCCTCGTTCTCGTCGCCTGGTATCTTGTATGCCGTTCTCACATCTTCTATCGCTCTTGGCTGTGGTGTGGGCATGTCTTTGACTTACAACCAAGTCTTGATGCAGAACTATCACTGGCAAGCCAAGGATATCGGTCTGGTCAACGTCGGCGGAGCCATTGGAGCGGTTATAGCCATGCTGTACTGCACGTTCCTTGCTAACCCGTTCGTCATGTGGATGGCCCGCCGAAACAAGGGTATTCACCAGCCCGAGCATCACCTCATCACCATGGCCCCTCCTGCAATTGTCGGTGTAGCGATGCTTCTTCTCTACGGCTTTACTGCTGGTGGAGGAGCGACTTGGTGGGGACCATATCTCGGCTGGACCATCTTCCAGTATTCCTTCACGGCCGTCCTTATCATCTCTACCACCTTTGCCTCTGAGGCTGCTCCCAAGCATCCTGGCCCAGCCATTGTCACTGTGGTTGGTACAAAGAATGTCATCTCCTTTGGAGTTACGTATGGCTTGACCCCAATGATTGAACAGCATGGTTACAAGTGGGCTTTTGGTGTTTTGGCTGGTATTTTTGGTGCTATCTTTTTGTTGGGTATTCCTGTTTGTATCTGGAACCCCAAGTGGCGAGCCTATGTTGCTGAGAGGGAGGCACGAAAGGGTACTACTACCACTGACTAGACTAGTCTTGAGAGAACTCGCTTGATGAATACAGACTACTGTTTAAAAATAAATATGGTGGCTGGATATTGTGATACCAATCCGGGCTTATATGGAGAAGCATGTGGTCCCGGATCGGGATCTGCTTCAACCGAACCGAGCCGGATTGCCATATGTTTCCAACCAAATGCAACTACTTACATAAGTACAGCGCCGCAATTAGTTTTAAGTCCTGAATTGGCTTCAATTATGTATGATTCGACTCATTGATTGAGAAGTGAGGCTGTGATAGCTTCCGGCCTCACTTCCGGACCTCCGCCGAAATGGGCTCCGGGATACCGTAAAGGTGGATCACGGGTTTCCGGGATCCGAACCGAGACACGGCGCGCTTGTAGAGGAACGGTCCAGCTGAGTTGGCGATCCATTATTTGTACTAGATCATGTCTCCTGGAAATTGTGACATTATTTATTACCGTGGATTGATAAAACTATCCAGTCATGTCAAAGATGTCGAGTTCCAATCTGCTATGCGGCTCTTACGGTCTTGGCGGACTTTGGACGACTTATATCCGATAACACCCAGATGTAGTTGTCAACTACACAAGCTACTGTCCTCTCTTGATACGCGCTAACCTTGACTCGTATTCATTACTATCTCTCCCATTTATGACTGGCGATAAATATGAGACGCTCTGTTCGGCTGAAATGCGCTAACCTACAGTCGTATTCACTGATATCTAACTTACCACACTATCATCATTGATTCCGTCGTCACCAATATGCTATACAAAAACAGGACTCCGAGGGCTAACTATAAGAACCGTTGATGTATGTCCGTAATTCGACACTATGAATCTCCAAGAGCCGTTACTCATTTCATTCATACATACACATCATGCCAGAGAACAAGGCCGCATACCTCGTTGCCGTCAATACCCCCCTCGAGCTCAGATCAGCTCCATATCCTGAACCTCAAGACGACCAAGTCATAGTAAAGAATCATGCAATCTCCCTTAACCCAGTCGACTGTGCGCAGCAGAAACTAGGCACTCTCTTTCCATGGCTCAAGTTTCCAGCTATACTAGGCTGCGATGTCGCTGGACAAGTCATAGCTCTTGGCTCTGGTATCACCAAGTTCAAAGTTGGTGATCGCGTCGCTGGCTACAACATGGGTACTTTCCAAGAGTACGTCCCCGTGAGAGAACACTCTTGCGCCAAAATACCGGACAATATCAGCTACGAACAAGCAGCTGTACTTCCTCTGTGCTTGAGTGTTGCTGTGAAAGCGCTGTTTCATCCGGAATATTTGGCGCTTGATCTTCCTACCCCTGATACCAAAGCCAGCGGGAAGGTTATTCTTGTCTGGGGTGGATCGACCAGTGTTGGTTGTAACATCATTCAGCTTGCCAAAGCAGCTGGATTCGAAGTCATAACCACCGCATCGCCCAGGAACTTTGACTACCTCAAGAAACTTGGTGCTAGCCACGTCTTTGACTACAACTCGTCCTCTGTTAAGCAAGACCTTCTTACCGCAGTCCAGGGGAAGACAGTCGCTGGATCTATTTCAAATGGAGGTTTAGATGTTTCACAGTACGCTTCAATCGTTGAAGCTTGCGCCGCTGTCGCTCTGAGCTCGCCGGATAATTGCAAACTGGTTCCTTTGACGATGGTACCTCGCTTCCCGTTACCAGAAGGTGTCGAGACGAAGTTTGTCGTGCCACTATCGACTGACAAAGAACTCTCTTCCTGGGTTTATAACGATTACATCTCGGGGGAGTTGGCAAAAGGTACCTTTATACCAGCTCCAGAGCCAAAGATTGCCGGGCATGGACTTGACTCTCTTCAGGCTGCTATGGATATTCTTGATGCTGGAGTATCAGCGACGACGATTGTGGTCACGATGTAGGAAGATAGTTGGAGGGATAACATGAACACGATTTGTGGAAGACATTTGGTTGCAGAGGGATTGTAGTCAGAATCTGTGGGCTTTCAATATCACAATCATTTCTGGGTTATATCGTTTCGGCTTGGGTCAAACCAGTGACAAACGCCACTCGTAGAAACACGTATCTTTCATTGACTGTGGACACATGGTCTTGCTGGTAGAACATGGGGACCAGATACACATTAACTCTATTAAATCGGACCATACGCCAACAAACGGCCGTAGCTGAATCGTCAACAGTATCTCTCTTCCCTCACCTCCATCCCATCATCCCAAAATTCTACTCCTTACTAGCCAAAGCCTTAACAACAGCCTCCAAAGCTCTTCGGTCCGCGCCCCGAATCCTATCAACCAAACCATCCTTGTTGACATTAACAGAATGACCACTCGGCAATCCCTCAACAGAAATACCCTTAGGCACACCATCCGTGAAAAATACAAAAGTAGGCATAGCCGAGATTCCATACTTGACAGCAACATCCTTCACATGATCAGTGTTGACTTTTGCGAAAGCAAGATGGCCGGTTGATGCGTGCTTGTCAGCAAGGCTGGAAAAGACGGGCGCGATGGCGCGGCAGGGAGGACACCAGTCGGCGTAAAAGTCTACCACGACATGCTTGTTTGAAGAGAGGACGGTGTTTAGTTCTGATGATTCAGTGACTTTGGTGACTTTTCCCGAGGTTTCGGGGATGGGGGAACGATCAGCGAAGATGGCCTGGGAGGTTAGTGACTGATAAATGGTTTGAGATGGGTTGACTTACCCGGCCGACCATGAACAGGACGAAAAGACCGAGGATAAGATATATGTTTTCCATTTTCTTGCTTGTTGGAGTTTATGTTGGTGAGTGATGAATGAGTGTAAGTGAGTGGTTTCATTTGCTCAAAGGCCACAGTGCTGATAGGGATTGCGTCACATGACCAACTTGGCACGCAACTCGGCATCGTCAACCTTATATTCACCAACTATTCTCAGATGACTTTCCAAGAGATGCTAAGTAACTAGTAAACATATCTGCAGGAATGCCTTTACCGATACAGAAATTGGTGTGTAATTAAACATTTTGGAGAAGACAGTATTTGCCGTGATGGGCGTTGCCATAACCCAACTGACTTTGCAACCGACCAGCAATCATCGCAGAGTTCTTTTACAGAAGAACATCAATAGAAAACACCACGATAGAAATAGGGACACATCAACAAATCAATTATATACATTCTCAAGCTATATTTTTCGTTGTCTGTGTTCATGTGAGCATCACATCCATCCAGATAAAGTTACCCTAGAGACGACAGCTCCTCATCACGATAGACACACTTAAAACTGAGAACTGAAAATTATCTTCATATATTTCATCGTAAATCTATCCTCGATCCAATTTTTCAAAGATGCCAAAGGGGTATGATGAATAAAATGCTCGTAATCAAACAAAATGACTGACACAGGTCGGCCAGCCCTGTCAAATCCAGATCCGCCTTGCCCCGGACTCCTGTCTTGCTATGCAATTCACCGACATTCCAACGTCGCCACAAATGCTGCACTTGATCCTTTTCACCCAGGTAACCGCTTGTGTTATTCTGGTCCACCGATAAATCACAGCGCTGCCTCCGCTCTTCTATTCTATTCTTCGTCCTCTTGTTGGTGATGGTGCCGTCTCTCCCAAAATCTATGTACCGAAGCGAATATACGTCGCCAAGGTTGAATCAAGCCCATCCAAGCATCTCGAGGGTGCCTCGGGCATCTGCGGCTGCCATACCGCTGACAGCAAGCTGTCGAACTTGGGTACCGCGGCGGAGTCGTTGAAGTCCAACTGATACCTTCCAGGCCTCCGACTCATCAACGACAAACAAGTATCGCTTTCCTTCTTGATCTCGAACGGAGGCACGCACAATATGCAAGCCCTTCGATTTCCATTCTCCAGTCTGTCCAGTTGAAGAAATAATGTTAGCGTCTCGAAATTTCCTATCGCATAAACCAATTCGACAACAAGTTTTGCATGCGCGCAGCATCTCGGTCAAGTACACTTCGGCTTCGTCGCCTACCAGAGGTTTGGCCGCATCACATGCCCGAGAAGAGGCCTCAAGCAAAGGGTTCGGATTTGAAGCAGGGGACGCAGAAGACGATTTCAAGCATTGCGGGGGGCACCATACCTCGACTTGTTTCAGGGTCCAAGCCTTAACATCCCATTCGCGTTGTGGTACATTTCGGACATCATCGTCGATAAAAAGACCTTCAGTAGTAATACGGAGTATGAGTCCGTCAGTTACAGTTCCAACACCAGAGATAAGCTGACTGGCAGGTGTCTTGGAGAATTGGTTCATGAACAGGTAGACACCCGAGATGACAATCTTGTCAGGATCCTTGGTAGAGTATGGGCCAGTACGATTCGAAGGAGGGGGCGTTGTCCGACCAGTAGTCTGAGAAGCCGCCCAAGACGATTCGGAGCCGAGGGAAGACATGGAAGTCCTCTCTCTTGGCTGTCTGGGCTTGTCATAAGGTCGATACGAATTCTCGGTGCTGACGCCAGAAACGTTGGACCTAGTGGCGGAGGGAGCAGGCTTTCTTTGAGAGGAAGCTGTGCTGGGAGCAGGTGGGTGAGCAGTTGAAGATGAGGTGGTAGACTTGGGAGCTGGCGGGCGACCGTTGGGCCACATGCTGATCTTCTCGCCAACTCCCGAGTAGGCGTAACTGCTAGGTTGACGGGAGGCGGTTTCTTGTGCAGCGCGCTCCCTCTCAGCCTTTTCAGCTTCGGCCTTTTCTCTCTCGATCCTCTCTTTTTCTGCCTTTTCCTTCTCAGCTTTCTCAGCCTCCTTTCGTTTTTGGGCTTCCTCTCGTTGTTTAGCCTCCTCGGCCTCCTTCTTTCTCAGAGCCTCTCGTTCAGCCGCAAACTTCTTCCTTCTGGCTTCACGTTCATCGGCTTCCTTCTTCTTTTTCTCTGCAAGGTCACGGGCCTCCTTCTCCCGTTGGGCTTCTCGCTCGCGAATTTCCTTGGCCTCCTTCTCTAGACGCTCTCGTTCTTTGCGCTCTTCCTCCAACTTGATCGCTAATTCCTTGGCACGTTGCGAGGCCTCGAGGAGTTCTTTTCTTTCTTGTGCTTCCTGCTCCTTGCGCTGGCGTTTCTTTTCTCTTTCTTCTCGTTCCTTGGCGTCCTTTGCCCTTAGCTCCGCAAGTCGTTTTGCGGCTTCATCGCGACGCTTCTGTTCGGCTTCCTTGGTTTTGCGTTCCTCCTCCTTTCTTCTCATCTCCTCACGAGCCTTTTCCCAAGAATTCTTCTTCCTGGCAGCCTCAGCCTTTGCAGCCTCTAACTTTTCGGCTTCAATCCTGGCGATCTCTGCTATTTCAGCCTCAATTCTTGCTGTTTCGGCCTTTTCCGCTTCTATCCTTGCTAATTCGATCTTTTCGGCTTCTCTCCTCGCCGCTTCGATCTTTTCAGCTTCGATTCTTGCGGCTTCGGCCTTTTCAGCTGCGATTCTTTGTGCCTCTTTTCTAGCTGCCTCGGCCTTTTCAGCCTCAATCCTCTCGGCTTCTTTCCTTGCGGCTTCAGCCTTTCGAGCCTGAATCTTTCGCTGTTTCCTGGCAGCTTCAGCCTCTTCCGCTTCTTTCCTTGCAGCTTCGGCCTCTTCAGCTTCTTTCCTTGCAGCGTCGGCCTTTTTAGCTTCTATCATTGCAGCCTCAACCTTGGCAGCCTCAGCTTTAGCGGCCTCAGCTTTGGCAGCTTCGGCTTTGGCAGCTTCGGCTCTGGCAGCTTCGGCTTTGGCAGCTTCGGCTTTGGCAGCTTCGGCTCTTGCGATCTTTTCTGGGTCAGGCGCTGGTTTGGATTTGGATTTTGGAGGAGGCGGAGTTCCGGGTCGCGACTTCGGTGGAGGTGAGGGATCTCTCGGCTTAGGTTTGGACTTGGACTTCGATTTGGAGTGCTTCGGCGGGGGTGTTTCGGGAGGCGTGTGCGGAGGTGGAGGCCGAGCTTCTGGAGACGGTCGCGAACGTGGCTCAGAATCATTTCGAGGTGATTGACGTGCTGAATGGGGAGGTGGCGGCGGCGGAGTTTCGTCTGTCTGGGGAGCCCCTTGCCACGATGTCCTAGGGCCATTGCCATGAGGAGGCGGCCTGGGAGGAGTATCATGGTGAGGAGGAGGCGGAGGAGGAGTGCCATGAGGTGGAGGAGGCGGCGGTGCTCCAGCGTTTGACCAGGAGTTTGAATGCCATCCTCCTTGACCACCGCGACCATTACCAGAGCCACTATTTCCAGGACCATTCGGAAACCCGCTACCCTGAGTCTGAAAACGGCCCAATGCCCATGCTCCAGCGCCAACACCAATAACAAGCATTGCCAGTGCCGCGCCATTCAACCCATCAGAGCCCGCCATCAAAGTTCGAAAAAAAGGGGCCAACGTTTGACCAATAACGACGAGTATCAGGGCTGAAGCGAATCCGGCAGCAAAACTGTTCAAATTTGGTTGCATAGACGGCAGGTACAAGAAACCACCTCCAGAAGAGTGCTCAGGGATGACAAAAATGTCATATTTGCCTGGAGGCAAACCGGAACCCTTTGGCACTCCGCCATGAGGCGGAGGCGGCGGAGGGGGACCGCTCATTCTTGTCTTTGAGGTCGAATAAGTTGATTTTCAGGAGAACTCCTTGGCTATCCGGATCTCGGAGTCGTAAACGTGGGCGCGACGGCTGGTTTATGGGAGTCTCACAGTAGCCATCAAGGCTGTGAGGTATTATCGGTACTAATGGCAGTGTTAGTTGATGCCTGACATAATTGATCTAATCTAACAGATTCCCGAAGCGCAGGTTGTCATTGCGACGATGTGAAAAAGAATCGAAAAGTTCCGTAACCGAGTGGCTGGGGCTGGGTCGCTGCGGCAATCGAAACGAGGTTGGACAAGACAAGACTCACACAAGACAAAATCGGTGATACAGGGAGACGGATCTATCTCGAGTCGATCCAACAAAACGAATTGCAAAATCGGACAATGAAGGGGATAGTCACTTGTGATACAAGATGACAATTCCCTATGCCCTTAACCTGGTGTAATTGCGGGATGGAGGACTAGTACTGTAGGTACAGGCAAGCGAGGAGGGAAAAAGCTAGGATGTCAAGAACACGAGGAGAGGAGACAGTAGAAAAATGGCGCTGGTTCGTGGTGGAGATGGATTAGAAGAGAGGCGGAGGTGGAGAGAGAGGCAGAGCATGCACCCAGACAAGGTCGAGGCAGAGAACAAGAACAAGAGCAAGAGCATGCATGGGATCATCCATGTTTACTTCGAGGCGCTTTGGGAAAGGTGGGTACCTTTCCGTAGGTGCGGACGGGACGGGCAAAGTGAGTGTGGATGGGTGGATGCGATGCAGTAGGTGGGTTGACGGGTGAATGAGCCCTGTAAAAGGTACGTGGTAAATACTTTCGGCACCTTCTACAGTTAGACCAGGGCTTGAAGACTTTCTGTGACGCTTAATGGCTAGCGCAGATGCCGGTCCAGGCTGGCTCTAGCGCCTTTACCCCCGTCAAGTGGGATACACCCGCTTCGACTGCCCCGCTACATGGATATCATCACTCACTCGTGGTTTGTGAGTGGTGAGTATATCACAGACGACCACTTCACCCTGAACTTTTTGTCCTATCAATTGGAAGACTAGCATACCAGGATTCAGGTTCCTAACGACACGGAAACCCGAGAGGTCGTTTTTCTTTTTCTGCCCCTCAAAGTTTGAAAACGTACATTTTGCTATGGAAACCGTTGTGATGGGGCGATACTGGTAGGCTTCTTATGAGATGATTTGTTGATGTGTCAACTCATCTATACGGCATGCAGGATGCTCAACGGCTGACCTGTGTGTTTTCTGAACTTGGAGAGAGTGATAACACGTTGACATTTTGTATGAACACTGGCTGGACAGCATATCCCCGTCATGTATGCATTGAAACTCACTCGATGGAAGCCGTTATCAAGGTTTATCCTTCTTCCATCTGCCGACATCATTACTCCCGCTGAACGGGATCATCAACTCAACGGTGTGATAAGTTTGGCCCCCAGTGTTCCTTTCACTTATATCTCATGACTTCATAGCTGGGTCTCCCCTGCTTGTCAACATGTGAAATCCTCATATTCTTCTCACCTGTTCCTTGTGACGGGTGGCTTGCATCGCATCCATGGAAAGCATTGACGAGACCCTGTGGATCAGGAAGAACAATGATAGAATAGACCACGAGACAGAACATAAGCGATAAGTTGGTACCGAGTATCCGTAAAGTAATCCTCTCGTTTATGAGCTTGTGCCAACTTGCGCACAGCAAATAGCTCTCCACCTGTCGATCTTGAGAGTGAAGCGTTGTGATGGATATTGCTAAAGTGTTTTGAAACGATTGGACTACAAGGAACGGTTTTGTTTCTGGGCCTTGCATCAAGCTCCAATTGTAATGGTCAACAAAATTTGCGGTATCCAACAACACTGCAGACCCCGCCTGCGAACACTCTGAGCAACATGGACGGATATCTCTTGCATCAACACTTCATCGAAAGTCCCGCAATCGTTTGAATGGTAAAAGTCCAAGCTTGACCTGTCAAATCCACACAAAGTTTGCACGGTCCATAGCTAACGAATCTCGAATTGTCACCGACAAACCAAAATCTTCAGTCCAGCAACGTTGTCGTTTTTCACCGCCACCAGATTAAATTTTGAGTGAGGTAACTGAAATCCGCATCCGTGGTCTGGACCTCGCCAGTAGTATCCTTGTTGAGGCTTAGAGGATGCCGCGGCTCTCTTGTCGCTTCTCACTATGGTTACATGCTGGGTTCCACGACACCAATGCCACGGATGCGGTTTTGTAAGTAAACATGACTCAACTTCCCGCGACATTGTTAGTGGAAAGTAAAAGTTTGAGTTTGGTACCTGAGAGCTGTCTCTTCTAACTGCCGACGCCACTTTACACGAATGCAACTCGAGGATATAATCAAGAAGCCTATCTACGTCACAAATGTCTCGACTGTCTTCTCTACAGATACAAATTCGAAAAAATCCAAATGTATTTCCGTGGCTTCCGCGACGCCAAGGAAAGGGGAGTGGCTGTCCATCGCCTCACCGCTGAGGCCCTCTTTACCACCCACCTTATTTTTCAAGCTTTCGGCATCGCCCAACCTCCCAATAAACGTGGATGATATTCATGGAAACTCGCGCTTGCAAAGCGTGTCACCAATTGATAGGTAATCAAATACTCTTGACTTGTTAGAGCCATCCATCTATTCATAATCTCAAGTAAATGAGTGAATGACTCGAAAGCAATTGATCTCTTGACTATGCGTTGCCTGGCAACCAAAGATCGGCAAAATACACCCCAGACCAGAGGGGAACAAAAGAAAAGTGCGCTAAGCTCGCGTTGGTCTTCGGCTAGTGACGTAGCTCAGCCACCAAAATATCGAGCCTAACGATGAATTTTGGTGCATCGCATCGTCGTGCAGTTGAGTCGCTGCATGTCTGAGCCTGATGTTATGCTAATGCCCGATGCCTAGACTAGTCTCACATTGAAACCACTTTACAAAAGACGCTATCTATCTTCCTGTTTACTCTTGTGTTTACATGATACTTGCATCCGATACAAGATTGGCGGTCCATTAGCCTTGTCCTCTCGCTTTTAGGCACCTGGCCTAGTGCCCCAAGTGTAGGCTGAAAGAATAAACAGGTTAAACTCCATATCTTGGGAGCATGAACTGACTGGCTTATTTCATCTCTTTCATTTTAGGCACCTACTTGTGCTCATGTCATGAGGCCTGCTCTTTCATCTGGTGGGCTGAAGTGACAGATCGAAGGTACCTCTCATGTACCACTTCAGCCCATGCAAGCCAATCTCATCCTCATGCACTCCAACACACGACGGCATGACCACAGCTCAACTTGTTGTACTGGCTTGTTCAAGGCCTTTCGGGTTACAAGCCAAGCAGGATCTCATTCTCATTATCTACGTAAAGAACGACTTTATTCTTGTCCAACACTTTGGTTATAAAGGTTACAAGAAATAATGATAACGAGTCTTGATACCATGTACGTACCATTAATCTCCCAATAAATGGGTGGCTGGTTGTGGACGAGGTCCCTGACATTGACGCTCAACGCCATTCACTAACCAGGAACAAGGATTCATAATGCTTGAACTCTCTGTTAAGGTAGCACTCAACGGTGATGCATTCAGTCCTCATTTGCAATTGCAATAAAAAAAATCAAGCTATTATTGCTTTGCTCTATTCGTACAAACACCAACCCAAGGCAATTTACGCATTTCTTGAAAGATCATGAACCCATTCCAACCAACAGGACGCCTTGCATTCTGACCCATTATTCCTTTCCCCAAGTTTGCGCCATGAAAGTCGCAATGTCTGCGATCCATGACAGCCCATTAAGTAGTATCCTTAGAACCCATAGCCACCAAACGGCAACCTGTACCACAAGCAGAATTATCCTTACCACCAGCGTGAGAAATAGCAGTCACATCTTCTTAATACGGTTGTTGGCCACCTTGAGCTTCGCTCCTGTCCGGTCGACGTCGTCGTCGAGCTGGTCTAGCATTAGGATCTGTTGTTCAACTTCATCGTGGATTTGTTCGCCCATTTGTCTCTGCCGTCGGATGATCGCGGTGAGTTGATCGACTGCAAGATCCTGGTTCTGCATCTCTTCCTTTTGGAGTTGCAAAACCCCTTGGTTATCCAGTTCGCGAGTCTTATCCGTCTCTGGTAAAGGAGCACCCAAGACACGGCCAGCGGGACGGCCTCCTCTTAACAGCCCTGCTTTATCAGCTGCTGAGGCTTGCCCTTGACTGAATCCGCCTCGGCCAGCAGTTGCTGTTGAGCTGGGCATGCTGTTGGAGAGCTTATCGAGACCCTCTCTCTCCATACGAGCTTGGGAAACTAGATCGCGACGTCGTCGCAATTCTCCCTCACCAAGTCGCCCTGACTCTTGTATCTTTCGTAGTCCATCCGCAAGTGTCGCGATCAAGGTTCCACTTCGTACGAGGACCCTCTTGGCTGCTGCGCCTGCTTCCGCTGCAGCTGTCGAATTGCCGCTGTCTACCGCTGCGTCTCTTCTGGACAAACACTGTCTCGCTTCATGTAGATTTTGTTTCAAGTCCCGATGGATATCCAGCCATGTACCTGGGTCAGCGGCGCCAGAAGCTGCGCTCCTAACCATTCCACTAGCCGACAGTGCCGAGTTGGTTGTGCTTGAGCTGGGCAAGTTCAAGAACGCTCTCCAAGCTGAAGTGTCGCGCCATCGTCGATCGGGTGACTCTGCGATTGCTCGCAGATATTTCTCGAGTTTTACTTGACGGTCGCGGGTCAATTCTACAGAGTTGACAGTAGATTTGAGCCAGTGTTTGCCAGGCAGAGGTTCTGGAGGTGGCGCGCCGACTTGCTGTGTGAGGGTCTTGTTGAGCTCGTCAAAGTCCGAATATCGTTTTTGCAACACAAAGGATCTCAAGGGAAGTCGCAGTGTGATGTTGTAGAGTGTATACGGCTTCTTTGATCCTTCGTCAGATACGCTGGTGGAGGGGATAGAGATTTCTGGCGGAGGTGCCATGTTGACTTGATTGTTAATTGACTTGCTTTGTGATTCACTGATGAACGGACAACCTAATCTTATGAGAGAAACGACCTACGAATGCGTCATGGTCATAGCGCAAGTTGTAGAGATCTGACGTATTCGTACAGTGAGACTTGAGCTGTCCAGGCCCTGTCAGCCTCCATGTCCACGACCTATAACGCTATCCGGCTGACCGTCATGGTCACGTCGCCCAGTAATTCGCCGCCACTAAACTGGTTGTACATGCGACCACTTGACACATTGGGTTGATACAGAAGTTTCCAAGTTGGAGTATAAAAACACATAACCTAGATAAGTCTCTTGTGATAGTATAGATTGGCCTACTAATTTGTTCTCTTGTGCTTCTAGCGACCAACGTTTCTGATACCGCTAGAGCACCATGCTGAGACAAGACTTACTCCGGCTTATTAAGTTGGGTTGTGTACCTGTTGAGAACTGACCCGTTAACCATATCAACTATGTATAATACAATGTGTAGTAAATCCTAAAGACGATATCTAAAAGTTCTATTGAGTTCCCACTCAAGCCCCTTGATTTGTCGATTCGCTGGATAATCATCTACGTGTATACATCGAATAGTACGTATATACGTACAGTTATCCCCAAGTTTGTAGTTTGTTTATACTACATATTAAATCAGCAGTATTATCCACCGATAGCCAACAGTTAATTAGTTAATGTACACTATGAACATGGATATATGGTATGAAACCTCTCTTGCCTGCCATTGGTAGGTAAATGACACAATCATTGTTGCGATTGAAGAATGAAACAGAAGATCGTCAGTCCAACAAGTTCCTTGCATTCACGACCTTGTCATTTCTTGTGTCCATGGTAGAAGCTTATAAGATAAGCCCGAAGCAAAACGAGATGTTCAAGACAAGGTCTCAAGCGATCAACTTTCACTCTGTAGTGTCTCCCCCGAGCTTTCCCGTTGACGCATAGCTGCTGGTGTTTAGATGGACAAAAGGTGGCTCCATGTTCGGTCTCAGGTTTAAAACAGCCCCAATACATTCGAAACTTGTTCATAGATGCTCATCAACGATAACTCACATTATACTCTCCCAGTTCGCTAGACAATCGACTAGCTAAACTGTGTATCCTCCCATCTACGTAACTCTGGACTTGATATCATGGCTGCGGCCCGTCCCGTCCCCGTTGCCTCCCACAGTGTTACTCAACCTGGCGATGCAAATTCATGTCCAACAAGATCAATTTTGCACTCATTCTCAGGGACTCAATACACTTCCCGGAACAAGTAAAGGAAAAGATTTAGCTTCTATGGCTCAACGTCTCTCCCCAAAAGTATGGGTCCACAACTCCAAGTTTATGCCCTTTTAACCTCCTCAAAGAAACCAGTAGTTGTCCCAAAGCACATTCGTGGTCGCGTTCATTATATCTCGAGAGACTGATGGTATCAGCACGATTAGAAAGTCTCCTGGTCGTCCACCTCGCCCTCGGCAGGAATCTCAAATCCTTCCTCTGTGGAGTACAAAATTGTCTGGATCTGCTTGACGAGGCCATCCTCTTGCTTCTCCAGCTCGGGGTCTTCGTCGACAGCCGTTTGAACGAGAAGCTCAATATCTCGGAGCTTGCTGAAGTAAAAGTCGCGCTCCCGCTCCAGACCAACAACTGTCTCCTTCAGTGTAGCGTTCTCCTGCTGCAGGGCAGCAGTGGCAGGGCCAGCAGCCTTTGCTACACGGGGTCCACCGCTAGGAGTGCTGCCTCCACGACGAGCGGCGCCAGTGGTAGCGGCGGGTCGAGGAGCGGCAGCGGCGGGAGGCATAGCACCACCCTTTCGTCGGGCAACGGCATCGTACTCGTGATCAGGGAAGTTGAGGTCCCAGAAACGCTTTGTCCATTGGAGGAACTCGAGGTTGTCCTGCATCTTGCATTTTATGAGTGAAGGGACGGGGATCGGCTTGTCGATCTGATGCTTGGCGAACGTGTCTGTCAACGTGTTAGGGTATCGAGAATGTAGATCGATCGAAGTGACTAACTCTGCAGAACCTTGAAATTTTGGATGTACAGGTATTCAGAGTTCACGTTGAACTTGACCTTGGACATGGGGACGTCCATGTAGATACTGTCGAAAACTTGGCAAAGAGCAGCACTAAAAAGCGGTATTAGAACCAGTGTAGGTCATGATTGTTTCACGCCATATCGCCCCGCCGTTGGAGGCCCATGAAGCCGAATAGAGGTGTTCGTGATGGGAATCGCGGGGCTGTTTTGGTGTTTTGTGCTGATGACATGGTGCAACACGACATAGCAAACCGTAACGAGGGGGCGGGGCAAACGACGATAGACCGACTTACCCAGTACCGCATTGCTCAATCTTTGTGATGTTGAGTTGCAAAAGGCTGTTGAGCCATGCAACAAGTTCTTGTCTATATTTACCACCAAGGTTAGTTTGCGAACAGTAACAGTTTGTAGGTAGAATCTGCCACAACGACAGCCTGGAACATAGGTACCAACCTCGACTCGCCCATTTTGAACTGATTGCTGGGGTTTGTAGTTTATTATTTGGGTCGTAAAATACTGGCGGAGGATTGTTGAACAGACGAAAGCGTATAGAAGATATCGTTTTAGAGAAGAGGAAAACAGAAGGAAGGATGGCGCAAAAGGGACAAGAGGCTAAGAGAGATTGCGTCTGTCGGGTTTAGTTGGGGAGAAATTAAAAGCAACTGCCTTCGCGCTGATTCCACGAAGCTGCCCATGGATTTGACTTGTCACCCAATCAACCAGGAAGCCGTTGGTGGGGGTACCCAGAAAGACCAGCCTTTGTGTGATACTTTGGCGGTCTTTCATGGGCTGTGCATGTACCGCCACGTACGGTCCCTAGAACCCCTCTGCGGGACCCCTGAAGATTCAGAAGGGTCACGTGGCAAATCCGCTGTAACTTTTAGTCTGTTGCAAGCTCTCACCGCCAAAATTTCCAGAAGCGGCAGAAAAAAAAGTTCGAGATTTGCTCCAGAAGCAGCCCCACTGCTTGAAATCGCGTTCTGCAAATCTTGATCAGAGTATAGGACGAGTGTCTTTTTCAATTCGACAAAATGGCACCCTCACAGAAGCGAAAGCCGGCAGACGACTTTATCTTTACAATTGACGACGACGACGAGCTTCCTGTTGAGGAGGAGGAAGTCGTTGCGCAGCCTCCCAAGAAAAAGGCAAAGAAATCGAAACGCGATGCTAGCCCCGAAGAGGATGACGAGGAGGATGCCGTAGAAGGTATCTGGGGGTTCAATGACGACGACGATGGTGCTATGGACTCTGGTTTCGAGTTTGGAGGCGACGAGCCCGCCAATGAAAACGGCACAGATGACTTTGAGGGTTGGGGTTTCGAAGGTGCAAAGAAGGGCATGAGAATCGAAAAGAAGGGGGTCGACCTTGACGAAATCATCCGAAGACGTCGCGAAAAGAAGCTCGGAAAGTCTACCGAGGATGCGACAGAGACGGAAGAGAAGGAAGACGCCGAGGTCGAGACCATGGATGTCGATCTGGACGACGATGATGACGAGGTTCTTGCCAACGACGCATTCGGTATGAACGTTGCTTCTGATGTCGAGGAGTCCGATGATGAGAAGAACGAGGATGATGAGGAGTCTGGTGTCGAGGTCGACGACGACGACGAGGCTGCTTCAGACAACGACTCTGTTGCTACTCCCACCAACCACCCTGACGACGAGGCTTCCGACGACAGCGATGCTGAGCAAGAAGACGCGGAGGAAGAGGCCAAGCGAAAGGCTTTCTTCGCCCCTGAAGAAGAGAACAACCCCGACAAAAAGGCAACTGCTTCTTCTTTCCAGACAATGTCGCTGTCCCGTCCCATCATGCGAGGTCTCGCTTCCGTTGGCTTCTCCAAACCCACACCCATTCAGGCCAAGGCCATCCCCGTTGCGTTGATGGGTAAGGATGTCGTCGGTGGCGCAGAAACAGGTAGTGGTAAGACGGGTGCATTCATATTGCCAATTTTGGAACGTCTTCTCTACCGACCCAAGAAGATCCCTACCACTCGAGTCGTTGTTCTTCTTCCTACTCGTGAATTGGCTATCCAGTGTCACGCTGTTGCGACCAAGCTCGCTGCCTTTACCGATATTAAGTTCACTCTCGCTGTCGGTGGTCTCAGTCTCAGAGCTCAGGAACTTGAGTTGAAGCTGCGACCTGATGTTATTATTGCAACACCAGGTCGTTTTATCGATCATATGCGAAACTCTGCCAGCTTCAGTGTTGACACTGTCGAGATTCTGGTCCTTGATGAAGCTGATCGTATGCTTGAGGACGGTTTCGCCGAGGAACTCAACGAAATTCTTACAACACTCCCTAAATCACGACAGACCATGCTGTTCTCCGCTACTATGACATCCAGTGTCGACCGTCTTATTCAGATTGGTCTGAACAGGCCTGCCAGAGTGATGGTCAACTCTCAAAAGAAGACTGTTACTACCCTGGTGCAGGAGTTTGTCCGTCTACGACCTGGCCGGGAGGACAAGCGAATGGGATACCTGGCACATGTCTGCAAGAACCTTTATAAGGAGCGAGTCATCATCTTCTTCCGTCAAAAGAAGGACGCTCACCGAGCCCGAATTATCTTTGGTCTTCTTGGTCTCTCGTGTGCTGAGCTTCACGGTAGCATGAACCAAACACAGGTTAGCTCATTTGAACCCTTACTATGACATTCACTAACATGCTCTAGCGTATCTCAAGTGTTGAAGATTTCCGAGACGGCAAGGTGTCATTCCTTTTGGCTACTGATCTTGCTTCACGTGGTCTCGATATCAAGGGTGTAGACACAGTCATCAACTACGAAGCTCCTCAATCCCTCGAAATTTACGTCCACAGAGTCGGTCGAACAGCCCGTGCTGGTCGCAAGGGTATTTCTCTGACATTAGCTGCCGAGTCGGACCGCAAGGTCGTAAAGGCTGCTGTCAAGGCAGGCAAAGCTCAAGGGTCCAAGATTGTCAGCCGACAGCCTGATTCCGGAGAGGTTGACGCTCTCCAAACTCAGATTGACGAGATGGATGACGAGATTGATGAGATTATGCAAGAAGAGAAGGAAGAGAAGCAACTCGCTCACGTCGATATGCAAATCAAGAAGGGTGAGAACATGATCCAGCACGAAGCAGAGATCAAGGGTCGACCCAGACGAACATGGTTCGAGTCTGAACACGACAAGAAGAAGTCCAAGCAAGCTGGCCGAGACCAGCTCAACGGCATGAGAGAGGAGCTTAAGAAGAAGACTGGCAAGCTTAGCAACAAGGACAAGAAGCGATTGGATTTAAAGCAACTGCGTGCCGAAGGTGGCGGAGAATGGAGGAAGGGCAAGAACTCAGAGGCTGAGATGAAGGCCCGACACAAGGAGGCCAAGGCCAAAAGCCAGTCCAAGAGTTCGGCTCCCAAGCCCAAGCCCAAGGGAAAGGGAAAGGCCGGTGGCAAGAGGAGATGAGTCTAAAAGTTTAGGAGTTTATTTGGCAGCGCTGTACCTATAGGTAGATTTAATTACTCATGACTATCCACCTGTATCTTTGGTCTATTATTTGCACCTAAGCCTAGTTCGTCCATCTTCCGTCTTCTCGCTGGTCGAGGAATGCTGTGATAGAGTTTGAACAATTTTGTACCTGTCAATCTCAGAACTCTGATCGGCAGTGACACTGGCCCGATAAGTTACCAGATTCAGTATAGACATTGCACGTTTGGAGGCGTCACAATTGGCCGATAAACTTAACAAAGAGAATTACTGTATTAAGTATGAAGAAGCGTTGTGCTCTTCTTAACGCTCGCTTTTGACGTAACAAGCGAGCTTGATATCTTTCGATATTGTAATGATCGTAAACTCATTCAAGAACCTTCCCCCGTATTATCTATTTAGAGACCTCCCATTTGGGGAACGCCAATGTCGGCAACAAGATCCCGTTGAAGTTGAATCAAGTTGGTAAAGGCAGAATCCAAACCTCGAACAATACCGCCCTCAAGACTAGGGGATGCGTTTCTGACAGCAACGCTGAAGAGGAGGAGAGGGTGTAGGAAAGGGTTTACGGAATCTCTTAGAGCCTTGATTTCGGCCTCCAATATGGCCTGAATCTCGGAAGTGAGGGTCTTGAGGCCAGAGACTGTTTCGAGGATATCATCGAAAGTGCCAATGGTCTGTCGAAGAGCAGCAGTGAGTTGCACAATTTGTCGCGCTGAGAGACTAGAAGCTTGACCACCGACATTGCCTGCAGCTCCAGTGGTGACACGGGCGATCTGGGTTGTGGCAGTTGTCAGAGCTTCGGTGATTTCCTCAAGACTGGCTTGGACAGCAATTTGAGCGTCTACCGTGGCTTCGGTACCCCGTGTGGTGTTTTTGAGAGTAACAGCAGCATTTTCTGTTTTCAGTCAGTGCCATTCAGATCAACAGAAAGGACAAGATATACCAATTATAGTGAGTGTTGTGAGTGTAGTGTCAGCAATAGTGTCAACTGAACTCTTGATAGTTCCAACGACTGTCTCTTGTCGGCGAAATTGAGGGAAAGCCGAGACAAGAGAAGCAAGACTAATGATTTTGAAGAACTTCATTTTGGCTATTGAGTCCTTCCGTCCCTTGAAATGAAAGTGTATAAAAAGTAAAGAGTGAAGTGGTAGAGATATTCCCAACTGTTCCTACATCGCCAGGTCAAGGTCATATATACACAATCCATCACACAGATACACATCTCGCCACCTCGATCTCGACAATTCATTTCATAGCTAATCGGGCCTGGAACTAACAAACTTTGGGAAATCCTCCCGATCAACATTCCAAAGGTCATATGACTTAGCCTGGGCCTTAGCAGCGATCCCCTCTGAAAACTTTAATTCTTGAGAATTAAGCTCTTCTGCCATTTTGCTCCAGATAACTAGACCTATTGCAGTGTCTTGTCCAAGCCGTTACCGCCGGGCCGTAGCGGGGAGGCGTCTTGTTCGGAGCATCGAGATATGCAAGCGGTATTGCCCATTTTGAACAAGACAGGAAAACATTCTTGGCATTTAGAATAATCTATCTCCATCTTTAGAAACATCTCGGTCTTTGACATAATGCTCTGTTACTGAGTTAAGACTTTGTGAAGAGAAAGGGTGGAGGGTTGACGTGTGAGACATGATCGACAGGGGAGCTAAACTTAAACATTTGTTCCTGCATATAGTCAATTACGGTGAGGCGCTATTCTTAGGTCATGAACAACATTGAGTGTGATTCCATTTGGTTATCTTTTTTTTAATTTGTATGTAAGCCACACCTAATTCTTCAAAAGGTCGAATGAAAGCTGATGACCACCAGGTACTCTCGCAACATGGAATAAGCTTATCCCGAGAGTGACCACTCATACAGCACCGCAACTTATATCCAATGTGTTATCTCTAGATTCAAAATTGTTGAGTTCTAATCGTGATCCTTGACTGATAGTGTTGAATCATCGTTTATAAGCCTCACAACTCGTTGGTGTGATTTAGACGTGTCAAGCTCAGCCACCAGGAGCCACTCTGCACGTCTCGTATGAGTTGGTCGTTATAAGTCCGTAGGCCACAATACTGCGAATTAAGTAACCTTGTTGCCCAATTGGAGAACCGAAAAGATGTGATGGCTCGGATCATACTCATCAGTTCCGTGACACGTATGGACGTATATGGCTGATTAAGATGAGCCCAGAAAGGGCATGATGCCGTGCAGTGCAAGCCTCAAAGCACGGCTAATTTCACTTGCTAGACTAGTGCACATAAATAATCATCTTATACCAACCTTGCTATATGCCAGTGTTTATGGAGTTACTCCCTTTTCTCCAGCGTCGGAGTTGGTTGTTTTGTATGCTAACCATGTTGTAATTTGCAATTCACAAATTTAGAACTGAGTTTGTAGAGACCGTTTTCATCGACTTTCTGAACCATAACAGATTTGTCCATCCAGTCCCTTAACCTCATTCTTAGCAGGGTCCATGGGAGTCCAAAATATTCCCCACGGGGTCACCAAGACTATGCTTGTCTTATTTCAGATATCCAAGACATAACAACAGATTTCCTATATAGTTATGTCTGAAGCACTGCTCCTTATTAACGGCATCATCTATCTAGTAATTTGTAGAAGTTTCAGATCTCTATATGTGATATGATGACTGCCGCGCCTCAACTCCCCATCATATTTTACAACAATACAACGCATATTGCCAAAAATCACATTTCTTAGACTTCTGACTTCAATCCAAGTGATCTGATATGATAATTTGCATTTCACTTTGTCAACTCCTGGATGAAAAACTTTTTGAGCATCATGCTCCTTCGTTCTCTCGAACGCACTAATTATACAAACATGCGAAAAGGTGTCAAGCAGATGCCTTTTTCAATTTTTCCCTTTTGATTTAATACTTTCTTCCCATTTACATATCCTCTGCCTTCTGTTCCAGAATCGAGACAATGCTGGAGGGTTCTTGGGCAGGGGGAGCAGCCTCTACCTTGGACAGAGGGCTAGGGGGTCGGCTGGCGATGAACTGCAAATATGCATCGTTAGCTTCTTTCTTTTCCATCTGTACGAGACACTTACGTTGCTTGCTGCGCTCAGCAGGGCAATCAGAGAACTCTGTACAACATCCTCGTGGATACCAACACCCCACACAGAGTTCTTGCTGCCAACAGGCTTGCACTCGATGTATGAAGCAGCCTTGACGCCACGTCCCTCACCAATAGCGTGCTCCTTGTAGTCGTTGACGTCGAATTCGATGTTGATCTCCTTAAGAGCAGCCACCATGCTGGAAATGGGACCATTGCCGCGACCACGAAGCTTGAGCTCCTTGCCGTTCACGAGAATAACACCCTCGAAAATACGGACAAAGTCCTTGGTGTCTTGTGTCTTGCCCTGAGATGGGGGCGCGGGAGATCGCGATCGGTCAGGGGTGATGCTGTAGTCGACCAGCTGGAAGTGGGGGTTGTCGCCGAGGAAGTATGTCTTCTCGAAGAGGGAAGTGATCTCAGTAGCCAACAGCTCGCGTCCAACCTCCTCGCTGTGCTTCTGGACAACCTTGGAGAAAGCGACCTGGAGACCACGGGGAAGGTCGAGCTGGAGCTTGGTGTGGACGATGAAAGCGCTTCCTCCTTTACCAGATTGGGAGTTGACACGGATGATGGCCTCGTAGTTTCGACCGATATCGCGGGGGTCCAGAGGCAGGTAGGGCATACCATCCCAGGGGTCTTCGTGGGTGTATCCCTTGTTCTTGCGGTCCTGGAATCCCTTCTTGATGGCGTCTTGATGGCTACCAGAGAAGGCGGCGCAAACCAGGCTGCCACCATAGGGGGCACGCTGGTGAACGGGGATCTTGGTGCAAGACTCAACCATGTCGATGACTGAGTTCAGGTCGGAAAAGTCGATTTGAGGGCTGACACCTTGTGTGTACAGGTTGAGGGCCAGAGTAACGAGATCGACGTTTCCAGTTCGCTCACCATTTCCAAACAGACATCCCTCTACACGGTCGGCACCAGCCATTTGAGCCAGCTCGGCGGCGGCAACACTGCATCCACGGTCGTTGTGAGGATGCAGAGACACACAGACGTCCTTTCTGTCTCCAATGTTGTTGCAGAAAGACTCGATCAGATCGGCGTAAATGTTGGGGGTGGCCAGTTCGACTGTAGCGGGAAGGTTGAAGATAATTTGGTCACCAGATTCGGCATTGGGTCCCCAGGCAGCCTTGACAGCCTGGCACACTCTCACAGCGTAGTCTGGGTCGGTGTCGGAGAAGCACTCGGGGGAGAACTCGAACTGCCAGTTAGTTCCAGAGGCCTCGGGGTTGTCCTTGGTCAGAGATCTGACCAGCTTGGTGCACTCGACGGCGAGCTCCAGGGTCTGTTCCTCAGAGTAACCAAAGACGACTTGACGGAAGCAAGCGCTTGTAGCGAGGTAGATGTGAATAATTGCGTTCTTGGCACCGCGAACAGACTCGACAGTTCTGCGGATGAGGTCAGGTCGGCAGGGCGACAGGACTTGTACGAATACGTCGTCAGGCACGACTCCTGGGGTTTCGATCAGGCGTCGGGTAAAGTCGAAATCGGTCTGAGAGGCAGAAGGGAAAGAAACCTCAATCTCCTTGTATCCTAGATCACACAGCATCTTGAAGTATCGCCACTTCTCCTCGCCGTTCTATCATTGATGTCAGTTCGGTTGCAAGTACGGATAAGCATGGACGGGACGCACCATAGGATCGGGCAGACTCTGGTTTCCATCGCGCAGACAACTCCTTGAGGACTGTTAGCTTTTGGATGTTTGATCGGAGTGTCTTGGGAAACATACGACAGCCAGCGAGGGGCCTTCTCGATAGTCTTGTCGGGCCATGTTCGGTTTGTCAGTTTAGGGCCCTAGCTATGTTAACCAGGTCCAATTCGAGTTCATTGTAACACCAAACTCACTTTGAAAGGCTTGTATTTCTTGGAGGGTTCCTTGAGCCTGGGAAGAAAAAGTTAACTTCTACATGGTTGGAGGGGCCGAAGTCGCAGCTCACATGGTCATCTTGGCAACGGGAAGCTTAGGAGCGACTTTGTTCCAATTCAATGTCTGGGGAATAATCAGAAGAAGGGGAAAAGGCCAGGTACAAATAAATAAAAGAAACAAGTTCAAAAAAAGATTGAGTCAGTCAAAAAGTTTGACTCACGGAGGCGGGGTAGTACCGTGTGGTGAGATTTCCCCAAGTCAAGTACAAGGCGCAATTGACCTTGTAAATCTTTTTGGAGGGGCAATGACACCCAGAATTACTGCAGTCCCTTGAGTGCCCGCCTATTCCGCTGTTATCCGTCAGCCGCTTTCCGGAGTCGGAGACAAACCCCATTAAAACTTTACTAGACTGGCCTGGAGGACCATGGTCCCTGGTTGTTGGTTGAATTATACCTGAATAATTGTATCTAATGGAGAAAAGTTTGCATGACTTGTATTTTGGGGTAAGCAAATGATATTGCGACCAAAAGTAATCGAGTCAATTGGCATGTTCAACAGGTATGACAGGGCTTGATTATACTTTCCCCAGACTCCAAATGATAGTGGTGTAACAAATCAAAATACATATGACTTGATAAAACACCTGCAAAATCAGAAACAATAATTAACGGCTGGCCGATAAACGGCTCAGCCTCATGCACATGGGTTACACTCGCAATTTCGGAGGTCGATTTAATCTGATTCGATCCTTCGTACGTAGTTCAAGACACGAGGTGCTGGGATACCGTTGGAACGTGATGACGTAAGGCCGATCCAACTTTAATGAGCTTACCTTCCCAGGTTTAGGGTCACGAGCTGTCTTGTCTCGCATCTGAGCACTACAAACCACGACAGATACACTGAACTCGACCAAATCATGTGCTACGGTCATCCTCATTAACACCCCTTCTCTGTCCTGTCAGGCTGAGAAAAGTCTCCATCAGAAGACTCAGCCGCCTGAGGACTGCTCTTGCCGCGTCGCATTGCCCTAAACGTCAGCCGCTGCGCACCTCGAGATAGCCTCGTCTGACCCTACATACCCTGGTCCCTATTAAAATCGGCAAGCTGGCTCCCTTTAGGTTCTTCGGTCCTTACCGCCCTCATCCGCGACACAAGCAGAGCCTCGTGCGCTTCTTCTTTCCGCGAGCTGTAAGAGATCGATACCGCGAGCGTTTACTCAATTTCCACCTCAATACTCTTCCTCTTCTCAAACACACCTTCCAATCCCGAGTCTACCGTTATCTTCTTGAGCGTCAACGTCGGCGCGCCGATCAATCACGCATTTTGGACATTGTTAGGCGGCGGGGAAGACAGCTTTGGCTAGGATCGCAAGCGACTCGTCCGGTTAAGAATGCGAGGACCCGATCCAAGGGTTCAGTGGCATACAAGACGCCGCAGACAGGAGGCACTATGATGGGATACGGGTCCGCCCGGGCGACGAGCCCCGTCGATGGCGAGAGGGGCTTTAGGAGGAAGCGCTTGGCAGCAATGGCTGGTAGTCTGTACAGAAGTGGCCAGGCAGCTGTTACCGAGATCAAGGAATCATATGCTCAAACAAGGGCAGGACCTGCCGCTGCAGGACACGACAACCATGGACGAATACACATTCCAGGTGCCTTTCCAGATGTTGCGATTACCGTTCATGGCGACGACCAAATGGTGCTGTTCCCCTCTTACGCCAAGCAACACACCAAGCAGGATTGGAGTGAAATGGCAGCGCACGACCCGGATGCCCCACCCGGCAGCATCAAGGACGAGGGCTTCTGGCGTCAGGAATGGGAGCGAGCTGAAGATGAAAGAGCAGTCGTTGATGTTGATGTTCGTGGTTGGATATATACCCCTCATATCGGTCCAATGACGAGGAGGAACAGAGTTCTGATTGGTCTTGCCCGGCAACTGAGTGGCATACCAGCCCCCCGAGCGGACCAAGCATATAGTCCAGGGACTGGACTACCACGTTCGCATCTTCAAATGCACGAAGAGAAGAAGGAACAAGAAAAGATCGATTCCGAGGCTCGACGTATAGAACGAGTTGGCCAACGTGAGAAACAAGTTGCCTACCAAGGAGGTTTTAGTGAAAAGACACCCGATAACGATGACCCCCTCACGGATAGCTTCTACTATCCCTCTCGCGGAGGGAACCAGTCTCCAGACTCGGCCCCTTCTAGCCCAACAATGCCCGCCAGAACAACGACATCTAGCACTACAAATGCTAGCGAGCTTAGTGAAAACGATCTAATTCTCGCCAATGCCAATCTCATGGCTCGAATCGCTCCCTTCATGACCAACCCTTCTGTTGCCCTACCAATTACATTCTTCTTCTATAACGAGACCAAATCTCAGTCCAAGACCGTCATGACGAATGATGCGGGCCATTTTGTTATCCGCGCCGCTCTCGACTTTGTGCCGACTCATGTCCGTGTTTTAGCCGATGAGAATCTGTCTGTTGTCCAAGAGGTCAAGGTCATCGATCCATACGGAGTCAGTCTTATCAGCGATATTGATGACACTGTCAAGAAATCCAATATTTCTGCAGGAGCCAAAGAGATTTTCCGCAATACCTTCATTCGTGACTTGGCCGATCTTTCAGTTGAAGGTGTCAAGGAGTGGTATAACAAAATGGCCGACATGGGCGTGAGCATCCATTACTGCTCAAACAGTCCATGGCAACTCTTTCCAGTCTTGGCCAGTTTCTTCAAGATCCATGGTCTTCCGCCAGGGTCACTCCATCTCAAACAGTACAGCGGCATGCTGCAGGGTATTTTCGAGCCAGTCGCTGAACGAAAGAGATCTACTCTTACTCGCCTTTTGAGAGACTTCCCCGAACGAATGTTTATACTTGTGGGAGACAGCGGAGAGGCCGATCTCGAGGTATACACAGAACTCGCCCTGTCAAATCCCGGTCGTATTCTCGCAGTCTTCATTCGAGACGTCACAACCCCGGAAGAGACAGCATTCTTCAGCTCTGGATTCGACTTTGGCCGGCCAAAGACTGCAGGTGCTTCAAATGGACCTTCGAGAACCGTTTCGCGTACCCCTTCATACCAGAGCCTGGCCCCGAGTGGATATCGAGTAGAAAGGAGGCCATCAGCAGGTCCCACCATGGGCACATTGATCGACTTCTCGAATGAACCTCAACAGACAAAATTCGATCGTAACGCAGCCCTCGCCCAAGTGCAAAGCTCCAACGCGAAAAGTGCCAGCACTACCGATCTTCTTAGTGGCCGTAAGCCAGCTCCGCCCAGACCAGCAAAGCCAGTCGCTCTAAGGAGTGCCAAATCCATCACTGAGTTAAACAAGGGGCTCTCTCGACAAAACTCTGATGAGATTCCTCCCCCTCCTCCACCTAGAAGGCCAGGAGTGCAAGCACGGGATTCTGCAGCGTCTCACCCTCTAAAGCAGATTCACAACTCTTCCCAGCAGAGCTCGAGTAGTAACAACACCGCTTTCAAGATCCCAGCACAAAGTCGATCTGGGTCTGCTTCTTCAGGAGGTGGCCCTCCTCCACCTCCCCCACGTCGAAGAGGTACACCGTCCAGTATTACCGAGTCGAGCCAGAACCCCCGTCTTCCACCACGTCCCGCGCAGACATCAGCTAATCTGGACGTGGATTACGACCCCCTTCCACCACCATCAGCCAACCCCCCTACGTCTTTTGGTTCGATGACAGGAGGTTACCGATCAGATGGCAACACATCAACAGGAGGGTCGCCCAACATGGGCCCTCAGGCAGTGAATAAGAAACTAGAGTTATGGAGGAGAAGATTAGCAAGAGCACACGAACAATTGGACGGACTAGGCGTTTCCTTATATACGTGGCGACGAGGAAACGATGTCATCGCCGAAGCGGAGGGAATAGTAAAACGAGCCCTCGCAGACATGGACAGAAAGAGGAGGATGAACCGATAATTACTCGGTCAAAGATATCCAAATCATGCTTATGTTTTTTCTTTATGGTTCTATTTGTATACTAGCATTTGGCATAGCGTAGACACGAAATCGGTTTTGCTACGATACCCACACTCACACAAGAATCCACACAGTCAGGATTAGAGACACACTTCAACATCCAATCAGCTATAGGCGCAGTGGCGGAGTGGTCTAACGCGATAGACTAGAAATCTATTCTCTTCGGAGGCGTCTGTTCGAATCAGGCCTGCGTCGATTGGTTTAACTTTTGTTTATGAAGATTATTTTTGTGTTGTGAGCCAAGTTTCTTTTCTCACTGCTGTTGAACAAAGATGAATAGACGCCAGTGTGGACTGGTAGCTTTTTGCATTCTTCGTTAGAAACTCCTCTCAATACTTCCATCCAGCAGTATGCAGCAAGCAGGCCATATTCACAAACTCACGAATCCAGGCTCTATCCAAGTCACATATTCACTATCCAAATCCTATGTCTATAGAAAATAGGCCATCGGGCCAACAAGTCCAATTGTTTGTTATATTCGTTTCGTTTTTAAATGCTTCCCAACTCCGACTCCGCTTGGCTCTTATTGTGTATTATCATCGTGGAGGGTTCATATCACCTGCCAGATTCATATGCATCATGGCATCAGCTGTCCAATCTTCTTCGCTCTTCTCGTTCTTCTCCTGCTGTGACCAGAAACCTCCTTCTTCTCGCCCATCAACACCTGGTAGCCGAATCTGGGGCGGCGCTTGACCGTGCCCTTGCATAGGCTCGTGTTGGGATTGGCCTGGGACTGGACGTCTATGGAGAGGATTATGATCAGGCTCTACTGAACTATATCGTGAAAAGTCCATATTGAATCCTTGGTCGGGTTGGTGAGAAAGGTTCAGCTGTGGTTGAGAACCGGCAGATTGAGGTGGGTGTTCAAACTGCGAGTGCTGAAACCCTGTCGGTGTCTCTTGGCCATCAGGTAGTTCAGAAATCATGGTAGGTGCCGCTTCGTATTCATAACGAGGAGTCATCTGATCATGTTCCTCTTCCAAGATCTGAGGTGCAGGTTCGACGTTTCTCAAACTAGACGATCCGGGAGCAGCGCCTCCGCTTCGTACGCTGACCATCGATGCTCTAGAATGATCCATCATATCGCCTGCTGTGGATTCAGCATCCATATCTCGAATGGAGAACTGGGCGAGAGTCCTCAGTTTTCTGCTGACCCAGCCACCGAGAATCTTGCCACGCTGCTTCTCTCCTAGTCGAGACCGTGGGAAGTCTCCCTTGTTGACGAATGCAACGATATCTACAATGATTTGGTGTTCATTGAGAATTGCATTGACAATGACGGGAACAATCGACGCCAGATACGGCTTGCGGTTGACTTCGACAAGAACAACCACCAAACCACCAGCTTGGAACACCGCACTAACTTTGTTAGAATATTCGCTTCACATCAGAGATCTGTACTTACCAGCCATTCTGTACAATGTTTCTGTGGCATTTCTCCACCGAGTTCTCAATATCCATTGGGAAGTGGCTCAACCCATTAATCTCAAAGGTCTCACCAATATTGCCGAGAACAAACAATACTTGCATGTCCACCTGAGCACCGTTAGGGCCAATAGGTCGGCTAACATTGTGAAGGAAACCCAAGTCTCCAGTACGGATATACTGGATATTGGGATCGCCGTCAAGAGCTCGGCCATCAAAGCGCTCGGCGTCAAAAGCGTCCTTGGAGCCATAAAACGACTTGACACAAGCTTCAGAATCGACCCAAATTTCACCATACTCGCCATCAAGACAGTGTATCCTACTTTCAGGGTTTATGATGGCTATTTGAGTTGAAACTGGAACCATACCGCTGTCCTGTACCAGTAGGGCCAGAGGATCTGATTCAGGGTCCACAGGAATAACCAAACCACGTCGAAGCGCTTGCATGTCCAACCAAAGCTCAATAGGCTCGATGCACATGTACGACCGCGACGCAACCATGGGGTTGAGAACATGCGAATAAACTGTGTTGATAGCAGTTCTATCAAGGCCAGCCCCAGCAAAGTGAAGTCTGACCTTTTGGAAAACATCAACTCTTGGCCGGCTCTCGGCAGTAATCATCATGTTCTTAAGTTCATGAAGCGTGAAGCCCTTGGCCTGCATGGAATTCATGGCATGATCAAGCATCTGTGGTGTCGCATAAGTATCCTTAATCTTGTATCTCGACAAGGTGACGAATAGAGACATGGGGTTGGCTGCAAACTCGACGGGTGATAGGAGGTAGGTTGGCGTTCCAATATAAATTCCCATCAGAGCCGTATGGATGAAGCCTAGACCAGTCGTGCTTCGTACACATCCAAGCACAGGTCTTGAACTTGTCATTTGGCAAGTTTCTTTTTGAACCTTGCACATGCCCATAATTGTGTCATGTCCAAGCTGAACTGAAATTCGTCGTTGATCGGGGGTCCAGTAAGTCCAGACAATGACGGGATAGCCAGGTCGAATCCAAGCAGGGTCAATGGTGAATCGCAAGTCCCTCAATCCACTACTTTGCTTTGGCGGCTTAGTTGTGTTGTAGATCGCAGGGCTCGTGATCTTGAGAACCTGGGCTGACTGTTTGATATGGCTAGCCACTGGCTTTACCTTGATCAGATGATCGACCTCGGCATTAACCAGCACAGCCTTGACGTTGTAATCAGCTACAATATGCAGGAAAGCCGGCACATCTTCATTCAGCCGGTTCTGGTCAAGGGGTGCGATAGGAATGACAATTGCGCCCAAGCTGATACAAGCATGAATGGCAAAGACATACTCCTCTGAATGTGTGTACATAAGGATAATGTGGTCCCCTGGCCTCACCTTGACCTTGTTCTTCAGGTACATGGCAACAGAAGCGACCTTGGTGTCGAACTTCTTCCATGTGACGCCCTTGCCTTCTCGGCCTCTGCCATCGATTGTGCAGTACGCTAGCTCTTCTGGCTGGCGGGCCACTCGCCATTGAATAAGGTCTGAAATGCAAGAAAAGTTGTTTAGAGGTGTTGAAGTCCGGTCATCGATAACGACTTCACGTCTGTCAACACCAGAGTATTGCTTGTCAGCAGGCAATAAAAATTCGGCACGAGATTCCGAAGCTAATGGTGACCAGATACCACCCATGGGGTCCACACCAATAGGAAGGTTAAGCACTGCATGTTCCACGCCAAACTTGACGTGCACGCATGGAAGATTGCCGAGGTCAAACTCCCGGCGACAAAGCATGTTACCAATCTCCCGTCGTCCGTTCTTAACGACACGAGGCAACGTGTTTGGTGCTGTGATCATAACGCAGTACAGTCTCAGATGATGCTCTGTCATGAGAACCTCCATACAACGCTCAGCCAATGACTCTAGCAGAGCTGTATCCGGTTGTCGAGGAGGTCCTCCAGATGTTAACGGCGCTGTTGATGCAGCTGCTGACTCCAGCACCACGACCGGCAAGTGTTCATCATTGACAAAGACGTCAAAGGCTGAACAATCGTAAATCTTTGGGACGTTCTTTACGATGCTCACAACGATGTGCTGGACAAAGAAGTAGCGGTACTCAGCTAGTTCGTGTCCATGCTCAACCCACTCAACCTTTTGTCGAATTCGGTCTTCGTAAAGACCCAGGACAAAGATTTTACCCTCGATGACGGTACCCAGCAAGCCTGTTCGCAAGAACTCGGGCTCTACGGGCTGTGGTGTAGGGTCACCTGGGTCAAACTTGTAAGGACGAGCATGGAAAATCAGCTCGGTATTCTTTGGCTGTGCCCAGAAACCGCCTGAAAGAGAAGGCGAGTCGACCCAGATTTCACCCACAGAATGTGGCGAGGCCAGTAAACCCGTTTCTGGATCGACAACGGAGAGTGTGGCATCTGGTATGGGGTATCCGAAAGAACCAACTCGAACCAAGCCTGGATCATCTGTCACCCTTTTCCGGGCGTCATTACCAATGGCCACTACCACAACTTCGTTGGTTTTCAGAGCCTCGCGATCCAAAAGGACTTCACCAAGCTCATTCTTTGCCCTCTCTTCGGTTGTCGCCGTGCCACCACCTGACAAGAGACTACCAAAGCCGTTTGAAATCGCTGGCTTCTCTGTTTCCTCCTTCTCTTCATCAGACTCTGTATCATCTTCGAGTTCAAGCTTCAATGGGCATCCCATACGCTCTTCTCCTCCTAGCCAGTCGCGCACACTAATCACCATGCCTCCATGCTCAGGTAGACAAAGCATAGGTGCGACAACCTCACGGGCACGAGGATTTCTCAACGGTCTTAGCCATCGGTCAGCCAAAACTTCGTGGAACCCGCTATCTACAGTCAAAGTGTCAATCAAACAAAGCTTGATCATCTGAAAGTTTGGCTCCATTCCCTTCTTGAAATTTCGGGTCACCATTGGTTCTTGCTGGTAGTTATAAGCGGCTCGCTTTAATCCTGGGTAGTCGGCGATCATGACGGTCGATTTGTACTTGGTAAGAAGGTGGGCGTACAGTCCAGGAACATCAACAGCTTTGTTGTCGAACCAAACAGTGGTGTGGCCACCGTAGACGGTCAGCAGCACACTCAGAATCATGCCAATGCCCTGACGGGGATCAAGGTACGAGACCAGAATTTCGCTGCTTGCGCCGCCACCAATAAGTCGGCCGTTCTTGTCGCGAAGAGACGGGTTGAATGTATCTCCTGGTCCATTTCCCGGAATAGTAGAAATAATCGCACTGAGACAAGCCATTTGGTGCATAATGGTTCGGTGGCTAAGAACGACACCTCTCAAGTCTCCGGTCGGCGCTCGCGAAAACTCGATATAGGCCAAATCGGGAACAACCAAGGCTGGGACGTCCTCTTTCTTCTTAGGGTGATAACTGCCAAACTCGTTTGTCTTCCACCATTCGACGCCCTTTGGCCATGTCAACTTTTGTGTAGTAATATCTCGTTGGAAGGCTTTGAGGTTGTTATCGGTGGTCAGCGCTAGATGAGCTTGCGTTGTGGTAAGAATGTGGTTCAAGCGTTGGTAGTCCTGCAAATCATTGATGGGAACGGCAACAACTCCAGCAATGAAGCATCCCAACAAAGCAATGGCGAAATCAATAACCTCTGAATCGCGGTAGATGAGAGCAACTCGATCACCTCGGTATAGAGAGCTCTTGTCGCGGATGACTTGCGCAACCTTCTCCGCCCTAGACGCCAGCTTATCCCATGTAATTGAAGCAATCTCCTTGCCCTTGCTATCCAGCACCCAGTATGCCGGTTTCTTAGCAATCGTTCGGCCTCTATGTCTTAGTACAGCTGCGATGTTATCGAACTTTGACATTGGCGTAGAATCGTCATGGGGGTCTTGAATAGCGAATGGTACCTCGCGAGGATCAAGGGGAAGCTGGTACTCGAGCGCTTCTGGTGGTGGAAGATCGTTGGTTGTAAGCATCGGAGGTGCCATTGCGGCGGTTGGAGAAAAGGCGTCGCTAGAAGAATATCGCTGTTGAGGTCCAACATACTCGGCAGTTTGGCCCTGGTCATAGTGCTGCTGTCCTGCAAAATCTGAGAAGTATCCTTGCGAATCGAGAAGCGTTGCAGTTCGTCCATCATACTGCTGACCATCGTACTGCTGCCCGTCGTGCTGCTGTTGAGGTGGTTGTTGCTGGAATTGATGCTGTTGGTGCTGGGATTCGCCATATGCGCCTTGTTGCTCAGGTCTGAATGCATAGTCGCCCGACATCATAGTACCCGTTCGGGTCTCAGGTTCGAGATGGGAGGGGGAGAAGAAGAGGGAGTCGCGGTGAGCAGCGGTCGATCCTCCAGCCAGAGAACCTCCCGGGCGCAGCAAGGAAGGTGGGGGTTGTGCTGGAGGAGGTCTTGGTGATTCTGAAGGAGCATAGCCGGAGAGCGGTCGGTATACAGGTGCATCTGGTGAGTCTGGAATTGGACCGCTGCTGCTACCGAGAGCGGCAAATGCAGCGGCGCGATGGCCATCGCCTGAAGGATGGTCCGAGTCGTCGGGAGAATGTATGCGTAGACCTGACTGAGGTTCGGCGAGAGCAGCAATTTGAGGTGGAGGTGCACCGAGGAATTGGGAGAAAAGTTGGGTTCGTCGCTTCTGATAGCTGCGATCGCGTGAGTAATTGAAGAGCGATTGTGAGTAATTGAGCCATACCCTTTCTGTGTAATATCTCCTTCCTACACCAGGGAACGGGTCAGTAACAAAAACTAAAGAGGATGATTTTTGGTCGCATGCGACAACAACAAACGATCTTCAGGATAGCGTGTTGAGACGCCAAGAAGAAAGGCATTGAGAGGGAGATGGGGATTTGTGGAACAATCGGAGGGTCTTTTACTAACCTCGAGCTCGCGATCCAACTCTTCAAGCCGCTCTTGGAGCTCTGGACTGACTTCAGCCATGATGGCGGTTGTTCTGGCGATGCAGCCGCTCAAAGGATGAGGTCGAGTACAGTAAAGATTGTTGGAATATCGAGGTTGTCTCTCACGGCTAAGTTGAAGGGACCCGGCGAGAGAACAGAGTCTCGTGACGTAGTCTTAACTGAAGACTTGGAGGGCGGACAAGAGTCTGCTCTTATTGGTTCTATGTACAGGGCCCGTTGGATCAAGGGCGGGGTGCCCCTGGGCTGTCTTGGACTGTATCACCACTTTAGCCAGTTTTTTGGGCACTCAATACGGTCCCTTGGCGGGTTAATCCGCCCGCAACTCAGACTTGCACCCTTCAACTGGTGCCCCTCCTCGACCTGCAGTAACTGCTACTCCACTAACTTGTGCCGTAAAGGGAACGTTGGCCGCTAAAAATAGTGGCTGGTTCTTGTCTTAGCGTAGTCCAAAACAAGATGGGTAACCTTGAAGATGAAGCTATACTCCGGAATAGCTTCGGTGATCATCGTGATCAGCAGGTTCGGTGACTTTTGCATACCATATCGGTTCGTTTCATGCGGCGCAGTCCTATCGTGATACGAGATATATCCGTACATTTATTCAAGTAGAAATGTCAGTTAACAATGCCACGTTGGAATAAAACTCTAATCCAACAAAGAAATTTGATCAATGCGATTCGACGACAACCATCTCTTGAAACAATTCCCATATATCACCAAGTCAAGGGTCCCCTACAATCTATCATGCGATATAGAGTTTCAATAATTCAAGAGATATTAATTATGATATTTGATGCGGCCGTAGATCCTGTAAACTCGATACTTACCCTGCTTCTCAACGGTCGGAAGCTGTTGTTCCGGACCGGACCCATAATGTCCAGAGCTCTTATCCTTCTCACGATGTTAGATTTTCAACTTCACTCTTTCCCAACACGGAACGACTATGCTTTTTGTCAGCAACAATCTCTGCTGTGCGATTCTGCGAATTCAGTGAGGGATAGGAACAGATGTCGTGAAGTCATGCGTCTTCCGGACTAGTTTCGCTCAAATGGATCATGAGCCTCGCTTCCTTGACTCGATTCTACTCACCAAATAGGTTGCCATTTCTTTTTCGGTGCATCAATATCAATGATCTAAACTCGTATGGTAAGTCTGCGATTTATCTTTTATTCTTTGAACAAATTGCTATTTCCATGATGAGACATACATAACACAGACCTGTTCTGAAACTTGTGTAGAAAAATATGCTTTATTATCTGATCTTTCTTGCAATTAATTCTTTGGCATTGCCTCATCATTGATGGCTTTTTGTGCTAACATGGCGTCAGATACCTAAAATGATAAACCAGGTTCCAAAAATGGCACTCGGCCTCGAAGCTTCGACTGGGCCGAGTCCTCGACAAAGACGATCGAGCACACCAACTCTGTCCACCGGATGTGCTTCCTTGTCCCAAACCACACTCATCGTGACTGTTCGTGTTGGAGCACCACTTGACGACAAAGCCCTGATATCATGACAATGTGCTCTATATTTACCAATTTTGGAAGTTGGTTCATTTCATAGTAATATAAAGATGGCTGTATACCGGTCTTGTTTCATTTCAAATCAATTCATTCTACCATACAAATCATTCCTCGAGTTTTCAATCATTTGAACCACCATTTCAACAACCATTTCAACAGCCATTTCAACAGCTACAGCAACTATTTCGAGTAGGTGCTTTGTTCCTACGCTTTGTGACTATCGAAGCACCAACTTCTCTCGATTCGAGTCAGTATGGCTACTCCGTATTTGAAGAATTCGCTACAAGCGGATTGCCATCAAAGTCTGAGCCAATCCATTCCGCAAGGTAACATATCCTCATCCACAAGTACGGCGAGTGTTCCTGACACCAAGCCAGAGCTGCTGGATTCGCTCAATGAGCCATTGGAGGATTTCGGATCGAACCTGGACTATCTGTACGATTTTGTCCCGGAAAATGATGAAGTGCACACACAGAACTTCCCGGAACTACCCCCCGCGGATGGTTTCGAAGACTTCATTGACCCTGCACTCCAGAATGAAGAGTCTTCAGATATTTCTACGCTTCAAGGACAATCTAGGTACCACGACTATCCCACATACAATACAAACAAGCCCCTGTTGTTCCAGTCTCCCGACGGACCGTTCATGGCACTTCGGCCGCAATCTACGCAACCAAGTCAAGCTCAACCTGAACTCTTCGCATTGCCTCAGGACCTGAACCCGTACGCCCCCCTCTACCCACACTATCAGTTCCAAAGTCAATACCCAGATGCGGGCATCAATGGGCATCAAGGCGCCCTCTCGATTCCCCAATACCCCCCGGTATATGATCAAAAGGTACAACAACCTCCTTCTTCTAGCATAGCTAGTGTGCCTCAAGCTAACCCGCATGTTCAGCCCGCTCCTGGCATCTGCAGGAATTGTGGCTGTGTAGCTCATTATCCTCCATGCCTCCTCCAGCCTCTCGCACACGCCAAGCCCGCCCAGAGTATCCCAGCCCAAGTCTCCCAGCCAGAACGGAGAAAGTGGGCTCCCAAGACCAGATGGATGGACGAGGACGAGGAGAGCGACGAGTGTCAAGAAATACCTGCCAAGAAGGGCAGAAAGAACGTCAGTCGTCTTGTAAGTCGTGTCGCCAAATCGAAGACCACCAGAGTAAAGAAGAAGGTCCAGAAAGATGGAAGCACCAACATCTTCCCCTATCCTCCTTTCGGGGAGCTTCTTGAATGGAGAACTGCGGATGACTGCCACATCTCCTACCTATCAGCAGGGCAGTTCGATGATGAACTCCTGTTCACTGCCAAGGAATTGCGCGACTACCTAGAGCAATGCCCTCGAGAGCTCAAGATCTGGCTCCAAAACAGTCCTTCAAAATGCAAAGGAAGGCACATTGACGCTGACGTGAAGTGTCGCTATTCTGAATGCCCAGCAAAGTACGGAACGATCCTTCACGGCTGGCATCGTGTCGCCTTTGACGAGTTTCCTGAAAGGACTAGTACGGGTATCAAAGACCCCTACAAGATGGCTGGTGTCATGCATCTTTGGTGTTTTGAGCAGTGTATCGATCCGCTTGAACCTATCGAAAAGCAAATTCTGCTCCCAGATGACCGCGAGTTTGAACACGAGACATCGAACCGTATGGCGATCACCAGAGACGACTACAAACTTGTCATCGAAGGTGCCATAAGGCCCTGGATCAGAGAGCGTCGAAGGGTGGGAGTTACACAGGCTCCCTATGCGAGACACGAGGATACTCTTGCCTGGGCATTATGCAACTTCCACGTTAAGCATCAAAACGGTTCCCGTGATAAGACCCGCCAGAAGCGAAACGAAGACAAGCCAGACGACGAAAAGAAGTCGATGGATCTCATCATGGGTGATCTTGCTGAGTATCACAAGAGAGCAGAGCTTACCAAGTCCAGAAAGGGCAACAAGGGAGGAATTATACAATCAAACAGCTTCGCATCTAAGCCGGTTAACCCACCACAAGTCGGGCGACAGTCACCAGAGCGCAAAGAGATTGCAGAGAATGTGCCAGAAGATCGGGTACAGGATGTGATAGAGGCGGCACCATATGAGTTGGCTCCCCTTTCCGAGGACGAGATGTTTGAACTTCTCAAGGAGTTCAACCAGACCGGTGACACTGCTGCTCGTCCTATTACACCGCAGAGCTTAGGCACAGAGGTTCCTATGAGGGTGTCCTGTCCTCCTGCAGAGACTGCAACGATGTCCAATCATCCTCTTGCTGATCAGGCAAAGGTTTCTCCTGCAATGATTCAAGACAGCATCACCATTCCTGCTCCTGTCGTATTTCAAGCAGGGGGTTCTCCTCTTGGAACGGGATCTCTATTTGGGTCCACCACTGGGAGTGTATTATCGACTGGGTCGCGCAAGCGTTCACGGGAAGAGGAGGCAGTTGGTACCCCTGATGCTAAGAAGAGACGGCAGTATCCTCCTGATCCTATCTCAGTCCAAGTAGGAGATTCCCCTATTGGAACGAGATCTCTCTTCGGTTCCCCCACTGGAAGTGTAGCATCATCAACCAGGTCGCGCAAGCGTTCACGGGAAGAGGAGGCAGTTGATGCCCCTGAAGCTAAGAGACGACCACCACCTACCTGGAGCACTGGCCCACCTAGAAGAAGAAGCAGGTATTCTTTACCGAAACGCTCGCCCGCGAGGAGAGGTAGTGGACCGCTTAGGAAGAGGATCTCTGTCTAGGCAGCAATAGTCTATTGCTTCCTAGGGGTGTGAGTGGAAGTAATGGGTATGAATCTCTGCGGGCGGAGAACTACCCGGGAAAAGTCGTGTTTGATTACACATTGTTTGGGTTGAAAAGTTTTTGTTTCGGTTTCATTCTTCATTTGATACCCCGGTTTCATTAGACAGCATAGCGATAGGTGCATTGGATTGGGTTTTGTATACGCATTTGGCATGGAGTTTTTGTGTATTTTGTTCTTATTGAGAAGATTGTACGGATTGCTTTTAATCATTGTTTGATCTATGAAACATGTTTCGATTTTTCAATTCACTTGAGTGTTTTGATCCCACGTCTCTGAAACAGTGACTTGTCGTAGGCAGATGAGTTGAGTCTTGTCTTGGCATCATGGGAACTTCCAAGAAAGACGTTGGTTTCAACAAGATTCTTTGAAGAAATGTCAAACGTGGTCAGGGGTTCAAGTCTTTTGTCGACGTTTCAATAGTTTCGAGTCTCTTTGTTTCCAATAGTAAAGACCACTAATACGTACCACAGCCATGGAACCGTTGCTTTCAAGCCACCACCTTGATAAGTGATAACGCACGGCTCAGCTCAAGATCCAGCCCCGATATGAAAGAAGCTCACAGTCATTTTTAGGTGCGATCTTTATCCACCAGTACTTCACAAGTCCAAGCTCGAGTTGAGCCAAGGATGCCAACGCCCGGGCAAGCTCTTAGCTTCTCCTCACTTTCAAGGTCAAGGCAGTTGAAAAAAAAGCCCGCCCGTTTTAGAGTGACGTTTGGTGGGGGAAACATGGGAACCTTTGGAATGGAGGGGTTCAGGTTCACGGAAACGCCGATGCAGGCTTACAGCTCCGGGGGCCGCTAAACAAGGTCGGCCTTGCAGCTGAGCCGGGAGCTGTTAAACTGTGAAGCAGTTTCTTCTCTTTTTCGGAGGTAATGAGCTGTTGGAGATTCCTCTTTTGGGATGAGCAATGAGACATGACAGGTGAAATATTGAATGGCATGGCAGGGTACAGTCAGGACGTTGAAGCTGTAGCTGTAGCTGCAGCTGCATCGGCGAGTGCGAGGACGGACAGACTGGTGCTGTACATGAGAGATGTTGCGCAGGACATAAAGTAGCTCACAGCTCAACTCAGAGTCTTTGGTCTTCCAAACACATAAAGCATCTTGCTTGTCCTGCCTGTACCCGCCAAGGGATCGGAGCAAGGGTAGACGTGGTCAAAGTACAATACGCTATCTATCGATATTCGGCGAGAGCGATCCAACCATAACATATATCAATCCCGGTTGCACGGCATTTGAGAGTTGTACAAGACCTCACACACAACGATTTGTAAAACAATCACGTGTACAGTTTCCCCTTTGTTTTTGTTTTTTTCGGTTTCTCGGTTTCGTTTCCCCCATTTCATCTTATCTCTTATCCTCTGGACATTCCATTCCATCATACTACAGCTACAGTTGCCGCGTTCGTTTCAAGGTTGCAACCCTTATCTCTCTCACACATCGGAGAAATAAATCCTGCTGCAGTGCAGATATTTCTTGTTAATCTTTTCCAAGTAAAATTATAACTTTACTCTCCACAGCCAATCTTATTCCGGAGAGTTGACAAGTCAACTAACAAGCTCTTTCAAAGTGACGGAGACGGCTTGAAGGAACCAAAGATCCCCAGTTTTTAACTTTTCTGGTTAAACCTTACAGACGGTACCTTACAGGCTTCTTTTAGTGGATCTACCGCCTAAACCACCCTCCCTGCCGTTCCGACCAGGGTTGCTAGGCCTAGCTACAGCTACCTACAGCTCCAGCTGCAGGGCCCTCCACAAGTTACCTCCACATTCACCCAGCTCAGTTAGATCCAATTCATCTCATCCCAACCGTCACAAATCGAGGGTCTAGTCCAAGTCCAAGCCATTGTCCTCGATTGAGTCTGTCAACAGTCATCTTTTTTTTTCGACTCTTCCATTCTCCCTTCTCTGCTTTTTACTCCCATCAAATCATGGGAGCTGACACGAAGCCTGCTTTGCAGGTGATTATATTGGTATGTCTAATAGTCTTTGCTATCATCTTGTCTATCCAGCCTCTCCATTCCTCGTTTGTTTACATTGTATCGTTATACAAAAAAAAAGGCATTGGCCATGCCATGACGTGAGAAACGGCTCGGATCAGATCCGAAAAGTGAAGAAACGCGTCGCACCATGACTCGTCCAGTGGCGCTTCTCCTACATTCTCACTATCATCATGACCTGTCTCTTCACAGTACAACCAACTCATAACCAAACTCTCACTAATCTCATCATCAGGGCTCTGGAGGCGGTCCTCAAGAATCAAATACGACGGCATTCCTCGTTCGCTCTGTTGGTGCAAAATGGCATCGTGGTTCTATCATCGCTGTCGATGCTGGCGTTCATCTCTCTTCCATCACACGTATCATGGAAGAATCGATACCATCACCACCACCGACTCCTCCATTCACACTCACCACAGGTCCCTTTGCAGGCCTTGAGCTTCCATACTCTTCACCTGCTGCCAATGCTGCTTACATTACCCGAACTCTTGTCGATACATATCTCATCACACATCCTCATCTCGATCACATCTCAGGGTTTGTAGTCAACACAGCTGGCTTCCCAGGCACAAGACCGAAGAAACTGGCAGCTTTGCCTAGTACGATTAAAGCTTTTAAGAACCACATCTTTAACAACGTCATATGGCCAAATCTCAGTGATGAGAACAACGGAGCAGGTCTAGTCACTTATATGAGATTAGTTGAAGGTGGTAGTCCTTCACTCGGCGACGGCGAAACTAGAGGTTACATCGAAGTCGCCGATGGACTCCTCGTCAAGATATGGAGTGTGAGCCACGGGCACTGCCTTGAGAAACACAGTCATAGGGGATCAACATCAAGTGCATCCACTCGCTTCAGCAGTCATGACGCATCCATGCCTCAAGGTCCACCTGCTCGCTCAAATTCCTACTATCCAGGGTCCCTGCACCGCAGTTCAGTCTTGCTCTCGCAGGGTAGCTTTGGTTCCATCTCTTTACCTCCACCACCCGAACAGGAGCGTATGTGCGTATACGATTCAAGCGCATACTTCATTCAAGATCCTATAACCAACCGCGAAGTGCTCATCTTTGGTGACGTCGAACCAGACAGCATATCACTTAGTCCGAGGAACCTGCAAATCTGGCAAGAAGCAGCACCAAAGATCGCTTCGGGAAATCTCAAGGCTATTTTCATCGAATGCAGTTATGACGACTCGCAGAGCAACGACCGCCTATTCGGCCATCTGAAGCCCGTATTTGTCATGGAAGAGCTGCGTGCGCTGGCTACCGAGGTGAATACCGTTCGCAGCATGCGTAACGCTGATTCCAAGAAGCGCAAGCGCATGGGTAGTACGGCTGACGAAGGTCCTCGACGGAATCCCTCGCTTGCCAACTTCACATCGGAAGACCCAGTGTCTCCCAAGACGCTCAAGGCATCAACGCCAGACTTCGTGTACACAGGTCCCGAAACACCTCCGACACCGCACCTCGCTACACCAACAGCAGAGTTGACACTCAACCCGTCTGATTCGATCACATCGGTACCTGCGATTAGGAGGCCTCTGGAAGGTCTTCAAATCGTCATCATCCATGTCAAGGACCGACTAGACGATGGTCCCAACGTCGGAGATATCATACTGGAGCAATTGAACAATCACGAGAGCGAGGCGCAATTTGGATGTGAATTTATCATTTCTAAGCCTGGAAAGAGCTTCTATCTTTGAGCATTTCAGCTATCGGCGTTGGGATATTTTTGTTTTTGCATTCGATCATATAGGTTTTTGTCTTATGGGTTGGAATCTGTAGGCTATGATCAAGCTTGCACTATACCGCTTGTATTTTCTTTATATATGACTCGGTTATGAATTTTCGTTTATGATAAAGCTTTGGATGACGGCTCTTGGGATGGGTTGAGCTGCATCAAATCTGGTACGATGCATTGCATGAGACACCATTATTGTCAGGCTGGGATCGTGATCTTGTTATTCTATTCGGGGTCTTCTTCATGATGAATATATACGTCTATATCTACCTTAGTTCTTTTGGTCTTTTTGGATCTTCTCAACTCCTGCTTCACCACCAACATCCTTTTCGTAATCCGTTCTAGTAAGCTCAAACGCTTCAGTGACTCTTCCATACGTAATGCCTCCCAATCTGCTAACCGGCCTCAACACAGCAGGATCAACCAAGTTCTTCTCCTCATTCAGCGCATCCTCGCGAACCCAGAAGCGCGTGCCTTCAAAAACAGCCATAACTCCAGACTTGTTGCCCGGTCGTGCCTTGCTGTCGAACTCCTTGATCATGTCGAGCTTGCACTCGATGCTGACAATAGCCTCGCGCACACGAGCACACTTGACAGTCTCGCAGTCATATGAGGGTGTGAGGCCTGAAATGTCCCACTCGGAGACGCCGTAGGGGGCATTCACACTGCATGAGTTTGCGGCTTCGATAAAGTGCTCGGAGATGATGTTGATGACACACTCGCCCGAATCAGCGACGTTGCGTAGAGAGTCCTTGGCAGCAGCGAGACTGGATGAGAAGCCAACGACAAACATGGGAGGATCGTGGTTCATCATGTTGAAGTAGCTAAAGGGCGCCAAGTTCTTGTGAGTGCCGTCGGGTGCTTGACTGCTCACAAAGGCGATAGGACGGGGAACTATGGCGGAGATGAGGAATTTGTAGTTGAAGCCCGCAGGACGACCCTCCTCATGAGGATTTATAGTGACGTGCTTCTTATCGGCATCATCCTTTCCAAGCTTGTTCGCACCCGCACCGAAAGCCCAGAACGCATCAACAGTCTTGGTGTAGTGAAACTCAGAGGTGTTGTCAAACTCGGGGCGAGAAGCCTCGACGCCCTTGAAATCCGGGTGAGGATTGCGCTTGATATTATCTCCCATTGTGAACCGAGATGTACTGAAGAGTCGTTTAGTTGAGTGAGTTGTGAGCGGTTTGAAGAGGCGGTTCAGTCTATGCATGGGGATGGGAGTGGGAGTGGTTTTAAAACTATGGAGATTCTTTTGGTCTCCAGTCAAGGAGAATAACAAGAGGGGTTTCCCCGGGTAGTCTATCAGGCTTGGTAAGGTTGCTAAATCTGTTTGTAATGCGTGATAAAGCATGGTGGGTTGTATTCCCCACAGCTTTTGTGTGACCTCATTGATATAGAGTCAGGTAGCGACGCTGTTTCGGCGAATTGTATGTTGGCCGAGTCATTGAGATGCTGTTAACCGAGGGGTTTGCAGGAATAAAAACTAAATTTGCTACCTCAGACCCATTGCCAGCTCGGTAATAAGAGATATTTTACGAGCAAGTCATCTCTGGTCAATGTTGATAAAAACCGACTTTAAGTGTCTTGAATTACCCCACGTTCTCCAATCGCTAGGTTCATATATTTTTATTATTGACGAATAGTCTCATTTGCATGCATCGACATGTTTATTTTGGCTTTATTTAATTATGACTGCCTTATTGCTGATATAATAATTTAGTGCTGATAATGGCATTTATCTCAATGAGTACTCTGACTCTATACAAGCTGTCTGTTCTTAAAGTCTGGAATTATAGGGTAATCGTCAGCTTACATAACCATCCAATTAAAGTTGTGCATGTGACAGCGCGAGCCAGTTAACGCGGCAAGTGCAAAGAGTCATGCCGCGCTGTAGAAAAAAAAAAGTCATCGAGTCAACCAATGCCAAAGAATACCAGCCATGAAATAAGCCATTGATGCAATTTTTGTATCACGCTTTTTTCCTCTCTGCATCATTTCTTATAAATCTTTCTCATGCAGGCATGGGCCAGTCGACGTCTCCCGCATTTATTTGCTTCCTTTAACCGTCCATCATTACCATATATTCAATCCCGCAGCTGCCCCTCCTCAACTGGGCCATTCATTTCCAGACGGTGTTTCTCGCCTAGCACCCGTCTATACAGGCTCAAATTGGATCGAGATTTAATATCCAACGAATACACCACTGATTTTACAGCTGCAATGTCTACCTCAATAGAGATTGTGTCTGTACCCACTGTTGACACTCCTGGCACTTGTCTTCTTGTTCATACCGACCAGCGCACATATGTCTTCGGACGCCTTGAAGAAGGCACTCAGCGTGCCTTCCAGAGCCGCAAGGTTCGGATAGGATCAACCGAGCATGTCTTTCTCAGTGGCACTGTCTCGTGGCAGCAGGTTGGAGGTCTCTTCGGCTACGTCCTTACAGTTGGCGGCGTCTTGGACGCGAGCAGAGAGCAGGAGGCGGCCGAGAACCTGAAGAGGAAGGAGAAGGGTCTGAAGGCTCTCAGGGAATCTTCTCGTCATCCTATTCATATTCACGGTGGCGAGAACTTGAACCATACCCTGGCCGCATGCCGTTCCGTCATTCTACGGCAACCCGTTACTGTCAAGACGCATGAACACAGAGAAGATCCCCGCCTCGATACCATCGAAAGCCTAGAACCGGACTGGAAAGACGATTCACTTCGTGTATGGAAGATACCAATTCAACGAGAGCGCTCTAGTAGCCCGCAGAAGCGTCGTCGTTCCAGTGTCGAGGCAGATATTGACTCCTCAGGGCCACCATTTAAAGGATATCCATCTCTTTCGGATCCCGAATATGCCGGCACCTTGGTCGAAAAGCTCATGTTCAATGGTGAACTCGCTAGAGTAGGTTATATGGGCACAATTGTTCATGTGAAGCTGGCGACCGTCAAGCCTGAAGACACAGTCTTTGTCTTCCAGGGTCAACACAAGGGTTCCCTTGGAGTCTACAAAGGTCCTAGGCCCGGTGACCCAAACTTTGAGGACAAGGGTGAAATCGTATGGGTATTTGGTAGATCTTCTAAATCTTCACCCGATGGCTCTCTCAACGTACTACACCGGCCGATGCCTCCTACGATATACAGCCAAACCTCCATGTGCTACCTAGTCAAATGTCTTCCTCGCCGAGGTAAATTTGACGCCCAAAGGGCCAAGGAGCTTCAAGTACCCGTGGGTGATTACAGGAAGCTGATCGCGGGTGAAACTATAAAGACAGAGGCAGGTGTCACTGTGACCCCTGAAATGGTTGTCGGTCCGGAAGTGCCCGGTCCTGGATTCATCGTTGCTGACATCGAATCACACGATCTTATCGACTCTTTCATTGAGCGACCAGAATGGTCAAATCCCGAACTGATGACCGACGTTGTTGCTATGTACTGGATCCTGGGTCCTGGGTTGATAACAGATGCCAGAATCAAGAAGTTTGTCGATCAGCGCCGTAAGGTGAAGCATGTCTTCTGCGCAAAAGACATATGCCCTAACGTGATTTCCCTTGCTGGGCCTGCTCAGTTACAGACCAAGTTGCACATCATTGACCCTGACAGATTCAATCTACTCAACTTTGACAACAACTCCAAGGCAGAATTGCCTATTGGACATGTCGAATATGGCCGTACTGGAAACAAGATCACCCTCATGCCCCGCCTAAGATTCAACGATGGAACCGTTACCCCCGTTGTCAATCTTCTAGATGCAGCCATGGAAGTCAACCAGGAGATTCTTAAGCTAGCGGAGCAGGCTCAAAAAGAAACCTCGGACCCCGAGTTTCTACGGAAGCTAGAAGAGGACGAGAAGGACATTCCCAACCGAGATACTGAGATCATCCCTCTTGGCACAGGCTCTTCACAACCGGGCAAGTACCGCAATGTTTCATCCACACTGATTCGCGTGCCTGGCATCGGCAACTACCTTCTCGATGTTGGTGAAGGTACCTTGGGCCAAATTCGACGTCTCTTTGGAGAGGAGGAAACAGGAAATATCTTGCGAGACTTGAAGTGTATTGTGATTAGCCATCTTCACGCCGATCACCACCTTGGTACTCCCAATCTGCTCAAAGCTTGGTACGAACACACTATCAACGATAGCAATGCAAGATTGGCCATATCTTGTGTAGGAAAATACATCGCCCTTCTGGAAGAGGTTGCCCAAGTCGAGGACTTTGGTTTCCACCGACTACACTTTCCCCGTCATCGTGATGAGGACAATGGTGGGGATAGCGCCGGGGGGCGTTGTGAGCTCAAGGAAGACACCTTTGGACTCAAGGCCATCACGCGTGTCAAGGTTCCTCACTGCTGGCTCGCAATGGGCACAGAGCTGGAGCTCACATCTGGCTTACGCATTGCCTACTCAGGTGATTGCCGTCCCTCGATGGACTTTGCCCGTGCATGCAAAGGAGCCCATCTCCTCGTCCACGAGTGCACTTTTGACGACGACATGATATCTCACGCTAAGAAAAAGATGCATTCCACCATGGGCGAGGCTCTGAATATTGCGCAAGAGATGAAGGCGAGGAAGACGCTGCTGACGCATTTCTCGCAACGGTATGTCAAGTCTGACTCGATAAAGGAGGACGAGCGATTCAAGGGCGGTAATGTGCTCATGGCATATGACCACATGAACGTCAAGCTGGGTGATTTCAAGAAGGCGGCTGCTTTCCAGCCTGTTATTGCTAAGCTACTGGCACAGGAGGACTAAAATAGATGCTGGGGGTTTGTAAGAATAGCAGACCAGGATAGAATGTACTACTACGATTTGACGATTACTACCCCTTATTGGAAGTGATGATGCTTGTCTAGTTTGAATCTATCGAGCCCCTCTAGCAACAGATTAGTCGTTCAAATTGTAAAGTTCTCTTGGAAAGTCAACATCATGAACCGTCCTGTGTGACTATCTGATTTCACCAGCCCTACGCCTTATCCCACAACCACAACTCAATCCAATACCTTGGAAACTCTAGAATTATAATCAACCATCTAATCAAAGAAAAACAAGTTCAACTTTCCCAATCCAACGCCTCGAATCGGTAGTTTCAGAAACATGGATACCATTACCGCCCTCAAGCCTTATCAAACTTAAGATTCCGGCCGCGTGGCCTAATGGCTAAGGCGCTAGATTTCGGTTCTCCAGCACCCGTATCCTCTAGAGATTCCAGGTTCGAATCCTGGCGTGGTCGAAAATCAGCTGGAAAGTTATGTTTTTGCTGGTTGCTCTTTTTTTTTTGCAGTGTGAACAAAACTCTATGTGTAAAACTCCCCGCCAATCGCGGCTCGTGGATATGTTGATTAACTATCTTTGGTCTCTGATATCATCTTGTTCAGGTACTGTACGGGGGCCGGCCCGGTATAAGTGAGCCCTAAAGTTTAATAAAGTGTTATCATTTTGAGATTGCTCTGTATTGTATCCTTTGCCCGACCAGACACGCTGCGGCAATAGTTACTGAATAAAATAGTTATTTTTCACATATCATCGGAATCACTCCCGATTATACTTGTCCCATGCCATAATATGCAACCCCACGATCCGCGTCCGTAGGCCGGGCCGGGGTCTGCATGTACGTAAAGTGATCCAGCTACCGACTCCGAAAGCGGGCCTCGAGAGCGGCTACGTTAGCTTATCGTCGCGTTTATTCAGAGCGCCCTCCATGGATTTTTTTGTCCCACATTGGTGGTCATTCGGGCATTTCTAGTCCACAAGAGCCCCCTCTAGAGGTCAATTAGTGACCTTTGTTTAATTTACTTCAGGGAAGCTCGCTTCTTCATCTTTCTGGGTCTTTGTCGCCATCTTCGTCTCACGTTCGTTGGTCATCCTCTTGTTCGCGAACAACTCCCCTCCGTTATCTCGACCCCGACAAAGACTCTCCGTCGAAGTCTATAAACGATAAGATACGCAGAACATGTCGGCCTCGCTCCCTGGTTCGCGGGAACTCCCCGCTTCCCAGCATGATCTTGGGACATATATGGGACGGGTGCGCCATACCATGGGGATCACAGACCCCTCGTAAGTACAATTGATGGTTCTGTGCAGTCCAAGTATCATGAGCTGACCGAGCTGGCGCAATCCCCAGGACCCTTCTCGCGGGCAAGACCGGACTCGAGGCGGCCAAGAAGTTGGTGACGGATTACAAGACCGGCAAAGTCGAGCACATGTCGCCAGCATTGTGGCATGCGAAGAAGGTGGTCGACTCTACACTGCACCCTGGTATATATGGCCCTGGCAGACATGTGTGATCGTAACACAGCTGACGAGACACCGTGTAACAGATACCGGCGAACCCATCTTCTTCCCCTTCCGAATGTCCTGCTATGTCTTCACCAACCTTGTCGTCACCGCCGGTATGCTCCAGCCCGGCATGGGAACGGTTGGCATTGTGGGATGGCAAGTCTTCAACCAGTCTCTCAACGTCGCATTCAACACCGCCAACAGTAACAAGTCGTCTCCCATGTCGACTTCTGTCTTGGTCAAGTCTTACCTCTCAGCTGTCGGAGCTTCTTGCTCTGTCGCTCTCGGTCTCAACGCTGTTGTTCCTCGACTCAACGTCACACCTTCCACCCGGGCCATCCTCGGTAGACTCATTCCCTTCGCGGCCGTCGCTACAGCTGCCGGTCTCAACACTTACCTCATGCGCCGCGACGAGATTGTCAAGGGTATCGATGTTCGGCCTGTCCTTTCAGAGGACGATAAGAAGAAGCTCGTCGCTGAAGGCAAGTCAGAGCGAGATGTTCCTTCGCTGGGCAAATCTCAATCTGCTGCTCAACGTGCTGTATACCAGACCGCTGCTAGCCGAGTCTTCACTGCGTCTCCCATCATGGTCCTCCCCCCAATGATTCTGTACTATATCGAGAGTAAGCAGGCCTGGTACAAGAACCTCATGGAGAAGGAGTGGGTTCGTGCACGACCAGCACTGATCAAGGGAATTCCCCTTGGTATCAACCTGGGTCTCATCGCCGCCACCTCTTTTGCCGTCCTTCCTTTTGCTTTGGCTGTCTTCCCCCAGTACCAAGAGGTCAGCGCCGAATCACTTGAGCCTGAATTCCATGGCAAGGGAGGCAAGGATGGCAAGGTTGTTTTCAACCGTGGTCTGTAAAAGATCACTCGACCTTAAACACATGAGCTGAGCTGAGCTTGGTAATCGGGAAAGTGAAATATATATCACCCCAGCCGTTGACAAGTTGATGGTTTCGCCCATGACTTGCGACAACCTGAGTCTGCTTGGTAAACAAGCCCAGGGTATGTTAGCCACTCTCAAAAGAGACGAGAGCAAAAGATACTCCCTCGTTATTTTGATGGCATCAAAAGATGGTTCACCATAGGGACGGCGTTTACAGGATAGATAAAGACTTTTTGCGTATCAGAGGTATACCGCAATGCGAGAGAGAAAAGGCTGCTTCAACTCGTAGATGGCTCAGTTGATCGATAGAGCTAGACTTGTTTGTATCATCAGTAGTTATATAATGGACTTATAACACATGTTAACATGTTGACCGGTTCGTGGTCAACTCTTGTCTCGATACGACCCGGATCTTGACCACATTGGTGATGAGAATATAATGTCTCGCGGAGGGAAGCTAGCCGGCCACAATAAGCATGCCAATAGAAGCATTCGGCTGGGAGATTCCCGAGACTCAGCCTCTTTGTCTAGAAACTTATCGCCGTAAGAATCATGCGAGTATACAACAGATAGCCAAAGACAAGACAACAAGACTCGTAATCGAAATGCGGAAATCCATTCACATGGCGTTAACATTAACGCCAAATTCGAGATGCCAGGCAACGCGATACAATTTGGTAATATTCAAACCGTTGGAATCACCAAGTAACAGCTAAGGGCTTTTGTTCTTCCATTCGTACACGAGAGAGACGTAGTCAGGAGTTTCGCCACCGATCGACAGGCCTAGCCTCGACTGTGCTAAGCCAACGTGTTCTCGCCGATTGAAGGAATGAAGCCAGGTAAATGGCAGGACTGTGTTTTGGAACAAATGGAAGATGGGATAATTATCCAGAAGCTTCTCTGTACTGGTTGTTATCGTGCAAACGGCTGTAACATTTGTATACAGAAGATCTACACAAAGTGACGGGATATGACCCAGTCAAGTCTGTCGAAAGAAGGTCATAGACATCGCGTTTGGTGACGATTCCGAAGTGGGGCACGTATGGACTTGTCAATCCTCTTGGATTGCGTAGAAGGGGCCACTGTTGAGACTGTTTGGACATTCTGAAGCTAAACAGGAAACGCCAAGTTAAACAGCGAGTTGTGCTATACGAACTCAAGAGTGAATCAAGTCCTGTATCAATCTCGGGTTTGCCTAAAGGATTTGTCAAGCATGTAGCGTATCGGTTCAACATAGTGAAACTATGAATAGCACTGCATGACAGCTGTAAACGATAAGTCTTGCGATCAAATGTCCGGCTAGATGAATCGTTAAGTGCACGGGAGAAGCATCGACTCCAGGGACGACTGAGCGTCAACAAGTGAGGAATAAAGCCAGGGCAGCCAATAGGGAATCATGAACTGACAGGTCAGTTGGCCGTGGCGCACAGAGAACCAGGAGTATCCCCCACTGGCTGTTACCGATCTTTACTGTTCTAAATGCAGACGCCTAGTCTATCTGGTGCTCAAGAATCGACAATTCTCACATTGAACATCTATCTGGTGATAACGACCTACCCCGAAGGAGGATAAATGATGAGTTCAGAGACCCATCTGAAGCTATAGAATCGAACGGGCTCATTGATCAAAATGAAGGGACCTGGGGTCAATGACACGGATGTAGGGATCCATCGCGTTGTGGGACATGGGCATATGCGTTAAGTGGTTAATGGGCGAATATTCGTGCAGTGTTTGTTTGAATAACGGCGACCAAGCTTCATGTTCCACTTGTAACGACAACAAAGATGACCAAGCTTTTCCAACAATGGAGGATTGTTCGCACTGACAGCTTCATTTGATTTGGTTAAATGCAAGTTTTGGTTGTGTTGCATCACTCAACATCACTCAACACAGAAGCTTATGTTTGGCTGTAGGGTAATGCTGCGACGAATAATGTCGGACGAGGATCGTGAGGTGACGGAGCCTCTCAGTCAGCCCGAACGAATGGATCGGTAGAAGTCCAGACGACCGCCCACTGACTGGTTACTGGAGGGTGGTGCAGAGAAGCTCTGGAACGACGGCCGCAAATCCGGATCCATTCGAGACAGACTGGTGCCGTCTCTGCAAATGTGGGGTTCATTGTTGTTTGTTTGGGGTCTCAGACGAGCGACGGCTGACGGATTGATAGATTCTTTCCGTAATCGTCGTGAACACAAGACAAACTGAGCAGGGGAACCGCATCCTCTTGATAGTTAGTGTTGCTATCTGTACGCGTCGATTTGGCCCATCTGATATGCAGAGCGTGAACGAACAAACCATGTATAGACTCAACACTTCAAGACGACAAGGCACGGGGCCGCCAAATCGTCGAGGGTTGGCTAAGGTCCACTACCGGCGTCACCCTGCCCCGGGGCGAAATGTGGTAGATACAGTGCCCAGCTAGACTCGCCCAGATGATGAAAGTTGAACTTTCTTTCAAGCCGTGGAGAGGTACCAACGGGCGAGCCGAAGCATATTTTGCAATGCGTTCCTGACTTTACCACAATGTAAAAGGTCCGTTGACGGCATGATAGAAAATTCCAAATGGACGGAAAGGACAGGGTATGGTTTGTTCACGTTCTAATTCGAGATCGGTAAGTCTGTGGATTTGTGTTTCTGTAGGGTCGTGTTCAGCTTAGGTACAGCACCATGGCATGGCGTTCCTGCCCGTGAATGGGCCTCATGACGTATATCAAGCAAGCATAGCGAGAGTAACATTTTAATCCACCGTGTAATTCCTTATAAGCTCTTTTAAATTGGAGAACTGAGCTCAACTCAAACGAAGAGTAATGTCAGTTCTGGGATGCATGTGAAGATAAAGCAATGTGAGCGAGGGTCAAGGCATATTGTGTTTTCTTTTTCTTTTGGTTGGCGCAGAGCAGTCTAAAAGAAGAGGAGTGAGCGGAAGGTACTCCCATCATGAAACCTGTAATGTACCATGGCGTACAGAACTGAACTAAAACAAACAAATGATTCAAAGAGTGTACCTGCGGGTCAGCAGTGCCTTTGTACCTGCGGCATCAGTCACGAAACGGGCCCTCCTTTCAGGTCATCCTCTCCTACCATCATGACACGATAAGAGCCTTGGAATTGGCAGAAACAAGGCAAACTTCAGAGAGTAAAACTGACTAGATATGAAACAGTTTTCTGGTATTGATTAATGTACCAAAATCTAAACCCTTTGTCTCTTATTCGAGATTTGTTGGTGAGCATTTTCTGCTCTATTAATCCTTCTATACTACGAATGCGGTGGGTACTGTGCACTGTAATATGCGACTATTTGGGCACGTCACAAGTTGGTCCATGCCCGCCCTTCCAACGACCTTTTCAAAAGTAAGACAGCCTAGGACCATCTAGCGATATTGCAGCTCAAAAACCTTGCGTTGAGAGGATTGATGTCAATATGGGATATCCCTACATGATTGTCTACCTCCTTGATCTTAGTCACCTTTGCATGGAATCGGAATTGTACCTGCTCACTATAAACTTAAATGTTAGTTTTCTACAGTGTTTATGGTTAATCACTCTGAATGTGCCTATCTTTGCCTCGCCTCGCTCACTCGGCCATTTTCCCCAAAACGACCCTTCATGGACCCTGGTTTTGTCGATACTCTTATAGTAATAGTACCAACTAAGGTACCCTTAATTGATCACCCTCCTTCCCATCCAATGTATGCCGGATCGTAACGCCGCCACACACCAAACAAGTACCTGTAAATTCCACGAATTCCACCTTGTCTTGAGCCCGAAATCGTAACCCGAAGGACACAACCCCAACCTGAGTGACAAATGACAAATCCGCACCCAAATGGGACCTGTTGGAGGATGCCGCTCAATATACCTGCTATCATTAGACGCCACCGCCTTGTAGAATGTACTCACTCAGAAGCGAATGTTGTATCTGAATCAACGTCACCCCCGAATGGATACTCTCTAGTCTGTCCCAGCACTCCCCGGCCACCCAGTAACCTACGACCAACACCTTTTTCCAAGACATGCCCGTGACGCCTTCAACCGAGCTTGGGGCAGATTTGTGATTGAGGTCACTCCACTCAACCGATGCTCATTTTCCATCTTGTTATTGCCCTTGCCTCTTCCTTCATCCCCACAATCAGTTGATAGCTGAGAGACAAAAAGCAAGATTGAGCGAGGCCGACACAGCCCTGAGCTTCCGCACAAAACTTGCACTCCACTGGGTCACGACAGGACCCGCCCACAGTGTCTTTTCAGGTGTCAACTCACTGAGGCATCCCCCTAAACACACTCTGATACCGCTGAACTTTCACTGGGTGGTCATCCATCATCTCATCACAGCCCAGTCCAGCCCAGTCCGTCTTCCCACTCTCTAAAACTGCCTCTCATCCAATTCTCCCGGGCGCACCTCCACCTCCCGTCACCACCATAACCATCGTACACCAAGCCAAAACCACTAACCTGGAAGGGACGCCCCCGGGTCCCCTTCCCCGTTCTATCTCGCCTCTCTTCGCTCATCGTTTCTCCTCCTCTTTTCCTTTTACGACGCACTCTTGATACATGAGCCTGGACAAAACTTTTACGTACGAATCGACTCGACGATTTACACGGTCTCCTGTGCCGTTGGATCCCGTCACGGCTCGTTCGCATATACCTCAATTTTGTTTTTCGTGATCGTTACCTGAGTCTTCTGTATTGGAGCCCTGGACGGCTTTCGGCTTCTTCCCCATCATCATGTCAACACCTACCACGGCCACGGCCACGCTTCCACATTACCACCCTCACCATTATCCGCAATCATACGGCCACACGCATTCGCATCATCAGCCGTATCAGCCAAACCCCAGCGCTAACTATCGTTCGGCTGCTTCGAATCAGAATATTCTACCTCCTCCGGTTTCTTCAGCTGTCTCGCCTTCTCACAGTGCCATTCTGCCTCCTCCGTACCAACTCTCACCTTTGGCATACTCTTCCACGGCATCGAATGGCATAGGCCTGACGCACTCGTCAACCTCTCGCTCTGCACATCACGCCCAGGAACCTAGCCCGCGACACGACGCGGGTTATTCAACTGCAACCATGCCTGAGACTGCTCCTGCTTCTCACGCAGAGCCCTCGAGAAAGCGTCGCCGCTCCCGCGAACCCGATTGGAATACTTTTTACAAAAATGGGCTTCCTAAGGAAATCATAGTCATTGATGATACGCCTGAGCCTGAAGCGAATACTAGTCGAAAAATTACAAACAGCACTGTTATCGCGCCCAACGACACCACGAACCGCCAGGCGGCCAAGAAGAGGAGACGAGACGAAGAGACCGGCACTGTACAGGGCTCGGGCTACCACATCAAATACCTCGAATCAAAAAACAACACCCCGGCGCAGATTACAACACCTGCTGGCTCGTCCAATTCGAGCAGTGACCGCACCAATTCTGGTGTCAATACCACTGCCCCAACTTCACTCTCCTCCAATGGTCAATATGAGGAGGCTGCGGTTCCCCTTAAGCGAAAGCGCACCCGCCAGCAGGTGGCTAACGAGGCCAAGCGTCGCGACGTCGATGGCCTCGGAGATATCTTCACATACAAGCCTCCACCCTACCCTCCCAAGAAGGCTGGAGAGGTCAATGTTCAGGTTATCCATGACGTGAGTTTTTACTCCACATTAATCAAAGTGAAGGTATACTGACGCAATTTGACAGCGACATTACAACAAGAACGTCAAGGTTGATGACGACGATGGTCATTACATTGTTATCCCTGAAGCTGAACTCACGGACAAATGTAAGTTGTAGTTACGTCCCCTCTCTCTTTCCTGTCTAATATTTGATAGACCAAATCGTCCGTCTTCTGGGCCAAGGAACCTTTGGCAAAGTTGTTGAAGCCCGCGACCGCAAACGTAACAAGGCCGTGGCTGTCAAAATCATTCGATCAGTCCAGAAATACAGAGATGCCTCGAGAATTGAACTTCGCGTTCTTGAGACCCTCAAACGAAATGACGAGGAGAACCGTAACCGATGCATTCATCTGCGAGACTGTTTTGATTACCGCGGCCACATCTGTATCGTTATGGACTTGCTGGACCAAAGTGTTTTTGACTTTCTCAAGGGTAATGGTTTTGTTCCATTCCCCAACAGTCAGATTCAGAGTTTCGCGCGACAACTCTTTACCAGCGTTGCCTGTGAGTATTGTGATGACGAGTTTTAGTGACCGTACTGACTTTTTCCAGTTTTGCACGATCTCAATCTAATCCACACAGATCTGAAGCCTGAGAACATCTTGCTCTGCGACCACGCCTATCAAACGTTTACCTACAATCGCAAGATCCCTTCTTCTTCTACCACTGTTAACCGCCAGGCCACGCAACGCCGTGTGCTACTCGATACTGAGATCCGGTTAATCGATTTTGGCTCTGCCACCTTCCAAGACGAGTACCACTCCTCAGTGGTCTCTACACGCCACTACCGAGCCCCAGAGATTATCCTGGGTCTGGGATGGTCATTCCCCTGCGATATCTGGAGCATAGGATGCATCCTGGTTGAGTTCTTTACGGGCGATGCTCTGTTCCAGACACATGACAATCTTGAACACTTGGCAATGATGGAGGCGGTAGTTGGATCACGGATCGACACCCATCTTGTCCAAGCTGTAAACAAGATGTCGACTCGAAGTGGCGGCAATTCTGCTGCCAAGTAAGTATCTCTTACTTCGGACTTCCGTATACTTGCTTACATTCACCAGATACTTCAAACGCCTCAAGCTGGATTATCCTGCAAACGAAACAACCCGTGGCTCCCGTCGGTTTGTCAAGGCCATGAAGCACCTTGATGTAAGCATCCTTTTGCCCTATACGGATCAAGCTAACAGACAACAGCACATCATTCCTGGAAATAACACTTTCCTCAAGAACTTTGTTGATCTGCTTAAGAGAATCTTTGTGTATGACCCTGCTCACCGCATCACCGCGAAGCAGGCTTTGCAACATCCTTGGCTCAAAGAGATGGCCCAGCCCGATGATGGCACTGAGGCTGCTAAGATCCGCCAGGAGAGGATACGGCTGGAGCAACGGAATTCATATGTCCGAAGTTGATGACATACGTCTGATACCCCACTAACGACATATGAGCATGATCAAGGAGTTCTGGATTTCCATGGCGTTGCAATGAAGGGATAGGTATCGACGCGCGGATATCATTGACTGTGTGACACCAGCCCAATTTTGATCTTGTATTCTAGTATCACAGCCACCGTTTTCTCGTTACCTTTTCTGTTTATATTGGGAGTTATCACTGGCGGTTGGCATCTTCTTACGCAACGCTATGACTGGAGGAATGTGCATTTCACAAGAGGCGTTGATGGGCCTATCTTGGCCCAAGCAATATGCAAACGAGCATACTATTTCTTGTTCCCTTTGTCAGAACAAATAAAATCGGACATGTTCCACGAGAACCATGCGTCACCACGATCGACGACTGACGGATTCGCCCATTCATTCACAATATCCTACATGTGATGTCTTTGAGCTGTTGCTTCACACCTGGGCCATGTCGGGTCTGTTTTCGACGTGCCATAGGTAGGTGTGTGGAACATCACAAAGTGTTCTGTTCTCTGCTAACAGCGAATAAGTACCGACAAAGCGATGTCTTTCACAAAGGCTGAATAATTGTTCAACTGATGGGCTTCGATTGACTGTTCACTCATCAAGCGGATATATAATTCAAGGTGGTAGTTAGTGGAGGAGGTATTCATACAAACCTTCAACACCTGAAGACAAACTTTATTTGCTGCATCGACAAAAAGCGCAACTAAACAAGCATTTCATTTTTATCATTTTCGTATTACATATTTCATCATGGCACACAACCGTGCAAACCACAACCCCGAAGAGGAGTTTGACGACACTCCGCTCAGTCGCATTTCAGGTCATCAGCTCGACCAACTCACTAAACTGCTATGGATGGACCCAGGCGTCAACGTAGTCATGCCGGACCAAAAGTGGCTACAGTCACAATATGACGGCGTAGCCAGACTTGACAAGTCCAACCGTCGCTCGAAGAACATTTGGAAACGTTTGTCATCCGGATTGGAGAACATGAGCCTCACGCCCAGACATGTAAACGATGGAAGACCAACAGCTTGCCTTTGTGATTTCCATCGCGACCTCGATCCCAAACTGATCCGACGTTTGATGGGTCTCATCACGGCTGAGTGTACTGTACGTATTCACCGCTATCGTGAATGGCGTCGACGCAACACTCTCCCTACTCTTCTTACCCATTGGCTCGACCGCATCGACGCCATGACTGGACTCTGGATGAGTCGAGATGCTTTCAACGCCGCCTTTAGTTATGAACGCGTTTCGACAACCCAGAATAAAGTCCGGAGCAAATGCGAAGCCTGTATCATGGCGGCTATCGGAGGCAGACCTCACGCGCTGGCCTACCTGCGAGCTTCCATGATCGGGCGACGTGAACGCCATGTTGACCAACGCCGTCCCATGCCCAGATTGCTTCGAGTGGTGGAGTCCTGGATTTCGCACTTCAACGCTGAAGTTCGCAGGGCCACTATGACAGACAGTATCCAAATCAGCGAGGAACTTGACAAACTGGATGCGGTTATCGATGCTTGGAAGAGGGAGCGCCGCCAGCGTTCTTATCAAACAGGAGTACCGCCAAGGCCAAGTCGTCCTCGAGAATCGAAAGCATACCAAGTAGATGTCCACAGTCCCCAAGGACGAGACTCCCGGCAGAGCTACACCACGGAGGACAGTTACGACAGTAGATCCCCACGCCATAGTAGTCATTTTGATGACGACGAGCAACAATGGATGGACAACGACGAAACCTACCAAGCGTCGATTTACTTGGACTGTCAGATGCAGAGGCAAGGTTTGACAAAAGCCAAGCGGCGGGAGATTTTCGAGAATGACATGCACCCTGCCGTTCATGACTATGTACAGGATGCAATGCAAGTGCCGGTAGGTGACCGCCAGTGGAGAGATGTCGAGTCAAAGCTCGAAAGCGACACAACCTCTACTTTCAGCAATTCGAGTGCTATTCCGGCACCGCTCAACTTGGCCAGAAAGCATGGGGTGCCCACACCGCCTCACAGTAATTCTGGTGATGATGCTGCGGAATCAATCTGGGAGGATGTCTCAGTGTTCTCTCCCCCACAGTATGCGATTGCAGGCGGATCTACACGCCGGCACACTGCCGCGCCAAACACGGGGAGCGACAGCGAGTCTCTTCTTACCACTTTTGCTGATAACCGAGCACATCTCGAGTTTTGTCAAAAATGGGGTCTCAGTCCGGGGTCTGAAATCCGTGAAGCACCATCAACACAAGCACAAACTCAACGGGACGCAGATATAACCTCGGTTGCTGCAGCTTCAAGCGTATACTCTGATCATCCCGGCTTTCGACGTTCTCAGAAAAATGTGGCGCCGCCGCCCGTTCCCCCGAAGAGCCGATTGCGAGACTCTCGTAATCCTTCGAACGGCGGACAAAGCAGAGCTTCTATGGAACAGTCACACCGATCGGCTCGTGACCAGCGAGACAAGAACATCTGGGATGAGTTGCAGGAGGATAGACAGCGTTTGATCCGGGAGTACCAAGACGAAGAGTAGTGGTTGAGTGTTCCTTGGATACATGGAGTTTGCGTTTGATTAGACCGCAACATTGTTTAGTTGGATATACCCTGGGAACACATTTGAGAGGACACAGCAGAGCCTTGCAAAACAATTTCCTTTGTCACTTGAATTTGCTTTGTCATTTTCGATTCTTTGTTTTATCTTGCAGTTCTCCGTGATGAATAAGTAGCCTGCCTCTGAAAAGTCGAACAATCAAAATGGTACGAGCTGAGTATCCGACTTCACTTATGACCTAGATATGCACTCTACCGTGATTAATATATATTAGACCACGAATAAAAGTCTTGCTTTACTTCTTATGAGTGGGGATAATTTGCATCTTGGTGAGAAGAGAAGTGGCTTAATAGTGTGCCCTGGAAGTGCAACAGTACAGATATAATATGACCTTGTCAAGTTTAGTAAAGCTGTAGGGCTCTCCTTTTGGATTTTATGATATCTATTATATGCAGATCTATTAGCTATACGTTTTTACGAATGGAAGAATTAAAGTTAACTTGGGCATAAAGAAGCTGCCATTGCCTGACGGGTGGCAGGTGCAGGCAGGAGGAGTATTAACCGTCCTTTTACCCCTTTCTTTCCTTTCCGGCATCTGCCCAGGGCTGCGTGATTCACTGCCCGCAACACAAGGCTTTTGTTACCTGTCTGCCTAATAATTCACACGGCAACCGGCAAGCGAGCCTTCACTATCTGTGACTTGCACAGTAAACTCAACACCAAACCTGTGCATACCCTTCCACATCCACACAACAGACTAAGCACTTTGGCTGTCTTCTCTGTTGTGCACAGGGAAGTGTTGTTTTCTTTTTCCTTTACTCTCATCTGCCTGATCCCGTTATCATCTACTTGTTCTGCCAATTTCCGTCTACATGGAGTGTAACTCGCCAACACGGCCCATCCGCAGGTTCGTCTTGGAGTTTTGAGACCTCCCCTATTTTTCATGCCCTAACGTAATACAGTGCGCTTCACGGAATCATGTCGCGGGCGCCCGGCAGCTCAAGCGGTGCTGCGAAGGAGAACACCCCCTCGTCCAACCTCACAAAGTCACTCATGCGACTCAAGGGAATTAGGGACGCTCTCGGTGAAAATACTACAGCTCGCCAACAGCTATTCCCTAGTGATGTTTTGAAAAGTCGACTCAACAAAGTTCGACAAGCATCCGGACAATCTATGGATTTCCTTCCTCATCAGCGAGCACCTTCGAAAACAACTGATACTCAGCATCAGCAAACAAGCCTGGAGTTAGTTTATGTACCTCAGAAACAAGGGCCTGTCGAGACGGCGCCTCCTCATCACTCGCAAGCACCTTCTCAACGCCCATCTGTAAGAGTGGGCTCTCAAGAGGAAGACGATTTTGAAAAGAGCTCTAGAGGCACTTGGAACTCTCCAAAGTCAATGGCGCCTTCAAGTGTGTCAACTGATGTGCAGGGTGCACCTTTGCCAGCACCACTTCATGTCATCGAAGCTCTTGGATCTACGTCAGTAGTGATTCGACGACCCTCCTTCAGCAATGTCTCTCTGGCCCTAAGTCATTGCCCTGTATCGCTTGATGATAAGGAGAATCAGCCAATCACTGCCGAAGAGGCATGGGGCCTAGGCAGGACAACCCAGGATCATGTTGACGAAGTCGGTCCTAACGCTCGAATCTTCTCAGCAACAGCCATTGATAATTGGAATTGTGGTCAGGAGGATTACCCTATCATCCCTTTGACTGAGAACCGAGACTCTCGCATCGACGATTGCGATATTGACCCTGCGACTGGCGAGCTTATTGATCCAGTTCGATACATCAAATTGCAAAAGGATAGCCAGGCGAATCTTGACTGGCGCCGAATGCAACTCAGTTCGGAGGAGCGCATTGCGAGAGAGATTGTTCGCCGAGAGCAGGTGAAGAAAGAGGTTGTACAGAGAGAACAAGAAGAAAAGTATGCGAATATGACTTTTGAAGAGGACAAGGTCCCTGATGCTGCCTGCACCCTCCGACCGGCAGAGGCTCAAGACTTCCAGGCCATTGCAGACATCATAAACTTGGAACGCGAGCAGGGACAGAACTCCCAAGTGTATCTTCCCAAGATTGACCGCAATCTGATTCGAACTCTTCACACCGCATGCCTTCAAAAGCATCGGCCATTCATTGTTGCCATCCCTGCACCAGCGAAGATCCCCGACCGTAGCAACTGGTCCAAGGCCGAAGAAGAAGAATATCAGGAATTCCTCAAGTTCAAGCAGTCCCGCGGAACATCAAAGCCAACCGTTCTCGGGTTTGCTGTCATCAACGATGTCCATCAGGGTTTTCTGGACAGCACTTTTCGCGGTTCCCGCTTCTCGGGCAACATTACCGTGGTTGTCCATCCGCAACACTGCAAGAAACTTGTTGGCACGGCCCTCCTCGACAAGATCTTGTCATGCGTGCACATCTATCACCGCAGCGAAGTTGACTATACATGGAATTGCGCGGAATCTCGGCAGATTTACGAGTATGTATCTGCACACAACCTCCGAAAGTACAACAAAGTCTATGTCGAGTTTTTTTCTGTTGGAAAGCATGATCCCGAGGTTGAGAAAATTCAGCGTCTTTTGAACAAGTTTGATTTCGAGCTCGTGGCCAAATTCACAGACGCTGTCAAACATGGAAATGAACCAGGTGTCTGGAAGAATCTGAATGTGTGGGAGCTGGAAGTCCGCACAACAATCGAGATTGACGAACTTCCGGATGATATGTGATGGTGTCCAGGAATGTATGAATGGTTGAGGAATCGAGCCTTTACTTGTCATGGTACTTTGCTCATTGGTTTGGTTTGGGTTGTGTTTTCGAATCTGGGATTAGCCAATGGAATGCGCAAGTGTAAATGCGATAAGACGAGCAAGTAATCATCTTGTTTAGTACGCCTGAAATACAAGCTGACATTGTGGCCATGGAACTTGAACTTTGTGAAGTAGAAGAGGATGTTTAAATGAGCACCAATCACGTGGATTGAGAAAGCCGCAGGCATTTGATTTTAACGACATTGATAGTACACCGATGTGACAGAAACCTATCAGACTGGAATTTGTGACCAAAAGTAGCGAAAAGTGAAGACCGAATCATTTTCTCCCCTACAAACACCTTTAAACATATCGCGCCATCAAAATGCTGTCGATTCTACGAAAAGCGCGACTTAAGGACAAGGAGATGCGAATCCTGATGCTGTGAGAATGCCATCTATACCAAAATAGGACATGCAATTGACCTGTCATAGTGGACTTGATAATGCAGGAAAGACGACGATTGTGAAGCAGGTTATGGGAGAAGACGTCAATACTGTCAGCCCAACGCTGGGTTTCATTATCAAGACTATTGACTACGAAGGGTATGCAGATATTCCGTTTCTGATACCGAACCGCTGCTAACAACTAATAGATATAAGCTCAACATATGTGTGTTTCCTAGACCGTTAGAAAGTTCATGTGTGCTGACTTCTTAGGGGACGTGGGCGGTCAGAAGACGCTGCGATCGTACTGGAGAAACTATTTCGAAAAGACAGATGCGCTGATATGGGTTGTCGACGCAACAGACCGTCTACGCATTCAAGATTGCAGAGACGAGCTTCAAGGGCTACTTTTGGAAGAGGTGCGCGACACCATTCCACACCGGGCGGATAGTTACTGACAAGTGGTACAGCGTCTTGCAGGGGCAAGCTTGCTCGTATTTGCGAACAAGACAGATGTTGAGGGATGCATGACGGAAGCAGAGATTCTCTCGGTAGGTCTCAGAACAAGAACAAGAACAACAGAACAACAAGCTTACACTGTGGATTTTAGGAACTGCAACTGGAATCGATACGAACACATCGCTGGAAGATTCTCCCGTGTAGCGCAATGACTGGAAGTAATCTCAAGGAGGGACTATCATGGGTGGTGGAGGAAGCGAAGAAGCGCTTATTCCTTTACTGAACAGACAATGTTGAACTAAACTCTATAAGTCCTTGCCCTCAACAAAAGGACCTTGACAAAAGCAAACATCAGCAAGCTGAGTACAAATCACATGTGTATGTAGTCAGCCGCAAAGTGTGGAATATGGACATGCATAAATAAGGCAGCTCGTCAAACATCGAAACTTGAAACCCAATGAAATAGACTCGTTACGCCGGGCAACGTCCCGCAGTAGCACTCTACCGACAACTAGACAAGACAAGAGTTGCGAACGACGTCCAACTAGCTCCAGTTAAGAAGCAGGGAACAAGCCGGACGAGTATGATGGGCGGGAGAGCATCGTTAGGTGCCGCATGCAGTTTTTGTCTTTACTGACAAGGTGGTATTCCTACGATCTGTTGGGCTACCTTATATGAGCTAAGGACCTGAACATGGTTTGAGGCATAAACTACGTATAATACGAAACTGGTTGTGACAAGGTTTCAACGAATTCAAATCATGGTTTGGCATGGGTTTGTTGTTGTGGTGGATCGTCGTGGGGGAAAGTAAACAAAAGATGACGTTTTTGTTTATGGCGCACAATGGATACGGACAACTTGTGAGGCTCCTACCTATCTACGTTAGAGACTTTTGAATTAAATCGAACCTAGTATCGATCAGAGTCTGCATGATGCAAGCAAGATGATAGTCCTAGTTCATGCACATTTTGCATGAGATCGAGCTTCATATGCAGCAGCAGGCTTAAAACATTTGTCTCTGTTGCTGGTTGCATCCATTTGTTTAGACTAGGTCAGGCACAAATCGTCCTGACCTTAGCGGTTAACCTGGTCTGGTAGCGGGAGCGAGCCCCCTCCGAGACTTATGGTACAGGGACTACAGCATTGCTTGAATTCCTCTCTTACAGTGGGCTTCATACCCGAAGGCGGCCATGAACCAATCAGATGTCAAACATAGCTCATGAAATTTCCACCGCATACAGTTATGATACCATCCTTGTCCTGGACCTGATCCAGACTCGGACCCAGTTTCCATCCTGTCGTCAACTTCCCACCACCAAGCACAAGCACAGCATCTCCAAGCTAGCTCGGCTTCTGGGAGGATAAACAAAAACATTCTATAATACTCACTGCAACCTTGCTCGTGAGATTGCACTGCATTTGCTCGCGCCCGTTCTCCAAAATTGCCCCTCCCTTTCTCCGACGCCAGACTCTTAGAACATCCACTCCCTTCCGTGTCATGTCCCAAAGGACCCAGAGCCATGTCCGACGAAGTCTCCCAATTTCTCGAGCAGGTCGAGCGCCTGCGCGGTCAGCAGATCGAAGAAGACGAAGTGAGAGCTCGTGAGCTCGAAGATTACTTGGCTGCAAAGCGAGAAAGACAAGCTCGCCGAGAAGGTGAGAACAAAAATAATCGGACGAAATAACAGAGAGCTTAGCCTTCTAATGCGGCCGCTTGGCTTTCCTTTCCTCTTGGGAGGCTTTTGCTGGTTGCATTGATGGAGCTCCCTTTACTATTTGTCGGGCCAACTGGTTCCCGTCGTACACCCATTGTTTACTTTCCATTTTTCTACTGCTATTTACTCATCCCCATGGTTTTAACTTGGCTCTGTGAACATTGTTGACAGCCGAAATCAAACGCTGATGGTGTCCTTTTGCTAACCACCATCTGACATTGCAGAACGTGCTCGATCCATCTCACCACAAAAGTCATCTCCTGCAAATACTCCCTCACCACGTTCGAGTCGACGTAGTATCCACCTCACTGAGGCATTGAAGCTCGATTCCCCAAGATTCCAAAGGGACGAGAGTGCCTCACGATTGTCAGAATCTGAGGCGAAAGCCGACACTTCAATGGATCTGAGTTCTTCACCGACCAAGGAGAACGAAGCTCCCTCTGACGTCGACACCAAATCTGCGACCACACCACCCACCCGTTACTCTACACTGTCGTGGCAGCGAAGGCCTAACTCCCGTAGCGGCTCTACCCGCCCTCTAAGCATGCTCGCAACCCAAAATGCGACCCAACGGTCATTTATCGGGTCGCATGATTCCACACCTGCTCCTGCGTCAGCCACCGAAGAGACCTTCTCGAAGGATCAGATTGCCCAGTCTCTGGGTTCCAAGGACCCTTCGTGGTTCCGCCAAACGGCGGACCGAGGGGCAAGCTCGGCTGCTTACCGAAAGAACCAGGTTGAGGATACAGACCGCCTAGATATGGCCTCAGTCAAGGCACAATTGCCGGGCATGACTGATGAACAAGTAAAGCCAAGCCCGCCCGTTGAAAAGCCTATTGAGAAACCTCTCGAAAAACCCGCCGAGGAACCTGCTACGCCCACTAAAATGAAGCTGGCAAATCCTCCATCTCTCAACCCTCCTGCTTTTGATGCTGGGGAAGACAAGTCTCTGGATGGCCGTCTTTCAAACGCCTCTCCAGGCCGTTTGTCTCCCACTCGGTCCAATTCGCGATCCAGCTCACCTACGAAGGGCATGGGCGGCTTTGTCCAGAGTGCTATGATGAAGAGATCAGACAGCGTCAAGCGATGGAGTGTTACTAGCCCTCCAAGCCTCAACCGTGCCAATTCGATTCAATCGAGCCAAGGTGCTGGTTTGTCCTTGAATACTCGCCCACAGAGCAGATCAGGACCTGGAGCGACAACGCCAGGCTCAAGCCGACCAACATCACGACACGGAGAGTCTGATAACGAGGTCACACCAAAGGCTCCTGCTCCTGCTCCTGCGCCTGCTCCTGCCCCTACCGTGGACACCGCTTTGGGTGACTCTGCCTTGCCTCTCAGTCCAACCAAAACAATGGATCCCCGAAGGTGGAGTCCGACAAAGTCAAGCTGGCTCGAGAGTGCCTTGAACAAGCCTCCCGAGTCTCCAAACAAGTCCCATCATAAGTCTAGTTCATCGCAACCAGCATGGATGGCCGAGCTTAATAAGAACAAGGGAGGTCTTCCTGAGGGAACCACCCGGCCTCGCCCAGGTTCAATTTCTCACAAGCACCAAGTTAGCATCGGAGGACTTATGAGATCTACTCCAATGGGAACAGCAACAAAGACCAATACGACTGGCCTTGGCGGTATATACTCTCCCCCTCCTGGCGGAAACCGACCTCTTAGCATGCATGGCAGCTTGGGATTCCCTAAGAGCGCGCCTAAGCTCGAACCTGAGACTCCCATTGAGGCCAAGATCACACAGTCTGACTCTGAGCCTGTCCCTGATCCAGAGCTTACTGAACAAGAGAAGAAGGCACCGGAACCCACTAAGGAGGAGACGACAAGCCCCAAAGAGGCGAAACCTGCTTCAACTTTGCCCACGAATAAGCCGGAGGCACCCAACAAGATAGATTTCCGCAAGTCTTTGAGACCCAGGCCAACTGGCTCAGATACGCCCAAGACTCAAGAGCCTGAGTTCAAGAACGTTTTTGGTACTCTCCGTAGGACCAAGACCCAAAACTACGTGGCTCCTGACGCGTTGAAGGATAATATCCTCCGAGGCAAGGCTTCCCTGAACCAAACTGGAGGCCCGCAAAAGACAGAGAGAGTGGACGAATTCAAGGATGCCATTTTGAAGAAGAAGGACGACTTTAAGAAAGTCCAGGCCGAAGGCAAAGGCATCTCACGGAGCAACACCCCCACGAACGATTCCCCACTTCCAGAAGGACTTGCTAAGAGAGCTGAAATGGCAAGGAGAAAGTCCGTGGCTGACGTCAAGTCAACACTTGCATCGAGTAAGCCAGATTCGCCCAAGCCGACACCAGGTCCCAAAAGGATGCACAGCCAGACCTTTTCCACGCCCAAGTCTGCTCCTAAACCAGCCCCAGAACCCGCTGACGAGGGTCTAAAGCGAGTAGTTACCGATTCTAAAGCGAAACCGGAGGCACCGAGAGGTTTACCAGGCCTAAACAAGGAAACGAGCTCACCCGGTAGACTGCAAGGAGGTATAGGAGGTAAGCTCGCTGGACGGTTCAACCCGGCCCTCGCTGGTATGCTCGCACGAGGACCGCCTCCTATGGCTACCAACGGGGGCAAGGCCCCTGAGGAATCCGAATCCAAGGGGTCTGCCAGCGCAATGGTTACAGAACCCTCCGCTCCCGGGCCGCAACTGACACATATGACTAAGGGTCGAGCTCGAGGTCCTAGGAGAAAGGCGCCAACCAAAGCTGCCCCCTCAGCTGTCTCCGGAGCTTCAACTGAACAAAAGCCTGCACAGGAAAAACCCGTTCCCGCACCGAAACCTATCGAACCTGCCAAGGAGAAGCCCCTGGAACAAACCGTTGCCCCTGCCGAAAAAGCCGAGTCTACCCCCGCTCCTTTTTCGATCCAACAACAGGTCGCCGCGAAAGCTGCTATCCAAAGAAAGCCCGTCCTCACCAAACCCGCCGCTGAGCCTCAAGATAACGAGCCCCGGAGACCTCCCACTCGTGAAGACCGAACCTCGTTTTCCTCTAAGCGTTTCTCCAAGGCTGAAGTTACACCACATGACGTTCCTTCACCGTTGAGAATTCAAAAGACTGGCGACGCTGGTTCACAGCCCGGCTCACCCAAGAAGCTGGACACCAACCGCATGTCTCGATTCCTTGATCGCTCAAACGATGCGCCAGAGCCTGCTAAAGAACCTGTGCGATTGACTCATCAACGTACAGGTTCTCGGTCTCCAGTCAAAATGTTTCAGCGTCAACTGCCAGACCCTGAGCCATCGTCCCCGACAAAAGTCGACAGTGACCCAGTCGTATCTATAAAGAATGCTAGAGCCATGTTTGGCGGCGCAGCCCCAGCCCCTTCACTATCTACAAAGCCTTCATTGGAAAGATCGGAGCCCGCTGTTCTCCGGACACCTCCACCTAAAGCATCCCCTCGTCCTCTTCCTCAGTCTGAACACTCTTCACCTTTACAAGTCAACAAGACACCGTCTCGAGTGGCTACTCGTCCCCTGCCTACACCTCCAAGCAAAGAGCCTGAGACTCCCCAGGCGCCCCAAACCCCAAAGGCCCAGCAAACACCCTCCGCCCCACCGAAAACCCCTAGCCAGGGCAACGATGTTGCGAGCTTGCTGACGGACTTCTTTGGGCCAAAGCCTCCCAAGGCTGAGTACAAGGTGGATGCTGCAGAGCTTTTGATGAACCGACCTCCAACAGGACCAATAAAGCTTCAGAGCCTCAGTTTCCAGGTTTTCCAAATCTCAGCGGAGGGCAAGAAGTCCCCGGTGGCGTCTCACTACGAGCGGACACTGTTTGAACGAGAGATGTACATTGCTCCCCATAGCTTCACAAACGAAGCTGGATGGAAGCGATTGGAAATCTACTTCTGGATTGGCGATCAAGTACCAGAGTCTGCAGCCGACGATGCGCTTCTCTTTGTTCAAAAGGAAGCCAAGGCGTTGGGCGGCAAGGTAGTCAAGATGCATCAGGGCAAGGAAACAACCGAGTTTCTGCAAGCTCTCGGTGGTGTCATGTTGATAAGAAGGGGCTCCAGCAACAAATACGATTCACTAGCACCCAACATGCTCTGCGGCCGGCGTTATCAGGGTCAGGTCGCTTTTGATGAGTGCGACTTGACCACAGCAAGTCTATGCGCAGGATTCGTCTACGTTATCACCAGTAAGGGTAAGGCCTACATCTGGAAGGGGCGAGGATGCGATGTGACAGAGTTGAGCGCCGCCAAGCTTGTTGCTATCGAGCTCACTCTTACTGGAGAGCTGATCGAGATCGATGATGGCGATGAACCCGAGTCATTCTGGAGTCTATTTGAAGGAAGATCAAAGCCTCACTCAGCCGATCATTGGAGACTCAAGCCCAACTACTCCAAGTACTGCAGCAGACTTTTCTGCTCAGATGCAGAGACACGACAGCAGGTCTTTGAGATTGCGCCTTTCAACCAATACGACCTCTCCCCTGAGCATATCTATGTTCTTGACGCTTTCTTCGAGATGTACATCATTGTTGGCGCTCGTGCCCAATCCCAATATGCATCCTTCCGCAATGCTCTCGACTTTGCTCAAGAATATGCCATTCTTGCTGCAGGTATGGAGGATCGTCCTTTCGTTCCCATCTCGACTGTTGTACTTGAGGGCATTCCTCGGGATCTCAAGCGTGTTTTCCGATTCTGGCGGGATGATCTGAACCCTACTGTCACCAACACTTCAACTTCTCTCAAGAGAGGTCGCAGTCTGAGGGTAGTGTCATTGACACAAGCACTGCAAGCACTTAGTGAGTAGGCTTGTTTGAGCATTGTTGTCTTCAAAAGTTCGGGCGGCTTTTTCCTTGTGGGTCTTTATTCATATGGTAGCGGTATATTCTTGTAATGGGTTCACGGAAGCATGGCGAGATATGGCAGTTTCGGCGATCTTGGAGTTGCATGTCGTTTTTGGGCCTCCGGTTTTGAGAAGATATGATAGATGATACCAGATGAAACACGAGATGTGTACGTATATTGCAATCGAGCAAATTCTCTTTTATGATTCCGAAATGGTGACACTTGGTAAATGGCCATATGCATATGTACACGGAGATAATCCATAAGCAAGTAATGATAAAAAGAAACGATAAACAAAAGCAGTTCGGCTCTCAAGCCCAAATCGAGCACAAGCCGCCTAATGCGTCTATGGGGGTATCAAAAGGCTGTCTCAAGTCTTTGCATTCGATGCGACTCCCCGTTTAGCAAACTCCTCTCCTAAAAACACACACAGTCCGTATTCCTCCTTTTCTTCTGGGTTTTTCTTTTTACTGTCTTTGATTCTTCCAATGTGCGTTTATTGCGCTGACCCATTGGTGTCAATGGCGGAGCTCTTGCCAGTTGTTGAGTCGCTAAGCGAAGCTGGCACGGCCATGGGTTGGCCACGGGCCTTTGCTGTCACAGTAACGAGTTCGTTGAGCATGAGTTCGCGCGTTGTGCGGGTGAGCTCTTCGACGTCGGCGGCGGTGAGACCCTTTGTAGGGATGGGCTTGAGGACTGTACATTGTTAGAATTTTGGACAGATTCGACGTGGACATGGGGTATACATACCCTTAACTGGGATCTTTCCGGCGTTGAAAGTAAAGGTCTTGGGGTAGAGAATATGGCTGTAGTTTGCGACTACGCAAGGCACAATAGGCACGCCGGCCTCAACAGCAAGGTGGAAAGCTCCCTTCTTGAACGGAAGTAGCATGGGCTCCTTGGCGTAGCTTCGAGTACCCTCAGGGAACATGTAGACACTCTGTCGCTTGGACTGGATCTCGCTGGCGGCACCCTTCATAGCATCGCGAGCATCCTTGCTGTTCTTACGATCGATGAAAATAGAACCGCTCAGAGACATGAACTGGCCCAGGAAAGGGACCTTCTTGAGCGAAGCCTTGGCGGTAACACTACAGTACTTGGGGAACATTCTTCCCAGCATGAGAACATCGAGCTCGGTCTGGTGGTTGCCGACAAAGACAGCAGGGCGCGTGGTTCCGAGAACATTGTCCGGGTCCTCAATGACGAACTCAACACCGGTGGTGTAGAGCATGAGGTAGTGAAAGGAACGACCGACAGCCCATTGCGCGATGCCCTGTTTGCCGATGAGGGTGAGGAAGATGGAGGCAAAGACACCGTAGGCTGCGACGATGAGGAGAGAGACGTAGGAGGCGAGAGCACGAGCTGCGAAGGCGGCTTGAGGAACGACGAGGGACATGGCGTAGAAGAAGACGATCAAGGCAGCGTAGCCAAGGGCGAAGTAGGTGAGGATACTGGAGAAGGACATAATGGGCGATTTTTAGCGGCCGTCGCTGGTCTATGCCGTGGTCGTAGTGAGGATTGTGGCTCAAAGGTTAAGACAGCTGATAGGTAAATTAGTAGATATAAAGTGAGACAAAAAAAAAGGCAGAGAGGTAGAAGTAGAGGAGGTCAGCTGGGATGGAGAGGAATTGGCGGGGGGTTGGGTTGTTGAGTGGGTAGACCTAGTATGGAGGTCAATCAATTCCGGTGATGGCGGGGTTCTTTATTTTTTCGTCTGTACCCTTTTGTCTGCAGAAGGTACTTTAGTGACTACCTAGGTATACAGGATAGTAATATTTATAGTTAGAGAATTGTCAAGTCTATTAAGTTGAGAACAAGACGTGAGGGAAATATCATCTTCATCACAAGATCAAAGTATCCCCAAAAGATGGTGGGAAAATAGGTACTTCTACTATAAACGGCCGCTTGACACGGGGACGGGAACGCCTTTGATTGGTATATTTTGATTGGTTGGGATGTGATGTCACAGGTACAGGGAGTTGGCTTGTGAAAGTCGACGCCGAGGATGAGGATCAAAGACATGGATGGTGATGAGTCAGCAGTTTTGAGTATATCAAGATGTGTTATTTCCATTCATTATTCTATAGTACCTATATGCTTGATCATCAAATATATTGATTAGGTTATAATTGTTCCAATCACTAGGTAGCATATCATGTTATCTCAGTCCTGGTAAACTATGTCTACTTGTACGTGACTGAAGACCAACTGTGCACAACATCAATGCATTGTACTAACAAAACGTGGAGAAAGAGTTGGCCAGTCTTACAATTTATTTCCTCCAGATACTATTATGTAGGTTTCTCGAGGTGGCATCTCGGATCCAATCCGGCATCACGGGGCTGTCAAAGCACACCCTTTTCTAAGAATGTAGTACAGAACCAGTTGAGTCTGAGACATGTGAACTGACAGCTGAACCTATTTCTTTCGAATCCAAATCTTATTATCCGTATCCAGATAGATACTATAATCAGTTTATAGCAAATAGGTGCAAGCAGTACTATGCAGATTGTATATCGCTGCTAGTATGCATCACGTGCATAGCGCTTATCGGATTCAACAGCGGTTATCGATAAACCTGGGAGCTATTAGCACCTAATCTAATGTAACCACTGTAAGCCAGGCTCAACTCCAACACGACCATCATCAACGTCGACACCACCCCCCAACTGGGCCGTCTTCATTCCTATTGTGACTGTCGCTGTCTTTTGCGCTACCGCTCAATATAATAATACTTCTTCACCAGCGTCGCGGTTCTTTCTCATCGTACAACCCGTCTACTGCTCCAATTCGCTTCTCGCTTGCGTGCTATCACTTATCATATTCTCGCTTTCGCCTGTCTTTCCCCTCACAAATTAAACTCTCGACTCGAGCGCTTGCTTGCTCGCGCGCACTTAATACTCCAGTCGGAAAATAATGCGCGACTCCTCATAATTTAATCAACATGGCTTCCCCTCGCCGGGCACAACCCTCGCTTTCTGTCCGCATGCCTTCCAACCAACCTACCGATCGTCCTCCCATCGATGCCCTCTTTCTCATTCACTTCGACGTCAAGGCTGGATACACAATTCTTTGGAAACAAAATGCACCAGGCATTGACCTAGAAGGTCTTGTTGAGTACAAGTCCCTTCCTTCTGGACTACACACCGTCTCTGAAGACCTCATCTACTTCGTCCACGATAGTGTACATGCCGGACTTAGCGCTTTCGTCAACATGCCTTGCGACGAGGAAGAGGCACGAAATGCGAGGATGTTTGCCGTTGGAGTTCTGGTTCCCCTGAGCTATGGTCGTTTGGGTCGCGCCTGGAGACATGCTGAAGGATTGAAGGAAATGGCTGCGTACGTACATATCTACCCCATGCGCAGTTGGGCTTGACTGACGTTCCGTATAGAAAATTGGCAGAAGATCGCAAGAACACCAGTATACTCGATGATTATTGGGTTGCCAACCGCGAAAAGTCTGGCAATGGCAATCGTCGCCTCTCAGGAGAGACGCCCGTCAGCTCACCATCTCTTATTTCACAACCCTTCCACCGCAAGGCCCATAACCGCAACCGATCTGCTTCTGATGGCGCCGCTCTAATACCGCCGGGAAACAAACTCTCACCATATCATCCCGCTTGGAGTTTGACCAGTCTTCTGGACAAATTTGGTCCTCTCATCTTTCCTATACATCGCGCTGCGTTGCTACGCAAACGCATCCTAATATCGTGCCATGCTCCAGTTCACGAGGTTTGCGATTTTGGTGAGTAACTAATTTTCGATACATTGTCCTTTGCTGACATTCACCTCTTCAGTATATAATCTGTCTGTTCTCTCCAACATTCCTCTTTCTGTTATCGATATACTGCCTAGCTCAACTTCGACGCAACGTCTGAGACCACTCTTCTCCATTGGTGTTCATGACATCCCCTTTCTCATGGACGACTTTGAAGCATCCAAGAGAAAACAGAATAATGAGGATGTGATAGATGATGAGTCAGGCTCTGGATGGATTGCATGTACTACTGACAGTATCCTTGCCATGAAGGACACTCTGTGGGACATGCTTATTACTCTACCCCCTGACTACTCATCCAATGCTACAGAAAGGGTTTGGCCTACGGTAGAATGTCCCCGCGGACAACCGATCAAGGCGACTCAGCGAGATCTCCGACGTTTTACTTCCCTCAAGAACGGCCTCTCTCGTCTTGCAGCTACCACTCAAACACCCACCATGGTCCCAGAATCACCCGAAGATGAGCGCTTTACGCGTAGGGTTTCTACCCACTCAAACCACGTTGTTCGTGACCCGCGAGACGATGCAGTTGAAAAGGTTGTCGAACCTCTTACCTGGGCAGCATTCGCCTACAACGGTTACATGTGGTGGGCCAGCGCCGGTGAACAATTACGCTCAGAACAACAAGAGGAAGCGGCCCATGATGCATCTCTGCTCGCTGATTTTGGCCATTCGTCAATGACCATGCCTCGACCTGGCTCGCGTTCTGAGCAAATGTCAGACTCGCTTGGCTCTTTGAACGCTACTCGCCGCGCCAATGATGACTCTGGTGAAGCCCGATTCGAACTAGCCATCATCGCTTACTTCCACCGACTGACGACGCAAATACTCTCCGTACTAGCTGATCTAGCAGACAGCCAAGATGAGCCCTATACCGATCAAGACGACGAGGATGAGGGCCTATCACAAATCTCTGACGACAGAACGGCACTTCGTCCCTCAGACTCCGATCCTGAACCCGATGACGCAGACGCCATTCGTGTAGACAGCCACGCTGTGGAAAGCATGGGTCTCGATGTCTGGAGTGATGCTGACGCTCTCTTTGTCCGCGAACTATCCGTCAAGTACTTTAGTCGATCCGCTCGCATAGAAGGCAAGGGTGTCGAAGTCTGCGGTGTAAGAGTTTGCTAAGAAAGGCCGGGGTGACGAAAGCTGGACTTGCGTCGTTGGGAATTTTTATATGC